GAAATGCCGAGACCATTGCTCGCGACTCCAGACGACGATGAATCAAGGCATGATGAATCCAGGTCGCAAGATGGGCGCTCATCCGTCTTCCAGCCGCGGTTGTGCAAGTCGTGGTTGAGCTGTTGACGTTGGAAAAGAGTCGTCTTGATCGTCATGCTGAAGGGAAGTCCCATGTGCTTCCCAATCCTGGTGATTGGCAATTCGCCAGGGACATGCTGCATATGCACCTTCAGGGCCTCTCGGAACTTGACAGACGACTCTCTTCAGAAACCCTGACACACTGAAAGCGTGGGGTCCTGCTCGAATTTCCGTCATATCGTCAACGAACGTGACAAGTTGAACACGGCCAGATTTTGATCCGGGACCAGAGAAGCCATCTTGCATCGAAGGAGCATGAGGCTCATACGAGTCGCTGTTGAGGATTGGGTGCGATAGGATAAATCCATCAGCTCACGAATATTGCAATTCACTCTGGACATCACAGCAATTGGCTGGGATTAGACTTCACTTCAATTCAATTGAAATTCACATGAATATACACGGTGCAAGACGTCAAGTTTTGACAATGGAGTTTAACAGGTCCCAACACAGCCACAAGACCGCAGCCATATTTCCTTCCTCACATCAGTTTGAGAGTTATTTTGTTGCTGGTCAAATCGAAACTCAACGCCCGCAAAGTGTATTCACATTGTGCCTGCTAAGTACTTACCCAACTTTACTTATTTCTTAAAAGTCAATGAGCCAATGTTAAGCCACCTACACCCACATGAAGGGGCGACGCCGCCAAGCCTTGACTCAGCTATGAATAATGAGACGCTGACTATACCGCATTCAATGTCTGCCCGGAACCCAAGTCAGCCAGGACATCTTTATGCTGCCCTCGACCGCATTGGCAGCCCAAACGCCTCTGACGCGGCTCACATAATGGCACAGCAACACAGCTTGACAGACCCTTGTCTTCTGTTACCCGAATCTGAGGCTGGCCTCGACCTCTGCTACTCTTCGGGTTCGCCTTTTGCATTGCCCATAGTTGTTGCAGGGCACATTGGCTCTTTCGGATGAACACGGCAACCCGACCGCATTGTAGTCTAGTCACCCCGCCATGTCAAGCAGCATTGATGGCTTTCGTTTTTGAGTCCACTAGGGGTACCTTAGTTCCAGACTGCATTGTCTCAACTCCGCGCCCCGAGGAATTTTTGCCTGTCGGCGATCTTCCCGGAACTGCAAGGTCCTAGGCTCTAGATCGCGAGATTGCATTTCCCCGTCAGCCGTCGGGCCATTGCCGGCCCTCTCCGAAATGCGCATTGAACCAGATCCACTAACACAAGCAAAGATCCAACACCTGGATGAAATCGCTTCCGCATCGCGACCACATTCGGTCAACAATGGTCAATTATTATGCTCAGCAACCAGGCAACGACGCAGCCATCTCCTAGACCGTTTGCTTTCCAGCATAGGCGGGGCAGCTTCTTTTTCGTCATCGTCCACTGACGTGGTGGGCCGATGGACCGAGCTCGACGATTTATTTCTTCTTTTCTCTCCTCACAGATTGGGATGAAGACGTCTTCACCTTGGTAGTCGAAGTATAGCTTTAGCTCAGCCAAGGATAGCTGCATGTTCGTGTCACGTGCCACGATTCAGAGGACGTGAAGCAGCGGCTGATCGGTCGATAATACATACCACGATCACGACCATGCGACGTCGCCACCGCATCCGCTGATCGCAGTCATATCGTACCTACTAAGATGCAATCTACAACTATCTCCAACCTTCTGGAACCTCGTTCCTAACGTTCCTCGTATGATCTTTCAATGAGACCCTTCAACAGTCAGGTGCCGTGGTGGGCCTGACATTCGCATTGCCAACAGCTCTCTCGCTTGCATTTTCCGCTCTTGAAACCAAGGATCGACTCTGGCATCATCGGATTGTGGAGTACGGCAAGATGATGGTGCATTGATGATGTGATGCATGGCACCTATATCACACTTCTTATCCCTCCTAGATGCGCTTTATCGTGTGTCAAATGGCGCTTCCCCATCCTCCGCGGCACATGCAAATCTCGAGGGGCGAATGATGGCCTTGTTCTGTTTCCTCACGGCTCTCACTAGCCACGGATACGGTGTTGGCCGTGCTTTTGCCCAGCCTATCGTTCACGTCGTCTTGCCCAACAAGCACACGGGGATGCTCAAGGCCGGTTGCGGATGAGATCAGCCTCGAGATGAGACCAAGTTCATCTCATGGTCATTTTGTTGCACCTGCGCCTGGTTCCGCCGCCGAAGCCCACGTGCGGTGCTGCAATACCCCAATGCCGTTCCAATTCGCCTCCGGCCCGCCGCCGTCACGGCATTACAATTCATTTCCTATTTCGTGTGTCACAATGACCAGATTCGGGTTGGTGGTCACACCAAGCCGTTTGGTCACCGTTGGCTATTCACAAATGCAAGTGCCATGTGTGTCGTGCACCAATGATATCTCCAGTTCCGTGCCACCGTGTAGGACGCATTCGGAAAACCGTTGTTGACCAGCCAAGCATATCTCGCAGCGTCGTTGTGTTGATTGACCGGTACTGGTACTAGTAGAATGAGCGCCGCCCGAGTGGGCCGTAATCCCGAGACTTCGTGCCGCTTCTCAGCTTCTAATGATCATTTGCGAGAATAATCCTGCATATGCGGGAGCAGCTGACTTGCTTGAGAATGCTCGCTGCATTTTGCCTGTGCCTGTGAGGTATGCAGTGCCTCTCTGGGACTTGTGTTCCGTGTCGCACGTTTAACCCACAGGACACTCTCCCGTCTCCAACAGGCTGGGACGTTGCGAATTCGCTTTTGAAGATGCTCAGATACCGCACGTGTATGTGGCTCTTGCTGCAACCCCGGTACTCTCCGCTGCAGCACTTGTGCCTGGATACATTTGGACTTCGAGCAATACCCCGCGCGATTGCTACTATCTCCTCTACCCATGAAGTGACCGGATTCAGAATGCGTGCTAAATGCACCTGAGACACGGCTCAATGCTAGTGCATGGCTGTAGACTGCCCTACATCATCAGCAGGTTCTTTTGTGCAACGCAGTCTACACTGCGCTGGCCCCTAGGTGGGTGCTAATAATTACGACAAGGTTTAGTTTCATCTGCATCGTACATGGTCTGTTTACGATTGAAGCTGTCCACTGCTTGTTGATTGACGTTCTACAGTTTTTTCTGGGCAGACGTTGCTACTACTCTCGTTCTAGAACACTTCAACAGGATGGAATTTCTTCGCTTGTTCGCCCCAATCCTTGCCTAGAATTTTGACACCCCTGGAAGTCGTTGAAGTCAAGTACACTGTTCGAGCTCTTTCCCTATATCATAACAGTCTTAAGTGAGATGGAAATCCTCGTGGAGCCTGGGGCCATGCAGAACTCGCAGACTGCATCCGCGGCCCTCATTACTGCCGACCGGTGAACCGAATAGTTGAATAGGCTACTGCTGCCATTGCCCAAGTTGCTGTCGTGAAGCTCTAGGGGGTGGGCCCCAAGATCTGCACGCATCTTTCTTGTGACCCTCATCACCATGAAGTCTACCACCGCTGTCAACGGTAATATCCCTCGCATCCTCCCCCATTTATGGTGCTGTAAGCGAGAATCCCACTGGCTCAGCTTCTGCTATTCTCGTCTATCATTCGCAGTGTGCACGGGAACAAAAATCATCCCGCGTAAGCCATTGCAAACTTTATCGTCGTCTACGACCGCATCGACCTCGACTTACGCGTGTAATGGTTGCGTTGGCTTCGTCGTGGGGGCATTCTCTTCTCTTCGTCCCAGATATGTAAACCTCGTTACTGGGTACGAATTCCGAGTACGATAAACTCGCATAAGTGATTGGCCCGATGTGAATTCCCCCATCGAGTGGAAAACTTCTGAAATTGGATTGTTTCCAAAAAAAACATTCCCATCACTCTGCGGCGGGCTGGCTGTCCCGCCCTTCCTGGCCGACTGGTCGTCGCCGCCGCGCTCCGTCCCGTGTCTCCCATAATTGGGCAATATGCGGTTTCGCCCAAATTTGAGACAGCCCATTTTCATCTGGGTCCTCCCAAGGGCGGTTTTTCGCGGGGGTTGAAGAAGTATCGAGGCAGGTAATCTTCCCATGTAACGCCAGGGTGGGCTTACTTGCTTGGCCCCCCTTTTATTCAATTTCAAGGACTTACGCCGGTTGCATGACAGAATTCATATCTTTAGGGCTGTGCGATCCAGGTTGAGTGGAATGTCGATTTGGATAAGCGTGAGCGTGTAGAATGCCTGGACTAGAAGTTCGACGCATGGTATTAGAGATATCTGCTACCAACTTGCATAAGGACAAGGATATGAAGATATGTCACGACCTCTTGAACGTGGAGGGATGATTCATGTAGTCACTCACTCGAATCTAGTGTATTCCTGTGTTATTAGTTGATAAAACCCCGCGTCTAGGATGAGCGCGTGTGCTGGCTCGTCTCGTTTTGTCTAGCCTTCTAAATGCGGGTTGTATTATTCATGTTTATCAAATCCATTCGAACTCTATCTAAGCTGTTTAGCGGTTTCCCCTTTTTCGTCTTCTTCTTTTATGCTCACGCTATCCGGCCATGCTGCAAAGCCAGTGTATCTTCCTGACTTCCTAGTGGGTTGCATGAGTCAGATCAAATATGAAGACCATGGAATTGAAAGCTGATGAATGCCTGATCAACACTTGCGGCTTACTAATACCAGGTAAATTTCAATTACCAAATTAACAGACCACCCCTTCTCAGCCTTGGTTAAGTACTATTGTGTGGGGATAGTGGTTCAGCTAAGCAGAGAGCCTGACCTTGGGGCGTCACCATGCACCGTCTCTCCATTGCATGGTATACAAAGTAAAGGTTGTTGGGCGTTATGACATCGACTTCAAACCTTACATTGTTACCGTTTCCCTCCTTTTAAATTTGAGGGCTACTTCAAGTTGTTGAATTAGTCTCCATCGAAGACTATTTAGATGTTCGAACGGTACTTTTTCTCGTGGATGTCAATTTTGAGAAATGGATTAATTATCCCACCTGACTTATATGTGCTGTAAGGACTTCTGTCAGCCATGCGGGCAGTCGTTTCACCAATAAACTTCTATAAATCTATGCGTCTAGATGTATGTTTTGCACCTCTAGCATGTATTGACTGTGAAGTGCCAATCCGCCTCAAAGCCTTCCCAAGCAGCTCTCCGTATCGGCAGTATAGATCGAATCACCTCCAGGTCGACCTATTCAAGCAGGTCTCTGCTTGACATATTTGGTATGTGAACCACTCGCCACGACCGGCCCTGCAACCCCATCTACCACCTTCGAAATGACAACCTTGGTGAAGGCCACCGAACCTCCAACTTTATCCACCGTGGCCTCAATCTCAACCTCGTCTCCCTCCTTGGCGGACGAAACGTACGTGATGTGAATGTCGAGCGAGACACCTGTCTTCTCGCGCAGGTCCCAGGTTGCTATGGCCATGCCGCCCGCCCAATCCACAATGGTGGCTGACGTGCTGCCGTGGATCCCGCCTCCGGAGTTCATATGTTTCTGCATAAGCTGGAGGCGCGCTTTCATACTGCCTTTGGTAGCGGAAATGACACGCACGTCCGAGAGCAGGAACGCGTAGATGGGGGATAAGAGGACCCTGCCGGCTACCAGGCCCTGGATATGCGCCATTATTTGGTCATTCTCGGATTGCATGGTGACGCGGGATGGAGGGACCCTGTTTGCTTGTGAAGTTGCTGGCAGTGTTGAATGTGAAGCTGTTGAATGTGTGGTTTGTTCTTGATAGCTGCGATGACAGCGGTGATATGTCTGAAGTATTCGGTTGACTTGTGAAAACGAGGTTTCTGCGTGACTAAAGACGCAGCTGGCCGCAGTCGGCGACTCAGTTGTCGCCAGCTGTGATACAATTATCTAATTGAGACTTCAAGCCCCTCAATTCGCGAGTTTGGAGATTTCAACGATTTCCAAGAAATACAAAACATTGGAGAACTGAGTATATTGAAATCTACTCTGTCGTGTATATTTGTGGAACCCTAATTTGATATGAGCATTATGAGGGAATTTGAACTTCGTCTTATTAGCGCCTTACCCCTCTATAGCAAAAGTGAAATGTGTAGTCGTACTATTCGGAGACTTTACCAACGGTTCAAACCAATAAAACAGATTAGGTTATTTCTTCCGACTCGCGTTCCTTCTTCGGCCTCCAGCTAGAATATATCACGTCAGCTAATAATGAAAATACTTGGGCCGACTTAGTCTCATCATGCTGATTGCGAATAACAAGACAAACAAGGGCTTTTAAACATTTCATAGCTACAATATCCGGTGGTAGACGATTATCCTTTCGTTAATGAAGGCGACGATGTGTGGCTAGGAAGCTGGAAGCCTACTAGCTTGGGGATGTGAAGGTTACACCAGCACTGATCCGCGTTTACATCTTAGTGTTAGGCTACAGTTCTCTAGCCTTCATATATTAACCCGAAGGATGTTAAAAGTTCCGGAGTACTTTTTGCAGTGCGAGCGTTGAGACCTCAGGGCGCACCACCCAAATCTACACGGAGTCCTACCCAATCTCAAATTAGACCGCCCAGATCTGTCTGTTGCCCCATTTATGTAGCATGTACTGCTTCTGCTACACTCAACCGAGAATATATTTATTTGAAAAGCGAAGTTGACCACATTGTGATAGCTTCATCTTGCTATGGGCTCAATTAATGCGGAATATTCCTATAGGCACCGAGATCGGCACAGAATACCCTAGAGCCGAGTGTAAGTTGCGGGTTGCGGCTGTGCTGCTTAATCCATCCCCTGCGACTTCTGGGCGTCAGAACTCTCGGTTATCAGCCTCACAGAAGCGTCCGGCAGGCCCCCGTCTGAAGAGCGAAGGATGCAAACCATAGGAAATCCGTATTTATCTGCGGGCTTAAACTCTCCGCGCCGGGGGAACCCACGATGGTTACGATTTCAACTAGATTATATAAGTTGCCAGCCTATCCCACGATTATCCCATCCTGCACACTTATCATCTTCACGTCAACTCCAGAAGCAGCAAACGATACCTGATCTTCAAATCAACATTATTTATCGGTTAGAACCGAGATTAACTCCTTAGCCACCGTTAAAAACAAAACAATCATAACCATTAAAATGCAACTCATCCTCACACTCCTCGCCGCCGCCACCCTAAGCGTCACCACCTCGGGCCTTCCCCATCCTCAATCCCAGACCCCTACTTGCAAGCGTCTCGTTCCTGTCACTGGAGTTGACCTCTTCGGCACCTACCAATGTGCCGCATATGGCTCTCACGACGAGACCCTTCAGTTCAACATCGGCCCCGTCGCCAGCGGCGCCGGGCCCTGCACCCTGATTGCCCAGTTCCCGCAGGGTTACTCCGTCCGTCAACTCGGCCACGGCCAGCTATATGTCTATGGGCTCGCTGGTAATTCAACCGGGGCTCAGGTTGGCACTGTTGGACCGTTTCCCGTTGATGAGAGGGGGCTGATGAGTCATGATGTCTATACGACGATTAATAGCTTTGAGTGTAAGGATGTGTTGAAGTTTCGGTTTTCTGTTGGGAGTGAGGATCAAGAGGGGTTTTTTGGGTTTTTGTCGACGTCGGAAGCTGGGTTCTTCGTCAAGGTCGGTGATTGTTAGGGGTTGCCATGAGAGTCTTTGGCTGGTGTCGGTACTATAGTCTGTTGTCAGCCCGTTGCGAGTTTGTAAGATGGTTAGTGTAAGATGATAAGTCTAAGCAGTAGTATAGAACGTACATTATCTTGCGTGTTAATCACTATATGATTGGGATTTTGTGAGCCTAGTTGTATTTCGTTGTATTTCACTTCAAGCTTGATGTTTCTTGTCAGGTTTCCTCCCAAGAAATGTAACAGGTATAATGTGTACTGTACCAACTTTTGTTTCCTGTATCCAAGCTAATCTGAGTTTAAGATCAATCACCCATTACTCTAATGCTACCGAAACGTTGTCTAGTAATATATCTATCATGACATCTAAACCTTCAGTCATATGGCCTCTGAAACCAATCGTGGGAGGATGCGCTTCTCTCAAAAGCTATCTCTATAGGAATTGTCGTGTTCATGCTCGCACAATCGATTGCGAAGATATTGGACGCGCTTTTGGAATTCCAGAAGGTCTTCATGGGTTCTCAAGGGGTGAATTGCTTCAACCTTCCTGACTTACTTCCAGAACTTCTGGCCCCCAGTACCATTCGGAAGAGGTGACAAAGCCTGATTATTCCACGGTGTAGATCATTGTATGGCTAGTGGAAGATGCACATCCCGGCTTCAATATGCTTGATAAAACCACTATGCTCATCTATTGATCCGACGCCCCAGAATACTACTAGACGGTTGAAACACTCGTCAATGGGGCTCCAAGTCTGTGTCCCCCTGGTGTGTAATATTTAGTTCCGCCCAATGATGGACCAGGGGAGGGAAGCGCAAGTCCAGGTTTCTGACTCGACTGCGGTCCACAGGGGCTTTACCGTGAGCGCCACCTAGAGGACTCGATCCGCATCGACTACGTGCATACGGGTAGTTTCGGGTCTCATTGGCGGGTGCATCCCTTGTAATGACATCTTGAACGAGGCACAGTGCAGAGACTCTCAGGTTGAAATCTAGCTAATGTAGCGCACGGTTTCTGGGTTCCGGCCCTGAATCGCGTTGCAGAGCAAGACCCCAGTGATTGTGGCATCCGGATAATGGTCAATAGCAGGTACCCTGTAATTCCTTCAGGATGCTTATAGAGATAGGCAGATGATTTTCTTCGTTTCAAGTGGGATTAAGGGAATTGCAAGACCATCCAGCTGATCCAGTAAATCAATGAAGGATGAATTGAATATATAAGGGACGTGATCCACCAGAATTTCTTATTTAGACAGTGCCGAACGCAGTGATCAATGTAAGCATAAATCTAACCCATTGTTGAGACACACTGCGTTGACGACTCTATCTCAGTTACCTATTGTCAATGAGTCATTCCATACGCAGAGGCATCTTTTGATATATACAGGCGTCATTCGAGCTAGTAAGACGAGAGTAATATTATTAATTTATTATAGTTTGTAAACTATGGAGAAGGAGGTCCGGGGCTCGGAGTGGATGGGGGAGGAAAAGGAGGTCTCAATTGCCCTCGGCCAATGGAGGAAGAAGTGACTCTCCAAAGCTGCGCAGCATGATCGCCACCGCCGCGCTATCGCTGAGGAACCGGAGGGCCCTTCGATGCGGATACTGAAAAGGGGCAAGTATTTCGGCCTGAACCGACTGGAGGCGTCTACCCTGTACCAGATCAGGACCGGCGAAATAGGACTAGCAGCCTTCTTATTCAAGACAAGGGCTTTTGGCGTGTACTCGTCGCTATGCCGCTGTGGTGATGCCCCTGGGATGGAAGAGCACGTAATCCTCTTTTGCGGACTGTTGGAAGGACCAAAGAAACGGCTACGGTCCGCTATCGCACCGCGGCCGCTATACTATCGCAGAGATCTCACAATTGCAATAGCAGAACCAGTAGTTGGTGGGACTATTATAAGGTGGCTGCTAGGGACTTCTCAGATAGCTTCAGGGCCTAGATAGCATCGGTATTCTCAGGGGAACTTTGTTGATAGATTGAGAACCAACATAGTAGGGCAGCGAACGCAATGTAGTGGCTAATAGGACGAACCGAATAAGCAGCGTATGTATCTAATCCAGCCATTTGGGCACGGTTTGACATACGAGAGTACTAGTAGATGTATCCGGGGCTTAGGAACTACGGCTTATTTAATAAGAATAATATTATAGCTACAAAACCTATAGTTAGAAGAGTTAACGTGAATGTATACCGAGCTGGCCACCCTTACATAACCTCGCATAGAAATTTTACGATAGTAAAACCACAACGCCGTAAATCAATTGAAACTACTCTGAATCTTCCTCTCCAGAAGATGGCAATGCGATCTTACAAGTTCGCGCATTATGCCCAGTCCCGTTGCAAATACCACAGCGCCTCGGGCGCGTTTCAACACGCTTTGCGCGACCACCATTTCGGCGCTCTTCTTGCTGTATCTGCGTGGCCAACTCCCTAGAGTCCCGTAGGTCCTGTCCTTCTTGGAAAATAAGTGATTCTCCTTCCCGTGATTGCATTTTTTTAGTCCTCCGGCGCCGGCTTAGCATCTTATTGCCTCTCGAAACTCAGCGCACTCGGCCCGTATGAGGGCGAGCTCGTGTATTATCATTTTTGCTCCCTTCGCAAACTGGTCGACAGCTGAGAAAATATTCCTCGGAGAGCTATTCTGATGCTCGGAGATGCGCTTTTTCAAAAAAGTAGACTGTGCGTAAGCCTCTATCGGGTTCTGTGGCGTCTTTGATACCCACGGTCGGGTTGCGATTTCTGGGGAGCCAACAGGCGTCGGGGTCCGTAATCGTACGTCCAGCTTTGAAATCACACTTTCTGGATTAAATGGAACAATTCCTGCCCTTCGAAAGCCAGCTTGAACGTTTTTTTCGCCGAAAACTGTAAAGAAGGCGTCTTTGAAGATAGGAAAGAAGTCCTCCTTCGCGATATGTGTTAGTGACCGGCGTATCAATTTCTCTACCATCTGGCCGTACACCCGCTTTAATGGACCGAAACAGGCCACGTCAAGTGGCTGGAGGATCTGAAATGAGTGCGGAGGCATACACAAAGTTACAATTTGTGTTCTTTGCAATATAGCTTGAAATCGCCGGAAACGTGGCTCTCGTGACCGTCCAACACTAACAATCGATATATCCCAGACTTTCGATCTTTCCTACAATTATCGAAGTGTTTAATAAATTCCATATCGATATAGTTAGTCGTCAATCCTTTTGGACTAGGTCTAATTCTCCAATCTTTCGGAATGTTGTCGTCTTCGTACCAAGAAGAGAGGTGGTATCGGCCCGCAACAACGATGAACGGCGGCAGCGCCCAACCGGTAGACTGGACCGCTTGGATTACGGTAACCCATTCCCGGTTACCTTGCTGTATTAATTTCGGCCTGGCACGTCGTTCGGAGCTCGTAACTATTATATTGGTTGAGATCTTGCCTATCATAAACCCAGTCTCGTCGAAGTTGTAGATGTCCGACTCTTGGATACCGTATTTCGCGATAACATTCGCAACAAGCCGAAACCAATCTGCAATAAGCTTTGGATCTTCGCATTGGGCCCTTTGGTAATCGTAAGGACGGTTCCAACGAGTTTTCAACTCTTTGCGACGTGCGACGAACCTCGAGGCCCAGCGCGTTCCAATGGGCCCTGCGTTACGTGTCGCGCGGATAGAATTTGCCATTGCTTCCACATCAGCAATCCGGGGCGGAAACGCTCGTGCATCTAAGTCCAGTATATGCTTGATAACGAACTCCTCTTCTAATTCTGTCATAGTTCGTGAATTGGGCAAAATATCGCGTCGGAAAGGTACGCCGTTTTTACGCGTTTGGAGGGTGCTTCGGGGGACTTGGTACGTTTTTGCCGCTTGTCGGAGACTAAGTTTTTGGTCATTTTTGAGAGCTTGAAGGGCTAGCATTAAGTCTGCTTCGTTGTATGACTTTGCCATAATTGGTTGTTGAGAAAATCAAACATTAAGTTGGCCGGTCGCGTTGGCGCATGAAAGTGGCCAGCTCGGTGTCATGGCCAGCTCGGTGTACATTCACGTTATATAGTTACAGGAAATATATGGTCAAATAGGCAGAAAGACTTCTAGGTATGATGCTACTAATGTACGCTACAACGGTAAAGCTGAGGCTTCGTTACACCTAAGGCTGAGTAATACCTTTTGTCTAATACAATGTGCTTTTGTGCGCTTGGCAATTTTGTGTGTAGTGAGAGACTGAATTGCTTTGTGCGTGTCCTTATTCTGTCTTTATCGAGACTGACTAAAAGCTTTATTCAGATATTTTAGAAATCGCCTGTCTCTCGCTATGTGCGTAGGTTTTAATGAGAGAACCAAGGCTACTACTGATAGCTTTGAACGAACCATAGGGGTATATGTTGTCGCCGTCCGGCTAGTCATGGTATACGATTCGCTCTCACGATTTCCTCTATGTTGTAGTCTTAAAACACCTGGTTGCTTATCTTGTAACTGCCTTCGTGTTATAACACCTTCAATGGAGTGCTTACTGTGGGCAAATGTGGCCTCAGATGCGAGGGCCTGCGGTTGACAGGCACGGAATATGTATTCAGGGAACTCCTCGGGGGCCAATTGCATGTTAGTCCCCCACACATCTTGATAGTCGCAATACAGCCACCTCCGATTCCCGAAATTTACACCCAAATAAGTACAATTGGTGTAATGAGGAAGACAACCAAGATATAGATCACATAAAAAAGAATCTTGGCTCCAGTTCAGTCTGTCCAATATCTAACGCAGCACTCAGAAACTAGCCCCAACCCCAACTAGTAGATCAGAACAATCTACGTCTCATCTACCGGCACCATTTCATAATATGACGTAGAGTTGCGGCTGAGAAGGCTTATATCCATTCGGAAGCCGAACGAGCCGATGCCTAGCGGCTAACACTAAGTAATCGTACAAGTGCGACAATTGAGCCCACAAGGTCCATGACGAGTTGGACAGCAGTAGAGTCATTTTTATTATGTTCTGCTGGGCAATTACAACGAAGCTGTGGAACAAACAAATTCGGTCGCAGAATCCTGTCCCGTTCACGGTCCACGACTGATGTGTGCTAGTTAGGTTGCAAGGGGCGACACACCCCCAAAGTTATCTGGACTTGGCAAAAGCCCGGTGCGGACAAACCCAGGGAATTGGTTGCGCTCTTTCTTAATATAGCTCATCTATTTATGAACAAGCTTAATAGTTAATCTTATCCAGGTTGCCGGGACAAGAACCGTGATGGGGTGCCTCTCACAATCTAAACAAGTACTTTAGCAACCAAGTGTTGCCACATAAGAGCTTCTCCCGCCGATCGTGCATTTCAGATGCTATTTAATGACTGTTGCTTGTATTTCGGTATGAGTATCTACGTCTAGCGTATTTTTTTTGAAAAAAAAGAATCCCGATTGGGCCGAAATGAAGTTGCTCGGCGGCGATGCGTTTACTGAGTAATGCCGAGATGAACACGATTTTACCGTTCTGGGAATGGCAGTTTATTCATCCCTTCTCACAAAAGAAAGAAGGTTATATTCATCTGATTTAATGAGGACTTATCGGAGGTAAATGGTATCACCGTAAAATACTACCGCTACACCGCCGAATACGAATGTGCTCTTCATCGCCACGAGATAGACAAATCCACATCTGGTTTATGGTTTTGGACTGATGATTCACTTCCAACCTGTGTATTACTACTCTGAATCATGAAAAGGCACGATATACGTGTATATTATAACTCCATATACAAATGCCATGACGTCCAAGGGAAGGTAGTCAGTCACCTCTAACAACCACCACCCAAAACTGCCGCCGATTTCCACAGCTTTTCGATCGATTAATTCCATACATCTGTTCACCCGGAACCAGTACTCGCTTACTTCCCTTGGGGGAGAACTTTGGTGCAATCGGTGAGGCTGTTCATGTTCTTAACGCCCAGCATGCTCATGCGGAAGTACGACTGCGCGAATGCCTGTGTGATTGTGGTGAAAATTAGCAAATTGTGTCTGATGTCATAGTCTATTGATAGACCATAGACCATGGACCATATCAAGAAAATGTAGACTTACAGCTGACCACTGCTGCTGCCCACCGTTCCCAGCAAACGCCTTCCACTGTCCTTCCGTCTGCGAGAACGTAGCTAATTTCTTGTCGCTGGGGAATATCAGGATACTGCTGTTGTCATTGCCCAGCGTCTGGGAATAAAACTTGTTATCCCACACACCAGGCGTCGAATCTTGCGGCGCATTTTTACGGTCTGGGTCGACAAAATTCTGTCGCGAGACGGTATGGGCACCAACCAGAGTAACTAGATCACTTGCCGTGAACGTCTTGGCCTGGAATAAATCAATCAGGGCCTGGGCGCTCTGCAGCGGCGAAGGGAGCATGCCCGTGGGTCCCGCGCGGCTTTCGTCTTTGCGGCCGACGTACGTCTTGATGCGAGGACCACCAGGGCAAGAGACGGTGGCGACGGTGGCGCCCATCTGGATGAGGTCGGCCATGCCGACCTTGTATTTCTTGTACTTGTCGAACCATTTTTTCATCTGGGCGGCAATCTCCTCGAGGCCACGGTTCTCGAAGCGCGATATCTCGTCCGACAACAAGATAGACCCGTCGGCCCCACCGTGCGACGAGTGCTTGTCCCACGTGGCTGCGTCGTGGAAGCCCAGCCTGATGGCGCCGCGGGCTAGTGAGCTGCACCCTTTGGAGTCTGTGAAGGCTTGCGACATGTCGTCCGCGATGTACTTCCAAACGCAGCACTGGTCCCGGTCGCATGAGTCTGAGCCCAGTCTGCCCGGGGTCTTGTACGTGTTCAAGTCGGCTACTGCGCTTGCCATGCCTTGCAGTATAGACTTGATCGTCTGGCCAACTGCGCTCAATGAGCCACCAGCGACGTCACCTAGCAGCTCGGTTGACCTCTGCTCAATGTCTCCGTTTCGAATTTCAATCTCCTTCAGGACCCGGTCCATGCCAGGGTAAGCCACAGCATTGGTCGCAACAAAGGCGACCAACATGGTAGAGGGCTTCATGGTGGTGACGTCTCGAGAAGACAATTATAGAAGAATAAGATAGATGGAAAACGTATTGGAATAGTACCACTAAAGTCGGGTAAGCGAATGTAGGAAACGAGAAAGAATGTCGATTAATAAGGCTCGACACGAGACAAAGTGTGAAGCCCAACGAAGAAGATGCAGGTCGTCTGGTCCCAATTTCGGCCAGCAGCCCCATCCCGACGTCTTTATACAAGTCTGAGCCGGCCGTAGATCTCACTCTGCTCTTGCTTCCACCATCTCGGGCCATGGGAAGCCACTTCATCCAAACCAAGACATAATTTGGCCAAAGATAGACCTCTGCCATCCCAGGAGTCCCAACTCTGCACGGCGACAAGAGGCCATGGCGGTCGTCCTCGAACGTTGTTTCCATGAGGATGGACAGGTTCCTGGTGCGCGTCGCCCAAGAGCTCGTATTGCGAAGCTTGGTGTCTTCAAGCTAATGGAAACTAGCCGCCGGATTAAGATACATGGGCACAAGGGTGGCTCAAGAGCTCCGGGAGCGCGCAGGGGTAACTACTGACCGCCAAGGCTGCGCTGCGGACCCTCGTCCTTCTTTAGCACGAGGTAGGTCACTGCCGCGCGCAGGCAAGGCAATCCAGCAGTACTTTTCTGTCGATAACTTAGTCTACTCGCCACCGTCGGTGCGGCTGAATGACCAACCAGGTTTTCCATGAATGCGGGGATACGGCAGGGTGACGAAAGGCTAAATAACTGACGCGACAGATCGGACTGTTAAGTGGCTTGGACGTCTTAGTCGGTTCCCAAAGTAAGGTGCTTACACCTCTTTAGCGATGTGTTCGCCTCTGAACGCCATCGACACCCGTCAGCCACGTGGGGGGTTAGTGGTTAGTCATCCCTTAACTTACCAATCTGGAAGTGACTGCGCAGGTCCCAGGTCTCGTTTTCAATATCTCTGCATCTTGACAACTTCGATGACGACAGCAATAGGCTGAGCTATATTGAGGAGCAGTACAGGAACACTACTATGTCTGTTGTTTCAGACTGGTAACAACTGGATATCACCGTAGTTGAAGGCCATGGCGATTGGCTGGGCCGAGCATAAGCAAGGGACCGTTTTCGGCGCCGCAACTCTCGGAGGTCCGGTGATCAACCTTCTTGGCTGCTCAACGGTGCTCCGTGCGTGTCCCATATTGGAAACGGCAAGCTGACTTGAGCCCCTGTGCTACGATCCGATGAAGTCAGCATACCTCCTGATCCATCGTCGCTCGAATTAGGCTAGTGAAAGCTGTTGATATGGTCGGTTGGCAACTCAGCAACCTGGGAAGGCCTGGTAAGAATCTGGCGCACGGCTCTGCTGCTGATGCCTTTACACATCACGATCCATCACACCGGTAGCAGAGGTCCCTTGTACGAAGTTTTTGTCAGAAATGCAGGCCAAGCTTCGTCGGATGCTTCTGCATTTGACACGTTCACTTATTTTGGGCACTGCATCTACCCAACTGTCATAACCACGTCGTAGTTTGGCTCTGGCCCTGTGTAATCCTTCGCCTTATCTTTTATCGGCACGACATCCCGGTATATTGCATTGACATATATTTGGCAAGGTTGCTTCGCAATGCAGCTAGTACGCGCCTTTCGGCAATCTTGTTGGCATCATTGGCCGAGCTTCTCTGGTAGCGGCTCCCAATAAAGAAGAAAGTAAATTCGGTGACTGACTCGATCTGGATTACTTCAACCAACAGCTTCGCGGGGCAACAGTCATCGCCCAAAGAGAAAGAAACCGAGTAATAGCTCCAAATTTGAAAGACAAGACAAACTTCATCCGGCACTCTGTTCCTTCTGATCACTTCTATCATGAAGGACTGAGTTCAGAGCGCCAGTCCAATCAAGTGGCAAAATGCAGCCTCCGAGATCAGAAGAATTCCATGTTCATCCCAGGAAGCCGAGATCTTGCTGCACAATCATCATGCATAAGACACCTTTGCGAAATGCGCTTCAAACCAAGCCAGCCCTTGGTTTTCGGCCTCATCCGCACCTTTGGGATCTTCATTGACAGTGTCTACGCGACAGCCAAACCCGTGGCCGTATCCGGCGTAGACCTTGACCTCACCTTTCTGACCATCTGGCTTTGCCTCGACCATCTTGCGGATTTCCTCCGCTTGAGCAACTGACATTTGGATGTCGTGATCCCCGACCGCAAAGCTGACCGGAACTCGCGCCTTCTTGATGTCTTCGTAGAAGCTGAGCTGGCTGGGGTGGCATGCGAAGCCGGCATCCATGAGGGGCTTGCCGTCGGCTTTGAAGTTTTCTGCGAGCAGGACAACATGTTTGCCGCCCCAGCAGAACCCTGCGACGCCAAGTGGCAGATGTGCGGCCTCGTTGCGCCGTACAATCGTCAACCAGTCTTTGATCATGGGAAAAGATTTCCCGAACCGGTTATTGGTCATGAACGTGCCCAGGCCGTAAATCAGCCAGAAGTAATGATAACTGTGCCGATGTTGAGCATCAACAAATGTGCCCCTCCCAGAGAAGAGCTTCAGCATCGGAGATGGACATACGGCTTGAACATCAAGTCCCACCAAGTCTTGTTTGCTTGAACACCTTTCAACGTGTTGATCATCCACAATGGGGCAGAGTGGCCTTCAATTGGGACCAAGCTTATTTAGTAACATTCCATCACAATGTCTGGTCGAATACGGCACCAAGTCAATTAGGCAAGGTTGATATGGCCGTGACTCACCATTCATGAAGTCGGGGGCATAGACTCGATAATCCTTTTTTCGAGCGTAGTTGTCAGCCATCAATCGGATGTTGACGAAATCCCACCCGAAAGCATCCGGGATGATAACAACGATTCCCTTGGATGGGAGGCCGCTCGCTGGCTCGGCCATGTATGTGTTGATGCCATGGAGCCTGGTGATGGTACCGGTGGGCTTGCCCTCGTGGATGGCGCCGTTGAAGCAGTCGGAGCATGACATTGCAGTGATGGTGATGATGATGATGATGGGTACTTTGTGCGTTTTGACGGATGTTAAGCAACTCTGTGCGACTTCAAGCACTTGTTTTCGGATTTGGCATCGTTTCATTGCCCATTGTCACGCTGTCGTCTCGAGGTCCTGATGAGACAGTTAAAGGCAGTTGAATGGCGGCGTTAGGGCCGGAGATAAGCATTTGGAGGGCAAAAGGCCGAGGATTACATGGTGGCTGAAGATCCAACGGTTGATTCGTTTATTCCATTGACGGGCCGCGTTATTGGTGTGCTTGACTGTTGCAGATATTCATTTCCAAAGCTGTCCTGGTTCACTTGATGTTTTCTCGAGGCCAAGCAGAACCCCAGACTCGCCTGCCCAGGTGGTGCCAAGCTCTTGTCGGCACCACGGAAAGTTCCACTCCGACTACCACAGAGCTGGCAGGTGCGATAAGGACTGTGGGTTCTGATACGTACGCATCCCAGCTTCGTCCGACGACACATCATCGATGTCGAACACAGCAAGGAGGTTATCATGCTCGCGATTCGCGAGTCATCTACCTCGATTACCCCACACTGTTCACGGTTCCGGCAGGCCAGAGCCGACCTCATGTCCTCCCTGTAGAGGAGTGAACAGAATCCATCGATGGTGACTGAACAGAGGTAGTCATGTCTCCTCCGCTCTCCCATGAGTGACAGGCCAGTAAACAAGCATCTATTGGGAACTTCATACAATCAAACGGCTCCCGTCTATAAGCTGTGGCAAGAACCTACCTAGCTTTCAGCACATTGACCAGCTAGCATCCACATTCAGAACACGCATGGCGATGGCGAACATGGGGGTTGACGAAGAGGGCTGGGTTGTCATTCCCTCTCCCAACAGGCGCCCGTCGTGTCCCACGAAATTGGCGACAGGCGCATATGCTCGTTCCCCGGCTCCATCTATCGAGCCAATCCAAGACCGTATCGTCAGGGTTGTCGCCGACTTGAAGGAACTCAAGGCATACTACAAGCTCGAAACCTCGGTGGCGCGTTTCGAGCGGCTGTACTGCTTCTACGGATCGGAACTGGACGCTTTGCGCGAGCAGCCCTTCGATGGGTACACGCAAGAAGAGAAGGTCGATTATCTCCTCCTGCAAAACTATCTGGCTCGCGCCCTTCGTACTTTGGGGCTTGATAGGGAGCGTGATGAGGCCTTTGCCGACATCACCAACCCATTTGCCCTCACAATCATGGAATGGGCCGAGGCTAGGATGCGCACCGAGAAACTGGATGCCCGGGAGGTTGCAGCCAGCTTCCATGAGCTTGTGGGCAAGATATCCTCGGTCAGGGATGCCGTACTGGATCGTGACCCCAACAAGTACTCTAGGGAAGCGGGATACCGTGCCGCCAATTCGGTGGTGCAGCTCCGGCACCACTTGGCGGAGATGGTAGATTTCTACAAGGGGTATGATCCGCAGTTTGACTGGTGGGTTTCGGAGCCATACGGACGTTTAGACGCGGCACTCATGGAGCTGTCAGCATTCCTTCGCGAGGAGCTTGTGGGTATCCAGCCCGGCGACAAGGAGGCGATTGTCGGCCAGCCCATTGGGCGAGAAGGGCTGTTGACTGAGCTGAAGGCGGAGTTTATCCCCTACACTCCCGAAGAGCTCATCAAGATCGCCGAAAAAGAGTACAAGTGGTGTGAGTCGGAAATGATCAAAGCCAGCAAAGACCTTGGCTATGGCGACAAGTGGCGCGACGCCCTCGAGCACGTCAAGAACCTGATCGAGCCACCCGGCGGACAACCCGTCTTCATCAAGTCCCTCATCGACGAGGGCACCGACTACGTCAAAAAGCATGACCTAGTCTCGGTGCCCAAGGTGGCCGAGGAAGCCATCCGAATGACCATGATCGAGCCAGCGCGACAAAAGGTGTCGCCCTTCTTCCTGGGCGGCAACCGAATGCAGGTCTCATACCCGACATCTGAAATGTCCCACGCCGACAAGCTCATGAGCATGCGCGGGAACAACCGCCACTTCTCCAAAGCGACTGCCTTTCACGAGATGATCCCCGGCCACCACCTGCAGCTCTTCGTAGCGAAGCGCATCCGCCCTTACCGCCGCCTCTTCAACACACCCTTCTTCGTTGAGGGCTGGGCACTCTACTGGGAGCTGCTGTTCTGGGATCGGGGTGACTACTTCACCTTGCCCGAGGACCGCATCGGTAGCATGTTCTGGCGCATGCACCGCTGCGCCCGCATCGTGTTTAGTCTCAACTTTCACCTGGGCAAGATGAAGCCGCAGGAGTGCATCAATCTGCTCGTCGATTGGGTGGGCCATGAGAGATCGGCGGCTGAGGGCGAGGTGAGGCGCAGTTTGAACGGGGATTATAGTCCGCTGTATCAAGCGGGGTACCTGCTGGGCGCGTTGCAGTTGTGGGAGCTGAGGAAGGAAGTGGTGGGTTCGGGGAAGCTGAGCGAGAAGACGTTTCATGATCGTGTGCTTAGAGCAAATTTCATGCCTATTGCCATGTTGAGGGCTTTGATTATGGGGAAGGAGCTCGATAGGGAGTTCGAGAGCGAGTGGAGGTTTTATGGGGATATTTAGGTTTACACTGGGTAGGGGCTCGGCTGTTGGGGAGTACTAAGGATCTGTAGCTGGATTTCAGATACATCCAGGAGGCATTGGCCTCCAACTGAGCCGCGGATCCAGATTTTGAATCCCGGGCACCGCGCGCACTCAGGAGCGAGCTCCTTATTTGTCGCCACAGGTATGTCAAGCCTAACCGGGTGCTTGGCCCTGTCGGTCCGCACGCTCAGGTGGACTTGTGTCCATGTACCCTAAAAGTGCAGATGGCTATCGGCTTGGTGATCTTCAATACACTTAAGCATGTTCGTGTCGGAAGAGGGCCTAGCGGTCAGGTACAAATTACGCACGCGTAGATCTTCTGCCGTTGCCTCTTCTCATGGTAACACTCCCCATCGCGCCCAACACAGGCTTTGGTCTTCTTGTTTTCGACACGCTATTATTCCTCTCACGTACGACTACATGCTGGTCAATCACAGGGGCAAAGGTTTGGACACTCTCTATTTTATTGCAATATGGGGCGGTGGTGTAGTAGTCGTGTAGCTTCTTGGGTAACCTATGGCCATTCAACCTTTGTCAAACAATTTTGGAACTCTCGTCTGAGCTCAAGGTGCTCACAAAATAAAGAACATCCCTTAATACTACTCACACATCGCGCACAGCCGTTCTGAAACTACGTCAAGAACCTCAAAACTGGAGCATATTTCGGTATCTAAGTATGAGAAAATTATGTTGAAGGTGTGTATGGTGTTGTGGGCGGGCAGGTGCAGATAATAGGTGACTTCTCGGGCATTGGTTGCTGGGAAGGGGCGTGGGATAGCCCTCGTACAATCGAGATGGATCTACATGGTAGAATCAAGAGTACTCCTCAAAGGACTCGCAAAACGGAGTAAGCGATCAAAGAAATGCTTTATTCATCACCCGCGGTCTTTCAGGCTGCTATCTGATGCACTGGCAATATTTCCTCTGGATTCAGATAATCATCATGAGGTATGACACGCTCCTGACCAGATGCTTGTCTCAGTGGTTGGTGTTTTCTTAGCATTTACTGCAGAAATGATGAGCTGGAGACATGACATGGTCAAGAGGGTTCAACGTAACAAAATCGTTGTGAAAGCCGAATTGTTATTGTAAGCCTTCAGCTTGTCATTGTTTCACTTGGCCCAAGTTGACCAAGTTTTGCCATTTTTATCCAAGCGGCCGGGACCAAGGAAGGCTCATTGACAAGTTCACACAGTGCTAGAAGTGATGTAAAATATGGTCAACCCCTTCAGAGGGCAGTGGGAGACTGCAGCAAATGTGGCTGGACCGAATTCAAGTTATGTTCAGAACGTAGTAAGTACATACAAGAAGTAAAATCAACCGGAATAGTATCATAACACATTATCCCGTGCCGTCGTGTCCCATCCCACAGGGACTTGCTTTTATAAAATGGCTAGGCAGCGTGCTTCCTACAGAAAAGAAGTCCAGCATCTCGAACAAGTCGGATTCGCTCTGTGTGACACCTCCCCAGGGAAGATCAGTCTCATGCTATATCGTTCCCGCCTTGTAAAACGAGACCTTGAGGACCTCAATGTTGTTATTATTTGTATAACTGATCGTCAGCGTTTGCCCGCTCTCATCCAGATATGGGTGCGCGACGCCGGCATACGTCATGCCGCCGTCGATGGGTGTGGCGGTGAAGACCTTGACGTCAGGGGACCAGGGGCCTTCTGGGGAGGGGGCGGTGCGAAGATAAACGTCGTTGGAGCCGGGGCCTGATATCATTAGTTTGCAGTCAGCAATAGGGAGGGATATTTATTTGGGCCATCGAGGCAGAAATGAGCAGAACTATGAGACAGTGGTACGTGGCAGGAGAGAAAAAGGCTTAAGGGGTAAAGTAACAAAGAGGCAAGAAAGCAACATACCAAGATGCACAAAAATATAGCATGAAAAGAATGGACTCCAAACCACCTGCCCCTGTCCCGAATTCCACATTACCGCCGTCTCGGTGGTAAACTCCGTCAACGGGACACTTCTCCAACCCCGAGCCCGGCCCCACCAATACTCGTAACTGCCGAAGTCAAACGCGTCGGCCGCCCGGACGCGGGCCTGGTAGACGTAGCTCTCGACGAGGAAGCCGTCCATTGAGGTTGGGGCACCGCCCCATAGGTAGATGTAATCCGACTTGTGATCCTTGAAGGTGGCCACATCGCCGTAGCGGGCGACCTTGTCGGAGGGCCACCAGTAGCCCTTGGAGCCATACCGCTTCGTCACGGTCGGGGCACCGTTGACCATTTCGACTTTAGCGATACCGGCACCGACGAGGCCAGATTTGACGCCTTCATTCATGTTTGCGTTCTGCCGTGCGGTGGATCAGCCCCTATTTGCAGTGGGAAAAGAACAATGGGAAAAGCAGCATGGGATTTTGGTACGTACCACGAGGTAGTACACCGCGCCCGTGGCGGTTTCCTTGTCCGTCTCGACCAGACTCGTGCCGCCGAAGCCATGGAGATTCGTCTCGCCCCAGCTCGAATTAAACGGGATGAATTGCTTCTGACGCCCGTCGGCGTTCAAGTGCAGATCGTGGACCCTCAAGGGGTCATTGGTGCATTCCGATATAGAGTCCCTGACCATACCATGAAAACCCTCGGCATCATGCGAAGGATGTGAGACCCCAGGAGCACACCATAGTGTGTCACCATAAATGGCGTACCACTTGCCGCCCAACTCGCCCGTGAAGCCCAAATCACGATGGCTGGCGCTGTTGTCAGCCAGCTGAATACCCAAGTACTCGGTCTTGAAGAGAGTAATGGGGTTTACGCCCGCGGCCTGGGTGTTGTCTGCGCGCTGCGCTGCCGTGTTAACACTCTTGACAAATGGAGCCGCCAGACTAAAGGACATGCCCAAGGACTCAATGAGGAGGAGGTAGAGCATCGTGGCCGCGCAGAGAAGGAACAGCTTCTTGAACTTGGAGAAGCGGATGCTGCAGCCAAGGACAGAGCGACGGCTTGGATGACGTCTGCAAAGGAGTGACAAGGTCAAAATGGCAAGCATCGCAGGGTTTACAACAGAGCTCTAAAATAAAAGAAGAAGGTAACGAAGTCCAGGGTGTCTCGTTTGAGGGATCCAACATCCAACAAAGAGAGGAATGTATTCTAGAAACAGAAAGGCTACAAGGTCTACAACCAGTGTAACCAACGAGGGAATGACAGGAGAAGGCGGCGTATGTCTGCAGCGACAACCTCATATATACAGTATGAGATACCGAAGTATCCCACCTCTCGTCAAGGTCAGAGGTGGAGTTTCCAGCTGTGCAGCCCGAGGGGCACACCTGATTAAGTAGTCCTTACGGTCCAACCCAAAGGGTGTGCACAGCCATTTGAGATCGACAATCTGGGTCTGGCCTCAACCAGGGGCTGCGTTGCTATCTTCAGGGCTAAGTTCTGCAGCCGCAAGGGGGCGAAGAAACATGGAGCGGGGGTGGAGAGTGGAATGGCGGGCTGGAACATGGAACAACATGAGCGAGCGAGAGTGGTTGGTCGAGAGAGAGATAGAAACACTGGCGCTTACGGTTTTCCCATCGTGAGGGTCCTTCTTCAGGGGGCCGTCGGGGTAAGGGACGAATACTGGCCTTGGCGCGGCTAGTTTGGGAGGAACTGGAGGAGGCATGGACGCTTGATTAGTCGCTTTCTCGCGATGGCGAAAGATGCGCTTAAGAGAGTCGCGGAACGACATGGTAGCTTATATCTTGACCTCGGATGACGACGACGACGACAACAAGGCGTATCTTCGAAGCGACAAGATATCGAGTCGAGTCCTTGTGATCCAGACGGACGGACTTTGCTCGACTAGAACAAAACTTGTAAGTCTCGGCTGTTCCCATGTTGGATGCAGTTCATCCCTGGCTTTTGTCCCTTTTGCAATGGTCGTCCCTTTTGCAATGGTCGTCCCTTTATGCCATGCATCTGTGATTGGCGGGGTACCTCGGTCCCATCGCCAAATCAGGAACAACCACAAGCACGACAGGGATGCAACGTTGAAATGTGAATGATGGAATATGACAGGCGATCGGCAAGTGACAGGGACAGTTTTAAGTAAAACCCAGCATGAACAAGGAACGGGTCTCTACTGGCCGGCATCTAGCGGACTAGATAAGCTTATCAACGCCGGGATCCGAATTCGGGAAGGTGGGGCTCTTCTCGCATCGGCTCCGGGGCTTTGATTGGCGATGCCCACTTCACGTCGGCATGTGAAGATACTTAAATATGTCTTGGTCGATTTCCAACTTTCCCCTCCTGCCTGTGCAAGCATTAGAGGAAAAGGACGCCATATAACCCCTGACATTAGCGCCTATTGCCATTCCCAATATGATCTACAAACAATCCCCCCAGCAGATGCCCAGCGGCCTCATAAAACCCCGCCTCATCATCCACGGCGGCGCCGGCAACGTCCGCGCCGACCGTATATCCCCCGAGAAATATGCAGCCTACCGGCATGCCCTGCTGTCCATCGTCTCGCAAACAAGCACATACATGACCACACCTTCCTCGAGCCCCAAATCTGCTTCTAAACTCCCCTCGGCCCTGGACACGGCAACCTACGCCGTGACCCTGCTGGAAAACAACCCGCTCTTCAACAGCGGCCACGGCGCCGTCTTCACCCGCGATGGCATCAACGAGCTCGAGGCCAGCGTCATGGTGTCGCGCGGTTATGCGAAGCGCGGTGTGGGCGTCATGGGATTGCGCAGGATAAAGAACCCTATCCTTCTAGCTAAGACGATGCTAGAGCGCGGAGACGAGGATCTCTGGGGTAACTCGCATCCGTCAACTGCAGGAGCGAATGATGGCAGTGGGCTTTTGGACATCCCCTCGGCGCAAGGGCATACCCAGCTGCATGGCCCGACGGCGGAGCAGCTGGCTGTGCAGTATGGGTTCGAGCTCGTGGATCCGGCGTATTTCTTTACGCAGACGAGGTGGGATGAACATGTGCATGCGCTGGAGCGGGAGAAGGAAGGGAAGGGGTTCCTCGCTACTTGGCATCCGGAGGAGTACCTCCCGCAAGGGACGGTTGGTGCTGTAGCTTTGGATGAGAATGGTGTGGTGTGCGCTGCTACGAGCACCGGCGGGCTGACAAATAAGCTCACGGGGAGGATAGGGGACACGCCTACGATGGGTGCTGGTTTCTGGGCCGAGGAATGGGAGGAGCGAGGTGATCCATCCAAGAAGAGCGTAGGGCCCACGAGAAATGGCTGGGATGGATGGCGGACTTACCTTGGACTGACTGGTCCAGTCGTTGAGCTGAGTTCTAGCTTGAAAGCTGCGCTTGCGGATTGTCTGCCGAATCCTTTATTGTACTCGCCAGTTCCTCAAAATCCAACAAGGGCGGTCAAGACGATCCGGTCCATGGCTGTCTCTGGGACCGGTAATGGGGATTCGTTTCTTCGCACGGCGGCAGTGAAGACTGTAGCAGCCATTGCCCGGTACGGGGTTATGCCAACATCGGAGGCGTTACATCAGGTAACTGGTGATGGTGGCGAGTTGCAAAAGAGCGCTGGAGACCGATGGGGCCAGACGGGAGAAGGCGAAGGAGGCATGATTGGGATTGAATGCGTGATTGTGCGAGATGAGAAGACGGGCGATATTCTAGAAACTAGAGGGGAGGTGTTGCAGGATTACAATAGCGCGGGAATGTGGAGAGCGTGGATAGATGAAGCAGGCAATGCGAACATGCTGGCTTGGGACGGGAAGAAGGACAAAGAGAAGATAGAGGGGGGAAATCCATTACACTGAGAAGTGAGCAAGAAATAGAACAAGCTCGTGGCATACACTGGCATTGTTGACATCGTATTTCTATGACCAGATGCCTGCCTTGGCTCTCATTAGTATACTTCATGTTTGATGCTTCTCCGTCTGCTAGCCAGGTCGTTCCAAAAACTCCAGTTATACACAGCGAACACGACCAAGTTCCCGGACCATCTATTTTACACATGCATTCCCGCCCGCTGTCCATGCAAGTTATGCAAAGACTTCCAATATCATGAAATACAAGGCCCGATGTGTCTGCCGGGCCAAAGGTGTAGAGTGGCGTTGTAAACTATTTTTTTGGTGTTGCTAATTCTTGGACAGTCTATGCCAGATTTAGCTCTGCGTTTGGCGGTGGTTGCGGCACCTGCAACGTCATCAGTATTCACTTCAGTAGCGCATGTTGGAAGCTGAGGCATCTGGCGGCAGCAATCCTCATGGAAATGACTTACCTCCAACTTTGTACCGCTGGCCAACATCCGCTGGAATCCAATACCGACACCCTCAATGACAGCGAGCAGCACCGCACACCCGATAGCTCCATTTCGTGCTGCCTTGACTCCTCCTCGGACCGCCAGCGCACCACCTGTGAAAAAGCCGGCAATGATGGCGTTGTACGGGTCCTCCTTTCTTCGGACACCCTTGACGGCGCAGTCGAACGTCGAGAACAGCCCACCCCAGACTCCGAAGTTGCCGCCCAGGACTGGCGCGCGGGCTTTGATGGCTGTGATGGCGCCTATTCGTCGCTCGCCCACCGGACTGTTGCGAAACCCTTTAATACCGTGCCATATCGTACCACCAATGGCCTGGAAGACATGGTCAGCTTTGAGTCCATTGTAGGTGAATATGCGAAAAGTGCCTGATCGCTAAGGCGTGGCGGATGAGGAAGGAGTCTTGACTTACGCCCATAGAGAATGCACCGCCAAAATCATTTAGAATAACCCAGGGGCAGGGGTCTCGTGTGTGATCCATTTCGAGATGTGTGTAGAGGGTGGGAAGGCTGTATTGCTGTGGCCGGGCTCACACGCCGTCGATGGGCTGTGAACAGTTTTGGAGATGGAAGGAGATAAGAAAGCCTTGGCGAATTTGAGCTGATCGGGCCGGATGTATGAGATGTTGGCCGGTCGTGGCGGGTGTTGATTGATGCTGTCGCAGATGTCGATATCACCTCCCAGCTCCAGAAGGCCGATTCAACCTGGAAAGAAAATTGTTACGCTCGGACCATCTTGGAGAAATGTCGGATGTCGTGGTAATCTTTCTTCCGTAGTGTCTACAGGCTTCGGCGGGCCGCACTAGCTGAATTGGCCCCACGTCGGATAACATGGAACGGAGTGGGGCCAAGCAGATCAATTGGCATCAGTCGCGGTTTCGAAACATGTGAAAAAGTTGAACACCAATGGTTTCTTCAAATATTTCATGCTTCAGTGGCCAGGTACGAGTCCCTGGGTCACTTCGACGCAATTCACAGCTGGCCATGTGCGGTGGTTCGATGATCGGAGAGGGATTTCAGAATTCTCTTCTTTGGAGTTGGCAAGATCACCGGCAGGCAATTGTTGCGGTGTGACTCTTTGTGCTACCCTACTCAGCTAACACTCAAGCTCATCATGCTTATACATATAGCATGTATATAGAGACGCTTGCCCAAGCTCAACCAGTTCAAGTTACACAGCATTATGGGCGATGGCTGGGTGTAGCCCAACCATGCAAGCTATGGATAACTGCATTGTTGTGGCACGAGCAAGCACATTGCACAAACAACAACTCTTTTCGCAGATCACGAGATAGCTTAGTCTTGTGCTATAAAGAGGACCTACTGCAGCCTCAGATTTGCCTCAAACCTCACTCATCATTGCCTCGAGGTTTTGGTCCATGAACAAACAGCTCATCAATTCACCCAACCATCCAAGTTCGGGCCGCTATCAGATCGTTGTAATTTAAACTGTCAGCCGAAACTTACAAAGTCGTATCAGGGAATATGATGCAAGTATCCTTTATCTCACGTCATTGGCCGACATAAAAATACAGTAGCAAGACTACAAAAGAGATGTGTTGCCATTCATCGGACAACCTGGCTCAAGAAGTTTGACACACGACTGGTTCTATACCATTCAAACCTGAGCCCCAAGCAGGCAAAATGTGCAGTTGGGCATCTGGAGATGGACGGAATGGCGCTTGCCATGGCTGCGAAAAGATGAAGGAGGAGGAAAACCAAAAGGTTAATGATGCGATGAAGGTTGCAAACGTTTACAACTCATCAGGTGAGTTTTCCAGAGCTCTATCTTCAATTGTTTTCAGCAGACTTCCACCTGAACTGGCCCTACCCTACCCACCTTAGGTACGTGAGACGAAAATGGAAGCCGACTTGGAGGGGCAAGTGCACCCCTACCGTTTAGCGCGCAAACCCCAGACCCGCCCTGCTTCTCTATGCCGAGTTCCTGGATGGCGCCGCTCCACTAACGTTCAGGTGAATCTGCGTTGTCACGTCACATTGTGCAAAATCACGATTGCCGTTCTGCCTTTAATTCTTGGACCTGATATCGCAATCTGCATTTCCTTACTTGGGCGGATTCTTAGTGACAGATCTATTCCTGTGTACACAACTGGAATTGACTCTCTTTAGCAGCCGCAATGCCGTCGGCAACCGACCACTGCACGCCATCGGCCATCATCGAGGTGCCCCCTCATACGACCCCCGAGCTCAACCACGTCCTCAAGCACGATAGCTCGATCCTTGCCCTTATTGTTAGCAAAGACAGCATTTATGCCGGCACGCAAGATGGAGAAATTGTTGTATGGTCTCTCGACACTTTCCAACAGACGAATCGGATCCAGGCGCACAAACGTAGCGTCATGTGTCTGTTCCTGTCCGAAGATGCATCTCTCCTCTTCTCTAGCGCGAGCGATCCCATTGTGAACGTCTGGTGCCCCAGAACCATGAGCCGTCTTTGCGAGATCTACAGCACGCAGGATTCATTCGGCGACATCTTCTCCGTTGCCTACTCAGCCCAGCACGACACAGTTTACTACGGCGCTCAGAACACCAGCATACAATGGGTTGGATTGAGGGATCCCGCACGTCGAGTGCAACATGACTGTCCTGATCACCCCGACCGAAGAAACCACCGGTTCTTTGATTCGAGAGCTGCAGGCGGCACAAGTACTCCGCGGCCTACCGACGAGCGATACGATCGTATTCCCCAATCTCATATGGTCTTGGAGACCGATCGAAGAGCTTACAAACTGTTTGCACACTTCGGATATGTCTATTGTATGCTTATGACGAAAGGGGCTACGGCCTTCGCAGACTCGGAAGAGGATGTGTTGATATCCGGCGGTGGTGAAGGTGCCATCAAGGTCTGGAAGCTTGGTGGTCAGGGCGTTGGCCCAGATGGCATCGACAAAGGCCTGGAGCAGATCATGAAGCTTGGTGAGGATGATCTGGAATCGGTCATGTCACTGGCTATTGATGGATCATTTCTGTATAGTGGAAAACTCAGGGGCGTAGTGGAACTTTGGGACTTGGACACTAAACAAAGGTTGCGGGTGATTAAGGATCACAAGGGTGACATCATGTCGCTCTCCATGGGGTGGGGTTATCTATGGAGCACTGGCTCTAATGGAACATCAAGCGTCAGTTCTTCATCGTGCATTCCTTGACTCAACCTGTACTCGGCCGGCCGCTGACATGCACCAGAAACACAGCACGGTCCACTATGAGAACTACCAGCCAAATTCATATCAGAACGTGAGCCAGAAGTACCAATGCCTGACTCAGTGGAGGGCTCATGACGGCAAAATCTTGGCCTCCGCTGTCGCTGAGCATCAGGGCAACCTGCTTTACATCACAGGGGCCAATGACAACAACCTCGCCGTTTGGGTCGTGGAAAACCCTCCCCAGACTGAACAAGAAAAGCCCGAAGAAAACGAGGACATGATGATATCTAGTCTACGGGAGTTCGTTTCATACAAGACTATCTCGTCCAAGCCCGAGTTCGCAGAAGACTGCCGACGAGGTGCTACCTTTCTTCGTACACTTTTCCGGAAACTCGGCGGGGACGTGGAGATGTTGAGTACCGATAACAACCGCCACCCAGTTGTGTTTGCCAAGTTCAACGGAAAGCTTGAGCCCAAAGAGAACCGCAAGCGCATCTTGTTCTACGGCCACTACGACGTGGTACCAGCTGGCGCCACAGAGGGCAAATGGAACACCGACCCGTTCCAGCTTAAGGGTACGAATGGATATTTGTATGGTCGCGGCGTCAGCGACAACAAGGGTCCTGTTGTAGCCGCCTTGTACGCCGTCACAGACCTCATGCAAGCCAAGTCGTTAGACTCTGACATCATCTTTCTGATCGAAGGCGAGGAAGAATCTGGTTCCCGGGGATTCCAGGAAACAATTCGCCGGAACAAGGAGCGCATTGGTCACATCGACTACATACTGTTAGCCAACAGTTACTGGCTCAATGACGAGATTCCCTGCCTGACATACGGCCTTCGCGGTGTCCTCCACGCCACAGTCTGCGTCCAGTCCAAGAGCCCAGACCTTCACTCTGGTGTGGACGGATCCTGCATGGTCAACGAGCCAGTCACTGACCTGACCATGCTGATCTCGAAGCTGAAAGGTCCGCGCAACAGGATTCTACTGCCAGGTTTCTACGACGGTGTGCTGCCCCTGACTCCTGAGGAAGATTCTCGTTACAATGACATCATTGCCGTGCTCATGGCGCAAAACTCCCAAGGCATACCAACCTCGAGTCTTAGGGGTTCCCTTATGGCCAGGTGGCGCGAGCCCAACCTTACGATTCACGGATTTAAGACCTCGGGTGCGGAGGAAGGGAGCTTGGTGAGCAGCCACGCAAGTGCGCACATCAGTTTCCGCCTCGTGCCGGGTCAGGAAGTAGGGGATGTTATCAACAGCCTGACCACGTATCTTGATGAGAAGTTTGCTGAGCTCGAATCGGATAACACGTTGACGGTCAAGATCAACAACCAAGCGGAGCCGTGGCTGGGAGACACGGACAACCACGTCTTCCGCACACTGGAAGAGGCCATCATCAAGGCGTGGGCGCCACTCTTTGACGTCGGGACTGGTAGAGACACAGAAACCGCCAACGGCAATGATGCGAAACCTCGGAAGCCGCTTTACATACGCGAAGGTGGGTCCATTCCGGCCATCCGCTTCCTGGAGAAGGAATTTGACGCCCCCGCTGCCCATCTGCCCTGCGGTCAAGCGAGCGACTCTGCGCATCTGGACAATGAGCGCTTGCGCGTAATAAATCTGCTCAAGAGTCGAGAGATATTCGGATTTGTGTTCGGGAAGCTGTAGAGGAAGGGGGTGGGCCAGGTCGGCGTTTGTTTAGGCGGGTAGGATAGAGAAACAGACTGCGGCATAGACTATATAGAGATACCCTTGCTAGATTAAGGTATTACGATTTCCATCACCTGCTACAAGCGAATGGGTTGGTCTGATTTGGCGAATGACTCTGGGTGCGCAAGTGTGTACAGGCAAGGGTCATCACCTGCGGGTTTTTGGTTTACTAAAACGCGCAGTAAGTACGTACATGAATGCTCCGAATCTCGTGTTCCCCACTAAATCCTATCCCATCTAGCTGCTACGTTCAGGCCAGGCCTCGTAAAGCCCTTCGTACACAGTAATGTTCCCGAAGGTTGCCTCACCGGTACCGTCGTGGAAGAAGCGGATCTCCTTGGACGCGTCATACCATGATCTAATAAAAAGTCAGAACTGGGGTCGGGACAATACTATCCAACGGCAGGGGGGACAAGGGGGTGTGACTTACCGAGCCCAAGTACTCAAGGCGAACCGATCGTTGGCGTGAATCTCGACAACGGCATTATCAACCACGATGGTCAGCTCAAGTGTCTCCATCTTCTCCGCACCATCCTCAACGACGTCGAATAACCGAAGTCTCCCAGCCTCGTTCCGCGAGTCGATATCGTCAGTCGTCTGGGCGGCGGCGCTTGAGTTGGTCCGATCGACAACGATGGACTCGTTGGAGAACTGGTAGTAAAGAGTCGTAGTCTCGTGCTCGGAAGCCAGGATCTGGAATCCGGCCTTGAGGTCCGAGCCGCGGGCCGACTGGGGGAACGAGATAGAAGCAGTCATGGTGTAGAACTTGGAGTCGGGGGACTTGACGAAGGCCACCGAACCGGGCGAGCGCAAGGTCTGACCTGCCTCGGTGTACGAAGCGCCATTTTTCAATTTCGCCAAGGGCTCCCGCGCAATCTGCTGTTTCAGCGTCGAGAGCTCGAGAACACCTGAACTCTCGCTCGAGATTTGCCAGGATCCCTGTTCGCGGGACAGCTCGTTGTCGACTACGTTGTTGATCTTGCCTACGCTTAACTCGCGCGGCAGCAGAAAGGTGCCTGTCCAGTTTTGCTGGTTCGTGGCGGGGTTTTGGGTGCCGTAGAAGTTGCCTGTCAGCCAGACATACGAAATGAACCGATCTGGCGCACCGCTCTTCGTAGACGCCTGAGACGAAGCGGGCAGTTCTTTGCCAGCTGCTGCGTATGCGGAGTGGCCCCAGTCAATCTTGCCCGCCATCTCGGGCGTGAACTTGGCCTTGCCATCTACGAGGGTCAGGTTGCCCGCCGCCCAGAGCATCTCCCGGAAATCGGAAACCTCGGGCACGATGGGGTCGAGCGACCACTCGGCTCCCAGGGTCGTGAAGATTTTCCCCTCGGAATCGTAACCCTCCTCGTTGAGACTGAAGACGTTGGCCACCTCGAAATTGTACCCCCAGCGACCGGCCCAGTCGCCGTTGCCCCACGTCGTGTTCGCCGCTTCGTGCCACCACTCCCCCAGATATTCCCAGTACTGGAAGTCCGGGTCATACTGGCGGTAGAGGAACTGGCTGGGCCCGTCGCCGTGCACGCCGCCCGAGATGACGGTGTACCAAGTTCCGTTGCCGCTCTCAAGGAGGGTGTCAAGCTGGCCGTTTTGGAAGACGAAGGGGTCACGGAAGCCAGTCACGTTGAGTGCGAAAGGCGGGGATGGGATCACGGGGCCGTGTTGCGCCTTGGTGAAGTTACGTCCGCTGTCCGAGGACACGGCGAGGGACTGCGTCTCGCTGCCTCGGGTGTAGGGGATGGTCCATTGGATGGGCAGGTAGGAGACGGAGGTGTACAGCAGGGTGGGTTTGCCGTCTACACCTGCGGGAATGACGGAGCCATCGAATACGGCAATGGGGTCGTTGGTCCCACCGGGCACAATGAAGGGAGCCCCGTCCGCGTTCAAGTCGCGGTAGGTGACGAGATCATCCGTCGTTGCGCCCGAGGCGCCGTTGCCGTTGAATAACCAACCTACGTGGAAGAGTCCCGTTGCGGGATCCGTGTAGTGCATGCACGGATCGCCAATTTGGCCGAAAGGCGGGAGTACGTGGGCTCGAGGTCTCCATGTCTCGAAGAGGCTTGCGTTGGCGAGGGTGGTTAGGTTCGGCGGGGCCGCGCTGTAGTCAATGGCGGCCGGGGTCGAGTTTGCTTCGTCCTGCCGACTCATCAGGGAGCCGCCTGCAATAATGGCAGGTGAGAATTTCATGGTGGCGGCTTGAAAGGGAACGACAACGATCGCAAATTCACCTGACTTGAACCGACAGCTCCTGTTCCGGCGGCGGACGCAAGGGGTGCCGTTGATGGGGAGGACCGAGTGGTCACCTTGGTCTTCTTATAAGTACCCCCAAGCCAAGCTTTCCTAGCAGGGGGCATTATTCAGGGTTTCCGGATGAACGGTGAGACAAGCGCAACACGAATAAAAACAGTCTCGTGGAATGAAAGACAGCGGAGGGACAAACGAAAATCACGCTACCAATACCCGAGACCCTGGGGCAGCGCTCTAGAGACTGTGGGGTATTGCGGAGCCCCGGGCATCTTAGAATCCTTTTATTCTCTTGGCCTTCATCGCGAATTTGGAGAGGTGGTCGTATGCGGAGACAGTCGCCCCAGTTCTTCGGCACCTACTCGGGATAATTGACAAGGATCCGGGTTGGCGAGGGCGGAGGCTGGGGGTTGGACAGCTGCATGAATGCTCATCACACGAGCAACGGCTATCGTCAATGTGTTTTTTTGGTCAAATTTCCATGACTAGCCGAGAGTGCTTGAGGGGATGGCGAGTCCAGATCGTAATTTCACGGACAGGCACGTGAACGCTAGGAACCAGAGATGGGCCTTCAACATAGTTTTGTTTACTCTACCGGGGATGGGTTGACGCTGGGTCATATGACGAGAAGGGTATGTCGCTGCATCGCCATGCCATCATGCGCGGCACGACAATATCGCATGCTGAGGTCAATGTCACTGTACCAACATGCAAGACATCGTTGCGAACCCCGCATAAGTGAGGAGATCCTGCACAAGTGTGAGTGAACATACATTGGCTTGCACCCTATCCACGTGCTCGCATATGCAGACATGTTGTGTTCCATGCGGTTGAGACTGGGTATGTAGGCAATACAGGCAAGAGAGCTGTATTAGCGACGGTGATGATGATGATGGGACTAACTCTCAGGAATCTGCAGCTACGGAAGGGCTATCTATAGGCAGTTAGCCCAAGCGCTACACCCAGCTCCCAGCTAGTGTGCCTGGGGACGCCACAGAATATAATCATCAAGCCTGCAAATAGTGCAAATAGTGTACGTATAGAATTGTAACTTGGGATATGGCTTTGGCAACCCCAAGAACGATTAAGGTCGGGGCTCAGCCACATATTTGCTAAAGGCGAGCCACAGCTGTGGCTATCACAACATCTACGTACTGTATATGCAATGTATCCGTATCCTAAAGAGGTTAGCCTCATTGGGTTTTCCCCTGGCCGCTGAGCTGGAGGGTACTAGGTTATAACCCTTCGATGGCTTTGTCATCTCACACTTGACTCATCGGTCAACACAGAAGGCTGTGTCTTGGACAAGCCTGGATTTAGATCGGTGTCGTATTTATCATCCTGTAAGTCCTCAAGTTCACAACTCACACACTCAGCTGCTACCGAATTTGAGACTGCAAAACGAGATGGCTCATCAATCCAAATCCAGGAGGCGGCAAAAGCCGAGAATCAACGACACCGAACCTATCCCCAAGGGGCCAGCAGGTGAATATTTAATAATATTAATATTAAATACGCCGTAGGTGTTAACCCTCGGTACCTCTACAAGTACTCCCTTAAGGGGCTATAGATGATATAGCGGGCCCTTAAGCCGCGTCGGGCGGTTATACAGGTAAACTTGTAGCCAAATGACTACTAAACCTCCTGTCCCTCCCTAAGTCTGTGCTACAACCCCTGCCTGAACTACCGATAAGTGTGGTAATGTGGCACTTAAATTCGTCCTCAGGGGTGGGATGCTGCTGATGTGCAGAAGATGCTCGACTATTTTTTTGTCGCGACAAGTCGTAGTATCTGCTAATTGGGGTTCTCGTCGAGCGTATACATCTCAACCATACGCTCAAGTGGATAGACCGTAACGTGGTCAGACGCTCGCAAGAATCGCGGCGAGAGGGCGTGCTGCGCGCCTTCTATCGTGAGGGGACGGGTTCGCCGACGAGCGTTATCGGAAAGGCGAGGTCCGATAAGGGGTCGGATTAACGATTCGAATTCTGGACCGGCTGTCGAGTTATATTCCGCCGACGTAGTGCTTGACGGTCGACTGGCTAGGATGCTCGTAATCCTAAACTGCACCAATCTCCCTATTATCGCTAGGTAGGCGAAGTCAACAAGGTGGGCAGCGCGCCGTAAGGGTTGACTAAACCCCCTTGTGTGTCAGCTGCGGGATTCGAACCCGCGACTCGTCACCGACCCAAGTGGGCGAGGCTCAAATCGGGACTTATCTACCAGCGAAGTGACCAACTACACCAGCCGACAGGTGAATATTATTTTTCACCGCAACCAGCTCCGGACCGAGCTCACCATAATCAATCCCATAATGAGAGTCGCTTGGACGAGTTAATTGCCCAAGCCACGTCCCTCTCAATCGGGACCAAGCCATCCCCTTGTCCCCTGGCTCAACCAATCATGAAATCCGCTCGCCTATTTATTGCCTCACTTGGCAACCCATCACCCCACCTCACAACCCGACACTCAGCCGGCCATGTCCTCCTCCGAGCTCTACAATCTCACCTCAATCTCCCCTCCCTCAAGAAATCAAAATCCTTCGCCGGCGGCCTCGTGTCCCTCGGCGCCGACGTGGGCAGACCCGAATTAACACTCTGGCACTCGCCCAGCCTGATGAACATTTCCGGCGTTGCGCTTCTCAAAGCATATAAACAATTCCTCTCCAACGCCACTCCGGCGGAAGGTATACCGGGCTTGGTGATCCTCCACGATGAAATGGAGACTGCACCTGGACGACTGAAGGTGCGGCACGGGGCCACGAGCGCGAGAGGGCATAATGGGATTAAGTCTGTGCAGCAGAGTTTGCTGTCTGCGGGGCTGATGGGCGGGCTGGCTGATGGGGCGAGTTTTGTCAAGGTAGGCATTGGGATTGGGAGGCCGGCGGGGGGAACAAGGGAGAGGGATGAGGTTTCTGATTATGTCTTGGGGCAGTTGAGGGGGGAGGAGAAGGTGAGGATTGAGGGGGGCGTTGGGGAGTTGGTGGGGGTGCTTGATAGGGAGAGGTTGAGGATTGGAGGAGGGGGTGCTGAAAATTTGAATTGAAGATGGCTGGTTGTACTAATATTTTCGAACGAGTCCCTTTCGCAACTGGTGGCTTAATTTGTATAGAGTATATGCAAGGTCCCCCGAGTGGCAGGGAAGGGAGAGATTCCTTGGAAGGCCGATGTATTTCTCTGTGCTATTCATCTTAAAAGTCTTTATATAGTCCAGTTAACTCGTATAACCTGAGTAGGTAGACTCAAGTAGATACCACTGCAAAATATCTTACGAAATAGTCCTAGAGTGATATTGGCTTTTCGCTTCACGTTCATGTGTATAACTCGGGGCCCGATGTTCAAACTGCATCACACCTAGAGTTGACGTGAGTTAAAGTGGTTTCCATATGCATTGGCAATAGCAGGACTATGAACTAATACTCGACCTGCGCCGCATTGATATTCCGCCTGCTAGACCCTCTCAGCTCAGCTATTCATTCGATGCCAGTTCGACACTATGAAGGGCACGCTGCGATTGCAGAGGCCAGCCTCAGGTTCCCGAAGGCTTCCGTCTCTCTACTATTGTTGACACTGAACGGTCAGTACTGCTGCATTTCTGATAAACACGAATCTCACTTGCCCCGGCCCCGGACGTAGGCAACGTATGCAGGGTGCAAGGATCCAAAGATTGAATAGATCTCGAGGCCGTCCTGTGAGAATATGTGGCAACTGAGAGGGTTGTCGGCAAATGAGGCGGGTAGTGATTGGAGACGCTTCCTGTATTCTGAGATTATGGCTGCTTGTATGGTTGTAGCGTTGGTAGGGCTTGACTTTCATCATAGCTTTGGATTCCCCTTTGCCTGTCCGAGATTACGGTCAGTCCGGGCTTCATACATTTTTTCGCCCACGCTCGTCTTTCAAGATGAAAGCCATCCGAGCCAAGGTCTACTCCCCATCGACCTCGGAACGATGAATAGCTATGGCGTCCAGGTACACGATGAGTGCCGTGTTGGCTGTGCTTTTCGTCCAGAAACACGAGCGAGCGTTTTCAAGGTCAAAAGACAGTCGTTGCGGGCGGAAGGCTGGTGCGGTGTAACAACATCCGGCTGTTCGCTCTTTTCAAGCTTTCCAATTGCAAACAGAGAACAAAGAAGGCGGCGTGGAAACTCTGCCCCTTAGGCTTTTAAAATCCATCTCTGTACCGTCGAAGACCGAAAACCTGAAGATGAACTGATTGACCAGAGAGAAAACGATGCTGGCGAGGAAAGTGGCCCTGAGGAAGAATGCATTCCTCAGGACTCTCTGTGCCATGGCATTCGCACCCACTCAGATGAAGACGAAATTGACCGCCTGCTGGGTCTCTGCAGTGATTTTGTGGGAGATAACGCAACCCATGACCCGCCAGTACTGCTCGACGGCGAAACCGCATCTGGGCGAGCCTTGCAAGAGGACAACGGCAGATTAAACGGCCCATGTAGGTTCTTCAGGCCGGAGTCTGCTACACCAGCCCATCCCGACAATGGGCTGGACTCGAAATCCGTCGCCGAGCTACTACAGAAATGTAGTGCTTTCATGAGGTATTGGGAGTGGGTTGGCGCTGACATGGCTCAATCCGTTGTCGCTGAAAGGCACGAGGATATCGCCAGTCTGGTGACGACTTTGCTACCCTGGGATCCGAGTACCATAGAATACGAAGATATCCTCTCGTTTGGCATTGAGGCCTTCATGGGAATCGATGTCTTGTACGCGACTCTTGTCCGCGGTCAGCGAAATTGTGCTGGATGCGAACGAGGATATCCTGAAGACAGCCATGTTCATCGCAACGTGCGAGGGCAACATTGAGGCGCTTGATATCTTGCTTTCTACCGGGGTGTGCGATGTTGACGCACAAGCATCCGACCAGACCACGTGTCTCCACCACGCTGCTGTCAACAACCAGCCAAAGATTGTCGAACTGCTGTTGGAGAAGAAGGTGAACCTCGAACGAAAATGTCACAATGGGGAAACGGCGTTTTACAAGGTGTGTGGGTCGAAAGAACACGAGGAGTGAGCTCGTTATTGCTTGAGGCCGGGGCTGAGATGTACACTGGCGACAGCTGGGGACGTGGTGCTCTCTGCCGTGCCGCAACAACAGGAAAATTTGAGGCCATAGAGACAATGAGGTCCAGGGGGATGAGTCCTACTAAGGGGGGAACATTGTGTAATTGGTGCCCACTAGTAAGTAGACACAAGCATGCAACATGCAAAGGACCAGGACACCTACTTACGTGGTTGAGCAGCACTCTGATCCCCAGCAACCAGACCTGGATGTTGAATTTTCCGGCATGGCGTTGAAGTAAGTGGTATGCCATCAAGAGGCGTTTTTGTAATTATCACGCCTGGGCAAACCCGACTTTCCGCCCTTGGGAAAGACGATGAGCAAATCGTTCGGCTATCAGCTAAGGCGGTCATGACTTGATACAAGTCACTACTTACTCTGCAACTCGGTAAAAGGTTTATATATGCGAGCTTATAAGCGTACCCTTTCTGTTCACCACGACTGTCTGAGCTTCTAGTGGATCCATTCCCTGCCACTAAGACTGCCAAGATTGAATCTCAAGTTGACCGACCGGAACAAAATGAGAGCTCCTTGATATGCATTGACGATACTTGGTGACTTTGCTGTGGTCTGGTCTCCTTACTAAGAGTGAAAGTTTAAAGCAGATGTTTGTATATCTTTCTCAGAGGATTCAAGCGAGTAGGAGATGCTAGACATGAGTACCTCCAGTCTCCACTTCTAAATAACTACATATACGCCGGATACACCCGGCCTTTGGGTTTACTGGTTCCGTTTTCATTTCCATAGTCTCTGTTGTTCTGTCCTAGCACGGCCTGATCTGGTGACTTTATTAGATTTGTGGGACCATCTTCGACGATATACCGATACCGATGAAGCCCCTGGGAGGGACCGCTATGAGGGGAATAATTTGGTATCGCTTGCCTTGGAATCGGATTGTACGCCTTCGGTTGGGATTGTTCAAATGGAGAAATTTGCTCGGTGTGGTCTCTCTGTCTCTCCTCGTCTGGTGGTGCGACACCATCATTCCGTGTCACTGAGTTGCCCCCCCCAGTGTCAAACCTGTAGCTCAAATTCTCGATATATGGATCTTGGTACAGACGTCGTCTTCCTCCCCTCCTTTGGGGTGTAATACCGTAGCGCTCGTCTGCAGATTCACTATCGGAGTAAGGCATAGTGAGACAGGACGAACTACGGCGAGGTGCGTGAATGCCCATTAGCCATGAGTGTATCCTCCCACGTTCAGCATCTGAATCCAAGGAATTTTTCATTGCGAACTCTTCATCGCCACCGGATGAATCGTCAGGCTCGAATGTAGCCTCGTTGACTTTGTGTAGAGGCCGTGGATCGTCATGCCAATGAACCTTTTTGGACTTTGGTAGCGGGAATAGATTCGGACGGCGTGGACTCGATGACGGAGCCAATTCAGGTTTTCTGCTATCTCTTGTGGTTGGTAACCAATAAAGAGGTCTGGATCCTCGAACGGCTTGATTTGATTCAATAGAAGAGCTGCTTGTTGAAGAACCCGTCGCTGCCTTCCGTGAAGGGAGTGTGTTCCGCTTATTGTGTAAATCCATCGCTTTTGCGGTGAGTCTTTGTGGATGTAAAAGGCTACCATGCAGATCGTCCTCAGAAGCATTCTGTGAGTCGTCTTTTGAGTCATTAGACTCGGTACTCCAAGGGTTTAGACTTTGTTCATCCGATGACTGTGGAGGAGGGAAAGCAATTTCCGAGGCCTCCATTAGTAATATTTTTGAATCCGCGGGCAAAGACTGCGCGATATCGATTTCGGCCTCGTCCGAGCAATCTTCGACCGAAGGTGATTTGTAATTCAAGGGAGGAGGAATGATCACTGTGGAGGTAGTGCATTCTGAGGTCCTTGAAGCTGACGCCACCGACACATTTGTTTCCGTCTCCTTTTGATCAAGGAGTGTCTCTGGCCTTTTAACTTGTAAGTAGAAGTCGATAGAGAATGGAAGTATTTCCCAACTTACAGTTCCAATTCATGACGGGGCAAATCGCCAATGTCACTTGTGAACCACAAGTGACCACTTGCTGCAGAAGCTGATGGCCGCCTATTAGGTTGCGGAGACATCAACGTCAAGACAAGATCCTGTGCGGTTTTGGTGATGTTATGGGTGTAAAGCTCAGATAAGGGGAAATCGAGGATTCCAGTGGCGTATCTGAAAAGATCAACCAAACTTTGGAAAGGGGCCACGCTAGTGAGAATCTTGTAGGTCACGGCACCAAGAGACCACATGTCGACGGCAAATGTGTAAGATGCACGACTGTCATCTGATCCTAGACCAAGGGCTTCGGGTGCTGCAAACCCAAAGGCCCCTCTTTGTAGGGTATGTAACGTGGTCGCGCATTCTTGCCTCCGCTTGCTAATACCAAAGTCTGTAATCTTGACGAACCACTCGGGGCCTGGCGTGACAATCATGATGTTCTGCAGCGGTGGGTCAGACCATGTGTATCAAAATATCCCTTGGTAGACTCACGCCTGGCTTCAGTTCGCGGTGGACGAAACCGTTGTTATGCATGTGCTGGAGCCCTTCCAGGACCTGTGCGATGATCTGCCGGGCCTGTCCTTCCGGAAGTGGCTGTGTTAATCGCTTCTGCAAGTCGCCGTGCCGGAGGTACTCCATTGTAATGAAAACCGAGTCTGCGGACTCGAACCATCCGTATGACCGAACAAAGCAATGCGAATACTATGGATGTGTCAGCCCTTGTCTATTACACTGCCTTGATCGATAAGTACATCTTCACGGACCTTTGGGTGTGAGAACTTGATAATTGCTTCCAACTCCCTTGCGTAATCCAGCTCTTCGCCGACGACTACACATTTCTTGATCGCTTTCACGGCTCGCAGACGTTGGTCGCATCGTTCTCGGAACACCGTACCGTACGCGCCTTGGCCCAAGAAGGCTGTTGATCCATCACGAACCCATGTCTCCTTTCTTCGCACGATCCTCTCGCGAGCTGACTGGCCTGAGCTGTAATATGTATGTTGCGCAACATTTCCATCGAGGACGGTTTCGATCTTTGAATCGTGAACGAGGTCTGATACCAGAGGCTGTTGAATCATGCTTGCAAGGTGAAGCTCGGTATCCGGAGAGGTAGGACCGGCATCAGACCGGGCCGGCGCCCTGAGGTTTCGCAGGGTGTATTTGGGTAAGCAAGGACAAGGAGGTTTCGGACTTCATCAGTCATGAGCCAATCTGGATAAAACCCAAATGGAATTTCGTAGTGTAATGCCGTAGTAGATATCTGTATGCTCTAGGTCAAATGCCCTTTCTCCCGCTGGGAATCGAAAAGAGGGGCTGTGTTCCTCCTTGGTGGCCATGCGGTTCCCAGCTGAGTGTATGCGTTATAAACCCACTGAATTCGATAACGGGAGGATGGTAGGTACAACCGGGGAACTACAAAGAATGGCTCTTTCAGGTGCTTCCAATGTACCTAATAACGCACATGATGCATGCAAACAAGTGGGGTAGAGCTGCATATGGGATTTGATCATCTCCTGAGTATGCATACCAATCGGCAATACTCGACTAGAGATACCGGTTGTGTTTTGGACATGTGACTAGCGACCAATAGAGTATCAATTTGAATATCCTGGGCCAAACCCTTTCTTATAGCATGGTCACAGTCTGGCAGGCGTGTGGGCCTCTATATCTCGTCTAATCCTCCTTATTGTGCCGGCGTGTTATCGGACAGTCTCGAGGTTGTAATTATAATTGATTAGAAAAACTATGTAGACGTTTTTATCTACTTGATTAGATATTATAACTGGTACTTTAATCCACCATGATAATGATGAATTCTTTGGGCCGAAAACAAGATACTGCGAATATTCATGTTGCTCTAATATATAGATTATCAGCGTCCTGATTATCTATTCATCGCAGTGCAGATTTGCAACTTCTTCCCTACTCGATCAGCCCCGAAGTCCGAGAACCGATATCTGCCACTATTTACAACTACAACTAGAAGCGAACATGGAACTCCGATGGGGTTGCTGGCTTGAACCATGGCGAGCTATGTAAGATTACAGTCTAAGCCGTTGACGTCAAGAAATGTTTTTTTGTTTAGCAAGACAACTTGTTTTCCCCCAACGGTGAACATATCGGCGATACCGAACACCAAGGTTATGTCGTTCTTTACGTTATAGAAGGGTTGTGAAGTTGGCTCTATACCTGGGCGTCACTACCCCGTTGTCCCGTCCGCCCTGTTGGCATGCTAGTAAAGCCTGTTGATAACACACAGAACCGTTCAGATACAGCTGGCGAGTAGTCAAGCTGCACAGCTTCTTAGAGCGGCAAATTGCTCGTGTCTAGGCATGTTGTAACCAAGACCTGAAACACACAACTGCTGCTTGGATCTATTCTCTTTGCACAGCCACAAATGCCCTTCTCGAAGTTTGAACCTGGGAGCAATATTTGGGATGTGCGAGCAAGCCGTTCGCGCTTAGATCAAGACGTTGAAACGGCCGTTGTGCCTGGCGTCACCGTGGCTCAATTTACCAACAGTCCAACTTTCATTAGCCCACTAAGCACTAAGCTCGAAATGAAAGATTGCCCAAAGATGATTATATTGGTGCTGTGCTACATCTGTGCCCTCGCTCCCATAATGATAGCGTTGTAACAAATACGAATTGTGCTAATATGAGAACAATTCCAGGTAAACATCGAGCAGCCACCAATGCAGGATATATAGAGGCAGCCGTTGCCAATGTTCGAGAAATTTGACCCACAGCCTGCCAAACTCGGCTCACCAAGATGCTACTCTTTACTCCCGCCGCTGTTGTCGTCGCCTTAGCTGGCACCCTCATAGCAGCTAAGAAGTCCTGTGGTAACTCGAGCCTATCTATAACAACGGAAAATGGCATTGTGAACGGATTCATCGACCCTGCCACGCCAGGAGTCCGACGATTCCTCGGAATCCCCTACGCAGAACCACCCCTAGGCGACCTGCGATTCTTGCCCCCCCAGCCTGCGCAGCCCTTCGGCACCATCGGCTCGACAGAACTGCCACCCAGCTGCATCCAATTCCTGGCAACCGCTCCGCAACTCTATACCCGCGAGGTTCTCGAGTTCAACCTGGATGGGCTGAACACCACGGGCCGCATCAGCGAGGATTGTCTAACACTGAGTGTCTGGGCACCGCTCAAGAAACACAAGAAGGAGAAGCAATCAAAACTCCCCGTCCTCATCTTCTTCTATGGGGGCTCCTTCGCCATGGGAGGCCAAGATATACCCTATCAGATTCCGGCGCAATGGGTCCAGCGCACGCAAGGCCACATCGTCGTCACGTTCAACTTCCGCGGCAACATCTTCGGGTTCCCCAACGCGGCGGGATTGAATGATACGGAGCAGAACTTGGGACTGCTCGACCAGCGGCTGGCAGTAGAGTGGGTGCGCGACAACATCGCGGCGTTTGGCGGCGACCCCGAGCGCATCGGGCTCTGGGGCCAGAGTTCGGGCGCGATTTCGTTGGGATATTACAGCTACGCGTATCCCGAGGACCCGATCGCGAACAGCATTATGCAGGATTCTGGGAGCGAGTATCTGGGGCAGAACATGCTCGATCCCCTGCACACCAACTTCACGTTCGTGGCTCAGAGTGTCGGCTGTGGGGGGCTGGGACCCGAAGAAGAGGTGGCTTGCATGAGGACCGTCGACGCGATTCAGATTGAAAACGTCTTGCAGGCGAACCCGATTCCGATCCTGTTCTTTGGGCCGATGGTGGATGGGAGGACGGTGTTTGCGAATTATACGGAGCGTGCTCTGCAAGGGGAGATTGCGAGAATCGTGAGTACCCAAGCACTATATTACCCGACTTGCAAAACGGGGGGAGGCCCTGTCAGCTAACAAGATCTCGTCCAGCCGGCGATTGTGGGAAGCAATACTCAGGACGGCTCTGTCTTCACCCCTTATCAACCCAATGGCTTCAATACGACTATACTAGATCTGGTAACACTGAGCTTCTTTTTCTGTTCTGCCTGGCAGTCTGCACTGTAAGTGGAAAAAGGAACCACCCATAACGGATGGAAGAAGACGACCACTAACATCACCTTACAGAACGCGCCTCTCCGTGGGATTGCCCGTCTACCGCTACGAATACGCCGGTAATTTCAGCAACATTTCGCCTGATCCATGGCTGGGCGCGTACCATGAGTCTGAGCTCCCACTGCTCTTTGGCACCCACCCCAACTTTCGTGGCAACTCAACGCAGCTCGAGTACGAGACCAGCTTTGCCATGCAAGACGCGTGGTTGGCTCTCGTTGCTCAAGAGTCTGTCGAGGAACAGGACTGGCCGAGATACAGCGGTGTCCCCACAGGGCTGGTCAGACAGTTTGGAAATGGCGTCGCGGCGCAGAACGTGGACAGGAGAACTATGGAGATGCAGTGTGTTACTGTGTTGCAGGAATTCTCATGAAAGGGACGTGTATAGTATTAATATCGAAACAACATGCATACAGCTTGCATCTTTTTGGTCTATTCACTCTGGGCAGGGGTTAGGTCCCAAATTAATGCTGGGCGCACGAATGGTTAGTTCCCGATACTAATATGGTGTAGGGTGATGGTAAAGCGCCAATGACATCAATTCTTGCCAAAAAGCAGAGATCATTTCCAAGATGGGAAGAAACATGTCGACTGAAGTGCGCCACCTCATTCATCCTGCTTGATTTAACAACTATGTAGCCACGACAGACCGAAGCAATACTGTCTCTGTCACAAATATAGCACGCTGGAGCCGCACGAGTCCATACAGCATCGGAGCTTAACCATTTTGGTAAACATGATAAGACCAAGACAAGTCCCCACGAGGTCGAAGCAGTAAAACGGCCACGGGACTAAAAGTGATCCGCCGTAGAGCTTGACACAGCGTGAGCTTGCAGGCCGCATACGAATCTACGCGGCTGGACTGAAGTCGCGAAGAAGGATGTTGACAGAGTGGGTGGTAATTGCTAGCCTAGTAGAACCCGCTCTATCGTGAAGCAACCAGCGTGGCTCGGAATATGGGAAAGTTCTTGAATCATACGATAGTAGCTGAGACGGAGTCATTTCTGAGCCTCTACCTAATGTGGGTGTCGGGATGATCTATCTACCTTACAGATAGCTATCTATCTCAATTGCTGCGGCGCTTGATCGAAGTAGCCGCGCGATGCATTTCAGCAATCGGTGTTGTTATCTCCTTGCAGCGATAACTAGCCCAATGACATTATCGGTGAACGAGTTCGAATACATCTAGGTTTGGCGACAAATATATTGAATATTCCGGAATCTCACGACGTGCATGACTTGCTCTAATTGCGGCCGTAATGAACCGGCTGGGTATATGCTGGTCGCAAACGTGGAGTGACAGCGCGGGGTAGGACCTAATCAGGGTGGGATTGGGCTTGACAACGCTAACGGTATCAAGTGGATCAATATCGGGGTCATGGACGAAGGGCCTTCCTAATAACGATGAATTGTCCTGCTTTCCAAGGTTCCCGTTCAAGATATCTTGCCGTCCAGCTTCCTCGAATGGCAACAGTTACGAGATGCTCTTCTGTCACGCTATTGACCAAGCATAACAGCACCGCTTCGGTAGTTCTGTTCAAGATATGGCGCTTCCAACGACATATTCCAGACAGGCCCGCAGCCAGTCCGAGGGCGATAAGCCGACAGCTAGGGTCTGGTCATAGGCACCCGCTCCAATTCCGCCGATAGGGAGGCGACAAGGACGCTTGAGTTGGCCACTTGGTGCATCTTTGCTCCGTTGTTCCGATAGCACTGAGTTTGATTTTTATTCTTTTAATTTGAGAGTTATGTCGGCCCATGTCGGGATCCTCTTTTCCTTGACCACAAACGGAAGTTGGGTAGCGTAACAGTACCACTCCAGCAGGGACACCGTGGTCTGGCAGTCTGCAGCGGCAGCCGGCAGTGGCAGCCGACATGTGCTACGATAAGCGGAGCGGATGTCTCTCGGGGCAGGACTTGGGCGAGATAGGTGATTCTCGACGGCTGGTTGGCCCTAGGATCAACGTTGCAGTTTGGATCCGGCTACTTGGGACGGTACTCGCCATAAAGATCAATAATCCCACTATAGAAAGGAAGGCGGGTTCTCCAAATTCATTCGTCTTTCTTACAACGTGCGCCAGAAGTTGCCCCCCATGAGGAACCCATTCAAGGCACTGAGCAAGTCGACCGATGTGCTTGAGCCGGAGCCGGTCACGGTCGACCAGCATCCTCAACCAAGTTCGAGCGAGGGCGAGAAGGGAAAGCCCAAAGTAGACATTTCCCAAGCGGCGGCCGACCTAAGCAAGATCGAGCACGCACACCAATGGGACCCCAACTTGCCCCAGGCCCAGCTCGATGCCTTCAAAAAGGCCGTCGCAAGTGGAGATGCCGAGGAGATCGCCAAGGCCGAAGCCCTCTTCACCGACGACTCGCCGTACGAAGAGGTCCGCGCCGCCGTCCGCAACACCGACGGAGGCGAAGTGGCCAACACAGTGCGGGCGTGGATTCTAGGCATGATTTTCGTTACCCTCGGAAGCGGCGTCAACATGTTTCTGAGTATGCGCAGTCCGGCCATCAGCTTCCCGTCCGTCGTGGTCCAGCTGCTCGTTTACCCCGTCGGCTGTCTATGGGCCAGGGTCGTGCCTACTAAAGTATTCAGTACATTCGGTGTCAAGTGGACTTTCAACACGGGCCCTTTCAACATCAAGGAGCACGTCGTCATCACGCTCATGGCCAACGTGTCTATCGGCTATGCGTATAGCACTGACGCCCTCCTGGCGCTGCAGGGTAAGCCCTTCTACAACATCAACCTTGGCTGGGGCTTTGCGTTGCTCTTCACCCTCAGCTCGCAGCTCATTGGCATCTCTTTCGCGGGAATGTTCCGCCGCTTTCTCGTCTGGCCGTCCGCCATGATATGGCCCAGCGTGTTCTCCAATACAGCCCTGTTTCACGCGCTCCACGACAAGACCAAGAGCGATAACGCTGACGCCAATGGCTGGGGCATTAGTCGCTACCGCTACTTCTTCTACGTACTGTGCGGCATGTTCTGCTACTACTGGCTCCCTGGCGTGATATTCCAGGGCATGCAAGTCTTCGCCTTCGTCACCTGGATCAGCCCCAACAACGTCGTCCTGAACCAGCTGTTTGGTGGAATCACGGGTTTGAGTCTGATCCCCATTACCTTCGACTGGACTTACGTCAACGCGTACCTGGGCGACCCTCTGCTGGCCCCGGTACACACCCACATCAATACTCTGGTCGGATTATTCGTCTTCGTCATCTTGTCCACCATCGGAATAGTCTACTCGGGTGCGATATACTCCGAATACGTGCCGCTCGTCACTTCGCAGACCTACGACAACACCCAGAGCAAGTACAACGTCAGCCGCATCCTGGGCGACGGCTTCACCTTTGACTTGGCCAAATACAAGGAGTACTCTCCTCTCTACCTGTCGCCTACCCTCGCGCTCAACTACGGCATGTCGTTCGCCGCCCTGACCGCCGCTCTCGTTCACACTGGACTCTTTCACGGCAAGGAGATCTGGTATCGGCTAAAGACGGCCAGGAACCAAGAGCCAGATGTCCACTTGAAGATGATGAGGAAGTATGTCGACGCGCCGGATTGGTGGTACGTCGTGCTCTTCGTTATTACCATGGCGCTGGGCCTCGGTACCTGTCTGGGTTACGACTCCCAGATCCCTTGGTGGGCATTCTTCGTGTCCGTCATTATGGTGCTCGTCTTTGTCATCCCCACATGCACCATTCTCGCCATCTCCAACATTGCCCTGGCGTTGAATGTGCTCTCGCCCTTTTTGGCTGGCTTCATGATCCCTGGGAGACCTATAGGTGTTATGATTTTCAAGGGTGAGTCCTCCTCTAGTTTAGGTCGTTTGGTACCCCAAACCTTCACTTGCTGACTTTCAATACACCAGTCTACAGCACAATTGTCCTCGGCCAGGCCCAGACGTACAGTGCTGATCTGAAAATGGCCCATTACATGAAAATCCCGCCCAAGACAACCTTCTGGTGCCAGGTTGTCGCCACCATCTGGGCCACCTTTGTCCAGATCTCCGTGATGAACTGGACGCTGGGTAATATCCCCGGCTGCTGCGATACGTACGTCACACCTCACCGTGGTCCATTTTCTTGCTCGTTTATGACTGACAACCCCCACAGCGACCAGCCCGCCAGGTTCACCTGCCCTAACGGCCGTGCCTTCTTCTCCTCGTCCATAGTGTGGGGCGTCATCGGCCCCCAACGCATGTTCGGCTCGGGCTCCATGTACGCCAACTTCAACTACTTCTGGCTCATCGGCGCAGTCTTGCCATTAATCCTCTGGGTGCTCATTCGTAAGCTCAACGTCAAGTTCGCCCGCCACTTCAACGCCCCCATAATGCTGGGCGCCATGGGCTGGCTGCCCCCCGCCACGCCGCTGAGTTTCTGGTCTTGGGGCATGTACGGCCTGCTGTTTAACCACTTTATCCGCAAGCGGTGGGGTGGCTGGTGGCATACGTACAATTTTGTCACGGCGGCTGGACTGGATGCCGGGTTGATAATTTCGACTATTGTGGTGTTCTTTGCGATTACGTTACCTGATGTGACGATTCCGCAGTGGTGGGGAAATGTGGATGTCTATAATACTATGGTGAGGCCTTTGCTTCTTTCCTGATTTCGGTTATATGTCGTTTTGCTGACTTTGATGTTTAGGATTCTTCGTTCACTGCGGTTCTCAGGACTGTACCTGAGGGTGGGACCTTTGGGCCTGCGACTTGGTGATGAAGGTTATGGGTATAAAGTAATGCTTATGAGTACGAGATCATGTCGTTAGTAGCGCTGGGTTTTTCCCTCTTTCCATCGACGGATGGTAGTTGATGCGAGTGCATATGGGGTGTGAATTGTTGCATTGGGAAAGGATGGCCAGGCCGGCTATTCTGGCCTGGCAGAGCTCTTTTATAGCTCTTATCTATCTTATCTCTAGCTATAGGGCAACCCCCCATGGGGTCACGTATCAACCTTGCATGGGTCAGTAAGTGGTTGAAGACAAATGAGTGGTTATTAATAAGGTGAACATGGATGAAGAATTCGTAACAACCTTGGAGGTCTTCCTTGATACTATTCAAAAGCTTGAATCAAAGTCTGGGAAGTTATACCGCCACCTTTATTAGGGCCTCCAAAACCACAAGTGGGAAGCGAATATAGGCCTAAGAATCATTCCCGAACAGATTCCACATAATATTATTGTATGTAATGCACGTTCATTTCACCTCATATCAAATTGGTGCACTTGGACATTATTATAGTAGTTCATCCTGCAGAGGCCGAAGGTTCTTTTCATTCCGCAACTTATCTTCCGTCCTTAGCTAGAGTGGCCTATCAGATATCGTGACAAGAATTCCCAACCCCGGTGAAAAGCTTTGATGGACATCAAAATATTCGAGGCTTCTGATGTTCTTAGGAGGTTGTGACTCAAATCATAGCCCCGAGTGGCCGATGAAGTAACATGCCAGGGTGGTCCACCTGAGACGGCATCCAATTTACATGGACACGGCTATGTACCGCACTAGCATTGAAATTCTCAAGCCATTTTTCGGTCAAACTCCCCATAACAACGTGTTCCGTCTAATAAAGTGCACATGGTAAACTCTTGTTTCCTAGGTGCTAACACGGAGTATTGTTAGATGAACCCCTTTACGCCACACCTGATGTGATTTCATAAGCTATCTACACCCTACTCTGCGTGAAGTGAAAGTATGGAAGACTGCGGTACATCGACCCTGAATCATTCCAGGGTCTGGTCTTCCGCTCGATCGTCGTGTTGCCAAATATGTGCCGTCAAAGTTCCAATGTCTGTTTTGCTTCCTGATCCCGATCCTTATCCCGATCCCCATACCAATGCAATCGTAACGTCATCATTTTCTCTCATAACCTCCAATACTTTGAGTCAGACATAAAGCTATCTCCAGGAAGCTCTGCCCATGATCAAGAAAATCAAACTTCAACCTTCAAGGAAACCGTAGCATCCATCACGGAATTCCCATAGAAAATCTCAGCCCCAGCGTTGCCCACGTTGACAAAGTCACTGTCCTTGATGTAGCCCTGCCCCACCATGGCCGAAAGCCAGTCCTTCAAGTCGCCCTGGAAGGCGCCTTTGAAAGACCCAGTGGGAAGCAGACTGCGGACAGTGACGCCAGTCCCTGGGTTCTGGCCCTCGTAGACGTCGAAGCTGATGCCAAAGAGGTCGACGGCGGTAACGGGACCGCGGGAGTAGCCGATAGGGACTTGATCACCCCAGATCTCGATCCAGAGCATGAACTCGGAGGAGACGGGGTCATTGGGGTCAGCGCCGGCGGTGGACGAAGTGACGAAGTCGAAAAGGTTGCTGCCTGTGGTAGCGAGGGTTCATTAGCCACAGCTTAAAAGAAAATATAGGGGTGGTATGGGACGAACCTCTGAACTCGGTCGTGTTGGTACGCGACCACTTGAAGTACGCAGGAATAGATGAGATATCCGACAGACGGTTCTTTAAGTTGGTGCCGATACCGATGTTGGAATACCCCTTGCAGAGATCCTGGGTCGTCTTGTCGTTCGTCTTCTCAATGTCAGTGACACTTGTCCAGACCACGCCCTCCGTGGTGATGTCATCGTAGTTGGTGCACTGAGTCCCGGTCATGGAGTCAGCGTTGTACATGCTGTTGGCGATCGTCATTCCCGTTCCTGGGAGGTTGAGGCGAGCGCTGTTCCCGCATTGCTCGCTGGCCTCGACACTGGACTGCACACTTGACACCACGCTTTGCGCCAAGTTGGACGGGTTGATGATCGCATCTGAGGTAGTGGTCACCGTTGCGCTGGTTGCATCAGATACCTCGGTGGGCTCCTCAGCCGACGGCTCCGTGGTAGCTACAATCGCAGCGACACTGGAAGGTGGTGAGGCGATCGGCGTCACCGTGGGCACACCAGTCGCAAGCGCGGTAGATGCCACAATGGTCATCAAGCTTGAGAGCGCAGTTGAGTTCAACGCCGAAGTCACATTCGATGCCGGGATCGAGGTTACACTGGACGCTGCACTCGAGGCAGCACTCAATGCTGCATGACCGCTGTGGGTGTATGATCCGTGGGAGTCGCTGCACCCATGGTGCTTTGGTCGCGCATCGGCAACGATTGGGTTCAAGACCAGAAGAGCGAAGGCAAGTGACAACATCGTCAATGAATGAATGACTGAATAAAAAGCAGGAAACGAATGGCTGCAAGCTAGCTTACAGATGGAAGTGAACGACAAACAAATAGTGAACGAAAAGAGCCAGTGCAAGGACAAAGAGGTAGTAAAGAGAGAGCCGCTCCCGGTGCTTCTGTACTCATTTTGGAAGCCTCATCTCATAATAACTTTCTGTTGGTGGATGAAATGATCGCGTCGGTTGCAGGTCTGTCACACAGCCTAGAGCGAACGCTTTTAGTCGCAAGGGAGTGCCGGACTTGGGCGTTTGGCGTTTCAAGAATATGAAGAAACCCCTTTCCGGTGCGGCTATCTCAAGCCATCTCGGGGAACCCGCAGTAGCGTATTCCGCCGTCCAGGGTGAAGCAGCAGTCTAATGGCAGAGTTAAATTGGCAAAGGAATGCCGTGCGCCCTTGGTTGGAATCTTTGGTGTTTCTGAAATGAAAAAAGAAACATCTAGAACTAGGATCTCGACCACTTAGGTGATCGCCACCCCGCTTAACTTAGATACCGCCCTATGGCGCCCCGGGAGCTGACGGGATGAACTTTCCTGTGGAAATTACTTGGTAATATTAAGTGCATGGTCCTATCAGAATGTCCGACATTCCATGTGATATCTATAGAAACGTGGAAATTTCTTGCGTAACTCGAATTTCCCCCACATGAACCCCTTCGCTCCAGTTGAAATGTATCCCGACCTTGGCAAAAGCTGCAATGTCCCGAATATGGGAACAGAGGGCGCGGACGAAACGACGAGTTGGACAAATGATTAATTAAGATGTCTTGTTGATGTCGAGTTTACGCTGCAACCATAGTCTTATCATCCTAGAACGGCAGCATCGGACCTAGCGGTCGAGCTTGATGACTACATAGATGCAGAGAAAGTTGCGATTCAGTACATGCTGTGCACGCTGTGGGAGCACAATGAAAGCTCGACGAACCACATTGTAACGGATCACAACTGCTATAACATCAAGCGCCATGTTGATTGTGCGGCGGCATTCGGCCACGGGGACAGCGCAGCGCCTCAGATTTAGCGGTTCAGTGATTCACATTTTGGGGCGGTAGTAACTAACCCCAGTTTGAACTTAAAGTAGGGACGATATAAATAGATGATGCTGTGCCTTCATTGATAAACACCTGGGGTTTTACAGAATACAACGTCCTTCTATCGGCACGCATATGTACTTGTCCTCTGTTATATGGTCTGAACGAATGAATAGTCAGTTAGCATATTGGGCAGTAGTTTGTTCTTGTACTGATTATGTGCCCTTCTTCTTTTAATTTTCTTAACTAACCTAACATTTCAGCCGTTGTTGAAATCCTTCACCGAAATGTCCTAAAGATTGAAGTCATTACCAGGATTCGCCCAATTCAAGTGATTGGGATTGACAACATCAGGCAAGTAATACTTGTAATAGTCATCTGGAGCTGGCAGCTCCGTTACATGATCCTCTTTCTTCTGCATTTTTTGCACGTACTTCTCCAAATCCAATGTATTCTCCTTCCGCCACTCACTCAACTTATAAAAGTTGATACACTGCTTGTTCACACCCATATCCGGGAACGGATACGCCTGCTCAGCCACCCAGTGCATGGTAATGAGATTCATGTTCCCGCTGCACTGAATTGTCTGCATTAACATATCAACACAATGGTTGATGTGCACCTCGTACATCTCGCCCTTCTGTGAGTGGTGGTAGCCACCACCATGCGAAGCCGAAGCGCCGGTTGTGTTGTAATACTCGCCGTAAGCGATACGCCGCAGTGAGTTGAGGCAGTGCAGCTGGTGATATACGTCCAGGACGGTGGCGTACGCATCGTCGCCGAGACCCCAGTCTTCGTCTTCAAGTTTGGAGACTATCGAGGGGTCTTTGCCCATGGCGCGGATTTGGTCGGCAGTTACGGAGAAGTAGCGGGTGAGTTCCCACTCATCCCAGATGGCATCGGCGATTGGGTTGGGCAACTGACGTGCGATGGAGGGGTCTTTGGGCGTGAATAGAGTGCCATTCAGAGTCTGCGGTTTCATCTCCAGGTCGAACAGGTCGTGTATGGGACCTAGGGACATAGGAATCAGTTGCGAGTATGGAACTGCGACTCATCAATAGCTTCAGTCTTACTATATGTCGATGCTCGCCGTAAAGCACCGTTGAGTCTCCAATAAGTGTCATAGTACCATATCCCCCAAAGACTATACGAGATGATGAACACAATGTTGAGCCCTGTGATCAGGTACAGCTTGATTCCCTGCGATTTCGAATTGGGACAATCACAGCGAATCTTTTCGCTTAGAAAGCCGGGGCTCTCATGGTCATCAATTTCTCTCGGTGGTTCTGACGACGTTAGGGACACAGGCGAATACTTGGTCTTCTGTAATAGAAACATGATGACTCGGCGAACGTTGAGTAATGGCGACGAGCTTGTTTGGATTTTCATGAACAGAAGTGAACGCCGGCACCAGATTCCGATGACAGCAGGGAGAAAATAAGCCCGAAGTTGAAAGAGGCACGGAGATACGTTATGACCTCAGAGTTACGAAAGCTCCGAGGCACGCCTGGTTCGGATCATTCACTGCCGTTGTAATGCAGCCTTAAAGCAAGGCTAAGCCTCCGTATCTTCAGCAGCGACTAGGGAATTCAGGCTACAGGTCATGCGAAAATCATCCTCATGGTGGGACTCCCCTGTTATCCATGACCACAAGAGCGATAGAAGGATTCCAGCGTATTCTACCTTAGGAAGCTGCCAAGACGCTTAAGATACTTTGCTACATCTTACATCCTGGTGGTTATCTGGTATCCTATCATTCCTGTGAAGTAACTAGCAATCTATCGTATAATCAGCACCATTTTTGCGACTGCTCGTCGCCTGGCTGAAGAATCAAGGTATATTACCTGTTCTGGACACAAGATGCGGCACAGATACAGGCGGTGAGAAGCTTCATCTGCCTTTGTATTGCATAGCGCGTCATCTCCATGGCGTCATTCGGAGGATGACCACGAGCCCGTCTGGCCACAGCGAACAAATGCTCCAGTTATATTTAAGTATATCAAGAGGCCACAGAGGTATTGCTCCAAGCTGTTAAGCCTCTCTCAGATCAAGTCCCGACTCGTTCACGCATAGTACCCAGCACCATTCAGACTCTATTCCCACCAACTCAAATGCGCATCCAGACTGCTGCCGCATTCTTCCTGGCCACAGTGGCCCTGGGTGTCCCCGTCAAAGTATGTGCAAAGAATTCGTTGATGATTCCATCCAGGCGCTAATGTATAGCTGTACCAGTGGGGAGAATCCGTCGACGATGATCCCAAGACGGCTACTCTGCCATACAACGTCAATGCTTTGAGGGCAGGAGAAAAACGCGGAGAGGCGGTCTACGATGACCCCAAGACTGCCACCCTGCCATACAGCGTCAATGCTCTTCGATTAGGCGAGGAGAAGCGCGGTGAAGCCGTCTACGAAAACCCCAAGGTTGCCACCATGCCATACTCCGTCAATGCTTTGAGGGTGGAGGAGGAGGCTATTTAGGACAGCCCAAAGGCTGTTGTTACCTTGTTTTGTAATGTCAACGCGCTGGAAACCGCAGAGTGACATCCTGCATTCTGCGAAAGAGAACCAGGCTGGGCATGGTTTTCACGGACTTTATCAGAGGGCCTGAGAAAGGTCTTAGGGTGGCGCGAATGCTTCGGTTCTTGACATTGTTGAAGATTTGCCGTGTCGCCAGAAGAAACAGTTATTTACTAGAAATGACTCAATTAACATGTCTTCTATGTGGTGTGCATCCTTCAGCCATCGTCTTAGCCCAGTACTCATATGAATTTCCAGGACGAAGTGATTTCATACGTCAATTTCGAGTAGTCCAACACTAGACTATCCCAATGATAGCATCAAGCCCGGTACAGCTTGAACTGGCTGGTTTTGCAAAAGGGAGAATGACAGATGTGCCTGGGTATTCACATGCCTCGAAACCGAAAGAATGATCGAATTAGCTCGTAAAAATCTACAACATGCACAAGTGCTTCAATAGAACCAACAAAATCTCCGCCGCCGAAGCCCTCGGTTCAACTATGGCGAGTATGTGCTGATCAGGCCTCACCAATATGGCCCCACCCCTCATCATGTTGGAACCCTGCTTAAAGAGCATTCTGTGCTTCTCAAAGACGAATTCGAAGTCCGCGTCTAATGCATAAAGATGAACCTGAATGTGTCTCCCCCTCAACAAGTCTTGCAGCTCCTCATATCGTCTACCCCAATCATCTCTGGATCCCACAACCACTGTAAAGGAGTTGAAGTGACATAAATCTAGCGTTGAAGCCGTGCGCGCGAATATCTCATCATTTGACCACTCTTCCACGTAAGAAACGTCCACGGGTTTAAAGTCTGGGATCTGGGTCGGGTCGTGGAGCTTGATCCATGCGTGGGGCAGTCGAGCACCTGGGATAAGCTTAGGTGTATAATGCGAGGCATTGGATGGTGCATGTTTCGATCCGTATACGTACCCTATATGAATCTCCAGCTGCCATTTAAGTCGTCAGTAACGTTCAATGTGTTTACTACGGTGGGATGAGAACGGGGAGTACATTATCAAAATGCTCTCTTTGCCCTTCGACCTGCCCCTTGATTAAATCTTGCTTAGCAGGGTCATGGATTGACTTGTGAAGATTCCCTCTCGCTTCTTCGATATCCTCAATCCCAGCGGTTCCAAGTGTATTAAGGAAAGAGAATATTTTCTTGCCATTCTCGACGCTTTGGCCTGAGTTTACTAGCGCAATCTGACGTCGCTCTTCCACGTAGCTTTCTAAGATGCGCTGGCCTGCCCGTCCTTGGTGCACACTTGCGATCTTATATGCGAGGTTATGGACATCAGCTATGCCTGAGTTGAGGCCCAAACCACCGGTGGGTGGGAAGGAGTGGGCTGCGTCGCCTGCTCTGGAGTCGGCATTAGTTCATGCATCGGTAATTGGCAGAATATAGGGCAAAACAACTGATGCAGAGACTTACAGTAAGACGTTTCCAACATGATATTGATTCGCAACTCTGCGACTGAGAACCCAGGGTCGGTAACTTAAGACGTTGAAGGGAACATCGTGACCGATGGCTGCAGCAACGACTTTCCGGGCTAGGTCCGCATTCCAGGAGCCCACTGGGTGTCTCTTGGGCTAGATAATTATGAGCCACTGGTAAATCGTCCAGATGCAACCAGCTTACGTCAAAGTTGTTGATCAATACTTGATTCTCCGACAGATCATACGCAATGATAAACCCGGAGCAAGCTGGGTCTGTGATCCAATGCAGCATGCCAACTCGATCCTTGACCACAGGTCTCAAGTCGGCATTGAAGTGTATCGTCATCATTGTCTCGTCTGAACATCTTATAAGTCATTTTCGTTGATCCGTAGCAGACATCCATAGTCACTTACAACTGTCTTCACCCTCGCTTTCAATCCCTAGGTCGTTCCGTACCTGGCTCTTGGCACCATCGCAACCAACCACATGTCTCGAACGAACAGTGTATTGATGCTTCGTGTGGCACTCTTCGAGTGTACTGGTAACAACTCCGTTTTCCTATTTTATGAGTTACTGGGACATGACAATGTTGATTGAGTCGCGTTTACCTGGCGGCAAGAAACGAACGCAACCCCTTTTCGCACTTCCACGTTAGAATCATACATCAAGTGACTGGCGATGAACTTCTCAAAGTCCGGTTGGGCGACGTTGTGAATCATCTGAAGCTCATTCGTCAGTCACACCCGGCATTCCTCAAAAAGAAGAGCCCCTACCTCGGGCGTCTCGTCCATGACCTCAATGTCCATCCGCTCATAGGGAAGCACCCCAATGCGTTCGCCACTCAAGTTTGTCAGAAAATTGACCCAGTAAGCATCTTTTCGCCTAGTCCCCATCTTTCGCAATGCAGTTGTGTCGAGGCCAAACTGGCGGCATATCTCTAGAGATCTTGGACAGAGCGCATGCGCTTTAGGCGCGGCGAGCCTCTCAGGGTATTTTTCGATCAGAAGTGACTGGACTAGAGTAGAGTGAGCGATTATTCAGTTGTATAAATACGAGGTGGCTGGTGAGTACCTCCAAATTTAGATAGAAGATATGACATGAGTAGGCCGCTAGGGCCGCCGCCAACGACGAGGACTGGCACGTCGATGTCGATATTCCAGCCACTGCTTGGAAAGCCGTTGGCCGCGTTAATACTGTCAGTGACCATCTCGTTGAATTGAATAGTCAAGAAAGAGGGCAACTTGACGTTGTGCGAGTCCGAGTTTACTTGCGCTGGCTCGAGGTAAAGTAACGGTGTTCCTGCGCCTTGACGCCGAGGCATCATCTGTACCATATGAAGATTTCTCCAGCTCCCAGCATAGCCAGTAAATCAGATGAAAGCTAAGGCCAGTATGATTTAACACAACCAACTGTTGGGATGAAACATTCTGTGGGAAATACAGGCAGGGGGGCTGTATTGGTGATGATGGCGATGATGGGACCAACTCCCAGGAATCTGCTGCGACAAAAGGGCTATCTATGGGCAGTTGAGCCAAGTGATGCACCCACCATACAGCCGGTAGTTTTGGCGCACGCAACATATTCCATCCTGCGTGAAACCGCACCTAAATACTTGCGTCATGTTGAACTAGCCCCGCATAAGCCAAAGTTCAACAACTTCCCTTTGAACAACCCGGCTTGCGATATCGACGTCCCCATGATTTAGAAGACCCGACCTTAGCCATGAGACCGCTTAGTTTGCGGTAATTTAATGCGGCTCGGTATTTAAAATGCATCTGTCTTTCAGCAAAAACATAAATCGAAGATCTGACTGTCTGACCTCTTGAAGCTGATACGACCACTCAAAGCCCTAAGTGCTGTCATATGTTTATTGAACCAAGTAAACTGTGTCATGAAATTCTTGAAAACTCAGTGCATGGCTAGATATAGACTAGAGATGAGTCCACAGTTATAGTATGGTAAATGCTTTTAGCTACTTGTTTCAATGGTTCTTTCTCTGGCAATCACAGGAGCAGGATTCACTCTGTTGTTGGACTTCCAATCCGCACTCAAACCAAATCGAAGCCTCGTAGTTTCACTCGAGCCCGCTCCAGTGCTTCCCTTTCCACAGATACACGTATTATTCCCCCTGTACCCGAGTCGCATTGCACAATCTCGGGTATACATGATCACCGAAATCTCGGATCTTCAGACTTGTCTTGCCGGTTGACTTGGCAAGTTGTCTTGTTCTGTGTACGCACGCTTCTTGGTAGAGAGCCTGGTGCACGTTGTCTGGAAAAGGCCCCAGCAACGGCTTTCCGGACATGCTGCCATGGAGTTAACATTCACCCACTACCTAATATTATTTCGCGCCTGTTGGCCGTAGTAATATTTTTATTTCGTAACCTGAAAATTACACGATATGACGGTATATGAGCCGATCCCCATGAAACCATCCTGCGCCGTGAAGAAGATGTGGCCCTGGAGGTATACTCAAGCTGCATTACAAAACTTTAACTCAGAGAATCTTGTAGTATATCATTGTTGTTCACTGACTGGTCGCCCTTCAGTCAGGTTGTCAAGCACGCCGTAAAATCTGCAAGGTGGAGGTGCCTTAGCGGTTTGTCGGTTGACCAGCAGCTGTGCCTGAAGTGGCCCAGAAGCAATTTTATGAAGAATACCCCGATGATCGATTCTTTCGAGTAACAATCTGGCAACGAAGTAAGACAAGGCTGGATAATTGAGTATATATTTCTCACGTATCCCAAATTTTTCAAATGAGACAAAACATAATAGCCATCTTTGCACTGCATCTAGTGAATGCTTGAAGCTACAACACCAGAGAGGCGAAGAACACCGCACCCTATATATTTTGCTTTGGGGTAGAACAATCCACCGGCTATGGTCGTGTGAAGCATGGAAACTTAGGAGAACCGATCAGTAGCCCAGTCTGTGACCCAAGTCCTCAACCCCAGCAGTGTTTTTCTTTCCCTTACCGAGTCGTTTTCTGCCAGAGAGACCAATGATCAAGTTGTTTTGATGATTTCCAAGACGACGTGCCGATAAACATATGTGACCGCCACAGAATAAGCGGGGATGATATTCATAGCAGTAACGCCGCCCCTTAGGAGACCCAGTATTCCGTAGATCCTATCTCAAACACCCGTTACATTTTGTGTCATGTATTTTAGCCAATTGTTCAGCTAAGTAGTCTTCGATATAGTGAGCACCCCTATCTGGGAAAGGGGTGAGGAGCGAGGGGAAACGTATAAGTGATTAATTGTCTGTAAGATATGCCATAACCGGGGTTATCTTCAAACAGCGACCCGGTAGATCCTCGGGCTCAATTGAACATTCGGACTGGAGCTCAAGCTCTCCACCGAAAGGACCCTCGCCGCAGGCATCGTGGAGCTTAACCACCGTCGTCACCCAAATCCCATTGAGCCTCGCGCCCCTTAACAACGGCAACAATGTCGCTGTCCCGCGAAGCCGAGAAGGTGCTGCTGACGCCGTCCGTACGGCGCACCATCTATGCCCGCGCATCTCAACAATCCTCCCGACTGGTCGCCTCGCACGCTATCCGAAGCTTCCAAACCTCGTCCAAGAGCCTGCTCCCCAACAACAGCCCACTCGGTCCGAGCGGTTCGCTGACGGGTCTCGGCTCGATTCCGCCGTCGTACTTTCAGCGTCCTTCTCTGCCGGCCAACACCATTGTCCGGTTCGTACCACAGCAGACGGCATGGATCGTCGAGCGCATGGGCAAATTCAACCGGATTCTTGAACCCGGTCTGGCCATCTTGGTGCCTTTCCTTGATCGCATCGCGTACGTGAAGAGCCTCAAGGAGGTGGCCATAGAGATTCCCAGCCAGAGCGCCATCACGGCTGATAATGTGACGCTCGAGTTGGATGGTGTGCTGTACACGAGGGTGTTCGATGCCTACAAAGCTTCGTATGTTTCCCCCTCTTCATTCATTGTTGTCAATCCACTCCACCCATGAGTATGGACTCGTGCTAACACTTATAATCTAGCTACGGCGTAGAAGACGCCGAATATGCCATCTCCCAACTAGCCCAAACGACGATGCGCTCCGAGATCGGCCAGCTAACCCTCGACCACGTCCTCAAGGAGCGCGCTGCGCTTAACACCAACATCACAGCCGCCATCAACGAAGCCGCGCAAGCATGGGGTGTGACGTGTCTACGGTATGAGATCCGCGATATCCATGCACCCGCCGCCGTGGTCGAGGCCATGCACCGCCAGGTGACGGCCGAGCGGTCCAAGCGCGCCGAGATTCTCGACTCCGAAGGCCAAAGGCAGTCCGCCATCAACATTGCCGAGGGAAAGAAGCAGAGCGTCATCCTGGCGTCCGAGGCCATGCGGGCGGAGAAGATCAACCGCGCGAGCGGTGAGGCTGAGGCTATTCTCATGAAGGCCAAGGCGACGGCGAACGGCATTGACGCAGTGGCGCGAGCCATCCAAGCCGGAGGTAGCTCGGCGCAGGGTGCGGTCAGCTTGAACGTGGCCGAGAGATATGTCGATGCATTTGGCAAGCTGGCGCGCGAGAGCACCGCCGTAGTGGTACCCGGCAATGTGGGCGACATCGGCGGCATGATCGCTACGGGTTTGAGCGTGTTCGGCAAGGTCGGCGAGGCGCAGACGCGGAGCATGGCAGCTGCAAAGTTTGTCGAGGATCCCGAGGAGAGCGATGGGTCGAGGGAGGACAGGAAAAACAAACCCGCCTCCGCTGAGAGCGTCAAGGATTCCATGGTGGCCGAGTTTGACAACGCAGCTGCTACGGCTGGGAAGAACTAGAGTGATTCTTCGACAGCATGCCAGCAGCAGAGCCAGGTGTTGACGACGGTATCCCATCTTCCTCAACCACGACCAGAGACTGGACGCGCTATTACTTGGCAGAAGGGCCAGGGATTCGTTGATATGTGATGTGGGATGTAACACTATTGAGGATGATGACGAAGAAAATGTCATTTGTTTTGTCCAAGGTCCAAGAGGAAGTTCACGGCGAGGCAAGCATTATAATAACCCAGGAACGTGAAAAAGCGCGGCGTCCGTCGGTCAGTAGCAATGAGCATTTTGATTCCATCCACGGCACGGCAGGCAGCATGGTTTGGACACCACATATGTATTTCTACAAAGGGAGAAAGAAAAAAGCACAAACTGGAGTTTGGGTTTGAACACTAGCACCCAGCTCTATTCAACTCATCAGCTCAACTCAGTTCGGCATTCAGTATAGCCAGCAAGTCCGTCTGGCAGGCTGTAACTGTCGAAGAGTCGAACATGTTAGATATCCCTCTCTATTCCTCTATTACGCACAATGGCAATCTGTAATAATAGTAGTACAGTCCTATTCGCTTCTTGTCGTGAACCACTCTACTTATAATAAGGTTGCCATGTCTACTTTTCTTCGAAAGCAAGAACAAAAAGAAAATCATGCCATGCTTTGCTTGCTCTCATTTCGTTACACCCCAAGCTCACCTCCCACGACCTCTAATGCCTTCCCCAATGAATTACCCACATCCTCATCCCCGCTCCGTCCTGCGACCTTAACCGCATCCACAATGAGAGGGTACAGTCTCAGCAAATGCTTCCGGGTCTCGCTTTCCACGTTCGCCATATCTGGGATAGCCTCGCTTTCACTTTGCAGCGTCACCAAACTATTTAGTATCCTACTCAATTCTTTCCGCTGGCTCAAGGGCTGCGGCATGCGGCCTCTCAAAGGCTGGTCCGCAATGTACGAGCGCAGTGTGAGGGCGGCTCGCAGGATCAGATACGGCGCCACCGTGCGAGCTAGTCGGACATGGAGCTGGTGCGGTGGCTCGGAGGGCGCATTAGTCGAAGATGGGGTCCCGAGTGATGGAAAGCCTGGTGTGGGGGGTTGTATCGTGATGCTGGGAGCAGCAGCCTCGTCGTGCGTCGAGACGAGAGCGAATAATTCCTCCAAGCAGACATACGCCATTTTCTCGCGCAGCGTTGGGGTCGGGTCGACGGTGCGGCCTGGTCGTGGCTTGTACAGACTGGTCAGGCCTTCCGCATTGTTGCCGTATATGAGGTCCGACTCTGCTGGCGCGGGTGCGTGGATAATGGACATGCGGAATAGCGACTCAGCAAAGAGCTTGCGAGTCTTTTCGGGCACGAGGTCTGCGCCCAGGGAGGGGATGATGAGCTCGCGGAGTTTGGTGAAAGAGGCAATATCAAAATTTTGGTCCAGGACAAGATTGATGCGCTCCGGAGGGACGTTGCAGTCGGCGTTTGTGATACCATTAGCGATTGAAACGATAGTTTGCCATATATCCTGGACGGTAGACCGTGAAATGTCAAGATTGCGGAGATGGTGGAGCGTTGCTTCCAGGATGGATAGTGCGGATGTAGTTGCTACTTTCCAAGGTTGTGTCGTCTTTGTGAGCGTCGGGAACTGATATTTGAGTACTATTGGCTTCGAGAGAGCTGATAACGCAGCTAAAAAGGCGCCATCGCTGTATATGCCTGGGTCTGAAGCATGAGCAACGACCAAAGCCTCCAGAATGAGCATGCTGGCCTTGGACATGGCCACATAAGTTCGCTTTTGTGTCGAGCGTTGGCTGGACATGGTATCATTTTCAAAAGCCAGTGAAATGAACTGGGATGCTTCGCTAATTAGTGCAGATGGCGCACCTGGTAGGTCCGTCCTAAGCATCTTCAGCACATCTAGGATTTTACTTTGCAGAGGTGTCGTATAGTCGATGTCAACAAAAAAGGCCCCAGGAGTGGCCTGTTGCATTGCCTGGGTCATGAGTGTCAGCATTCGACTTATGCGATCCACCGTCAAGTCCGCTTGAATTAGTCGGTATACATCGCGAAGTGCCGCAACGTATGCCAGCAGACAGTTTTGATTATCTGCCACCTTTGCGCCGTCAGCATTTTTGGCAATGGGGATGCCACGAGACCAAAGGTCCCAAGCGAGATCAATCGTCGTCTTGTTGAAGTTTTGTTTGGCACCATTTTGACTCTGGGAAAGAATCTGGCCCAAGGACTTGAAAGTCGCCGTGTTGATTTCAAGCACCTGAAAGTCGAGCAAGGTGGCAAAATGACCCAGCAATTGCTGCCAGTATGAGTTGAAGGTTGGATGGACGGTCAAAACGTCGAGGTAGTTTGCAAGTAGGCCCGATATGCCGTTCAAAACCACGACGGCTGTGTCGTGCCATTCGTTTCGCTCCTTTTCATTTACCTCGCGCCCACTGACTGACTGTAACTTGTCTTCGATCGATGTCATGAGCCTGAAGATGACCGACTTGATGCAGACAGACCATCCCTCTGGACTGAGTCGATCCCCATAGGCATCAAATATTCGCAGTAGAGTATGAGTGGCACCTATGGCCGTTAGCAGATGACCATGAAACATCTGGGGTTTCGCATACTGTTCCTCAGTTCAAGCCTGTCGTCTGTTGTCACCGTAGTAAGTCGTAAAAGTAGCAACATCCACAGGGCAGCGTCAGAGGAAGCGTTCTGTGGGTCTGCGGCCTTTTCCACTAAATCGCTGTCGTCTGTGCCTCCAACCAGACCATCCGTGATGGGCAGAGACTTGTGTTTGTTCTTCCCCGATAGAAAATCGGAGAGGACCCAAAAGAAAGTCACAGTCTTGTAAGTCAGCAACAGTTCGAGTAGAGCAGCGGGTTCTACTCACAGTAAGAGCGATGTTGAGGTCATCATCTTGCGAGCAAAATTTATACAGGGTATCAACGAGGATGAGAAAGCATGAATTGGGTAATGAAGACAAAAAATCTGAACAGATGAGCTGCAGGGAGTTGAAAGATGACCTGATGAGTCTGCCGGATCGTGTCATGAGTCTGGTGGACTGTGACTCGGCTGTCTTGCTGCCATCGTCGGCGAATCGCTTCTCTAAGAAAATACTGTTGATGATTTCAAAGGCAATATCCCAGCCGCTTATGAGCGTTTCACCGCAGTTGTCTAGCATGCTCTTAAGGCCTTCGAGGATGACCTTGTGGATGTCGACATCGGTAGAATAGCTCGCGACAGAGGACTGCCGGTTACTCATTTGCAATGGAAGGAGAGCATTTCGGAATGCTTCTAATAACCGAAGTTGGACTTTGCCGCGCAGTTCATCGCTAAAGCTCGACGCAGTGTTTGCCGCATCCAAGACAAGACGGACAAGAATATCTGCTGCGCGTGTCCGGACTTGAGCTGACATTGATGCTCCGCTCAATGTCCATATGAGTTCAGATACCAACGGTGTCCAACCCGAAACTTCAGGTGGGTACGTCAGTAGTCTCTCAATGTTGATGATGGCTACGTCTCCCAGCTTCGCCAGCGCAAACTGGTCCTCCTGGTTGAGCCCAGTAGTAGACACCGTAGACACACTTAGCATTTTTCGGTGCTGGCCGCTAGACGTCCTCAGTCCTTGAGGAGTCGGAGGCGTCAAGGATTGAGATGCGGGGGACTGCGGTTGGCTGGCGGGCTCACAGGCTGGTTCAGTGTGTCGTCCCAGCAGGCTGCATACTGCGCTGACAACCTCAACAAAGGATTCGTTGGGAAAGTCGACAGTGCTTTCGAACAACCTAGACGCAGCTGTCTCGACTGCCCGAATTTCAGTACTGAAGTTGGCAAGCAAGGAGTTAGCTTCGCTATCTGCCTTCTGGTCTGAACCCTTGTTGGCCATCGGCGTTTTCCCGGCCACCTTTCCAGTTGAGAACAAAACGAAATCGGCTTGTTGTAGTGTTTCGAGAATGATACTCCACGAAGAGCTGAGCGTAGGACCTAGAGCGATGCCCAAATTCAACAGTGCACGAAGGCAAAGCAAATTGCGCGTATTCAGCGTCTGTGATACGACGCTGGCATCAGCTGATGCCTGCCTCTGTCGTTCTCCGGCGGCACCAACAGGTGTCACGAGGTTGTCCACGCTCAGAAGCCCTCGGGCATTACCCAGGAGGCTACTGGGTGCTTCCACGGTCGGCGTTGCAGGGGCTCCTTTCGAGGAACCAGCATTCAGACATGCGGTAAATACGTTTGGAGGAACTGCAGCCTTCCCCAATGTGGTCAAGAAAGCATCCCTTGGCGTGTTCAGCTGCAATAACCCGGCCACGTGTGCAAACTTCTGGAAGGCCCGTACGAGTCCATGATAATATTCAGAGTCTAGGGCGGCAAAGAGAAACGTAGAGCACGTTGCCAGAATCGCAGGCCAGCACTCGTCAACAATTTGTGCGCAAATCCTCACTTCCTGATACAGAGGGTGGTCCTTCAATACCAACGGGTTGACGGGGACCGGGTTCCTCTTGAACGAACCCGAACGCGTCAGCAAGTCCGACGATGCTGTCCTTTCCAAGGTGGCCTTCGACGGCTCAGTGCCATCTTCGGGGATCGGGGCCGGAGATTCACGTCCCGTATCAGATAGCTTGGTACCTCTCTTGCGTGATCCCCGATCTGTAGGGACGGTAAGGGGAAGAATGAACTTTGCCAGGCCCTCAGATAGAGAAGTGATACAGGATAGAGTCAAGGCGTAGATGTATGATTCGGGTATCGGGGGCGGATCAGTCTTGTCCAACTGGTCAATGCAGGGAACCCGGATGGTGCTCCACTGAGAACTGATGCCGGTGTTGTAGCCCTCACCAACAGATCCGCTTATGATCCCTGTGACTCCGCTAGCCTCAAGCATCGCCTGATCAGTCGAGGTGCCAAGATTAGCGTATGGATTAGCGATGGGGATGGTTGATTGGTGACCGAGTCCAATGACGGCGGGCTTCTCCGTGCTAACACGCACAAAAGTGCCCATGAGCCCTTTCAGGATGTCCCTGTCTTCGTCCTTGTTGTCATACAGCAGGAAAATCTTCCTCAGAAGACCTGGATCGGCGAATATTCCACGAAAGACCTCCATGCATAGCGCCCGTCTCCATATCGCTGTGTCCTGATCGAGCAGCTTCGTCAGGATCTCAAGGGCCTCGCCGCCTTCATTGGGAAGTATGGTAAGATGCCGTCTGAGCAGCGTGTACAGGATACGGACCAGCCTGACCGTCGTGGCGAAGTTAGTTTTACCCGACAGGGCGCTGGTCAAAAAGGGCATCACTCGGGTCCGTAGAACGTGTGCTTGCTCGGGATGGGAAGAAAAGATAGAGGCGTGATTGGTCAAGACTGATTCTATCAGCTCTAGGCCAAACGTCTGGGGAAGCCCGGTGAACCGAAGGTACTCGGGTCGTTGGTTCTCAGTCATGAGGCAGATGTCGTTGAAAACACGGTGTGCATCCAGTGCTGCAGAATGCAGCTGGACATGACCATCCTGGGTCGGCGCATCTCCCACGTAGCCAGTTTTCGAGCTTAACCTATCCTCGGCCACGACTTTGTCGAAAACTGACACGACCAGCTGTTGGAGGGTAGCAGCCGAGGTATTGTTGACAATGCCATTTTTGCTAGTCTGTAAAACGAAACAGATATTCAAGGCAGTAACGAGCAAGTCTCCTTTGATATCAGCTGAATAGTTCTGCAGCAACGTCGGAAGAGCTTGTAGTATCTTCAGCTGGACGTCAAGGCCGGAAGTCGTGGCCTCTCGCAAGGCTTCGAGTACTGGGCTCAGCTTGGATCGCGGCAACGCACTGGCCATGACAAGCCGTTGCAGGCAGACAATTGCAATCCCGGTGAACTTGGCATTTTTGGTACCACATGCGACAACGAAGGGGTTGACGAAGTTCACCCTTTGGGCGAGTTCTGGGAGCTGTTAGAGCAGGAGTACTTGACGGGTCACGTCGGCAGGAAATGAGTAAATACCAGCGGCGATTTGAGCTTCATTGGCACCTCGGATGCTCTTGAGCTCCTCGAGAGACTTCTCGGCAGCCTACTATATGTGTTAGTGTCCTTGGTTCTCAAGAGGTTCCTCTTACACGATAAAGGGCATCAATGAGGCCAGTGGGTACGTACCTGTCTAAGATCATTGTGTTTCCGCTTGCTTTCTTGAATGAGATTGGTGAGCTCCGACGTCAGGAGCTGAGTTGTCATCTTGACCAGTTGATTCTAGTAAACTCCATCGGGAGCCAAGAGAAAGAATTCCTAAGATTTTGGGCTTGATGTCCCAGGATTCCCACACAGACCAGATGTCCCCAGGCACCCAACTGAGCGAGCTTGTTGCCAGATTGGTCGGCTCGTGGCTTTCCCGACAAATGTACGGCTGACTAAGGCTGCTGCAGTTGGCAGAATTCCTCACCGCCTAGATTGAACGGCCGACTTGCAGGTCAACCCCACCATCCCACCTCGTCACAGTTTCAACATTCAGCAAACGACGAGTTCGGCGTCGCGCACTTTCAGTCAGGCTCAGCAATCGCCGGCAATATGAGTGCCAAAATCCCGCGCAACTTCCGTCTTCTGGAAGAGCTCGAGAAGGGCGAGAAAGGAATGGGAGCCGAGGCTTGCAGCTATGGCTTGGACAACCCGGAAGATCTGTTGATGTCTGACTGGAACGGCACAATCCTCGGCCCTCCTCACGTAAGTTGCGGCTTTTGTCAAGTCACACAATCCCGTTCGCACGATCGCGTTCGCTAGCAGAGCTGATCATCACTGTTACTACAGAGCGTGCACGAGAACAGAATCTATTCGGTCAAAATGCACTGCGGCCCCCAATACCCCGACACGCCTCCCACCATCAAGTTCGTCAGCAAGGTCAATCTTCCCTGCGTCAATGCGCGAAACGGTGTTGTCGACCAGTCGCAACTTCCTTGCCTGGCCAATTGGAAGAGAGAGAACACCATGGAGACAATTCTCATTGAGCTCCGACGTTACATGGCTTCTAGTCAGTGTAAGAAGCTGGCACAACCGTCGGAAGGATCGGTGTTCGAGGGCAACTAGGATGCCATGGTGGAGGGGACAGTTGGTTCTAGTTCTGAGAGCGCGCGAGCATAGAGAAGACACAGTTATTTGAAGCTCGACATCAGGAATTATACGAGGGGAATGGCGTAAAGGCTCTGGAACATCCCACCATAGCTACTGTGTGATTACAGACCACGGAACGAAATAAACGACGTTACGACGCCTTTAAGGACAAGTATTTTTGTTGCGGCGGCATAGGTTTTGATTTATTATAGGAGACGAGGAGCAGCAGCGTGACAGCGAGGCAAGGCCATATGAAATAGGCCTATTTGGAAGTCATGCCTCACAAGTGTATCATTTTCCGACTCTCTATGCTACGAGGGATCCGTCTTCGTACATCTGGGTCGTAGCTAGCCCAAGACAGGACGGCGGTAGTGGCAAATACGGTTTCGGGTGATAGCTGGAACTGAGACGTAACATTTATCAGTTGAGTCCGGGTTGGCAAGCACCCGAAACTTCTCATCTCTACTATGTTGAGAAAACAGTACCATTTCTCATTCAAATCGACCTCATACTCGCAAGAGACATGTTCTACAATCGGTCAAGGTTCACAGCACGTTTCTTTGTTCCTCTATATAAGCGGATGAGAACAGCAAGCATGATGATGAGTCCGAGGTATTGATCAACGCTGCTTTTTTCAATAAAAACTGTACACCTACAATTCAAAAATAGTGAAATGACATGTTAGTATACGGAGTATTTATTTAAGAAAGTACCTTCTTCAGATTGCTTTTTATTGTCACAGAATATAGATAGATGGTGAGTTCGCGCACGGCCCATGCAATTTCGAGTTATTCGTACCTGCCGGAATCCATCCCGCTAATCTCAAAGACTTCGCTCCTGCCCCGGACATCCTCGGTGAATCACCACGAACACTCATCATATCTGATGCTCTGTCCTTCCTAATGAAGAGCAAATGGGCGATGCGTAAAAGCTTCCTCATCCCGGCTCGCGACTCACGTCACCGGACGGCATGTAAACATCAACCCCCCAGTAGCCCTTGTATTACAACGATTTGGGCTAGACCTACACGTTCGATCCAAGGTCTTCTAACAAACCAATAGGCTTCGCGCTCTATCGCGCTCTGCTCAACCTCGCACCCCATGTCCCACTCCCGTCCAACCTCGCAACAGCATGGGGCCCTAAGAACCCCATCGCGCACCTCATAAGGCGCGCCTTCCGCCGCAACCGCGCTGATGTCTCGCCTCGCCTTGTCTACCCAGCGTTGAAAGCCGGCTACAGATTTTTGGCTCTGTTGCAGGGCGCGCAGACGCCTTCTTCGCCTGAACATGACTCCGTGCTCTCTTTCCTGGAAGCGCGGTTGAAAGAGCGAAACCACACGCTCGCTCAAAAGGAACTCCACCCGCCCAACTCGAAGAACCCAGTCCAGATGACGTCTGCGCCTAGTCCGCTGTCTGTTCCGCTGCTGGTCAACGTGACCCCGGATCCCACACCCGAAAACCCTAACCCGAAACCCGTCTATGCTGCTGCACACCGTCCGCGCCCATTGTCTGAATTGCCGCCCGGCGCAACGCGCAAAATCCCCAAGTTCGACATTGCCTCCGACTTCCCCATCCTTCGGCTCGATAAGCCGCAACCGCCCGTCCTTTCACGCGTACTGCGGCAGAAGATCGTGAAGCGTCAGGAGCGCATCACGAAAGTGATGAGCATTATCGAGGATGAGTTACCCGAGTGGGCCGACGAAGACGCGTGGGAGCGAAACGTGGCCGATCTAATGGAAAAGGAATGGACAGAACGGCAATGTGTGGCGCCGCACGAGCAACAGATCCAGGAGACGGTGGCGCAAGCCATCTGGGAGCACCAAGCTGAACAGCAGGACGAAAACGTATACAAGCAGACCTTGTACAAGCATGGTGTGTTGTGGCTCAACCGCGTTCTGTCTCGGGAACGCGATGACGCGGTCGCCAGGGCCGATGCGATGCGCGTCATCATCGCCGAGGAGAAGGCATTAGCGGAAAAGGAGAAGCATGAACGCGCGGCTGAGAGGCGGTGCAGGTGGGAGGAGAAGATGCGAGAGCTGCACGGAGAGGGCTGGGAGCAAACAGTGGAACAGGCCAACGCAGCTCACCGGAGAGAGAAAGAGGCTAAACCACGGCGGAAAGGAGATGCGATTGACAAAGAGCGGAGGGCGGCGCAGACAAAGGGGGAGGCAAAGAGGAAGGCAGTTGAAGAACAGATGAAGGCACCGCTAGCATGGCAGAAGGCAAAAGGGAAGGCGGCAGAGGAGTTTGGGCAGAAACGAGCAAACCCAAAGCAACCAGGAAAGACGAAGAATGAGGTGTCTGAACAGGAGATGGGGAAAAAGCCTGAAGAGGAGAAACGTCGCCTGGGCGGGACAATTAACAGACCTCTGGTGAGGAGGACGCCCATCATAGGCCGAAGAGGAGTGACTGCCCGAAGGGCAAACATTCCGGATCAGGTATTTGAACGCCCATGCCGAGACGGCGAAAAAGCCTAGCCTTTCTAATTCAACATCGACACAAGAGAGTCGGACAAAAAGCGCCTGCGGAATCAGTCGGAGGCGAGCGAAAGGAGCAGTGATGACGAACAGGCAGTTCAGGGTGAAAGCGATGGTGAGACGGGGGAGGGAGACGGGGAGACACCGGAGGTGGCCAAAAAAACGTGACCAGAAGTCCCATTGTAAGATCTTCTCGGAATGAACAAATCACCTCGCCTTGATGTATATAGGTGTACATTATTAGGTTTTTACCCTTCTTTATATATTTGAGATGGAGTGGATGCATGTGTATGTGTGCTTTTGCGAAAATTCCGATACCCATCATAAGTCCAACGCACGATGAACACGCTGCATCCTTAGATTTTCAGATTGCCCATTGCAGACGAAATCAACTGACATCGCTCCCATGATCTTTTTGCCCAGCGCCGAACCTCGTTTCTCATTCAAGCATTAACCTGGTCTAGTATTATCTGGCTGGTAACCTCTCATATCCCTCGATGGCCGAGTCATTGTACTACAGTAGGATCCACCACACTGGCCCAGAAAGCAGAATTCACATCTTTGGGCCTGAAGCCGGGCGCGCGACCAAGACAGGTGCATCGCGATAGGAGTTCTAAGGTGCGGTCAGTCATATGTCCACTCTGGATTCAACAAGAAGACCTGCTGTGCTAGCAAAATCCCAGAGACAATAGACAGCCTTGGAAGATCGTGGAGTTAGGGAGGTATGTGGGGGAGGGGTAAAGGGGACAAGGCAAAGACTTACGATCAATCAACTTGGCAACATGAATCCTCCATATTCTCTTTTCTGGCCTGGGCGCAGTGATACCGGGTGTATTGGACAGGTCGGGGAAGGAGTTCGCAGCCAATAGTGACGGATCTGTGAAGTTTGTCGGGAGACTTGCTCCTATGCCGCCGTCAAACGGCGTGGTTAGGCCGGGTACGCCGATGTTCTGGGTGAAGGTGATGCCGAAGAGATCTCCAGCATCAGCAGGATTCTGCTGCTGTCCCCATTGCCGTGCCTGCGTCTGACCGACTTGGAGCATACTGGACGGCATCCCGAATCCCTCGCTTGGTTTGGACTCATACGAACTCAACAACCCTGTCGACATGGACACGTTGCTCGACTCCTCATAACTCATATTCCCAACACCCGAAACCACAGAAGAGGCACTGTTATCATAATGAGGGTTACTCCCACTCCCTTCTCCAAACCCTGCCCTTGCCTCCGCCCCTGACGCTGCCATGACCCCCCCTGACGGCCCCCCAAACGCAAATTCGTCAATTTCCACTGCATAGTACTCGGAGCTCCCCGGTATGGAAACCTCATTCTGCTGCATATAATACTCGACCTCGTCGGCGTCCCAAAACGCGCCGTCGAAGCCAGGTAACTGGATCTGCTGACCCATATCAAGAAGAGAGTCGCGTATCCGACTGATCGTCGGATCGAAGGGTCCCATAGCAAACCCAGCGCTTTCCTTGGGTCGAGTGCCTGCTGCACCTGTATTTCCGGCAGCACCGTAGCCGTTCAGATTCCCACTACTCTGATTGTGCCCATGACCGCCACCTCCAATAATCCGATTCCTCTCTGGATCACTTGTACCCGCTCCCAGCGCCGGGAAATGCGTCCCCGCACCACCAAGATTATGAAACGGAAACTTCCAATAATGCAACGGCTGTCTCTCACTCTGATGCAGCATAGCCAACGTCCGCTCACGGATCTGCTCGTACGTCTCGAACAATCTCGCGAAACCAAACACGCGCATTAGTCGATCGGGAGGCGGGCGGTCCATGGTGATTAGTCGTGAGGCGCGGTAGAGAGCTTCCCGATGCAGACGTCGGCTGAAGGTGTATTCTTGGTAGGCGAAGCTTCCTGGTGCGGGGAGGGAGTTCCAGGGGGAGGGGACGTTGGGGATAGGGGTGTTGAGCCAGAGGTCGGGACCGTTGTGGTTGGTGGGGTCTGTGGGGTCGGATGGATCGGGGGTATATGTCAGAAAGGATTGGTCAAAGGAGATGTGGGGTGGGAAACTGGCGTTTTGAGAGGTGGGCTGGGTGAGGATTTCATACGAGATGGGCGAGTCGTGGTGGAGGGCTGTGAGATCGGGGAGACCTCGGGGAAAGTGGGAGATGGCTTGGTCGGGGATGGGCTCATGGGTTACCACCACGCCACCCCAATGCTGTTGCGCTGGCTGCTGAGCTGCTTCTGCATTTCCTACACTGGGTCCACTACTCGACTTGGAAGCCGGTGGATTTGGGGCAAGACTGACTTCTTCGACGTCTCGCTCCGGCGTCGACAAGGTTTCCTTGGGGACTTCCTTGGTGTCGTCTCGGGCGTGGTTGGCTAATTCTTGAAGCTTGAGAAGTTGCTGCGCAAAGTCGGGGCTTTGATCCAGTAAGCCATTCCGCGCAGCAGCTTTGAACAAGTCTTGGTAGGCCTGGCTCATCTGGCCATTCACTGCTTTGAGTCCATCGACCTCCTTTTGCAGGTCGGATATGGTGCTCTCCTTGCGGTTGCGGTATGCCCTTTGCGCAAGCCGAATTTGGGTTCGTCGACGCTGGGTGCCATGTAAGTCAGATCAACTTTGGAAGTACATTTCACAGAGTTCAGTGGACTCTGAGAAGCCAACATACCTCCTGGGGTGTCTGATCCGTCGTATCTAACCTCGGCCGACCCCGTGCCCGCTTCTTGTCCTCGTCTGGTTCCTCTGGCTCCTTGGGCTCAGCATCAACTGAACGCCTAGGCCTCTTCTTTGAAACTGGGCCACTGTTACTACCTAGAGGTGGATGCTCCCAAGTATGACCACCACTGACCAGGCCCTTCGGGGCAGGTAGTCCATCGCCGTACTGCTCGGCCCTGAGGATGTTCAGGTCGCCATGCATGTACCTTGTATCTACGCCTTCTGATGCCTCGGTCCCAGCGGCAGAGGGACCCGTTTGAGGTTGTGCTGGCTGCTGTTGACGCTGTGGAATCCCGGATGGGACCGGCAAATGTGGACCTGATTTCTCACCAGACGGCGGCACGGTATTCATATGTCCACGAGGCGCGCCTCCGGAAGTGGACCCAAACGGAAGATGATGAATGGGTTCAAGCGGAGGCTGGAATGGATTATTTTGGGCTACGTCGATCAATTGATGACGCTGGGGTTCTTCAATGGGCACGTTCAGTGGGAAATGGTGAGCGGGCAGCCAGAAGCAGGAGGGGTTCAGGAATAAAGGTTGTTGCTGTTGCTGTCCCTGCCGTCCCTGCTCTCGCTGCTTTCCCTGCTGTCCGTGGAATCCGTGGTGTGGCGCCTCATTCTGACCGCCCTGGTGGTCAAAAGCACCCTGTGGTTCTCGTTGGGGCTGACTAATTGGTAGACCAGCTCCGGATGAGGATGGCGGGGGAAGATATGACATCGGGAGTAGTTCGTTCGTCGTAAGGCTTGGCGTGGATGAGCTAAGCCCACCAGGCCCACCGTAGACATTGGTTCAATCAATTCGAGACTGCTGACGGCGAGGGCCTAACCCACCTTTAACCTAGGTGCCGCCTTTGGCATCAGCATTCCCTTTCAAACGTTCGGTACCATCCGGGGCCAGTGGAAATTGTCCAGCAGCAAATCCGAGTCGGCTGAAGGCTATATGAGCCCGAGAATCATGTAAAGATCGGCCAAAATGGTGATTTCTGCGTTGCTGGATGAGTGGCATCCATGACTCCCAGCTGAATAAAGATTTGTTTACGGAAATTCGATAGTCCGGTACCGAGCTCTTGTGTAAGCCACCATAAATGGATACTCATTCGGGAATTGCCCAAACTCATCAATAGCAGAGAGGATGCTCGTCTAGACTCTTCCCTGGACAGTTGGTTTTCCAGGGTATTTGAATTTACGCCGTTGCTAGGGCGCCAACTAGCCGGGTGCGATGTTTATGCAGTTCATTGATAAGACAAGCGCCGTTGAGCCATTACCTGAAACTGCGATTAGTCTGAACTACATTTCGCGGATAGGATAATGCTCCGCTAAGCACTTACCGCCGCCATAAAGTGAATTTCTGCCAAAAAAAACCTAACGACATCCGGGCAGCGTGTTGCGACGAGAAGAGAAGCGGTTCCTCGTTGGAGCAAGTACGTTAATACTACTATAGTGATGAGAATTTGATCGCTAGATAGGTCAACGAACGGGTATAAGTCCAGTTCAGCAGCGTCTTGAAGGACTTATCAGACGAATCCTAGATGGAGAAGTGGTCATCGATGTCGATGTTGGTAAAAGTGGGAAGGTTTGGACTACTTCGGAGCCTGCAGGTACTCCCTGTTACATTGCATACATGTGGGCATGTGGCTGCGTGGTGACGCATCATTGCTCCATTCTTTCCGGTGCCTTCTCAATCGAAATTTTAACTTTTTCATGGCTCCCTATCCCTGTCCTTATAACCTAACAGAGGACTAGTGGCACACAGTCCACTGGCGGAGCCCTAGTTACTCCGTAACAATGTACACTAGTTAGATAGGTAACATTCTACCGTTACACCTGACGGAGGTTAACTTAGCTCAATCAACATCACAATCCTCCATGATAACCCATGAGACCCGTGGCTCGGCCAGTTTGCCGTACGAGGTTACTCATGTAGAGCAAAACCATGCAGACTTGTATATAGCTAATACTCTGGTTCATTATAGTTTATCGTACAGAACTATTGTATTATTGGGAGCACAACTGACGTTTCTTGATGTACATGTATTGAAGCTTGGGGAAGCAGCTCCAAGCAGTTCAAAAAGATAAAAATAATTAAGCAAATGTGAAGCCCCGAACTGGTAGGAAACCGCAAACATATTCCTCCCTATGAAGTCTCGCGTAGGGGTATCTAATGTAATAAAACTGGAAAAAAAGACACCCTAAACGATCGGCTCTCCTTCAGTAACAGGCAGGGGAACCGTATCAGGAACACTGATTGTGTTCCAGCCCGCAACATCTTCCGTTGTGAAATCATCAACTTCGTGCAAGTACCTAGAATACTGAAGCACGCCCAATTGGTTCCCGGGCGCTCCAGAGTACGAGAACCAAGTCTCGCCGTCGGACGTATCCTGATCCTCAATCCCCTCCACGATGGTGTCGTTCCAGTAGTACATCGAAGTGACATACTGTCTTGTTGCCAACGTCTCAGACCCAACAGAAAGCCCCGTTAGGAAAGGGAGCAGGGCGATTCCGTCGGTCAGCAAGCTGCGATCCACCATGCAAAATACTGAGCCAGGGTTGGTCACGGGGGAGCCTGTCGGCATCGAGAACTCGTAGGCGCTGAATAGATTGATGGGGTACTTGTAATTTGAGACGATGTTACTCGCAGATCCGAGATGAGAACCCTCGGTCACCATAGTCGAGGACTGGTTGAGGGCCTGGTTGGTCACAGTTTGGGTGTTGATGAAGGAGAGGTTCTGCTCCCAGGTGACAGTCCTGCTGCTGCCGTTGGCCGCCTGGATAGTGGATGATATCGAAAGCGACCTGTGTGCCTCCAAGGAGAAGTACAGCGACGAGTTCGTCACGGTACCGTTGGGCTCGATAACCTTGTTAATATTTGAATTGAAATCGAAGGCTGGGCCTGAACCACTCGTTGACTTGAGCCCGGCAACAGTCTGGTTCGTGGCGTGGTCCAGCCAGACGAATAGAGAGCCAGAAACCCACCAGTTCTGCCCGATAGGTCCAATCAGGCCGGGTGCAGTTGCGTCGAATCCGATGACTTGGAGCTGGAAGGAATGCTCATTTCCATCGCACAGAAGATACAGCCACGGCGTGACATCGATTTCGAAAGACGGCAGGTCGTATGTGTCGATACCCACAATGGGACGCCAAGCGCCCGGGTCAACTCCGCCGGTGAAGAGAATAGGGAACGGCCAGGAAACACCGGCGAGTTGGCCGTCAATGAGGAGTTGGACCTCGCGAAAGGGACCGTATCCGTTTAAGAGGCCCCAAGGACTGTTGAACGTGTTGGTGTACTCCGAGGGCACGTTTGTGTACCAGAATTCCTCGGCTCCGTTTCCCGAAGCCATGAGGGAGACGACGGCCGTTTTGATATTTCGGGGAAGCGTCACATTGACTGAGCCACTGTCGCCAGGGAGTGAAAACACGGAAGTGGCGTTATCGGCCGACGACAGCAACGAGATGGGATAGATCTCCTCCGCAGGAAAGAAGCCAGCAGTGTAGTCATCGTCAAAGTACAATGCCTCCAGATTGACGTCGAAGGCACCGGTGTAAAGGTTGCCGTCGATAACATTGGCCAGGTCGAATATGACCTTTTGCTCCGTGCTCAGGATCGAGTGAAAGACGGTCATGTCCTTCTGGAAACTCCAATGAATCCCAGACTGCGTCGGCATTGCAGTGGAAGTCCGCCACACTTCGATATCACCGAAGTACAGCAGTGCGAGTCGGTCATATTGTCGACCCTGAGACGTGACAGATAAGTTGAAAATAGTCGTGGTGAAGTTGCAGCCGACGGGCGGAGTGTAAGCGCCGACATATGGCGATCCGTAGCTGTTCGAAAAGACATGCTCAATGATTGTCTGGCGACAGCTGGGTCCAGCGAGACCTGTGCGGGGCGGCGTTGCTGCTTGAATTACTTCAAGCACTCCATCATTGATACTGGTATCTCTCTCGCTGATTAGCCCTCCGAGTGGAGCGGTCATGCATTTCACCGTGCTGCTGAGGCACAGCAATGCGAGGTAGTTGAGCCGCATCATTTTAACGAATCACAGAGGATGAGGTGTCCAGGAACGGTGAATGCTGCACTGCCACGAGAATTGTCCATGAAATACAAATCCCACAAGCGCTGTTGTGTTTGCTATCATCGCCGGGTAATCTCGCTGACGTCGCGCTGCGCAACGTTACTGCCGTTTATCTCGAGCTTAAGGTTCCACTTGGCAAATACCCGATGAGGAAGGAGCGAGGTAACCTGCGGTAATCAGTACGCCCTTCTAAGACATCGGAGCCGATGGCTTCCATAAGTCGTTACTAATTACGTCTCTTCAATTAAAATTATTTTTTAAACTTATTTTATGTTTCCTGAAATAAGTACATACCTCCTCTATGTTCACAGTAAACTATTATACTAACCGCGCGCTTACCCCTATTTATAGCGTGCTATATTAGCGTCTTTTTAGCTTTAAAGACGTACTGTGGGATTGAGCGCCATATGTGTGCCTGAGGTGGTGCCTAAGGCAGTGAAATCGCTTGTGTAGATAAAAAGGTCGGCACCTGCCTACCTACCTTAGATGTAACTTCTTACAGGGGACTCCGAGCAGTCAATACACACATCACACTGCGCATCGATCATCGTAACCAATACAGGATCTGTACAGAGTCATCATCTGAGGGTTGAATCCTTCACGTACTATGATAGTGACTTAGGGTTAGGGTTTTGGGTGTTCTTTTTCAGCTTCAGACGAATTATGCAAGCATGTTCTTGACGGTATTTAAGAGCCTGTGTATGTAGTCGCTCTCTTAAAAAGAAAGAGGGATAATTAAGCGGCCTATTCTATAGCAACTTGAATCAATTCTCTTTGCCTATTGACGACGGGCAGTGAAACCACCCGCAGGTTTAAGGTGTGATGATGATGGCAACGGACAACAAGATCCTCAACAAGACCTTACTATCCGGGAAGTGGAAAGAAATAATAAGATCAAGAGCTCTTTGCCCTGATCGGAACGACAAGTACCTCAACAGGTACTAACAACTGGAGCCTCAGCAGGCTGGAGAAGAAAAGGGACCTGTTACGAATCTACGATTCTAACCAATGCAACAGGCCCGATGGCAGGCCCAGTGGATACAGGATAAAGAAGGAGGGGAAAGTCACACAGGAGTGGCTAGCTGCAGGAGGAGCCAGCTAATGCAAGGATCACAAGCCACGTGACTTACAAGGGTGGATCATTTGGATATGAAATGATCCAACATATCCAGTTAGGACCAATAGTATCCATGAAGGATCTAATGGTCCCAGTTATCAGTGAAGGAGGGAATGGATATATAAGGGACAGGACTCCCAGGCATTTCATAGATAGACAGTCTCTACTTCCGTGATCAATCTAAGCATCAATCTAACCCATTGGTGAGGCAAACTGCCTTGACGACTCTATTCCCAGTTACCCTACTCGAATACTTCAGTTACCCCAAAGCACTATACTCCATACGTCAGACTCCGATATTATTGCTAAAGGACTCCGCAGCAGGGCTTACTTACTAGCACAAACCCTTACAGACTCTTTAGTGGTTTACGCAGCTAGACTATTAGAGGTTTCGTTACAGAACCTCAACAGGCCCTTGAACAATCACCTCAACAGGTGAAAGGTGGGAACAATGGCCTCAACAGGCACAATCTGTAAGGGTCAAGGATAATGTCGATGCAATTAGCCTAGCCTACTCTACGAGTACCATCCATCTATGAAGAGAAAAACATTAGATACATTCAGTGTGGTGAACCCTTCTCCCTTTTATCCTTCTGTCCTCCCGTCTCGTCATTTCAGGGATCTTCGAGAAGTGAAGCTATTCGGAGATAGCTATTCGGAGATTTCTGGAGTCCAAGTGCTGTCGAGAATCTTCTGTGGGTCTTTCTGGCCGAAGGCATCGCAGAGGCCACATACCGGTCATAGACCGTGACACAATCAGATCTATAGGGGCAACAAAAGTACCTCAACAGGTACATCAGACATTGAATGCCTGTCCAAGTAAAGAGAACTTGGTTCAGATTACTGTGGAAAAGGCCGCTTGAATTCCTATCTTTTTCTCAAGAGTGTGACTATGTACATAAGGTCTTAAATACCCTTCAAGAACGCGCTTACATAACTCGTCTGAAACCGGAAAAAACGAAAACAAGCACCCAAAAACCCTAACCCCACGTCACTAGAGGCACTTGTTATTTTTGATAACCTGCTGAGGTCTTGTCTTATCTGACGTACCTGTTGAGGTACTTTTGTTGCCCCTATAGATCTATTTGTACCTGTCAAGGCCATTGTTCCTATCGTTCACCTACTGAGGTGATCGCTCAAGCACCTGTTAAGGCCCTTATCCTCTCTAGCCTACTGAGGCTCCAGTTGTTAGTACCTATTGAGGTACTTGTTGTTCTGATCGGAGCAATAAAGCTTCGATCTTGTTTATTATTTCTACCTCCCGGACAGTAAGGTCTTGTTAAGGATCTTGTTGTTAGTTGCCATCATCACACCTTGAACCTTCGGGAATTTACTGCCCGTCGTCAATAGATAGCATCGCGCCTGTGTATAGGTAAAGATTATTGCGTATATGTATAGATAATATATACTAGAATCCTGTAAGCTACTAAGAAGGCTTTTAATAACAAAAAGGCTACTCTATCTAGCGGCGCGGTAGTGTCACGGGGCTAGGGCCGTGCACCGCATGTATATTGGTACTGCACGAGCTGGCTGATGTTCCATTCTTCGTGCTACAACAATAAACTACTGGTACCCCCATTGTCAGAGAACAGAATGCCATAGGCACCAGTGGGTGTCAGGACACTGAACGCAGGACACCGGCGGGCCGCCGGAGGGGTGTTTCGGACAAAAGACTCCCGAATCATGATTACAATCTATGTGAAGCTTTGGGATGACGAGAGTCAAGATCCTTGGCATCGCCGACCCTGCTGTTATGCCGGGTCCAAGCGGCGGCCTAGCTATCTATATAAGGACCATCTCGAAGTAGGATAGGGAAGGAGTTGTCAGAGCCACAAGTGTCATCCGAGGCGGGCCGGCTTCCACCAGGTAGGAAGCCGTTTGTGGCGGCTAGAGAGCCGCTTGTGGCGAATGAGAGCCGTTGAAGCCGTTTGCAGCGGATAGGGAATCGCTTGGTTGCAGATAAGGAGCCGCTGTCCAAGATATTGGCCGAAGTCGGAGGAACACAGACATACGGAAGCAAACATCCAGAATCCAAGAGAGAAACTCGGCTGGCTATAAGTAAGGAGTCGAGACGGAGGAAGATAGAGAGGGCAGAGATCAATGCATCACCGTGGGCACCCCTACCTGAGACCGCCAGTGACCACCCGGTGCTACGTAGGAGGGACGCCCGTTACTCCCCATCACTCTGTACTATTGCCTTCGGCCTAGCCGTACCCTGACACCCATACACGACCCTGACAGGTAGCTTGTAGCTACTAAACTCCGAGATAGTAACTAGTAAGCCTAACCGTGTTCTAGAGCGTATCCTAGGGCCTTATATATCCAATATACCCTTATATGAGCTGTATCTATTGAAGGTCTATACCCTTAGGAAGGCCTAAGAGCTTGTGAACTAGTTACGGATTATGTCATAAGAGAAGGACCAAGCCCCTAGGCCAATAGACCAAAAGATCTAGAAATGTCAGTGTTACTGACATTTGGTCCCACAAACTGCTATATACAACACTATGTGGCTCTGTAATCGCCAGCGCTGTGACAGATTATTGGATTACAGTCACTTTGGAATTATTACCCAGCAGTCAATCGGCTGTGACAAGGACATAACCAGATACACTAATCAATCACTTGAACCCCTATTATTAGTAAAATACACGTAATCCAACACGGGTTCTTACAGACGACTATATGGCCGTTTTTGCGTAATTTCGGGTGCTTATCTTGAAAGCGGACCGGACTATTTCGTCGCACTCCGCCTAGATAACTAAATTACATAAAATAAGTAATCATCAATACAATTAGATAGGTATGTTCGATAAGCTATAGGAACTAATCTTAATAGCGTCTTCTATAACCTTATAGCTATGCGTAGTACGTGAGATAAGCGTTAAGAAGCGAGTATTATCGATACCGCCTAATAAGCAGCTATAAATTGCTGCTTTTCTAAAAGGTAAGTTACCCGCGGAAAAGGTTGCTCGCAAATAGATATTTAAGAGTAGAGAACCCGAAGAATTATTGCGTTATGCTGTATAATTTGAGGATGAAGTGTCGTCCGCTTTTGGTCCTCGGTGTTGCAAATGGGGGCAAATACACTTGGATGTTGCCTCTAGATGCTGGCTTCAAACTTATAACTATCTTCACGAGTTAGTGTTTTCAGTTTTCGCTATTCCTACCATGCGCGATGATCAAAACGCTGCTGTACTGCTGTCACCTCGCAGATCTAACAACAATAGCTTCGTATAGCGAGCTCTGGGTAGCACACATGGCGCAAATGGGTGATTTCCTCCTTGATCGTAATACCAGAACCCGATTATACCGTTTTATGCCATCTTTCGTCTTGTCACCCATTTGCTCACTACCAGATACTCGATCACGCAAGCCGCAAATTAGGCGGACCATAGCATCAGAGTACAGCATGTCCATAAACATTGGTTCAAACGCTCCCACAGCCATCACGTACACCCACACATATGTATTGGTCATTGATCAATGCCAGCAACTATGCTCAGCAGCACAAAATCAAAGGAATTCCCACTGCTCTGCAATCCACTAAGCGGCATATCACTTCGCCGTGTTATATCAATAGAACACGTGTTGGACCAAATTGACCGTCAAAAGACGAGAGACCCATTCGCTCTAGAATGAGGTGTTTGTGGTTATTATACGGTCTGACAACACGTTCGGCGTTCTCTGGCACCCGCTTTCTTGCAGATATACTTGCAGATATTCCTATTTTCTCGGGACAATGTCGGTGTCCGATTGTTCAGTGGCTCGCTGTTCGCGTCGGCACTTACATATAACCACGTTGACTCCTCCCCGCATCGACGCTTGTGAGTTGCCGAAGACTAGTGCAACAAAAGCGGAGTCGATCCCATGATGAAGCATCGCAAGACTGTTGATCAATCAAGTAAAAGTAACGATTCGAATTTTGACAGTCGGGTTCATGAATTGCAACGAGTTTCCGTCCGGTTCGTGGTAATAAATGATGCCTCCTATGCAGGCGTGTGCTCGCCGCTTGTAAATTTGGTGAATACACATAGGTTGTCAGGTCTGAGCAAATCTGCATTCCATGTGGATGAGCTATTGCATAAACCTGCGATCTGCTTCAATTAATATGGGAATTTCGTCAAATTTTCAGTTGATGGCAATGACCATTACTTCATTGGTTCTGGTGGAGCCATGATGTCAAACATGCCGCGTGTTAGATATTCACGTATCTTGCAGTATGACCGTGATATGACGGTTATATGAAAAGAATAATTTGGTGGTTATGGTTAGGTCACCGTTTTTTCCATGCTCGATTCCCTCTATCTGTTCTGTTGGCTGTGTGCATTGCCTTTAAGTAATCTGAAGGGTCCAGCCTTACTAGGCTACCTCTATAAAGCGCCTTTCAACCTTAGGAATCACTGTGGTGCTCAATCCCACATTTAATATCAAACAACAGTCTATACAAAGCTAGAACTAACGATACGGTGCTTCTATGCTCCAATACCATGTGACCCGTCGTTTTTGACACCGCGGTAGCAACAAGTTAGTGAATCTCGACTGCCGCCTGGGCGGATCCTGGGCACAGATTAAGCCCCCCACATTCCGGTTATGTCCATGTGGAGAAAAATGGCATGCAAGATAAATGGCATGCAAGAAAATCTGGTAATTTCATCATGGTATAAAACCATGGTATAAAACGGGAACGACCCCTCATGTGTTTTTGAGAGTTCTCTACAACTGTTGATTGACCAGGAAGCGGGAGCGTCATGTTTGAACTTCTGGGGAGTCAGTTCGTCGTCACTCCCACCGGCCTTGCTGCCGTTGGGGCGGTGGCTGTAAGTGACCACCCTCAGCTCGTAGCAATGGAAATCAAAACGCTAATGAGAATAAATAGGCATGCCTATATTTGGTAGCACGATGCATCTACCTGCTGTACTTCCACCCTCTTTGCAAGTACCCTGGACCGCGCATTGCCCCCTCACGGACGTAGGTCTTCCAAGATTACAGAATATGACTACCAGGGGCTAATCTGGAATGGCCATAGTTATGGTGGGTGTGGCTGATTACGAGCGGTCGCCAAGTATTCATCATGCTCGAGCTGCATCGTAAACACGGTGAGTGCCTGACTGCTGGAACCTCTCATTCCGTGCTGTGACTGACCTGTCCCGGAGGCGACGTTGTGCGAACTGGACCAAACTCGCTGTCCTTTGCCACTCTGCAAGCATACCAAGATATTCATAGTCACGTCACCAAGGGCAAGAAGCGGTTTCTGAAGACCGAATTATACGACAATGGTGACCCCGATCGCATAGTAGGAGTGCAAAATCCGGTGATCCATAGCCAGATGAGAAGAGTCCTGTCCCACGGTTTCAGTGCCAAGGCTCTCCGCGACCAGGAAGACATCGTCCACAAGTATCTCGACGACTTCCTGCGCCAGCTCGGTCGACTTGGCGAGGAGGGTCGGAAACCGATCGACATGTCAGAGGCTTACAATTGGGCCACGTTTGACATCATCGGTATGTCTACTCTAAATCGTAACGGCTGGCCCGTGATCCTGAACTCCTTACTCACTTCGAACCCCCAGGCGACCTCTCCTTCGGTGAATCCTTCGACGCAGTAGCCCAAGGCCGCTCGCACTACTGGATCTCACTCCTCGTAGAGGGAAGCTTTTACTCCTTGCTCTTCAGCCTCAAGAGACGCTTGCCTTGGATCAGACTCGTCCTCCCCTTTCTCCTGCCCAAGGGCATGGCCGAAAAATCAGAGAAACGCCGAGAGCTTAGCCGACACAAGTCCCAGCGCCGCATCGAGCTCAGCAACAGCATGAGCCGCGACGACTTCTTCGCGCACATGCTGGCAAAGGGAAACATGACCGAGGGCGAGCTAGCCAGCCAAGCTACCACTTTGATTGTGGCTGGATCAGAGACGACGGCCACCTTCCTCACGGGCGTGACTTGGTACCCCCTTAAGAACCCCGACTGCCTCTCCCGGCTACGAGCTGAAGTCGACAGCGCTTTTACCTCCATAGACCAAATCACGGGCGACTCCGTCGCGCATCTCGAGTACCTTCACGGCGTCATCGAAGAAGGTCTTCGCATCTTCCCGCCCGTCGTCTTCGGACTGCCGCGTTATTCACCCGGTGCCGTCATAGACGGCCATTATATCCCCGCCGGGGTCACGGTGGCGACCGAGAACTACTGCATGGCGTACGATACCCGGTACTGGCACAACCCCGAATCATTCCGGCCCGAGCGGTGGATCGGTGAAGGGTTGGGTGATGAGAAAAAGGCCAGTCAACCTTTTTCGATGGGTCCGAGAGCTTGCTTGGGGATCAATCTGGCGTATTTGGAGATGCGGCTTATACTGGCTAAGATTGTGTTTTCGTATGATCTCGAGTTGGTTTCGCGAGAGATCGAAGATTGGAACCAGGCTTGTCAGTTGTGGTTGCTGTGGAAGAAGCCAGAGTTATTGGTCAAGTTCCATCCTCGGAACAGAGATCACGTGGCGACGGTCGAGAGTTGTACATAGACAAAATTTGACGCGATGGTATAATTGCGTGCTAACCGACACATGTTCCCTGTAACTCAAGTGCACGTGGAAAAGAAGAGCTTGTCTTTGGCTTGTCTTTGGCTTGTCTTTGTCTTGTGACATCAACTAACGCGCTGGAGAGAAAAGGACTGAATCAGCTCACAATAATAGCTGAAGTTCAAAGGGGTTGGATGATGTAGTGTAGGGTCGGTACATATGTCAAACTCTACAGTCAGCTGAAGTGCGTTGATTCATCACGCAAATGAAACCGTACTCACAACAATGCAATATAGTGCTAGAGATGGCAATTGGTCGAAGCCATGTGTTCAGTGCATGGCATGCTACCCCTGTCTCGAGGGTGCAAGACCAGATGTTCTCTTGACAAACCTTGAGCTTTGGGGTATGAATTCCGCTTGCATGGGCCGCCAGTTGATCAATTTTGACGAGGAGCACAGAACCCAGGACAGCAGACGAGGGAACCCCGGAAAAGACTGACTTGAAAGGTAGTAGGTGCGTATAGCTGGGTTTCATCTGGTGTTCCCCGTACTTCCGCAAGTGCATTGATCTCTAATGACGTCTTCTGCACTGTGCTATATATTCATCGCTAGTGTATTTCGTACAATTGTCTTTTGGACATTTGCCTCTTTTTGTCTTTACATTTTGATTGGGGAATATTATGTTGATCTCAAGCCCGAGTGTCCAGCTTGAGAGAGATAACACCTATCTACCTGAGGTTTGGGTACTTGACCTAACCCCGAACATGTGCTGAGGTACACAACCAGTTAACTTTTGAACAGACATGGTATGCCATCGGAGTTACTGTTATTCTGCTTCGGTTTGCTGTGCGGATCCGTATCTTCGGTATAAGGGGGCTCCAAGGCGACGATTACCTTTCTATCTTGGTATGCGTACTTTTGTTTTAGATTCCTGGCACGAAAGTCACTTGCTTATGGCCACTAGGCATTCGTCTTGTATACTGTCAATGTTGTCATTGTCCAGATCACATACTATACTGGAGGCAATATCGACGTAGATCCGAATGGTGTATCACTGTCACAGGAAGACATTCGTATTCTCACGCTTGGATCCAAAATGGAGTTTGCCTCGTGGTATTCATATCCTGGTTTCATCTGCATGTGGTTCCATGCCTCCCCAGCTTGGCTCGTCTGACTTCGGCGCAATTCCAGGGACCCTAAAGTTTACAGTCTTGCTTTTCTATAAGCGCCTTACACTTGGGGTCATGCGCGAGAAAACGCTTCATTTCCTCCTCTGGGCCTGTGGCACATCGTACCTCGCGCTGGCCCTGAGTGTTTCTTTTACATGCCGGCCGTAGGTTCCCAATCTGCAGACTCAATTCATGAAACTTGGATGACACTCGGATGACACTCGGTAGATACTCCCACAACTGGCAGATCCAGCCTTTGCCCGGTCCCGAATGCACTTTCCGACCTCAGAACTTCTGGATACTCGTCGTGCTGAATGTTACCACCGATGCCGCCATCATGTCGATCCCAATCCCCATGTTCTGGCAACTCCGCACGTCGCTGCGGCGAAAGATAGGGCTGATGATGCTGTTCTCCTCGGGTATATTCATTATAAGTACCGCTATTGTGCGCGCAGTTCTAACCATCGGTGGCAAGCCTTCTGTGATCAATATCAATCGTTGGGGGTTCAGAGAAACTGCGGTGGGACTCATTGCCGTGACGGCACCGGTCCTTGTCCCCCTATTCCGGCGGAGCTTCTGGCAGCGTGGCGACTTTGTGAGGCATCGTCATCGTGGCCATGAAATACCACCGCACAAGCCTCGTAATCCTGAGTTCGGGCATTGGCTTGGGACGCTGGAGTTAAGGGAGGTGGAGGAAGGGCAACATCATCGACCTATGAATTCTGCTGGCGCCGCCGAATAGCCCAGGGATGTGGGAAGTCGAACTACTGTGGTACAAGAGGGAAGCAATAAATCGGAGTCAAAGCACAACACATATAGCAATGCGAAGAGTGCCTAGATTCGAGAACAAGCTGATATAAGACGATGGACTCCATTCAGAGTCACGGGGGTTATGCAGGACCCGAATTGCGGCTATGTAAGTTCATACAGCCCTTTGACGCTATAATAGCCACTGCGTTAAACCTAGTTATATTCACAAAATAAACCTGCGTCTTGAACCTAAAGCTCCTCCTACATCACAAGTCTTACAAATGTCCAACATTGGGCCAAAATTGGGGCTAAGCGCAGCATCCTGCAGCATCGCCTTCCCACAACTCCCACGTCACCCGAAAAAACAAGACTCTCCTCTTCCTGCCACCTCCCCAAAACGTGGCGTGATGGTTATTACCAGGTATTGATATCCCTTTAGCACTCCGTATGACGCTCGGTGCTTCCACGAACTTGGTATAGCACACGCCCTACGGCTCAAGATGCGCTGTCTTGTGCTTTGAACAGCGTGTGCCAGGTGAACGAAAAGTTGAAATTCTCCAGGTTGGCATCTTTCATGGCGAATTGATACACGAAAGTGTATGAGCCTGCGTTGCAGCGTTGCCGTTGATAATCACAATAACCCCGGAGCGCCAACGTCCATCAGAAGTCGTTGTCTCATACCAATCAAGAGGTGGATATGCTTCGGCTTCTGGTTTGATCAGCCCCAATCAAGGGAGAAGAACGAAATCAGGACACGCGAAACCCGCCAGCCCCTGCAATAATGCGTCCGTGCCATGTATCAATGAAGGAAGTGTCACCCATCTTTACAGTTAGCAAGATTAAAACCTCATCCAGCAACTGGGGAGCTTCTGGGGTTGACAGAGTCCAAACGGTAGAGCCCACACGTTCCTTAATATCTTTCCCTCGATAACTAACATCCCTGTCGTTCACCAGTACTTGGTGGAGGCGGATCACGACCAAATTCGGGGACCAGACGTCGAAAGGCTTGTCGCCAACGACAGGGTAGCAGAAGGTGCACGTATCAATGTCGTCGAACAATACCTCATGAATCCGAATTCATGCAGTGATGGTCGAAAATCGCTGGCAGGACACCCGGTCGGCGACGAAGGGCTTCGCGGATGCCAATACGATAGGCCTGAAGTTATGGGACAATCAGGCTGACCTGTTTGTGAGCACTGGTCTTACATAGCTATGTCTTGTTTGAAGGTAGCTCGAGTGCTCGTAAAGAAGAGGGATTTTAAATGAAAGTCCCAACAAGATGGGCCGAAACAAGCCTGGACAATGATATTTATTATCGACATTCGTTATTGGGCCGTTTCTAGGTGGTTCTCATCCACCGCGGTCACACTCCAACTTCAAGACTAGAGAAGAAAAGTGACAGGTTGGAATACTGTGTACAGGCGTAGTGACTAGATTATATATTCATGCCAATGTTTTCGATTAAATACTTCTGCTATGCTCCCTCTTTTCAAGAAAGTTGCTGCTTTCCGTTAGTTCAACTAAGATCCCACTTGCTTGCACATAGCCTGGAAATGTAGATGTGCTAGCAACCTTAATAACGTAAAAAGACAATTGCCACCCTTTCACAATGTAATTTACGGAAGTAATCAAAATTTGTCTGGCAGAGTCTTGCCGTTAGGCCGCGGGGCTCTATAGATAATCGTGTTTCGTATATCTAGTCACTGATACGAATTGTGCCCTCTTCCGTTGCCGTACGCATCCCTCCAAGCCCGTTTTTCTTGTTAGCCCTCCCGCCCGTCCCCCAACCCCCCAGATGTGCATAGAGCTGACGAGCGAAGATGAATTCAAGGTAGACTAACAAAGTAGTTGATTCAAAGGAGTTAGATAAAAATTAGCCTCCGAGTTTTCCACATTGTGGCTCAAGAAGGTAGAAAACATGGCGGGAGAAAGCCCGAAGAAGGTTTATGGTCTCAAGTGGGTCCCGAGAGAGGCAACCAATGCAATTATGAAGTATGAGACAAAAGCATATCCAAGCCCGACTTCACGAGAATTTACAAACTGCTGAACGCGGTGCTGCCGAAATAAAAAGTGTACACTTGCGTGTCCCGTGATTTGTAGCGTTGATTATCTGACGGGTTTCGACACAAGAGTGCCCCTATAGTCGCAAGTGAAGTGGGGCCAGATCAAGATTCGGCCCAACTCCTGTCACTTGCAAAGTTTCGATGTAGTGTCATCTCGCACCTACTTACTTACCTTTACCCTAAGAAACTAGAAACTGTAAACGCCGGTTCCGAGTGGGAACTCGAGAATGCCAAGTGTAAAGATAACGCCCAACGCTCTCTTAAATTCAATCGGCCTCTTTCCCCACCAGAGAGCACTTTCTCTGCACCTGCCACCATCTCACAGCGTTCAATACACACACACTCAATGGCCACAGACTCCTCCTCGCCGTTAGGCATGCGCGAGCAACTCCTAAAAACAACTGCGTTATTCCTGACGTCGTTCAACAAATTCACACCTGAATCCGTCGTCGCCCACCGCAGTCCCAAATGCATCCACCGGGTCGTCCCCTCAACCATCAAAGCGCCGCCCCGCAACAACGCCGAAATCGCTGGGCTCACCGAGCAACTCAAGAGTGTCATGTCGTCCTTCCGCGTCGAGATGGTGTCGAAATTTGAGCCTATCGTCGACGTGGCCGGTCGCAAGGTGGTGCTGCATCTGCGATCGTCGTCCGAGACCATAGTCGGCGCGTACGACAACGAGTACATGTGGAGTCTGACCATGAACGAGACGGGCACGGAGATTGATGAGGTGCTTGAGTTTGCGGATAGTTACTGCACGTTTCAGTGGGCCGCCAAGCTGAAGGACGCGGTCAAGAATGACGAGGGCGTGGCTATGTAACGTGGCGAGGGGATTTGGGGCCAGATATCTTGAATTGTAATGCGATGGGATGGCAATCTAGGTCACTTGGCCCTGTGTGGAAGGATTCGTGCTTATCTTCCCCGCAAAGCTTGGCGTATGATACTCATGCCGGGCAAACAACAGCACGGTTAGGATGATTAGACTAAGAACATTTCACAATGAGAATGACAGGGGAGGAAGTAACCAATTACCGCACCGAGCAGTAGTCGCTCTGCCATACTGTAACCCCGTAGTTTGATATCCAACAAGATCGCGCATGAGTGGTAGCAGATGATCAGTCGGGGCATCGTCTGTCAGAACCGAATTAACGTTCCATACCCACATCCGGGACACCCCCACATGTGGGACACTTAAAAATGCCTCATCAACACCGCTAGCCTCCAACTTCAACCTCTTTTATTTTTACTAATATCGATTCAATCGTTACGAAATTTTACGTACGTCTTCTTTACACTAATATGAGTTAATATACAGAAGATGATATTTATCGAGCTCTTCAAGCAATAGCTACCGGTCAAAGCCTCCGAAAAGTAGCATATGAGCATAGCCTTCGCTGACTACTAGAGGCTCTCTCTAGCCCAGGAATCCTATCTGGCTGAATAGGTTCGAATCCAGGCTGCCCTAGGCCTCCTACTAACCTATCAACAGCTCAAAGACTTCGCCGAGCGTATCCTATAGATCCACGGAGACACCGAACTACTTAGAAAGAACTAGGTCCAGGCTTTTATCAAGAGGAACCCTTCTTTCAAGGTCCAGAGAAGTAGAGTTATCAGTTCCCAGCATATTAATAGAGCCTCAGCTAATATAATCAGGTAATAGTTTAAATACCTCGCTATCCCTGAGATCAAAACTATTAAGGCCTCTAATCGATATAATATAGATGAGACAGGTATTCTAGAAGGTAGAGGATCAAATAGTCTTGTTCTAGGATTATCTAAGACTCGTTTGTAACGAAACCTCTAATAGTCTAACTGCGTAAACCACTAAAGAGTCTTTAAGGGTTTATGCTAGTAAGTAAGTCCTGCTGCGGAGTCCTTTAGCAATAATATCGGGGTCTGACGTATGGAGTATAGTGCTTTGGGGTAACTGAAATATTCAAGTAGGGTAACTGGGAATAGAGTCGTCAAGGCAGTTTCCCTCACCAATGGGTTAGATTGATGCTTAGATTGATCACTGAAGTAGAGGCTGTCTATCTATGAAATGCCTGGGAGTCCTGTCCCTTATATACCCATCTCTCCTTCACTGATCCCCACTTGGACATGTTGGTTGTCCAACTGATGCGAGTGCATATGGGGTGTGAATTGTTGTATTGGGAAAAGATGGCCAGGTCAGCTATTCTGGCCTGGCAGAGCTCTTTTATAGCTCATATCTATCTTATCTCTAGCTATAGGGCAACCCCCCATGGGGTCACGTATCAAAATGCCGGGCTACACGGAAAATGGTACTGTTCTCAGTACCTTTGGTGCAGGGGTACTTGCCAGGGTGTAGAGCTGCTAAGTTGGCCAAATTGCTGTATTCGGAGGAGACTGCTCAAGCCAAGTTCTGTATGGCGGGGTCTCCGAAGGCTTTGTGTCGATAGCTAGGCCAAAATACTGTTGCATCATGTTGCCAGCTGCTGTATATCTGACCTTGACGGGGCTACGGATGCCGATACCTTTGACTGTGTTCGGGGCAGTGCTCTTGACGATGTGTTTGCTCTGGTGCGTTTAGTATGGGGAATCGTATGATCGGAAGGCGACGGCGATGGACTCGACTCGATGAAAGGAAATGAAGTCAGAGAGATCTTGACGGCCGGCGGCTGTGGGCGCTTGATGTTGTGAATCGACTCCGGGACGGTTATTCTGGTAGAGACTGGCCTAGTGAAAGGGTCCCTTGATGATTCTGGTGATCTTGATAGATCTAGTGCTGGACTGGCCTAGTGGAAGAGTCCCTCGATAGACTGTGATAGTGATCGCTTCTTAATATCTGCGGTCGTAATGCTTAGGTGCTGGTAGAAGACTGGCCTAATGAAAGGGTCCTCTTAATGAAGGTGTGCGTGATAGGTGCGTGACGCGATGGTGATCTTGATAAATCTGGGGCCGATCTGGCTGGTTTTGGTGCGTGCGAAACGCTGGCGGCGATAGGATCGTAGCCGTGATGGTGATCTTGATCGATCGATGGATGGTTGGTTTGGTTTGGTGGATTTACTCAATCTTGAGGAGATGCTACCATTTGATACGAAAAGGTAGGGGGACCCACTGGTTAGGTGAATCCCATTCAATTAGATACTATAACGTTGCGCACTGCTGCATTATAGCATCCTCCACCCTAGGTGCACGCATCAATTATGCTCGAGAAGCAGTCGCACGGCCTCGTACCCTTTCCCAGCGGCAAACGACAGTAGTGTTCTACTATCTTGATCCTTCGAGTTAACTTCGGCCTTATACTCGAGAAGCAGTCGCACCGTAGCCTCACGCCCGTTCTCAGCGATAAACGATAGTAGTATTCTACTATCCTTATCCTTCGAGTCAGCTTTGGCCTTATGCTCGAGAAGTAGCTACACCTTAGCATTAGCCCCGCTCTAAGCGGCAAACGATAGTAGTGTTCTACCATCTTGATGCTTCGAGTAAGCTTCCTATCGAGATAGATAGTAGTCGATAGATAGTAAAATCGGGGTGCTAGAACGGTTTAATAGCTGGATAAAAGTCTATTTCCGCTGTTCGCAAGTTCAACGCATGGACTGCCCCGCGTCGTCCCATGCTTGCCGTGTGGGCCTGACATGGCGTGCCCGGCCTTGGGGCACCTGCAACTTTCGACAGAGAGCTTCTTCCACTCAACTACGGGACATCTCTACCCTGCTGGTAGGGTGTGGTGGCACCAAACCTTGCGCAATCGGTGCACAATCAGATTCGTCCATTCGAGCGATTTGATGCACGTAAAACGCTTCGGTACTACGCGAGCGCCCCAATAACTACAACGTGGAACGACGCCAAACCGCTGCATCGCCCATGCTTAATTCCTTACGCGATCGTCCACGGAAACGCCGCATGTGTACGTAGATGGAATGGCCGCGTTTCTCTTAGATGAGTTCTATGTCTCGGTGACGATATCGAGCATCCAAAGGGCTTTACTGAAGGTCCGGTCAAGTCGCTGTTGTAGTTAAGAAACGCAAATCAGCAGTCGGGCACCACTGAGCCAGAAAAATAGGCTGCTGCGGCCGGACACAAATCACAATACTGCAGCGTGGCTGTTCGAGCAGCTCCTGTGGCATTGTGGCATATGGCTGGCGCCGCAGTCAGTGCTTATCATAAACAATGCCTCCGTCACCGTTCGGACTGAGTGGAGCATCTGTGCACTAATGCTAGGGTGAAGTTGCTCTATCTTCCTCCATATTCTCCTGATCTGAATCCTATTGAGGAGTTCTTTGCGGAACTGAAGGCTTTCCCCAGACGTTACTGGCAAAGATATGATGAATCATCGTTGCCAAGCTTCGCGGAGTTTTTAGAGTAGTGTTTTGGTCCTGTGGGTGCTAGAACGTCGAGTGCAGAGGGCTATTTCCCGCATCCTGGGCTCAAAGTATAACACGCTTAACGCACGTATTCTACACAATATAAATACTCAGAAATCACCTGATGTATTTGCTGTCCATCTAGTTCTCTCTCTCAAGTGAGACACATTCTCAACCCACTTGAGAATGTCCTCTACGAAGCTGCAAACTGGGCCACTCAGATCGGCTTGGTTGGTGTAGCGTGCTCGTTTCCAATCACGGTGTACTTGTTCAAACGACAAACTGTCCTCTATTTTCATGACGTGGGCCCTGTTGCTGTTTGATCTCTAGTTTCAGGGTATCGCTTCCGACTCGCGAGCAATGCTAACTATAAGTGTAGATATGATCCTTACGTAATCCCGGAATATATAGACAAATTTGGCGGTTGGAGGAAGATAGTGCAGTAGACGCGGCATGTGAAGTTGCTACTGCCGGGGTCGCCGTTTGCGGGGAAGACGAAACAAGAATATTGATCGGTATATACAACATGGTGGGTAGCTCGACCCCTACTTCCATCTATAAGTTTCGACATCTTGTTTCAATTTGGCGTCTAGCTCTTGACGGACACTCTCGGGGACATTATTCTGGTCTGAAGCGTGCCGCCGTTTTCTACGTGTCTGATGAGGCTACTCAGGTAATGCGAGCTTAATTTACAGTGCTTATTTGTAGAATCGCACCAGCAGTGATTTCCGAGCTTGCATGGTAGACCGAGACATCGCATGCGTCTGTATACATGACCTCGAGAATAGCCTGAACCCTGTTAATACGAGTGGATTCACCAACCAAGACGATCTCGTCAATTTCATGCTTCTTGAGCTTGACGTCATGGAGAACTTGCTTGACGGGCTTGAAGGTGCGCTTGAACAGATCAATGTTTAGCTCCTTGAACTTGACTCAGCATTAAGATATATGGCTCGCTCGGCCAGCATTCGCGGAATGGTCGAGATTCTCGCGCGTGAGTTTATGCCCCTTGACCGGTGAGCGTCGACGTAGTCATGTCCTAGACCCGACGTTCCCAATGTGACAAAAGTTGTCTTCTGTAATGGAGATTTGGCCATCCGACATAGAGTGTTATCGGTGAGGCGATACGATCAAGTCCTCGGGGTGGGCCGCCTTCAATTCCATAAGCTAGGGGGCTCTTTTATATCAGATAATGTTGCGTGCCCCAGGCACACCGCGTATGTGCTGGTGCATTGCTCGGGCCAATTGCCCATTGATAGCCCTTTCGTAGCTGCAGCCTATGGGACTGGGTCCTATCATTATCATCATCACCAGCCAACAGATAGTGCACCTAATCACTTTGCGCGGGGGCTCGAAGGAGTAGTTGGAAGACTACAGGATTTGGACGGTCGAATAGCCGCTCTATTCGCCGAATATTAAGCCTATGTAGTGTATATGGAAGGTCTTTCAGGATGAAACCCGTGAGATTAAGCCTACTTTTCCTAAACTGAGGAAATAAATCGCCCGAGAGTCCCATGCTCGCGAGTTAACCGACTGGTCCGAGGTAGATATAGGTCTTACACAGAAGGTAATGGAATGTATCCCTCATCGGCTGGCGACAGTGCATAAAGCTAGAGGATAGTACACGCAATATAAAATAACTCTATTTGAATCTTCCCCATGCGATTTGAGTATAGTTTGACTGAGAAATGGCGTTGCCGGTTATGTACATTAGTTTTGTCGGGGAGGTCAAAATGCCACTTAATATAGCCAACTCCTCGCTCTCCACCGCGCATTACACGCGGTCGGAATAAATATCAAGGACAGTGATGACCCGCGTAATTCCAGAATACTACCTTCTCGTCCGTGGAGAATCATCACACACGGGCCAATCGCATTTGTCAAGATCTCCCCACTGACAACCAGTTTGACACGGACTCGTTAGAGCTACGAGCTGAAAGCTCCTATAAACGGAGCGCCAAGACCTCGCTCTCGTATGCCATCGTCGCCATCCAATCACAGGTGGAAGTCAATTTGAGCCCTTCGTTGTGTGTCGTCAGGGGCTTCGCTGAATGTTTGTTAGCAGACACCAACAGAGATCTGGTGCTATGATCGGATCTCATGACTTAATCGTATTTCTCGAACTCTGTCCATCTAAATGTATAAAGATGACGATGTCTCCCCACCCGAGGATATACCCCGTGGCATAGAAGACTTCAGACGAAACAAGCATTAAAACTCAAGACTCCCCGTTGGACGGCATCTCTCATTGAAGATATCCATCATGATGATAAATTTCTCCACGTACGTCTTAGCAGGCTTTGGCCTCATCGGCGGCTGCGTGGCCCATCCCCTAGAGGGCGGCGTCGATGTCCAAACCGTGCATCTCACCTTCCACGGCGGGCCTTCTTCGTACGACATGGGCATTCCAGCCGACGGCCAGGTCTACGCAACAAGTACGTTCATCTCTCTCTCATTGCTGTTGCCCGAGTTCCCCTTCATCCTACCCCAATACACCGAGCATCAACCACTAAGATGACGCCGCCAGACGACAACAACAGCCTCTCCATTAGCATCATTGACACCAACGACTACAACGCCATCTCGCAGTGCACCTTCGACACGGATGGCGACAAGACTCTCATCAACGGCATCACACCCCAAGGCATGCAGCAGATCATGGTAGGCCCGCCACAGCCCATCACGGGCGTCAGCTGCTATGGCATGTGCGTGTCGACGTACGGCGAGTGCTATGATGCCAATCGGCAGTATTTCGGGCCTTGCTGCAATGGGTATTGTTCTGCTACGAGGTGTCAGCCCTGGGTGTAGGGTGGTGCGTGGCGATTGGTGGTTGGCGTTTGAGAAGAAGTCTAAATGTGAAGTGTATTCACTTTGTGGCTTTCAGGTCTGGGATTCTGGGATGATAATGATTGACAACTGGTTTTCTTCAGTTAACTAGCGAACATAGTGTATATGTATGATGAATATGTACAGGCAAATACCAACAGACACCTCCAGCTTGGTCTTAGCTCGTGGTGAGTCAACCTGCAAACGACACACTCCCAATTCTCAGCGTCATTGCGATTCCCGTCCCCTTGAACACATACTGCAACGGATACCTACAATTCTTTCTCTGAATATGACCCCAACTCCTTCGTCTGATTCACATACGCCAACCCGGTAATCGTCTCAGGCGCAACAGCCCCCCTCCACCCACCTAACCATCGCCATCAAGACACTATTCTTAGGCTCCAGACTTCCTTCTTCATAATTACTCGCCCTATTCCCAATTACGGTAGCCCTTTCTCCACCATTACAATGCCCCATCCCACTAACACGGAAAAGGCTGCAAAACTTATCTAGATCTGACAACGGCAGGTTCATAGTCTGCGAGACGTACTGATAGTACCGATTTCTGTTAGCCAACGACATAATGCTATCCCACTGGCCATGCAGAATCTTGGATCCTCGTGATGCCAAGGCTGAAAGGTCACCCTTCCAGGCATCAACACCCACCGGACTGAGGGACCAGGAGTTCGGCATTTTTCTCGATGGTAACGACGGAGGTATCGAGGTCCGTGTTGTTGTAGACGGCGTACTTGAACCAGTGGTCCTGTTTAAAAGAACTGGGACTGTGCGCAGCTGCGGTATGTCATGGTCGCGGATACAACAGAAAACTGTTGACACCGGGGAGGTTGGAATTTGCATAGGGATGAGTCTTCAAGGATGCCGTCGGCTGATCCATAGAGTGTGTCGCATTATTATAGGAGCTTGGCGTCGAGGCAGGAGCAAACACAGTCTCGGTGTTTTTTACGAGGGAATTGAAGATGCTGTACCATGAAGTCGGGTCCCTATGCGAGATGCGGGGCGCCGGCCGCAATGCCATGAAAGAAATCAGGGCAGTCCTGGGTCATCTTGAAGCCCTGGCGATCTTCTGTGGAACAGCCAAGATAATACAATATGTCATGAGGCTGATCGTAAAACTCAGCCGTGCTCTGCTTAACCACCATAACTGACGTCTGAAAACCGTGCCAGGCAACATCAGTCACCACTTCGATACTATTGAAAAAGGCGGTGCCGTTTGGTCGATCGTGTCCGTTGTTTGAACCCGTCGTTACGAACTCCAGCGCTGCGGCGTAGGCCATGTCGTCGTAGGACAACACCCATTGATGTCCCTGTTAATGTTTGCTAGATAGCGCCCTGATCAGTTTTCAGGAAGCTGGGCTTATATGACAGTGCTGGAGCGAGATGAAGTGGCAACCGTGAACCCGACTCGGCACATATCAGTCAACATGAACTTCTATGCTAGGGAATATGGTGGGTCGAGTCCGGGATACGTCAGATTATTACCGCCAGGCAAGTGCCGCAGGCACGAATTCGGTGAGTGAGATGGTAATATTCTCAATGGTCGCATGTCTTGTCGATGTCGAACACGACTGCCTTTCCTGATGAAGCTTTAGCTGTTCGCCAATCCTTCCCCGCAATGACCCTTAATAGAAGCCAGCGAGAGCGCTGACAATCAGTTCACGAATGATGTGGCAACGCTGATTGGGTGCTGGATACGTGGATAGGCTCATGCTGACGGTTTTTTGGATGTATCCGGCGAGAACTGTGCGTTGACCATTTGGGACAACTTTGTCTTGTATGAGCTGGCGTGGGGGGATCATGCTGGGAGTGAAGATCGATGCGTTTAGGGCGCCGGATGGGGGGATGGAGGTATTGCTTGGACTTGAGTACTGTGGATCAATTATGCGGACGCGGGGTGGAAGTCAACATGTAGAATACTAGCAGAAAAACACATGACTACTAGTGATATTATAAAAATTTGGGCCCAGATAGCATCGATCTTCTCAGGGGGGACTTTGTTGGTAGGTTGAGAACCAACGTAGTATGGTAGTGGACGTAACGCAGTCGCCAATAGGGCGAACCGACGACGCAGCGTATGTATTTAGTCCAGCCATTAGGGCACGGTTTGACATACGGGAGTACTAGTAGAGGTACCGGGGGCTTCGAGCCTACGGCGTATTTAATAATAATAATAATAATAAAAATTTGGTCATCGGTCTACTCATCTAGCAGTTGATAGTACAATGGTAGTATAGTAGTTAGTATGACATGACAGCACAGGATGTTGTTGTCATCCACTTGTCATTCACCAAGGGGAATACGATGGGATTACAAGCCGAGCGTCCTAGACACCAAGTCGATATACCGTGCTGCCACACTAGGAACTTCACTGGTGCTCAAACTATATTTATAGGGGCTTGACGCTTAGGGTCACATGGACCGGTGCTGTCAGGTATAATCACATGGATAACTGACCATGTTTATGGATATGGTCAATTCAAGGATTGGAGTCTATACTACCTGGTCGTCGGAATGGCTTCTACAAGACCACTGGACAGATACAGTGCGGGCCGATTGAAACACCCTAGTACAAATTCGAAGTCGCCTATACCGTGGCCCACGCACTCTTCACAAACTGAGCGCAACGCTCGGCCACCATGTACACCGGTGCCATAGTATGCGCGGCCGGGATTTTGGGGAAGATACTCGCATCGGCGATCCGCAAGTTGCTGAATCCATAAACTCTCAGCTGATCATCGACCACGCCGCCATTTTCTTCATTTGCCATGCGACAAGAGCAGCCCAGGTGCAAAACGGATTGGATGCAACCTCTAGCAAAACTATCTAACTGATCATCGTCAAGGTCCCGCCAGCTTCGACCGGTGTCTGCGTTGGGAGCATGAAACAACTTGACTGGATGCTGGTAGCCTGACGTTTCCATAAAATGCTCTGCCAGGTTCAAGGTGAATCGCAGAGCTCTGCGCGTGACCACGAGATCGTGAGCATCTTCGAGGACCTTGTAGTGCACCTTTGGGCTCTCTTCGGGATCCCGCGATGCAAGTTCAATGCTCCCGTGAGCACTTGGCTGGATCAAACAAGCGTACAACGTGAACAGCGGTAGTCCCGGGTTCTTCCCGACTATTGCCCCAGCGGGAATGACCATAATTTCGAGATCGGGTATATTTTCTGGGAGCGAGCCATCAAGTTCCGGATCCCCAGGTCCCGGACTGAACGTGGAGGTCTCTGGATCGAGGTTTAATGTGTTTATATAGATGGTGCTGGTGGTGGTGCCCGACTTCATCCACCCTGTACGATTCCATATGAACAGAACGATCTGCCAAACGGCATACCACCAGCTCGTCTCCATGCGGTGCAGGCTTTCCGCCATGGGTAACTGCATCATAATCGGGAATCCGTGATGATCGCTAAGATGTGTGCCAACGCCTGGTAAGTTGTGTTTGACTGCGATGCCCTGGGATTTTAGATGAGCCGCATTACCGATGCCGCTGAGCATGAGCAGTTGTGGTGAACCGATTGCACCACTGCATATGATAACTTCCCTTCTCGCCTTGACGATGAACTCCACCTCTCTCCTGGACCCTGCAGGCTTGATGTACACCCCGGTAGCGATCCGCCTATCGACATCCAGTTCAAGTCGAGACGCAACAACGCCTGTACAGACTGTCAAGCGTGCTTGTCTCGCCAATGCGACTTCCTTGGGCAAGTAGGCCTTGTAGGCGCTATGCCGATAACCATCTTCATCAATCGTGTAATCGAGATAAAAATACCCCGAAGCCGGACCAGTCGGACAATTCAAATCCGTCTCAATCGGGAAGCGGCGGCGCAGCCAGCGGTTCCGCCGCCTACTACGATGTAGTCAAATTCCTTTCCGGCTATGTCAGAGGCATTGCGTTCTGGATACGATGCATCGAAAGGCCACATGATGTTAGAGTCTTCTGCTGTCGTTGACTGGGCGGGAATAATTGGCGTTGTTCTGATGATGAAGTCAAGATGTGCTTGCGGCTGGAAGTTGCACTGCAGTTGACCCTGTCATTCTCTAGGGGCCTAATTGAATGCTAATCAAGTAGGTGAAGTGGGATGAAACACGCTCCCACGTGAAGCGGTCTGTAACGCAATTGCATTGGTTTCTTCAGTGTAACTCCAGATTCGGCTCTTTTTGCGTATACATGCCCCTATGTTCTCTGCACGAACTTAGTTAACGTAAGTACTTCATCTCCCAAGCAAAGTCTCGCAAAATCTGATGCTCCAATAATTGAATGTGGGACCTCCGTCCAGCTTCGGAGAATTACAATGAAGTCAACGGTTCCTAGTCCTAAGCGATTTCGGCAAGTACATACAGTGGATCTCCGTCTTACAGGATATTACATAGCCAGATATATTCCAAGAAGTCCCAGAGATCCTTCATCAGTCAGCCGCACGGGTTTCCAAAGTGGGGTAGTTTTGAAGGTTGGTTGGGTCGGAGCGATCATCTGGCCGTCAAGCTCCGTGAAGCGCCGGAGTCACTTCGTTTTTTTCGTGTCGTGCATCTATGGCGTCAGTTCAGGGAGAGTAAGGAAGCTGTCAAAACCAAGCCTCTTCCCTTCAATATGACTCACCTGCATTTGTCGTCAGCTTGAAGACGCCAAGCAATAACTCCTTTAGATCCATCATTCAGCACCAAGAGCCTCTCTGATCTTCACTACATACAATGGCTTCCCCCAATGAAAATCCCCCTACCAAATACGGCGTCCTCTTGTTCCCCGGCTTCCAAGCCCTCGACGTCTTCGGCCCGCTTGACATCTTAAACATCCTCTCCAAGTACCATCGACCGAAACCAATGGACCTGGTCGTTGTCGCTGCTACACTCGACCCAGTATCTACCACGGTTTCCGATGCCGAATTTGGCCAAAGAATCGTGCCCACTCACACATTCGACACCGCGCCAGAGGATATCGAGGTCCTGCTCGTTCCCGGCGGGATGGGGACACGAGAGGATGCCATTGCTGGTCCAGCGATTGCATATGTCAAGAAGATATTTCCAAAACTGCGATATCTCCTTACCGTATGCACGGGAAGTGCTTTGGTGGCTCAAGCTGGGTTGCTTGAAGGGAAACGTGCAACTACCAACAAAACAGTGTGGAAATGGGTAGGCCATTCTGTCTCCTGTGAAAAGTGATCTTGCGAGTTATTGCTTACCAGTAAACCAAAGGCAACGGCTCAAGGCCCAAATGTGGACTGGGTTCTCGAGGCGCGATGGGTCACGGATAACAATATTTGGACGTCGTCCGGCATCTCGGCCGGCATCTCGGCCGGCATTGACATGATGTATGCCTTCGTGTCGGCCATGTACGGTGAGGAGACGGCACAGGATATTGCCGATGTGTCGGAGTATCGGCGGAACACCGATCCCACCGACGATCCTTTTGTCAAATTGGCTGATGTATAGTGGCACATTTCAACCAGACCTGAAGGGCTGACCATGTGCAAGGAAACCAGAATCTATGTATGTTATTGAGAGGATGAGGCCTACTAACCCTTTGACAATTCGGAGTCAAAGCGTGTTTCATTCATAAGCTTCTAATTCCCACCCAGTAAAATCGGTCGTTAGACGTTGCTTTACACATGAACTAGAGTCTTGGCGAATTACGAATGCAAAGTTCAAAGTCCCGGGGATAACTTCTCAGTGCCCCCCTGCGGTTTAAGCTACCGGCATATAGCAGATAAATTGGATGCATGCGGGCAGGAATGTAAACAAGGGTGGGTGGAGGTGCAGTGATCGGCCGCATACCCTGCCCCATGACCCAAAGGGCTCCGCTTTCACCACTCCCTATTATTAGGTGGGTGATGTTACTTGAATTTGAACGACGTATCTTTCATTGGCCAACCCCGATCAGTGCTTCCACGCGGCTCTATTTGATAAACTAGGGTCGACGATAAGTGGATAAGTGGGCCGAGGACTAGAAGAACCAAGTTCTATTGACATGGATACGACGCTATAGCAAATAGTGTCCGGACATAAATCCAGCCGTGTCACCCAGAAGCCTTGTAACTTTGTCTACCACGTTATCTCACCCGAATCTAGTCGCTCATTCCTGTTCTCGGCCGATTCCTTCGTTCGCACATCATTACGCACGCCTCTCTCCTAGCTGCCGTCGCGGTACAGTTGGGACGACGGGAGTATCACATACCTGTCCCAAAGGTATGACATACGATGCATCCGAAAGAAGACTTAGGTTCCTTTTCGAATCAAGAGCGTTAGGATTCCTGGCAGTCTCCGATATCAACGGCACGCCGTTGCATGTGGTAACAATATTTACGATACGATACGTCAGCTAGCCTGACATGCCGTACAATTGTATAGAAGTAACCCTCATCTCGACTCCTTCAAGATCACTTGTTTGAAGTGCCATTCCATATGCGACCCCTGAGCAAACAAACAATCAGCAATTGGTATGCACGTAGTTTTCTACATTCGTTGGCTATAATGAAAGTCGAAGTAGCACTACGAAGCCTTTTTATCGCGCAGTTTATTACGTTGTTAGAATTCGAGAGCTGTCAGAAATGCTCTTTACATCATATAACAGGCAATAATGATATTTAAATCCCACGTGAGCCGGACCAGTGGTTTTCGTTACATATCACTCCGCGTCCTCTTTCTGGTTCATACAGGACTCTTCGACCAGCTAGTCTTTTCCCTCCCCCTATCGAACCCAAGCGATAACCGCGGTGGTAACGTACTAGGATTTTCTGCCGAGGCAAAATCCATAATCTGGACCTGTCTTTCTTCCAGCTCTTGCGGCCCAAGCAGTGAGGGCGTACATGTAATGCAGTCCTCAGCACCTGCGATGAAGCTGGTTCTTTTGTTGACCGTGACGGTCTCTATCTTGGGCAAGACGACCCGATCGGTGTGTTCCAGGTTCAGCCGGGTGCCGACGGCAGTGACGCGCATCCTGCGACCACCTGACAGATCTTCGTCATCATCGTCGAGATCGTTGTTGATAATGTCGTTACTGTGGATGCTGCCGGTCGGGCTACCCACGGGCGTCATCTCCTCGAGACGCATGACGACCTCGACTGCTTTTTCGTCCTCGATCACTTTTGGGTGGCGTTTGGCGAAATAGCGAGCGTATTTGTAGAGGGACCAGTAGCAGCTGCCAACGTTGACGAGGGTGAGGATTAGTTTGTAAGGCATCTGAAAAAATTGTTAGACGGTGGCTCGAGCTTGCAGTACTGTGGAGTGAAGGGCAACGTACATAATACACGAGCAGCACCGTCCAGCTGATTCGCTCACTCCGCATCCGCAAATGCACCTCGTTGAATATTAAAACGTTGATTAAGTAGAGTAAGACAGTGCCGCCGAGCAGGATGCCGCAGAAGGATGGCTGAACGATGAATGAGATGGTGATGACGAATGGTGTGAGGAGGTACAGGAGAGTTTCGTAGACCTAGATCGCCAGTTAGCCAGTTGACCTTCAGAGGCCATGCTCCAAGTCACTCACCTCCTGAAAAACGAACAGCTTCGCACCAATCTCCCACCAACCAAGCTTCCAGCTAAACAAGATGTACGCCATGTTGTACCACATGCCATTCACAAAGAAGAAATTCCAGCGCAGGAATCTCTGCTTAAAGACTGTCATCTCACCGAAGCCGCCCCGACTGCCCCCACTGCTGAAGAACACGGCGGGAGGGGTTTCCGTCTCGACAAAAATTGAAGTGCACATCTTAATTCGCCCGCCCAGACGCCGGCAGCTGTGTCCAAAGAACCAATCCTCGGACACGGAGAAACCAGGATGGTCGTGGAATGTGCGGATGAGGAACTGCCTATTCCACAGCGAGATGGCGCCGTGTGGAAAAGTCGCACTTCCGATTTCCCCAGCCAGTGCGCGCTGCAAACCTGAAATCTTATACTCGAGGTCTTGAGCCTGCTGGCACCACGTTCCCTTGGACGAGTCAGGGCCCACACTCTTGATTGTATACCCAATCGATTGAACATTGCCCTTCAACCTGTCACTGACAACAGGGAAATTGGGCGGCAAAGCGCAGTCATCGTCAATGAGCAAGACATTCTCGAACCCCTTAGCCGCGTAGCACCCAACAAACTGGGCCACAATCTTAGAGCCGACGGGACACCAGATGTGGTTCACGCCGTAGGGACGGCAGACCTCCTCGGTAGTGTCCAGGGGCGTGGGGGAGTTGCCGTTAGCGATGACGAAGATATTGGATGGGGGAAAGACTTTCAGTGCGGCGGCCAGAGTGGGGCCGACTATGTTGGCGGATTTGTAGCAGGGGATTAGGAGGGCGGTGCCACGGACTCCGGGGATCTCGTTTCGGTCGAAGTCGGCGGGGTGTTCGATAATGGGCGGCTCCTTCTCGAAGAAGATCAGGAGGGGGGAGAAGGAGTATCTGGGACCACAGTCAGAATTCAACGATAAGCATTGGTCCAAACGGAACAGGACTCACAGCACAGCGATTCCAAGGGTGATGGACCACCCCCCCGGAAGAACAAACTTTGTATCCACAACCCAGTACATCCAGTACACGGCCCCATGCCAGAGGGGCATTCCAACGAGGACGAAGTAGATGAAGCAGACGAGAAGAAGATAAATGCTGCACTCGAACAAGATCTGCACCCAACGTTTGCGTTCCAGCTCGACGCCTCTTGACTTGGCTCGAGTGTACACATCGTAGATACTACTCTTCCGTACCAAATCGGTGACATTCCGAGCCGTCTGCTGAACTGCATCGGGCACGACGGCATGGACAATAGTCTTGATGGTTCCCGAGCGCTGTGGCACCTGGTTTCGCTCAGTGCCGTAGCCTTCCGAAGAGACGCGGGGCAAGTCCGAGTCGTAGCAAGAACTCCCTGCGGATGAGACAGCACTCCTACTTTGGCTTCTTGTGGGCTCTTGGGATCGCGATGGGTTTTCGTCAAACATGAAAGTGTTGGATCCACGAAGCGGCTTCAAAGGAGCGAGAGGGAGTTTTGTCCTGCTCGCCTGGGCAGATTCCGTCTCATAGGTTGTAATTGGGTCGCTCGTCTTCCTGGGTCGTCCGACTCTGTCCGGACGGCTTCGTGCCCCGTGGTTCACGGTCGACGATCTCCATAGTTGCTTTCCATCTCGGCACAGATTGGCGTGCCGGTGTAGGGCGTTCTGAACCGGCCCGCTCCCGTTCAGACGCTGTTTTACTCTGTCTCGTTTATCGGCGGTCCATTCCTGGGTCCCGTCAACTGTGGTGAGCAAATGCTCGGGGATAACCACGTCTGCTATCCTTTTGGAAGCTTCTCTTTTCACAACCATCTTCAAAACGAAAGGACGCCGACTCGGCTAAACCAACAAAATCTATTAAATTTATGAGTTTCGCAAGAAGAGTAGCAAGATATCTACAAAAGATTTTGACAGGGTTCCGACGTATAAAGTAGACATGGGTAGTCCCTTCGTCATAATACGAGTCGACCAAGGCCAAGGGGCGTGTTCTCCTTCGTGTATGCGTGTTCCAATACTTTACGGGACATCAACTCGAAGCTATCACGTAACTGATTCACTCGTATGGAGCTCAGCATGCGCTGGACTCATCGTAGTCCGAAGTTGGTCCTCGTAAACTGCTCCATTGGTCTTATTGAGTGGGGTGGTAGGGCAGGCAGACTTACCGGGTGCGCTCCTTTGGGATCCGCAGCGTCTAGACACGACTAGCATATTGGCGTTTTTGGATTTTTTGGCCTAAGCTGGCCCTGTCGTAAATTAGAGATTTCACGAGTGGGCTTGCGAGAGACCCCCTATTCGCTAGTTCGCTGTCGTTGCGGGTTTGGAACTCAAACTCGGGTTGAACCCAAAGCGAGGGTCCAGGCTTGACCACCGTCTGACAGGCATGGGCGGTTTCGAGTCATGTTCGTCCTCTCAATTCATTTTAGAACTGAACTTGGCAGCGAATTTCGGCCCCAGGCTCCCACGTGGGTGACACGGCCCGTTGTATCGCATAAAAGGATGCACTCAAACAATCTCGTTGAATCAAAATGTTTGAAACCCGTTCTTGTTGTAGTGTATTGGAATCCGCGTTATCAGACAGAAGTATTTTGCGTACCGTACTCGAGTCAAATACCGTCCTCCACCCTTGATTTTGATTTCGTGTCTAGGACGTTGATCACCAACCGACCAATAGCGAGCTAAGAAAATATGGACACAATATCCACGTGTACAGGTATCGAAAAAATTAAGAGGATTATTAGTGGTAACCAGTGGCTATTCAGGTCGCACAGATAGACCCTGGTTCGTAGTCATCAAGATTGAACCAATCAAGTATCTACCTATAATGCTGAAGGCATGGCGCCAGACTAGTATTCGGTGAATCTCGTCATCTCATCTCATCCGCACCTAGCAGGAAGTAGTCAACCCCGTCACTGTACAGTACGTCCCATCCGGTCCAGATCCGATCTTCGGCGGCTCGTCCCCATTATTGTTCCCCGTGTAGCGATCACAGTTCTTGCCGTCATCCTGGCAACAGTTCGTGATGACGCAGGTGTCGCCGTAGTTGGTGTTGATGCCGCAGAGGACACCGCCGTCGACGCCGATGCTGTTGGAGATCAAGATGTGGCGAGCTCCCCCATTATTAGAGCAGTTGCCGCAGCTACGTACCATCTTTCCGTAGTCGTTGGCGTAGAAGTTCTTGATGTCGACGGTGCCGAAGCCGTTGAATTGAATGATCTTGTCCGCTGCGTGGAAGGCGCCCCCGCCGTTGACGTAGGAGGTGCCGGTAGATTGTTTGAGGGTGCTAAGCGCGTGTGGGTCAGTGTTGTTGAGCATACTTTGGGCAGGGTTCCCGGTGGGGACTTACAGTGCGTCCTCGCAGACGTCGGACCACCAGACATTGTTCAGAGTGCTGTCGAAGGTGTCAATACAGTTCGCTATCTACAACTGGGATGATAGTATCGACATACCATGTACCCTGGCAGTGAACTCCCTCGGCTTGCCCAGGACCAATGATGACGTTGGAGAGAGTAGCGCCGCTGGCGAGGACGAACATGGCGTCCGCCTCACCCGTCTCAGTCTGTTCCTCGCAGACAACAGCTACGTACTTATAAGATTCACTGGAACGTACATGACCAAGGATGCGGTTTACTCACGGTAACGATCGTACATCTTCATTCCACCATCGAAAGAAGCACTCACAGTGATGGCTTTCGATGTGGACACAGCTCCCGAAGACTTGGGCAGCGCCGTAGTGATACCAGTGGGTGTGCTGCCTGAGCCAACACTCGTAGTGGTTGTTGTCTTCAGCGTGGTAGTAGTAGTTGCGGCGGCCGTGCCGGTGTAGTAGCAAGAACACTCCTTCGAGATCTGGCTCGGCTTGTTGGAGCAGTTAGAGGCCCATGATGGGAGACCAGTGGTGGCCGTCACGGCGCTCTTAGTGAAGGTACCGCAGAAGGTGGCAACCGCCGCGTTGGCACTGATGTAGCTTGCGCATTTGTCTGTGTCAGGATTGGCACAGCCCAGAACGACTGGGATAAGGCTGAGGAGAACGTAGCCGTGCATCTTGACTGGGCTCAAGGTGATCTTTCTGCAAATCGATGTCTAGAGTGAGAGATTTGCCCTATTCAACTACATAGGCTCCTAGAGAGCCATCGGCATGAGCTACTTATACTCCATACTCCCGGCCTATTTCAAAGATTGACATAATGTGGACATGTTTATCGAACATACACAAGGGCGACATCAAGATGTTCGATATTATTTGCATTGATACCATTTAGGGATTGTATTTCTCCGTCCGACTTCCACCAGTCACTGGTGCTCAACCGCATCAGGATTGGAACAGGAACGTAGCTTGGATGACAGGCGCTGGATGGCGTAGGCACAAGTGAAGTCAAAATTAGGCCAGGCTAGAACGTTTTATGAAACACGGCTCTTGTTGGTTGAGAATGAATCACCAGGTGTGACAAGGGGCGTCCGCCTCAGCGCTGCCGAACCAGGCAATGGCCTCGAGATAAGCTCAGATAGGATGCAAGTCTTACGCCGAAAATGGTTCCATCCAGTTAACCGGGCTACATCCCTGTGCCCAATTCGTGGAAAATGTCTTCAGATTCTGCCCATAGCCCAAATATGTCTTCCTCTCACTCCATCGTGTGCATCCATCTTGCGGCCTGCCATGGCGGCAAATCCACGCGTTGTCGAGGCTTGGCAAGCCCCAGGGTACAGCTGAAAGCTTGTCGGGTGACGCATGTGCTATCGGGTTTCCCGTACTGCTATATTCCGCCAGCTGTATGGGAACCTGCAGCTAATGTAGATAAGAGAAAATAGGACATTCCAGTTCCAGGCCTGGAGAATGCTGCGGGTTGCAACAGATTGGGAACAAGGGGACTTAACCCACCAATGATCGAAAAAAAACCCACCCATAGCTTGGCATCATCCCCGGAATATGAACGACCGCATACAAGGATTAAAGGCTTGGCAGTTCTTGTCAGGCACACACCTCTAGCAAGGAAACGCCTATCAAGTCAGTGGGATTGAGGATTGTCCTCGGATTATTCTGCTGTCTCCATACTCGGTAGAACAAGCCAAACGAGAACTATTTTGCGGGAGTTCCAACAACATTCCAAATATTTAAGCTAAACGAATAACCGACGTATACTCTAGGTGATTGCACGACAATATGTCGGACCGCGCTAGCCTTCGATTCCAGCAATTGTCTTTTCCGTTTACCGCTACTACAGCCAGTTGACTGATAATGGATGGACTCTGAGAACCAAACCCTTGGCAATGGCCAACAGTCAGAACTTCGGGAGCCAAATCTCGTGTGTATAGCACTTGACTAAGTATGCTGCCTAAAGTTATACTTTTCTGTACTTAAGACCCTTATGGCGATCTTCACTCCTTTGGATTCAAAAGGGGGGGGGGAAGGGGGAATGTCAAAGACACATTCAATTCTACGCCTTATTCCAGCTTGCAAGAAGTCCGATACAGTATTCAAAGATTATTAATATTATCATATGCATGTCCGCAGGTTACAATCGAGTAGCAAATATATTCGGGTTCGACATGCTTGCTGTGATTGTCACGCCAGTTTCCTCTATGAGCCGGGGATTCCTCAAACAAGCTTTTTACGCGAACCATGGCGCTGCAAGAACCCATGTCTCATTTTCTCATTTTCTTGTCAAGTAAAATTACATCTTTATTTTCATTGACCAATACCTGACGACTGCTGTCTGTCTCATTATACGAAAGACTTAGAGTCAAGGATACACGACTCACGAAAGCAACTTCGAGTTGACACAGACATGACTTCTGGTATTTCAAGTTGCCATTATGCGAATACATTCGACTTCGTGACGTGCCAGAAACCCGACCGGCCTTCAAATCCAAATTTGCGTGATATTGGAAAACTCGAACCAGGAACTCGTCGAGATTATTAGCAAGCTTCAAGCAATTCACTGAAGACGGAGACTTGTTTTTGCACTGCGCAGTGACTTGATTGAGTTACCAAAACCATACCAATACGAAAACCCTAAAATGCTATATCCTGTCCAGTAAATGAGTGTATAGGCACGAGGCCTTAAATCCTATCCGGTCCGATGCAACCAAGCCATACCAAATATAGCGCGCTTGTAATGCTACCATCCATCCAACCATGCAATATTTCCACCTTTCCACCGCCTCGAGTGATTCTCCTGTTGACCGAAAACACTCATACTACGAAAGAGAAAACCCCATTTCATCTTTGCAAAGACATAGAAAATTGACCGGTTGATGAGGTTGCCGGTATGAAGCGAGCCGCTTAGCAGCCAACATCGAAAGCGACGAAGCTCTGGCCATTGGTGGGTGGAGGAAGCTGGGCGGCAGCGACGTTGAACAGGCGGCATTGCTTGGCCTCGCCGGCGTTGAAGGTGCCGAACTCGATGGATTTGCAGCCGTTGGTGCTCTGGCCCAGAGCTAGGCAGGCGTCGGACGAAGTAATCGCGGCGTCGGACTTAAGGGGAGTAGGGGCAGAACCAGAGCCCGTGGGCTCGGCACCGCAGATGTCACGCTTCTGTTGTTGTTGTTGTTGCTGCTCCTGGCCAGCGGCTGTGCCAGTCTCTCCAGTGGTGGCTCCAGTGTCAGATCCAGTGTTGGCGAGCTCGCCATGGGGAGCAGCGGCGGTAGGCTTAGTGTTAGGAACACTACCGCAGCCGACATCGTAGACGACCAAGTTAGTGGCCTGCGCGGGGACCTGGGCAGCGGCTACGGAGAAGAGTTCGCAGGTGGGGGCATCGGCGTTGGGGGGCAGGCCAAAGACGAAGGATTTGCAGTTGGCGTCAGCCTCGCAGAGAGCCTGACAGGCGTCGGCCGTGGAGGCAGTCGGCGAAGAGAGGGGTGTCTGGCTGCTGCTGGCGCTGGGGGTGGCGCCGCAGGTGTCGGCGCGAGCCATGAGCGTGGTGGGCATGCCGGAGGCGTGCGAGGCCATCAGGGCGGCGACGAGGGCGATAGTGGAGGTGGTGAACTGCATTTTGATGGTTGTTGTTTGTTTGGTTGGCAAGTGAAGAAGTTGGATAGATGAAGCGATTGATTCTTTAGTGAAAGTCTGGAGGATGTTGAAAGATTGTAGTGGTCGTAGTGGGTTGACTGTGAGTGAGGATGGTGATGAGGAAAGAATATGTCTTTGGGGTGAGATTCATTCCTTTCTTATATCTGAAATGTCCAACAGTAAAACTTCCTGTTGTCTGCTCCTGGGCCCTGACCCGCCGTATCGTGACCGAGTAAACGTTTCTCGTGGAGTCACAATCCTGGTTTCCAACTTCATCGACACCGGCTATGGGAGACACGCGTGTGCTTGCGAAAGCCATGCAAAGCGCAACCTGCTGCGGTTGCCGGCCGAAAGCGTCGGCTCATTGGTTCGTGGTTCGTCTTTACAATGTCTCAGGCGGCAGTGCAGTACATACCAGTGGGTTATAGCGGAGCGCTGCGGTTAACTGCCGGCGCTATCACGAGAACCGTTCCAGAACTAATGGAGAAAAACGTGTACAGGCGTGGCTTGGGTGTTCGTCCCGCAGTGTTTCAGTCTGATTGAACCCCTAAATATTAGTTTCCAAGTCGTTGTTCAAGCGGGTGGTCCGAGGACGTGTTGCCAAGCATGAACAGTAGTATACTGGGGCTGTGGGCTTCCCGATGCGGAATCAACAATCATGCATTAACGAGCCTCACCAACTCTGTGGGGCCGGGTTTATAGTCCTGAGCGCTGCGCCCTCCCAATGCCAGTATGATCTTGGCTTTTGTTAGCAAAAGCTTTTCTCATCAATTACGCAGGCATATCCATATGTCCCCGCTCACCAGGGATAGGAGGATGAAAATAGCTCGAATAACCTCACCATGGAGTCTGGAGATGTCAAATCTGCCTTGCCTTGCCTTACCTTGCAGAAACAAGCGAGCCAGTCAATCAATATTCAATCATGTCTCGTACAGACTGCAGCAATTACACAAGGCCATTCGAGCAGTTGTCATCCGATTCAATCTATAGTTGCTAGACCCTCAATAGATCCATTGCTTAGTCTCAACCGCCTAAGGTTTGACACATCAAACCAATAAATGCACGTTTCATCCGATCTATTGAGTAGGAGAAACATTTCAGTCGATCTACTGTGTAGAAAGCATCCAAAATATTTCATCCGAACATGAACAGAGTTTGGTGGCACGACACTGCGAAAAACGGGTAACGGGTTAAGCGAGCATGGACCCGGATGCCTACAATCCGTAGGGCTGTGCACTGGCGCTCGTTTAGTTGTCGGCGACGCGCGTACTATAACCCCGTGTAGTATACCCTCAAATAAACGTAAGCTTTCTGGGGTAAAGATGACTTCATAGGTCTAATATTTGGACAGGTCTAGATCACCGGCTACAATGGGCGGCTACAATGACTTCCAACTGATGATTTTAGGTTCTTACAATAGAGGAAGCTGGTCATATTTGGGCTTGCTTGCCTCTGTTGGGATGGGGAGGAGATAATGGACGACCAGGTATCTTGAGGCCACGGTACTACAGTCGAAAACTTACTATTGCTTCCCATTGATTTAGCTTGCAGCTTCAGACCGTGTCATTGATATAAACACGACTTTGCAAGTACCCTCCATTAAATCATACGGGCCGTGGTTTGTTTCTCAGCTGCACATGGTCTGGTCAGTTCCTCTTGGCAATATCGATTGCCGGATAGCCACTTATTCTTCAAGTCGTTGTTGTGGTCTGAAACGATTACTGAGTAATGATGCTTGCTCCGGAGGGCGGTGTGAGAAGTGGGACGATGATACGAAAAGGTAGGGGGACCCACTGGTTAGGTGAATCCCATTCAATTAGATACTATAACGTTGCGCACTGCTGCATTATAGCATCCTCCCCCCTAGGTGCACTCATCAGACGACGACGAACGACAAGACACAAGAACTATATGGTACTGCTTACCTCTTGAGCTCTCTTCTGCTTCACGTCATATCTATGATCTTCGATATTTCCCAAGGTGTCCCAATGATTTCATCCCATTATCAGATCGTTTATACTTTTCTTAAAAGGAAAAGCTCCTTGATTTGATTATATTTATTTATTACAAAGTCACAAGTGTTGACATGTACTACTCGAAGGATGGCCAGCCCCTTTTGCGAAGTCGTTGTCTCTCACGGCCCATCAAGAGACTCATGCCCTAGAGATGATATTGCCATGTCGAAAGCAGATGGAAGCCCTTACATGCTGCGAATCATCTGTGAGTCAATAATTCCAGATTTCAACTATCATTGCCCGTGGTAGCAGATCAGGCTTGCTTGAAAGAGTTGCTTCTTGCTTCTTGCACCTCTGCTGTCACTTGTAGCAGCCTGGAGCGGGGCGTTATTGCGCCCGACTTCTTCTTTTCTGTTCCATTTTGTCGGACCGCACCAGTCCTTTGTTCTTGCTCTTTCATGCTCGGCGACTGATTTACAGTTTCTCGACTTGCTCTGGTGTAAGCAGCCAATATGCACACTTTTCTGTACTCAAGGTTCTTATGACCACCTTCACTACTTTGGACTTGGGGGGAGTAGAGACAACATCAGTTCTATTCTTTTTCCTAGCTTGCAGTAAGTCCGATACATTTATTTTCTTCCACTCCCAGTGCTTCAGTGTCAGGAAACAACTCCCCCCGGTTAACGCTGCACTGCTGAATATGTAGTAACATTGTGGACAGCTTCAATGGGCCGCCCCTCTCCATGGAAACCTTCTACACCACAACGTTATAACTTATTTATACGCAGTTGTTCTCGGTGGGCCCGGGTTGTACGTCAACGACATCTCGTCCTCGAGCTCGGTAAATTCAACCACATGATTGCCATGCCCCTTGCTGGAATGCCGCTCGCTGGGCTCATCATGGTGCACGGTGACTTCGACATCGAATCTTCTGTTGATGCCAGTTCCGTGCCCGGGCTCAGCCTGCGCCCTGGACTTGGTGAAGGACCTTAGGCCCACGGCGCGCTCGGTGGGGTCGTATTTCTGGTTGTGGCAATTTCTGTTCCGGGTGGAATAGGAAAGGGAGTTGAAATGGGCGTCGGAATTCTTGCCCTGTGCCAAGCGCGTGATCAGAGATGCCATGGACATTTCAATGTTGAGCTTGACCATGTAGGCCACGGGGTGGAATTGGATGTAGACTACCTCATTGGGCAGGGACATCAGACCGATCAACATTGCCTGGAAAGGGGTGTTAGCATCAGTTGCTTAAGTTTGGATGAAGGTGGCAACTCACGTCCATAGCAACCGACAAGACCATGAGCTTGGCGTTGAAGCTGACCAAGGGGGCGTATTTGGTCAAGCCATGTTGCTCGAGGATTCTCTTCTGGACAATGCGCAAGAAGTACCAGTTGAAGCCTGCGTCAACGAACAGGATGAGCACTTTGGATATCCGATCCCAGTACTGGTTGATGGCCACATAGCTGCATTGATATTAGAAATTGGTGACGGGATAATGGCCAGACTCTGGCTTGTTCCCGGGAAGCGACTTACGTGTCACTCGCTGGCGGCACTGTGTGGGCTGGAATCCAGATGCAGAACACGGCCACGTTGATGGTGGTGATGCCCACTACGGTTCCCCATTTCATCCATCGAATCGAGTCCTGCCTTTCCATGATGATGGCTATTCGATTGATAATGATCTGCATGAGAATCTGGACCTCAAAGACCCAGAGAAAGAGGATGAAAAAAAGCACCGGTACTCTGTAAGCATCGGGTGTGTTAGCGACGGATAGGGAGGCCTGATTCCGTTATGGGCAGGCGGACTCACGTGGCTCCAACTATCCCATCTAAAAAGAGCCACCCCAAGATCCCAATGACAATGTTGACGGCGATTTCACCCCATAACATGTAGATGTAGGTGCTTCGAAGAGGGTTCTTGTTCCGCCTTGTTTGCTTGCTAGCCTCCCATACTGTAAGGAAACCGAATCCTATGGTGAAGCCGGCTGCCAAAGAGGCAATTTGGTAATCGGTTTTGTTCGCGGCCATATTTGCGAGTCGCTTGGGTTCCTCGGGAAGTTCGGGAGACTTGCGTGGGTAGTAGGGTCGATTGGGTCGTGCAGTTACTACACATTATTATTGAAGCGTTCACTCGACATTTCCCGTGGCTGGCCACCTTGAAACGGACGCAGGCACCCGTGAGATAGCGTTGAGGCAGGATCCAAGACTTATATCTCACATATATCTCCAACCAAAAAGTCCTGCTCTAGTCTGCAATCTCAGAATCAAGGAAAGAGCAATACCCACTTGGTCCCCTCTCGTCAACGCTACGCTCTTACGCCGTGCCACTGACATCTGTGACAACGTCTTTTTCTAGTACAGTCATTCATCAGGCATGCAATGGGTTTCGGGATTTGCTGATCATTTCGCGTCTTTTCGCTGTTCTTTCGGCAGTCATAAACCATGCACAACCATGTGCAACCCAAGCGGGTCGACCGAATTGTTGAGACGATCAAAACGCTATGAACCCTGCTCCACGTGTCACGGCCGATATACCCGGTGCTAGGCCCTGACTGGTCTCGGGAATGGCAGCCAAATGGGTAACCGGCAGGCATCACCTTCGGTCTAATGTCTTGACATTACTTAACCAAAGACCGCCCCCCTCCTGTTACCCCTCGACGAAGCATCATCGCATTTCAGCTGGAAGCGAGCGCTCAGGGGCGTTGTTGGCACACATGCACGGAAATATGATGGAAATACGTCAAATCATATAAGTCCACTACAAACCGGGAACGTCATCGACTCCACGATGGGCCAATTTGTGATACTTACCTTTGACAAAACATTTGGAGTATGTTCGAGATTTCTGTTCGAGGACCCGAATTGCCTGAAGTTTTATCTTCAGGTCGGATTCAGCTTTCTGCTAGAAAACCTCCTTCTGGCGTGGACAGGCGCGGGTAGGCGGTTCATTCCATGCGGGTTCCTCGTGGCGATTTAGTTCAGACACTAGTCGCAGATACTTTGGACTAGCATCACGCAGTCTTGATATGTGGACCGCTCTTTCTTCGATAGTCCAATCAAACTTGCGAAGTTCAAATATGAAGCAAATCCCAGCTTCCCTTCTTAAGATAAGAACCACTCAATCTACGGCCCATTGATATGAGGTGTTAAGCCGGGATTCATCTACGTCCTCTTCTTATTCATGAGTGGCTACCGTAAACACGGGCAGCGTACTCCACGAGATTCTACTTTACCAGATTCCAGGTTGCAATAGTTCTGTTTCTTTTCTGTCGCAACTGAAACTCAAGAGTTACGGAGATGGCTTCGGACATGTTACTGCACCTGTGGTGATCTGCTGTCGCCATGTGGGACAGTGCCACTGTCCCCGCGAATGCGATTTGAGCAGAGGGAATGGATCAGACTTCAAAGAGGCCTAGCGAACCCTGCTTGTTTTCAATGATCCTTCTGACCGAGTGACTGTGAGAGACTGGGATATAAATTCACTTGTGACCGATCGTCATTCCCGCTCTATATGCGCAAGTTAGGTCGCATATTATAGGTGTCCACTAGCAACCCTCACTCTCATCTGATTATGATAGCACTAAGACTCAGCTGATGAGTTACCACATTTACGTAACGTTTGAGCTATCTTGTCCATGTCCGCAGGAAACGGATATCCTTCCTATCCGCTCTTCTCATTCTTTTTAGTTTCTGCGTCGTTGTGAGTTCTCCATCTCATGCGAACCTAACGAGACGCAGCAATATCAACTACCATGCCGAAATCGGAGTGGTCCTGATGTTTCCATTCATCATTCAACTTGCAGCTCAATTACTCCGCCATAAGTTCATGTTGTGGGAGTTGTCGAGACTGCTCTATGTCAATTAAGAAACATGGCATATGCTAAGTTTAGAACCATGAAATTTCCCAGTATTACCTCTAGGCCGCCAGACCCCTATTGCAGCCCGCATTAACCTCAGCGCTGGACCCAGCCTATGTGCATCATTGAAAACTCAGACAGAATGCTTCCTCCACGGGAAGAGGTATTCAGGTTACCAAACTCGCAGATGCCATCCAGATCCGGCACGATCATGCTTAGCCGGCAATGAAACCCTGCAATTCCTTCCAGTGCATGATACTGAGCAAGTCATCTTTGATCCCCACATGATAAGCGTCCGGAAATGGTGAGTGGCAGACGTGGACTAGTGATTCAGGCTGCGGGGTGAACTAGGCTCGCTACACGAAATATTTTATCCTCCTCTCCCTAGGCCAGCTCAGGCATACAAGCCCGAAACTTACGGAGGACCTTCAGTTGTCAACCTCTCAGATCACTCAACGCTCGGTGACTTCCAATCCGTCTTCAAGTACGGTTATCAAATATGGTCTAACCTAAATGAGAGCTTGAGAAACTCCAGAACCATATGGTCATGGGCTCCTCGGCAATCAATACGATCTCCCCTAACTATTGAGCGAGGTTGTGTTCGAGGAAACTAGTATAGGAGGTCAAGACGCGTCACTAGGACATGAAGATGTTGCTACTTTCTCGATATGAATCATAGAATAGGCAATACTGGAAGAAGAAGGCTGCGATTAGGTGACAATCATATTGATCATCGCAGACGATCAAAGAAAGCTTGCATCTGGAATTTCCACGATAACCACGGATGGGGCTTGAGCTATTTGAGTCTTCTACTGCTTTATAGTACCAACACAGCTCTTGGTGGCTAGAACCCGACACTTCACCCACAAGCAACTTGGCAACAACCTTGTTCGGGTAGCACCTGACAGTTGCACACCTTCAATTTTTGATTGAAACCTATATACAATCATAACCATCTATTGCGTGCCCCAGGCACACCGCCTGGGCCGGCTACCCATAGATAGCCCTTCCGTCAGCTGCAGCCTTTGGGGTTTGGTCCCATCATCATCATCACTACAATTCTCTTGTCTGTATTGACCACACCATATTTTTCTGTGTTCTTTATGCCTTTGAGGTCTTAAATACATGCAGATAAAGTGATAATGTTTACATATAACCATTCAACTATTTAAGTACTTAAGTATAGAGATGAGATCTTAAGAGTGAGCTAGGGGTTGTTTTAGACCGAGAACTTGCGGCACCTCATACAAGGAAATTTTGTCACAGACAACTCAATAACATAGCTGGTCGTACCAAATAGGAGTACTTGACCATTTATGGTCCGTGGGTCGTTTTCAGTTGAGTTTGTTAAAGAGATGGTAACGCTCCAATGTTGCGACTTTTGAGGCTGTATTATTAAAGCCTACCTCGTATACTATTCTTACACTCTTACAGCATGAAAATTCGGAGAACATCCTGAACTTCATAAGACCTCCACGGATGAAAATACCTAATCAATAAATACAGCAAAAGTACCCAGCCAACGTTTTTCTACCTAGCTCTAACTTGCACAGTTATCCTATTGAAGCACCCAAGACCATATTGCCATCAGCGTCCATCCGGCTACCAACCCAAAAACCCGCGTATGGCTCAGATACGCTGCCACGCTCTCACACCATCTGGCACCTCGTACTCCCGCTCTTCCCACGTGAATGGCTCAGACCATTCGGTTGCTCACATACTGATGGTTGGCCATTGCCACCAAGCCTCTGCTCGTGTTGACACTTCGCACTGTGGGCCCCAGCACCATGCGCCCTTCACCAGTATGGACATCGCCTTCGTCGTAGGCTCTGCTATTTCTGGTACTGGTGGACGTTGGACCTATCGAGAGGTTTGGGCTATCTTCTGATTTGTGCTCTGTTGTGATCCAGGAGCGATTTGGTGCTCGGATAATTGTCCCTGGTTCCTCTTCGCCGTCGGGCGTTTATTACGGATTAGTAACTGGTCAATACGAAACATAAACCCAGGTTTCATGCTGAGATTATTACAATTGGATCATGCGAATAGAATAGTGGCATTTGCTATACACAAGCTGAATTCTCCAAGGCGCAAGCGAATATGTAAGGGATCTTGAAGCAAAAGTCGTATCGCTGATTATGTCAGTGGAGAAGACCCAGAACAGAGAAAAGTCGAAGGATTCAATCCTGCTCGACGACTCTGATTTTCAATGGTATGAGTGACTACAGTCGCGTGCAAGGTTATTTGTGCTTCCGAGACTCAATTGGGCCGGATTCTATCGTACAATATGTTCACGCTGCTTTGGCAGGCGCGCGGACCTCCATGTTTCATCTAATCCTCCCGTATTGTGCTGCGTATTATTCGACAAAATAATGCTTCACATCCGCAATTATTATGTGTGCAACTGCATGTAATTCAATTTTACTAATTCACCTAAGTGGGCTCGGTTTCTTACTGATGGAGATCACTAAGAAACTATATTTGTTGGCTGGCTTGCATAATTTGGTCTGACAGTTCCAGAGTTCGGTTGCCCCATGTTTTGTAGAGTTGGTACTGAATATAGTTGTCAATAATTACATAAATCATCAATAAGTTGGTCACTTTGGTGGAGTGGTTAACACGTTGCCCTGCTATGCCCATTGTGGATGTGTGTTGTTAGGCAATGCCTTCGGGCGCGTAGGTTCGAATCCTGCAGGTGACGATCTTTTGTTCTTTTGGCCAACAGTAAGTAATCTTACTGGTATGATCCATGTGTTTTCCAATGCTATTACTTTTGCCCTATCTTTCCACCACTTCTTCATGGCAAAGAGTTGAGGTACGAGTACTTCAGATGTCGGTCATGGTCTGTGCGTATGGATCAGTTTGAGGACCCCTGCGGCTACTTCCCTGCCCCGACTCCCGAGATCTGCGCTTTTGATGAACGCGACCGCGAAAAGTGTCCTGAGTTGAAGCTGGATCTGACGACGAGCATCAGGAAATTGACAACAGATAATCTGCACGCCTTTCAATCTTCAAGTCACTCGTTTGCACCGTTCTCCAATACAGTTCACAATCAGGCGCAATCCTACGATTCGAAACCCACCAAGATGACGCGCGCGCAGCACACCATCTCCATCGCCCTCCTGGCCTCTTCCGTACGTCACCCTGTCCCATTGTCTCTCTGCGCGAACAATTACTGACTAATTTTCACAAAATCAGCTCTACCTCGCCCTCTACCTGCAGCTTATCCCTCTGCCGGCGCTGGTACAGACCGAGATTGTGCCTGTGGTATGTCCTTCCTCCCATCTTGCCTCCCTGGCTCCTTCCTCGAGTCTCGAGTTCAAAGCCTCGATCCCCGAAAATATGGAGAGAGGGGGAGTGAAAAGTAAACGATTCTAACAACTGCACTCCATACAGCTCCCCTTTTGGGCCCTCGTCACCTTCGGCGCGTACCTCCTCTTCGTTCTCGGTTACAATGTCATGACCTTCAACGACGTGCCCGAGGCGCACAAGGAGCTCATGGCCGAGATTGAGCTGGCCAAGACGGACTTGCGGGGGCTTGGAGTCGAGGTAGATTAGTCTGGATGAATGGATTAATATGCGGCGACGGAAAACATTGAACTGGACTGCATGAAATGGATGGGCTGTTTTCTCAAGGAGTTTGCAACACTGGGCCGAGTAAGGGACAGATGATGGATCTAGGTGTATTGCACTGGAACGGATTAAAGGTTGCGGTCACTGCCAATGTTAGGGATCATCGAATAATGAGGAAGGCCTGGCCCAGGTCTGCCGCTCTTTGATGCAGTTCTGCTGTGTTCGGGCGCTTTTCCACCAAAACAAGAAGATAAGCCCAGACAATAACAATTTCCTGATGCGCTTTGGCATTGCTGGTCGGCATGCCATCCAATGCCCCAAGTTTGAATCGTCCACCCCTGGAATTGTCCAACCCACCATGATGCATTCGTACAATCATATACACATGATCAAAGCCCCTGATATCTCCAAGTCAATATCAAGCAAGTACGCTCAGTCACTGCGCTCTCCAACGAGAAGCGCAACAATAGTCTTCATGGCATCCATCGGCTCTACACCTCCCTGGACCAGTTTGTCGAACATAGCCGGCATGGCAACCAAGCTTCCCCTATCGTCTTGAGCGTGCCCTGCAATGGGTTAGTTCGCACCCCCTGCTGTTTCTTTGGGGAAGATTGACTCACATTTCCCCGGCATCTCGACCAGAAGTGCAAGCATGCTCTGTCCTTCGCCGGTCCAGTCAAACTCGATGGGCCATGACACCCTCACACCGAGTCCCTGTTCACCACCCACGTCACCCAAGTCCAGATTGTAACTCGATCGTCCCAGAAGAGGAAGCAAGTCCGCTTTTGTTACGCCCTTCTTCGCCCCTGTGCCTTCTTCTGTTTCCCGTCCGTCATCATCCTCTACAGACGATCTCCCAACACCTTTCCGTTTCCGACTCTTTCGCAATTTCTTCACGCATTTTAAGATCTCTTCTCTGCTGCCGAGTTCACGCTCAATCTGGACCCAAAATCTTGCCCGTTTCGTCGCAAGTCGCGTCCACTCGGCCATGGCCCAGGCGATGACACTGACGTTGCGTTTCTGGGCGCTGTTGCTCCCGCCTTGCACAATTTTCTCGATGAAAGGGCTCAGTTCGGGGACGGCAGTGGGATCCAGACGAGGCACGGAAAGCTCGGCGATGGAGAGATATTTGGTATTAACAGTCATCTCGATCTTGGCTGCGAAGAGACCGCGTGGTGTGGACGAAACAGAAATGTAATGTTTTTGCATGAGGGGACCGGCGTCTCCGTCATCAGAGTCGCGGGGAAGTAGGGACACGGAGGAGGTAAAAGTTAGTGGAGTGAAGAGCTGAAGATAAGGCAATTCTTCTGAGGCGCCCATGGGGATGGGATGGTGGGATATTGGCGGCGGCCGCTCGTCTTGCTGCTGTTCCAATGCGTCAAACGGAGTGGGTATGGGCAAGGCCGGGTTACCGAATGGAATGAAAGACATGGGATTAATGGCCGCATCCAGCCAGTTTTGCAACGGTTCTGGAGGTGGTTCCTTTTCAGGTGCCAACGTGTGGCGGAGAACTTCGAGTAGAGCATCCCCATCGTCAGGCTGTTGAAAAACGGAATGATCTGTATGAGGCAGATGCAGCTGGTATATCCTGTCGTTCTCTTTCCGGGCAACACGCAGATCTGCTTCTAGCTGTGCGACTTCTGCAAGCAGATACTCCTTCAACGCTTTCTTATCTGCCAAGGAATCAAAGTCCTTCACGCCTCGAGCGGGGTGAGCTTTCCGAGTCCCTTTCTTTTCTTCCGTTTGAGCATTTTCGATAGGCTTGTCGGTATTGTTCAACGTTGTTCTGGATGGCCGCCGGAATAATTGCGACGATATTCCGCTCTTTCTCGGCGCTTTGCTAAATTCTGAAGGCTGCAAAGGCGGTTGCTTCAGGGGAGAACTCTTAATTTTCTCTGCCAGCGCTTTGCTCCGCCTAGGGCGCTTCGTAGGCGTGTTATGAATCCCCATTGGTAACGTGCTGATAGCAGCAGGGTCCGAAATCCCCTTTTCGGTCGGTGTAGGCGGCAAGCCAGGCTCTTCCGGCTCGGTTGCAGGCAATACTCCAGGAGGCGGAGAGCGCCGTAGTTTTCGTCCCTTAAACGGGTCTATCAGTTCCTCCTCTTGCGCTGAAGGTGGCGGCAGTGGCCTTGGAGATGGTTTGGTAGGTGTTCTTCGCGGTCTTGCTCCCATCCCACCTCCTAAGCGCCTGATGGGACTTTGCGGAAATTCAGCCGATGTGGTTACTGGCCGCCCCGCACCATCGTTTGTATCTCCACGCTCGGAACTGAGATGGGTCTCAGATGCGCCCCCCAACTGAGACCTCAGCTGTTCAGAAACGCTCTCTGGGCTACCAGCGCTTGAGGCTTCTGGGGCGCCCAGTTGCCTCTGTGACCTGATAGTACTTCGTCGTTCGAGGATATCGGGGTTTGCGCGTGCAAGGCTCGCTTTGGTAGGAGATGCGAATGATGGCCGTCGACGCCTTGTTGATCGCCTGGTCGCGCCATCGGAAGAGGCTGAGCCTTGTGAGTTCACAGACACGCTGGAGTTGGAGGATGTTTTGCGCCTCTTAGGTGCTGAGCTCTCCATGACTCGTTCTTTGGCATCTGTTGATTACTTGGGCATGGTCGAGCGCTGGTGAATAAAGGCAGGGCGTCTATTGACTATTTGGTTGGCGCTGCTTTCTGCTCTCTGGAGTAAACACCGGTGGGTGCAACCGAGCTTTCGACCTTGCTTGGAATTCGAGAAAAGTGCCACAGGTAGCTCATGCGAGATTGGCACATATGCAATTGCAAAACACTTGACTATGTTGCGACATATATTGTAACTTGTGTCGTCTTTTGTCAATAACGCGTCGCAACCGTTGCCGCGTTTCTGTCGCTTATCTTATCTCCCTCTCCTGATCCTGAATTGCCAAAGAAGCTTTGGCCACGTGCTCTACTCGGCTGTAGGATGACGTCCAAAGCCCGAGGTTCAATCGCATGGCGAAAAATTGTCGTCATTGTCTCGGAGGCCCAGAAAACAGCGTTCTTTACCGATTTCTCTCCACACTGAAACCTCGCGATACCCTCATCTTTTCTTTCCAGTCCTAGAAGCCCAACTTTCGCCATGTCGTCCGCCTCGCGCTCCCTCCTACGAAGAACAGCTAAGTTCGCAGCCCCCCTCACGCGCCGCCCCATTTCGAGCTTCAACAAGACACCACCAGCTGCCAACAAAGGCCCCGGCGCCAGCGAGCAGGCCATGCCCCTCGGACCCTACTATGAGGCCATCATCGTCGCGCCGCAGCCCATCCCTGCCGTGAAGCCCGAGGAGCCCCCCACCTCCTCGCCCGAATCTCCGCGTAGCACCACTAAGAAAACAACAGCCGCGGCACGTAAGACTGAATAGCCCCCATTTCCAACTAACTGCTAATATTGATTTCTCCCCAGCAGAAAAAAATCCAGGAGCAGAAAGAACAGTAGACACGTCCGCCGCGCCCGTCCCGACGCCCTCCTCGGAACCGAAGACAGCGCAGGAGAAAGCGAAAATCATATTCGGGTCGGCATTGGCCGGTCCCGCTGAGCGCGCAGAAAGGTTAAAGGCTATCAAAGACAGGAGCACGTTAATAGCTGGGGTCTTGGTGCCACCGCGGCCCGAGGAACCCGATAACTGTTGTATGAGCGGGTGCGTCAACTGCGTCTGGGACCGTTACAGGGACGAGGTCGAGGAGTGGGCATTTGCGACTGCCAAGGCTGAGAGGACATTGCAGAAGCAGCGCGCTCAAGGACCTGTCGATGTGATGGGGGGTGTGGGCGCTGTGAAGGGGCAAGAGCTTTTGAAGGGACCGGGCGCTGCTATGTCGTCTGCTGTTAATGAAGCGCTGAGTATGGACGACGATGGAGGTGGTAGTGATACTAATTGGGATGTTAATGAGGTCCCGGATGCGAAGATATCGAAGAACCTCTGGGATGAAGATTTATACAAAGGTGTGCCTGTGGGCATCCGCGAGTTCATGCGGACGGAGAAGAAGTTGAAGAATAGGCATGCGCAGGAAGACTCGGTGGGTGGGTAGAGATAAAGAGTTAGTGGTTGTATTACATGACGAAGTGGAAGAGAGCGAGCGTCTCTACACTTTGCAACTACAAGATTAATAGACTTTCATGTTCATGTCTACGAAGCCTCAGGCCAAAAGTATATGAACTGGCAAGGGTCCCCTCCAGCTGTGTGACCATCTCATGCAATGGCTAGCTACACTATCTACAGTGCTTGGCATAGTTTTCGTCCCCTCTAGATCCCGGAGCCTTATTTCAAGGGCTGAGCACATTCAAATATTTGGGGTTGCAAATACCCTAAGCACTTTGCAATATGTTATCTGCGATAACGTCATGTATACGGTTAGAGGGGAACCCTGCTAGTTCACACGCTTTTGATTAGAGGTTCTGTTATCTGTTAACGAAGAAGCTTGGCCGGAGGATTAACAAGATATTTTCTCCAAGTGTAAGGTATGTGCGCAACCATTTGCGTTCATTTCAGCTTCCACCTCTGAGCCATGTGGCTCCCAAACATATCTTCCGACTGGCATTTAAGCTAGGAGCACATTTGGCATGACAAGCTCCTTGCCCTTTGCGTTCGATGTCTTCCCCCTCTCCTCTCCCGCCAGTGAAAAGATAGTTGTGCACTTGTACGGGTTGTGTCCTTGTAAAATACAAAACTGATAATAAGAGTAACATAAGCCCCGTGTCCACGCCAGGAGCTTCTCTGAATGCTGTCGCGATATGATGTCGCCTTAAAAGGCTTAACCTGAGAATGGTGGCAAACTGGGCTACGATGGGAGAATACATAGTAGAAGCCTTGTTGGAATGAAGCAGGGAAAGAAGCTGGTGTTGGCTATGCCCAACTCGCGTTGTCCTTACATGGAAAAGGTAAATCGTAGAAGCCCCTTTCACAAATTCCCATACGCCTGATAAATCCCGTTCAATAGCCCCCATTCGATCCGCCGCATTTCTATCAGCTTTCGACACTTGTCACCAACCCTAGCTGACTCCGAAGCAGACAAAACGCCTTCTCCCAGAACTTCCACCTCTTGATCCCTGACGTAGAGTGGCCTCGGCTGGATGCTCTCTCCGGACTCGGTGGTGCTAGGCAGCTGAATGATCTCCTCAAAGACCGTCTGGCCACAGCATGTATCATGGGCCACCAGAAAACGCTATTACTTTAACAAGCAACAATTTAAGCCGTTGTGGAGGTTCTCTATGGTCATATGTACCATTTTGAAAATAATTCCTTATTGATCTAGGCTGCGAGGTCGCTTAATCTGGCGGCCAGGTCTGGTAGGTCGAGGGGCTTGTTCCTCCGCCTCCGATTTCTGAGAATCCGAACTAGCTGTAGAGCCTCAAGGGAGGAGGAGGCTGTAGGGGGGTGGGGATTATACTCGTAGAAGGATTATAAAGGTATTGAATTAGTATAATGCCCGCAATGGTCAGTCGCTCTAGCAGGGCTATTAAATATCGGTTAATTTTCTAATATAACGATGTATTGTACTATAAAATAATGTGGTCGTTATTTGATTGCGTGTTAGTAAAGTCACTAACTTTTATATGTGTATTGTCGGAAAATATGCCCGCACTATACGGAGGCCTGCGCGCTTGCCAAAGCGTGAACATACTGCGAGATAGATTTTGGCCTAATTGGGTCCTCGAAAGCAGGATCAACCTGGCAACACAAGTAGCAATTCATGCCATCGAGAAACAGAGTATTCAGTAAGGATCAAATCGTTCACGTATTAGCTAATTTGGCTTTACCGTTGATGATTGTGTTGACGTATACACTATGCACGAGTATCTCGATTAGTGTGAGGAATACCGCGCGTCCGGATGCTTCATCTGCCACCAAGAAGCATGCTTCACGACCTGGTTCTTCGTCCACTGCGAGGCATGCACCACGGCATAGTACTTCGTCTGCTAAGGCCGAGGCGATTCAAGGAAATCATGTTATTTGAAAGCTTCCTTCTAATGAAACAGAGTTCTGGGAACAGGCAGGTCAAAGAATACCAGAGCATGGCATTCGGAGAGTTTCAATTAGTTATGCGAATAATATCCCATATCATCTTCTTCTTATTGTTTTGGGTTAGACCAATCTACACTTTTGACAGGGCTAAAAATAGGACTGCTATATGTTTACATAAGAGACTTCATCGACCTCCGTAGTATCTCATCCATATGGCGAGTGAACGTGTCATGGTTGCCCATTGGGGAGCATAAAGTGGTCGTAATCTTGAATTTCCCCTTATTATTGATGCTGTGGAAAACCGCCATGACTTCGAAGATGGCCACAGTAGAGGCGCCGAGGTTGATGTTGGTGAACGGCGATAGTTAGCCTCATCAGTGTTTGAGAGTTGACTTCGGCTAAGACTACAATGCACGGAAGCAGCATGAATAGACGGAGAAGAGCTCGGAAGCTGGCCTAATGGACTGCGGGTACTGCGATCGAAGATTATTCCTTGAGGCCTCTACCTTTGAATTCAAGTCTTCAATGGTCGTTAACTGACTGAAAGCTGAGGCTTCTGTGCCTGGATCACGGGACACATTGGCTCCGACTTCAAGCCAAACAACTGCGTATGGCCCCAGTATATAATGGTGCATCATTGAAAAACAACTTGAAGAGCTTGGGGTTAGAAGAGAGGGTCAATGGGAAGCCTCCAATTGACCCGGAGTCTCAAGAGTTCAAGTTGCGCTCCGTCAGATTTGCTTGGTCATCGGAAACGTTCCCATAGCAAATAAGCCGTAGCCGGTCTCTCCTTTTTTCCTCTCAATTTGGTGTCTAAGATGATCTGTGACCAGGTGTCGTGACGAAGGCGAGAACTTACCAAGCTGTCAGTCGAGTGCTGTGGACGCAGGAGTATCAGGGATTCGCATAAATAGTCGAGACTCTGACTGTTTGATCCATAGGCATCTGCATCGCGACAGGACAAAGAATCAATAAGACAAGTTCGCAGAGGTAGCCCATTTTACGTGGTCTGAGTGTGTCTTGAACAAATGAAGTCCTGCGGTACAATCTCTTTGCGCCAAGGCAAGATAGGCTAACGGCCATGCAGAGCCCCAAGTGAAATGCACGCTGGCTGTGTTATGATTGGCCATGACTCTCACTTGCAGTCGGCCGTTCTTCGACTGAAATTCTCTTCCGAGAGCTGACAAGTTATGCTCGGAAGGAGCCTTGGCATCCGAGGTGTTGTCACCCATCTGATCCGTGGAGATCCTAAGCACCGATGACATGAATTTGGGTCCTAGAAGTGACTCGAATGGCCTTTCTGAAAGAACAGGAGCAGGTCGAAGGGATGTTGTCGCATACTCCGGAGCTACTATGTCTGGATTTGGCTACGCAAAAAGATTTGCGTCGAGTTGACCACCAACCACAGTCGCTCTTCTTATGTCAGTTGTGTGCTACGTCTTCGATTGCCACTGAAGAGGCGTCTCTGGGTTCCAGGGAACAACGCACTCGATGCCACGGAGTGTTACGGAAGTGCGTGCGAAGGCGCACCAGGGCAGCAATTTGACCAAGTCAACATGATAATCTTGCAGGTGCTCCTCCGTTTGTCGGAGACGCCATCAGATATATGCATCATAAACTCCAAGTGAAAGCACTGCTTGAATAGGGAATGTAATTCTACATCGCGTTGAAGTTTGACAAGTATCCGCAGCAACTGAACCCACCTCAGTGTGAATTTCGACTGCAACCAAGTGTAGTGTCAACTTACAGACCGCGGGACTGTCGTACGATAGAGTAGATTATGAATATGCTGCAGGTCAGATTTTTTTTTTGCTGACCCTCGGGATCGATGGAGTTGGGCAACTAGTGTCCGTCTCTAGTGCGTGAGGGAGCCATCGGCGAGCCCACGTTCCTTTCCGGTAATGTCAAGCTGCGGTGCTTCGCTGGAACGACCAATAGTACCTCTGGTATTGAAGTTGAAGTCTGCGTTGCCGTCTGTTTTTCGTACTTCGAAATCAATACTGCGACGGGGCTGGTGACGAACAGAGAACCAAGTCCAAAACTACCGGGACTGCCAATGAAACGTAGAGATAGAAACAACCAGAAAATAACGTCCCATTCCCTCGGGTGTCGAAAACACTGCCACTCACCCCATCAACGCCTAAGCCGAAGAAAATTCCCTGCTTTGTCGTGCAGCTCTGCGCAGGGCAATTGTTCAAGGCACCCCTGTGCCATTGGATGAGTAGGAAAAGCCAGCTTACAGATTGAGGGCAGTCTCAAATCTGCCTCAAATCTGCAGGATACTGGGTCACACTCGGACGCAAATCCAATTCTGCACACACGCGATATTTACCTTTATCCAAGAGGAAACTACGCAGCATAACTCGTAGACTTGTCGTCACTCGACGGAAGTCGGCCGAGCAGGTTTCTCACCTATTCGAATTCTGGTCATCGTCGCAATACACACCGCGTCATCCCAAAAAGCTCCCCGATTGCTGTACATCCCATTCGAGATTCAGTGGCGGAGTAAGATAGAAGTCACGTCTTGGCGATGGTGGGAGACATCGGTCCTCAAACTCTGGCAAGGTGGGACTTGTGCACTTTTGGGCGTCATGGTTCCACGGACTTGGGCTCTGTCTCATCAAGCCGGGTTTGCCGCCGCAGAGGCTAATCATTGTTCAAGGGCTGTGAAGGTTCGGTTATTCGGAGATGCGTCTTCAGCCGCAGGAACTGGCGACTCCCACGACGTCCTCAACAGTGAACCGTGGCGGATGTGATGCGCCCCAGAAGCTGCGTGCTCCAGGACAGCAAATTGTCAGCAAACCGCAATCTCACGAAGTCAAGGATATGCCATGGGGAGCATGGCATACCATATCGAGTCGTATGTTTCTCATTCGTACAGCCCACGACTTACTTTGCAGTCTGACAGTCTTACTGCTGATGCAGATGCTGATGCAGACGTCGCTGGAAGGAGACTACTGCGTAAGTGTTGTTGGATGAATCCTGCCCGACAAGGCCCGCACACGCCATGCAATTATTGTAGGGCTGGGTCTAGGTGTCGGGTCCAGTCGACGCCACAATTCAGCTTCTGCACCTGCGTTCGTGGACCACCCAATCACAACGAGCATGGCTGAAATCAATTTTGAAGCTCGACAGAGGTCGTCGGGTGGAAGATTGATTATTGGTCATTGCACAGCAAGCACAGAGAACCTGGAATCACAGTGCAAGTCATATGCAACTCATCCAACCCGCCGCTGTGTTTATCGAACGCCCTTGCTCGTGCTCGTGTAGCTTAATTAAGTCAAGGCTCGTCTCGTTAGCTGTCCTCACATGGCCACTACAAGTCTTCTGGATTATCGTAGAGCCCGCAGCCGGTATTGCACTTGGGGGCCGTCCGTCCCTATTGATCCTTTCCCTTATTATTAGCTATGCTGTGCCTCCCGTCATTTTTATCCACATGAGACCTGCGACAGAAGCAGCAGCGATTACGGATAACTGCTGGCCACACCTCTCCGTTATAAGCGGCGGCGGATCAATGCATTCATTGTTTTCTAGAACATGTCCGATTTAGAAGACTGGTCAAATCAACGGCATGAACAGCAGCAGCAGCAGCAGCGACCCGCAATCCAATCACGCCAGAGCCATTCGTCGATCCAGTCCATTGCCCGCAAGCCGCTATCGCCGACCGCCATGACCTCGCCATCCTCGGCCCCGCACCGCCGGAAAACCAGCGACAACGCCTCCATCTTTTCACAGTCGCAAGCCGAACACCACGTGAGCCTCGACCACCACGTTTCTTCCGTTTCGGCAGAGTTGCATCACGGAGGATGGATGCCAAGCGGGACGGGGCCCTCCAGCCCATTGATCGAAGGCCACGAGGACGACGTTTACTTGGGCTCGTCTGATTTAGGATCATCATTCAACACTAGCAGGTCGAAACCTAAAAGTTCGCAAATCAATCCTCGAGAGAGACCCCCGGCATGGCATCATTCTCCCCCTGTGCCGAACCCAAGTGGTCGCCCGAAACCTACGCCAATGCAGTTCGTGGACAACACCAGTAATTCCTCTCCAGCTGGTTCATTCGCTTCTTCTACCGTCTCGCCGCGGTCGCAGTTCCAACATGGCCGCGTTGATTCGCGTGCGCATCTCCTCAATACTCCTAGTTCGTCGGACTGGACCAGGACACCACGAACCCCAACTGCGTATCCAGCATTAATAGCCCAGAAGAAGAAGTGGTGGCGATGGCGCCCGGCATGGGCAATGTATGTTTTCTTCGCCTTTGGTGTCTGCTGTGCCGTGGGACACCACCTGTTCTACTCTGCATTCAATGGACGGCCGGCCGATAACCTCATCGTGATGCTGCGTTATGGCACCATCCTGGCGTTCGCGGCCAAGGCTGGTTTGGCGGCTGCCGCCATCACCGCTTTTAGACAGCGGATTTGGACCACGGTCAGGTCTAAGCTGCTTAGTGTTGCCGCGTTGGATTCGTTGTTCGCGGCGACCGAGGATCTCGCTGCGTTGTTGAACCTGGAGATCTACAAAAGTGCCACCTTGGCCATGGTTTTGGCTGTCTTTATTTGGTACGACCCCTCTTCCCAATATGGACTTAAGCATGCCCGCTCACATGCACCACAGGTTGACCCCGCTGGTAATTATCCTCACCAGCAATACTCTCACGGTCGAGTTGGCCTTCTTTGAGGAGAAGGGTATGTGCCCTGGAGTGAAAACGTTGAATTTCACCATGGAGTCTCTTGAGAACTGGCGATTGGCGAAGAAGATCAATGGTCTGTTTGGTATCTCAACCTCTCTGTACAATACGACCGCGACCAACATCTCTGATCCATACTGGTTTGACTACTATACCGGGCCAAGCATGGGATTTGCGCAGGTTGCTACCCTTGGGATGTTCTCGCAGCAGGCGATGCAGCCCAAGGATGCTGGTCTCGAGATATGCGGTCCCGGTTGGAATTGCACCTATGTCGTCAACTTCACTGCACCTGGCTACCAGTGTTCGGATATCGCCAGCGGAGTCAATTCACGGATGAATAAGCTGGGCAATAATACTGCTCCATTCGATACAAGCATTCTTCTCCCGGAAGGCAACTTCAGCTACTACGCATACACGAGCGGTGGTGATTACTCACCCACCCAATTGAAGCCAGAATACATCGACGTTGGTGGTGTCCCTATAGGCATTGAGCCCCCCTGGCCGCATCATTTTGGCGCTCTTCGTACGGAGCCAATCCTGTGGATCGGCCATTCCGTGAGAACCAACAAGACCGACCCAACTCCTAATAATCGGACTGAGCCAGGTTGGGATGACGCTTTTACACCCAAGATCTTTGCGTGTGAGCATTACGAGACACATTACACAGTTTCCTTTAATTGGACTGGGGGACAGCAGTTCTCCAATGTGATGAAGAGGGAATATTTAAAACCTGTCATCGACACGACGTTCATCCCTAGCGTGAAAGCCATGGATGGAACGAATGACAATACCACGGCCTATCCGGAGAGCAACTACTGGTATCCAAGCGCCGACCAAACGGAGATGCAACCATACCGGCGAGTCGCAGCCTTTCACTCGATTGGTGCCGTTCTTCGCGATTTCATAAACGGCACGGTGAACTCCGAGTCGATCTTGAACCCCATCGCGGTGGGGAAGGCCATTCAAACCAAAGTCCTCGACCCGCGCAGTGAATACTTCCCCCACTCAGAACTAGCGCCGATAATTCAGGAAGTCTACGAAGATGTCATTTTATCCATGTTCTCAGACCCGCGCTTTCTGGCCATAGTCTGGGCCCAGAAGCCATGGGAGAAGAGCGGCACGCTTCCCGGTGACGAATCAACGGCGTATCCCTGCAACCGGTCGCGGGACGTGGTGGTCTACAAGTACGTAGCTCGAGACCTCTGGATCGTCTACAGTCTCGCCTTCGTCTTCTCCATGATCGCAATCGGACTGGGCACTGCAGCAGTGCTGGAAAACGAGGGCGTGCTGCGCAACACGCGCTTCTCGAGCATTGTGGCGGCGACGCGGGGGCCGGCGCTGGAGAGGGTGATGTGGAGGGAAGAGAGAGGAGACGTGCCGAGGGATATTAAAAACTTGAAGGTCGGGTACGGGATTGTGCATCGGGCGAATGCGCTCGGCGTTACGGAGGACACGAGGTATCCTGAGCGGACGCTGTGGGACGGGGGGGAGATTAGGTACGGGTTTGGGTTGGAGGGTGATGTCAGGCAGGTGAAGTGAAGAGCGAGGCGAGCTTGACTAGGTTGAGGTGATGGGTAATTCAAACCGCCTTGGGTTGGGTTGGCGGTGACAATGGGGAGGAGTTCTGCATAGAGATGTTGTCTTCCATTCCTGGCTGACACGATAGATAGTACAACATGTAGTAAGAATCTGCTACGACGTTCAGGTTATTTCGTCCATCTTCTTGACATGGTGACCCACGGATTCGTCTAGCGCCTGGAGTTCACCCATTGATCCGGGGAACCGTCCGGTTGGGCAACGGGTAAGTGATTAGCATAAGCAACCCAGCCAAACCCGACCGCAGCCCTGCGGTCTCGACTCCGCCACAATATATGGCACATTTGACGCGCAATCCGGACGACCTTATCGTCCTATCACCCATCCCCAGTGAAGCACTGTTCATATCGGATTGAACAAGGGACAAGAAGCAACCTTCACCACTAAAGCGCTGTCGGGCTTCCTGGTACAACACGACAAGAAGCTACGCGCTTAGGGGAAGAGGGGGGAGGGGAAGAGGCAAAAGAGGTCGGGAGGAGTGTGCGATCGTCGAAGGCTGGGTCCGAGTGGGCAGATGGCACCACTTTAGAATCTCCTGTACTGTTCATCTGTGACATGCGCCAATGGAAAGAGCGTCCAAGCCATCGTGAAGTGGCCTAAGTGGGATTATCATGGTTCCTACTGGGACAACTCGACTCGGTCAAGGGTATCGATCAAGCATGATGGGACTTTATCGGGGAAAAACACGGTTAGTCCCGACCTTGTGTCGTGGCGGTCAATTGGGGATTCCTTCCGACCCAGCGGGCAGAGCGGGGCTTGGATTGATGCTAGATGAGATGGACGACAGGGATAGAAAGTGTTCGCCAGCCCCACTAGGTTAAGTGATGTTTTGAGGTACCACTTGTCACGATGACAGAGGCTGGGATGCGGTGACGAGCTCCAGGCCAAGCACGAGATGTGTTTGTTGTCTCGAGTCTCCATCGTGCCGATTTTCCCCGTTTGGCGTCGTCCCTGTCAATCACTAGAGGGGCTAGAGGGGTTGAGGGGTTAATGAACTGGCGGGTGGCCCTCTACTCTTCTCCAGCTACCGGCTGCACATACATGCATGGCAGTCCAACGGCGCGGAACAGGTCAGGAAAATGGAAGGGACCAAAAAGGGGTCACCACTTCGAGGACCCTTGCAGTTGGTGCAGTTTGGTGGGGTTGGTTCGGCGTCACGGTCGCGCACACATATGCGGTGTAATCCAGCACGACAGGGCATCAGATCACTATGCAGCTAAGTATGGTCCAGATATCGTCGCATCTGGTAGCGGTCCTGACTCCTGATGAGACGCGCGATTGCTTGCCTTCTCTTTTTTTTGGGGGGGGGCCCTAACCTGGAATGGGCTGAGCACTTGTGATATCGGATGGACTAGCCCGTGCATTGATCAAGCTGTCCGTCTGGTCTGCTGGAGTCAGGTCATTTACAGGCTGTTGCTGGGAAATTCCAGAAAGCCGACTTGTGCCGTTGAACCGCTGCAACGACGCCCGACCTTGCGAGGGCCAATCATCACCACCGGGTCCAAGAGGGAAGCTTGTGAATGGCGACCGGGTTTGAAACGATGCGCTTTTGCCCTCCAGGCTGTCGGATCTCCGTCGCTCGAGGTTGTTGTCCAGTCGCAGGACTAGGTCTAATGCTTCCAACCCCGTCTTAAGACTCGTGTCGTTCGCTCTCTCGTGACAACGGTCCTCTTTAGATCTCGTTACTTTTGCTCTCATACGGGTATATAATATCTCATCTCACTATAACTTTCGACAAACCCCTAATGAGGGGCATTGCCGTTGCTATCAAAGCTTCTATCGGGCCTTGACAGCCAGTTCTGTCCCTGTCTTATACCTTACACCGCGACTTTAGACTGGGAAGCGGTGGCTGGTCTGCGGCCTCCCCGAAAATCTTCATATCGCTGGGCTTAAAACATCGACCTGCATTGCTTGTCTTCTTTTTCGAAAAAAAAAGACAACCAAAGACGAGACAAAATGGCGATTGAAACGGTTACCATCATCAACAACTCGGGGAAGATTATCACAAATGTAAGTTACAGTTGCAGCAGCAGCAGCAATCCCGACGCGTTCGTTCCATGTTCCCCCATCTGTCCCATCTACCCCACCTTTTCTGCGATGCGAGATGCGAATGCAGCCCAATGTGAGAGGTCGACAACCAACTTTGAACCTGACCAACTGACATTTTGGGGTTGCCGCAAAATAGGGAAAACATATTTTTGGTCTGTTCAAGGAAGCCAAGGCCTCATATGACGAGAAGAAGGCCGCAGTCAAGGCGGAACGGGCCGTCAGGCGCAGTAACACATTCGATGTGGCCAACACGCCGCAGTACTACGATGAAGTCGAGTACGTGACGGGCCATGGCCGTCGGGCCTCGTTTGACGATACGACCTCCCATGCCTCGTCCCGTCGCAGCCACAGGTCGCGGCACTCGAGAACAACGACGGCCAAGAATGGTCCCCAAGCCAAGTCGCGGCCGCCGTTGACGGTCAGCAACCTGCGCACCATGTCCGAATTCTCGTCCTCCGCCCCGTCCCGAGCCCTGTCTCGAGCTCCGGTCCCGTACCAATCCCCCTACGCCGAGACCGCGCCATACGACGCCGCACTCAGCCGTCGCACTCTCACAAGAGTTCCATCAGTACGCCAATACGACGAGAGGATAGCGACGGAGATGGCCGTCCAACGCCCCCCAAACATGTACGCCCAGTGCGCGACTTCGGACCCCTCCCTCCCTAAAAAGAAGGAAAAAGAAATCGACATGAACCTAGCCTATGGCGAGATTCCCCCCGACCTCGAGTCACGCGTCGACCTCGACCCAGCCTACAAAGCCGCCGAGAAGGAGCGGTCGGCGCACACGCTCATGGAGCAGATCGAGGCACTGCTCACCGAGGCCCACTGTATACACCACACCGCGAACCACATGATCACGCATCTGCAGTCCAACCCCGAAGCCGCCGCCGCCGTGGCGCTTGCGCTCGCGGAGCTGTCGACGCTGCTGGGAAAGATGAGCCCGGCCTTCCTGGGGTCCGTCAAGGCCGGCAGCCCTGCTGTCTTTGCGTTGCTCGCTAGCCCGCAGTTCCTCATTGCTGCGGGCGTCATGACGGGCGTCACGGTCGTCATGTTTGGCGGGTGGAAGATCATCAAGCGCATCAAGGAAGTGCAGGACATGCGCGAGGCGCGGATTGCGCTCCCGGCTGCTTCGATACCGATGGCGATCGAGGAGGCACAGCAGAGAAACTATGTACAGTCCGAGTACCGCTCCGAGTACCGCTCCGAGTACGGCGGTAATGAGCAGTACCCCGTGCGTGCGCCGTATCCGATGACGGAGGGAAGCTTCGATGAGGCGCTCGTGCTCGAGGAGGAAGAGGACGAGTTTGAGTTCGAGGAGGAGCTGAGCTCTATTGAGACGTGGCGGAGGGGGATTGCGCCGTTTGGAGAGGACGAGAGCGCGGATATGGAGCTCATCAGCCCCGAGGCGGATCGTGCCATCAGGAGCCAGTACGGCGGGGATGATGCCCGGACGGAGAGGAGCGTGAGGACACATCGGAGCTCCAAGACGGCCAAGTCAAGCAAGACGGTGAAGCCGCACAAATCCTCTTCCAAGTCTCATTGGCCAGGGGAAGAGAGTGTACTGCAGGTCCCGACAAGGGCAAGCAGTAAGGTCGCGCCGAGCGAGGCGGGGAGTCAGAGGAGTTATAGCACGAGTCGTACTGCCACTACCCACTCCGTGACTCCCAGTGAGTCAGGGACGGTGAGGACGAGCAAGACCGGCATGACGAGTAGGAGCAAGAGGACCTTGGCCATTGAGGACGGAAGTCGCGACCGCGAGAAGGCGGCGGAGTTCGCCGAGGTGGTCACTAGGGTCAAGCCACCCGTTAAGCCGAAGAAGGACAGCATGCTTAAGAAGTTGTTCCAGAAGAAGAAGGAGAGGGAGGAGGTATTACAGGTTGCTTAGGTGGAAAGGGAGTGGGGGGTTGCGGGTTGTTGATGCTTGATGAGATGAGACGAAAGAATGATATGAGGGGTGGAATCACACACCCAGGGAACAATCAACGGTGGTTTATGATATTTTTGGGGATGCATTCTTGGCGAGCGAGTTAGACGTCACATCTAGACACCGAAACCAGACAAACATAGCACACTACAACGGGAGAGAAAGGGCATATCGGCATCGGCATCGGCATCGGCATAGGAATCAGGATAGGGTACACGGCATTTGGCAATACAGAACTCGCGCATACGGCTAGCATCGGTGTTGATCATGCGTTCTGGTGAGATGTGTGCCTTGACCTTTTGATACTGTCGCTGCTGGGTGTGTTCGATAACATGTTGATCCTCGGCCATGCAGATTCGTAACTGGCAAGATGTGGGACGCTCAGCCAGGCGTTGGTAACAAAGACTGGCCTTATATAAGCCCATACATGACGATAGAGAGAAGCAAAGGGCGATGGTGTGTTGCTCACCAAACACCTGTCTCTCTCGGTGAGATATAGAAAGTAGCATATCCTGGGTATAACCTCAGGTCATGACCAAACGCCTCTGTGCTTGTTCACTGCTCTGTTTCAGCTCACTACAAGTCGCCCAAGTTGAAAAGGGGCTCAATTGAACATGCAAATAAATACATGGATGAGAATGCACCTGTACCATATCTACCTTGAGTAAGGTAGATCGGATATTTTCTCGTGACCCCCACAAACCTAATGCTAATTACATACGACGGTAACATCGTCGGTGTTTCTGTATAAACTACGTATTACGTGCTGAGTGAGACCACTTACCAACACACCATCCCGTGACTGTCACGTCCTTCCCGAGGGGTTTAAACTGCGGTGAATTCGGCTGGGCTGGGCTGGGCTGAGCTGATGTTCTCCGGAGTGCGTCCGCCGCTGGGTGAACAGTGGACCATCATTGGCCAAATCATATCTCTCTACCCAGCCTTACGAGAGCTGTATCTCGATCTTTGATGGGCTACAAACTGCTATGAAAAGTACACCAAAATAGATTCCATCTTATTGGTCAACCCAAGTCAGACCTTGCTCCAGTTGACGAAAGCTGTCCCTCTCGTGGGGTTTAAAACTACTGTGCACACCGAATTAGGACAAATACTCCTACGCCGTTACCAAGGATATGACTTCTCCGTCTTCTCAAACTTGGCTGTGAATGTCGAGTGTAATTGATGACAGCCGAGGGGCATATTCTGCCCCTTTTCTGCTGCTTGAACCACTTCCATCCTTTCGCTAGGACATCATGACTCGATCTTGGTGGTTTTTCAAGTGCGCTCAGCGCGATGTGAAGGCGTAGGAACTGTTTGTGGATTGGCCGTGGATATTGTGATGCAATAAGTTGACGCCCATCCGGGGTCTCCACCGTTTTATTCGACGCAAAACAATATGTGATGTTTTCTGAATCCTATAATTTTGGAAATAATGAGGCTTAGGTTCCATTCATGCATTGGATATAGACAGTCTGAGGGGCGTTTTGCTTTAATAAGCTTTGATTGCGGTTTTATGTGTATGGTTTCCTAGCCTTCAACGTCGGTACGTGCCGCCCTCTCTGAGATGCGTTCTTCTCATTAGTCGCAAACAATCTTTCCTTCTTAAAATCCATCCTTTACCTCCATGGTTTTAGTCATCTTGAGATACATGCTGGATATGCTCCAGTTTATCGAAGCGTCGTTGAATGTAATGGCTTTACAGTGAAAATATCTCCTTCAGGACTTGGCGGACTTCAGGGGTAAGTCTGCTTCTTTCCTGGCATCGTTTGACATATTTTCTATCCAGTTTCGCGATATTGATGCTAGGATCCCCACCGTTTCCATCTGCTGACGCTGCTTTTTTTCGTTTTTTTTTCAGTCTGGGTAAATACTTACCTGCATAATATGGAGTAGTTGCTCTTCTCCTGGGCTCCTTGTTTTCCGAGTGGTATTCAAGCCCGAGCTTCCGTTACTCGGAACTCGCCCCATCTTTCCGAGAATGGGGTCACCATTTTCTCCTCTTTTTGTTTCTTTTATGACGGGTTACTGAACACATGTCCATAGACTTGTGCCTTCGATGGGTCAAAGTTTTGCAGTTTCGTTGCCCATCAAAACTGGGTGATGCCGATTTTCAAGTCTAGGATCAATTATCGAAGGTGGCTGAAACGGATGGTAACGTGTAATACATATTTTGATGCACGGCAAGGTGTGACCTCAAGCGCGACGAAACGCTTCCGGAGGATATCAAAACCAGGCAAGGATATGGCGGCCATGACTGTCTGAAGCGGTACCTAGTTTGCTGCCATATGTATATTAGTGCCGAGAAACTAGCAAATCCAGCGAATATTATAGTACAGTAGCTCATATTGCGAACAGACCATGCCCATACGTGAGGAGGCTCGTCTCCGATATCGTAGGGGATAGTAGGAGCTTTGTGTGACCCGAGCTTGCGTGCAAAAATCGACATCTCTTTTCCGTTACATGCCGCCGCACAAAAGATTATCGGTGGTTATATAACTACAGCTCTACTCCTTACCTGAGACCTCGTGTGGTCAAATGAAGTGCTTCAGTTGACACACAGCGGGTCGGAACCAAACCGAACAGAAGAACCAGCTTGCCGGATGCCTGTGGTGACTATCCCCGCGCACGGGTAAGACTCTGGCAGAGCTTTGGTGAAAACCCACCTCTGATGAGCGGTCTAGAAGGTCGGGAGACAATGTGGGACGATGCATTCGCAGAAGTTCTATCAGGGCCACGGGTTTCGTCGTCCGGATCAAAGACCCATTTGTTGTCTTCAAAGTTCTGGCTGGAACAGTGGGGGTTGTCCAACATCACCATCCTCGACGAATTCGTCAGCGAATGCGGCAACCGACCCGCACTTTGGCACGATGGCTTAAGCGTGTGAAAACATGGTCGGGCGAGTCGACATTTCAGACTTGAATAGTGACGAGGCTGAAGAAGAGTTCGTCGTATACAATTAGAAGCATGTGGAGTATCGCGTGGAGAAGACACGCAATCCTTGTCTTTTCAAGCTCCTCTTGGGATGAGTGGCTGAGCAAGCTGAACACGATTGATACGGGGTGGGTTGACCGAGGTATCGTAAGATCCATTTCCGAAGTACATTACGGATGTCTGTTCACAACATGAACCAAACTACCTCCCCGAGCCGCTGGAATGAAGAATACTGCCACTTGACACGCAGCTTAGCAATCCAGATTCGAACCCAGATTTGGAATTGGACACTCACCGTAGCCGGGAGGAGTACCAATGGTCACCTGCAAGTCATGGCGGAGAACAACACCGTCCCAAACTGCGAGAAGTTAGCGCTTTGGCTTCCCCACATCGATCAAAATGTTCTGGAACATTTCCGACGGGGAGAAACCTATTTCGCGCCGGCCGCCGTGGGGCCTTTCCTCCTCTCTTGATACTCGAGTGCTCGAGTGCCATTTAGGAAAAGAGCGACGAGATGATCGATCATCGATAAGTTGTGGTCGATGCTCCAGAAGCGGAGCTGGGGAAGGCTGTGAAGTTGGCACATCATTGGCAAGTCAGTTCCTGTCGTCCTTCGTCCTGGAGCACATTCGAGTTTGTGCGTGAGTATTTTCGCTTCGTTTCGTTGATCGATCCTGTCCTATCGTTCAACTTCAGCCAAGATGAAGGAATGCGTCGCCAGGTTCTGAACGTTTTGGGGGCCGGGACTCGTCCACCCACAAGGACGATAATGAAGCGCATCTTAACGAGTTCCCCAATCCTGGGATTGGACGTCCGGACTCCCAATTGGCTGGCTTTTACGACAATGCTGCGAAACTTCTGAAAATGCCCCTTCAACCGGCCTAGGTGCTGGAGGAGGTTTGTAGCAAACCCCATTTATTCATGGTAGGTTTAGATGGCGCTCAATAGTAAAGTAACATCTAGATCCTCCGTTGCTCCAGGTTAGGTCTAGATGTGCAGCTACGGTAGCCACAGCGTAGTGGTCTGCTGCAAGTGCTGGCGCGAGCGTCTGGTCCTGCAGGGCATGGCGGCTGGAGACCACGCCGGCTCCCCAAAGAAGTTCGAGTGCAAAATGGGATAGATCAAGTGGCGGATGGATGAAACAACGAGACAAAACTGATATTCAAGAGGAAACTTGGTTCAAACGAGTCCTCCGAATTTTGCATCAATACCACTGGCTCCAGTGCTCGTATGTCTGTGACTGCCGAGCTCGCCAAAAAGAACGCTTACCCCTGCGCCGTGGTGTGCCCAACCCCTTGCATGCCAAGTCTGGCTGCGGGAGCTGCACGTAGCCACGGCACTTCCCATTCGCTACCTACTGCACCATTTGATTGCCCTGAAAAAGCGAGCCGTTTCAACTATCGACTGAATTGGTCCAGCGTGGCAGCGTCTCGACTTGTCCCTTGTTGATTCCCTCGCTTCCTTTGCCAACCTGCTGGGCCCCCTGAACGGAGCATGAAATACGACTTGGGGGCCTGACCAGCCTGATGAAAAAGCAGTCAAACGGCTTGTTGCACGGGCCGGGCAACGATCTGCTGCTTTAGAAGCCGGATCTGAACGGAATTAAAAAAAGATTCAACGGTTGGAGCAGCGTGAAGCTCTGTTCCTTCAGTGTCGATCGCCACTTTCACTCCTTTCCGTCTACCTGCAACCAACTACAATATCTTTTTCCTCCTTCCCTGCTCACTCGCTCTCGGTCTGGAACTTTCGTGCCTCTCTCACTCCTTTGTTTGGCAGGCTTTAGGTCTCCTTCCTCACATATTCGCCAACGAGCTTCCAGGCCTAGCTGTTACTCAGCTATTTCCTCTTCTCGTCTTTCGCTGCTCAACGCCTACGCGCGCATACCCTCGCTCCAACCACGCGCCTAAGATCACGAAGCTATCTGGCTCGCTCGACAAGTGTCGACCGCCGCCATCATGTCGGAAGAAGGAGCATCTCACGCTCCTCATCCCATACAGATTCGAACCAACCTGCCAAAGGAACCCTCCAGCAGTATCACCGATGTCCAAGAAGACTACCCCATATCCCCTTCGCCACGGACGGGGACACCGAACCCCTTCAGTCGCAAGAACACGAGCATGGACATAGATGATTACTTTGTACGTTGCTCTTTTCTTTCCCTGGGAAGTCAAACCCGATGCGACGCGACGACTAACAGGCATTAAGACGGGTCCCCGCGATATCGCCAAGCACTCTAAATGGCCGCTCTTCCTCCAGATGCACGGCAGTATTCTGCCCAAGATGGTGGTGCCACTCATTGCCGTCGCCATGTGGTCGTCCTTGATCACCGTCATATCGATGAAGTTGCGAGACCAGGGCGTCTTCCTCGGTGTAAACTCCATCCTACTTACCGTCACTGGTTTCGTCGTTGGTCTGGGTCTCTCTCTCCGCAGCTCCACTGCCTACGAAAGATACGCCGAGGGAAGGCGCTGCTGGTCCCAATTGACCCAGACTACCCAGACCTTGGGCCGTGTCTTCTGGATACATGCGGCGGAACGCGAGGATTGCGCCAAGTATGATATACTTGCCAAGCTGTAAGTTGCACGCACTCCTTTGTTGCGCGCCACCAAAACTCTTATTTCAAGGTTCGACTTATACTGACGTGCTCGCAGTACTGGCATGAACCTCCTGGTGGCCTTTTCTGTATCCCTGATGCACAGGCTGCGATTCGAGCCGTACAGCTACTACGATGACTTGACCGATTTGATCGACCACCTCGACACCTTTGCCAAAAGCGCAACCGATGAGAACGTCTTCAAGCCGAGAGACCCTAACTTCTTCAAGAGGGCAGGAGAGCATCTTGGTGTTTCTTTCGCCACTTCCAACCCGCGCAAGGCCATGAAGAAAGCTCAGAGCCCCATCGGCAACCTCCCGCTCGAGATTATGTGCTACATGAGTGCTTACACGGACGACCTCGTCAACAACGGCCAATTGCCCATCCCCATGACTCAGACTCTTGCTTGTGCGTACAATCCTGCGACGACAACATTTGTCTATCGAGAAGGCGTGCACTAACCCAAATGAAATAGATAACGGAATCCAAGCCCTGAACGACGTCCTCGTCAACACGGAACGCGTCCTCAACACGCCCCTGCCCATTGCTTACACCATCGCCATTTCGCAAATCACCTGGGTCTACGTTTTCCTGCTGCCCTTCCAATTGCTTCCCTCTCTCGAGTGGATCACGATCCCCGCCAGCGTCGCCGCCGCCTACATTATTCTGGGCATCCTCCTCATCGGCCGCGAGATCGAAAATCCCTTCGGTAACGACGTGAACGATCTGCCTCTGGAGCTGTACTGCCAACAGGTCGTGCAGGACTTGGAGACCATCGCGGCGCGCCCCAGGGCCCGTCCCGCCGACTGGATTGAGAATTCCAAGAACAAGGTGCTCTTCCCCCACAGCGAGAGTGGATACCACATCTGGGCGAGCAGACCTGAGAGCGCCATCAGACGGGCACTGCACAACCGCCCCCACAACGGGTTCGACAAGATGATGCAAGCTGCCACCAATGAGAAAGGTGATGCAAGCGTATAGATAATATCTATGTGGTTAGATAGCTGGGCCGCCTTCTCTCGAAAGCGGTAGCCTTTTCAGGTTCGCTGATTTAGCGAACGATTGTTTCTCATTCTCTCTAACCCGGCCGGAAAAGGAAAATTGGATAGCGCAGCATCGGCAGGAGTTATGTCGCGTTGGATACTTTTTACATCAACATCACATGGAGATATGGATATGGTCTCAATAAAGCCACGGCAACTGCTTTGGTAATATACAGGTACATAATTAAAGGCGGACTGAAAGGCGGGCTGACTTGTCACATCACATGTCACATATATGGAATACAATTACTAGTTTTTCATTGTCCAAACTATTTGAGTACCAGCATGTGAACCCCGTTTGATATTCTCGAAAAAAGACAGCGTAAATAGTCTGGAACAAATATCGACTAATTAAGAGACAAAAATTTACTGAGCCGGCATGTGCAAGGTAGCTGTCTCCGTGCCGTATTCAGCGCCGGGCCGAGCCGGTCAAAACTCCGACAGATGTCGATTACACCGTTCACATTCTCACCTTATACGATCCCTCAGGTTCCACCATACTATTGATCTCAAGGACCTCAGTGCTGAAATGACGGAGCTGAGGGGCAGAGGGTGAGGTCAAACCGGCCGGTATTTGCTGGAAGACGGAGGGAAAGCTATCCCTGGTGAATGGTGAGTTCACCTATAAGAACAGTGCGCCTTCTTCATAGAGTCCGGCTGGATTGCGGCGACCCGTATTTGCGCCACAAGCCGTTGTGCCCTCTATAGAGGTGGTCCAGCCGCGGTATTGCGATGATTTGATAGTGGCGTAGTGGGGGCCAGAACTGAACTCCCTAAAATAAGCCCGTCAAGCACATACTCAATCAGGAAATATGTATAGTGGTACTCAAGGAGGAAACTAGGTGGTGAAGCTAGCTATAACGCTGCCCTTACGACATTAAAGGGTATTCTTAGCTTAGTTCAGCCGTATTGCTTTTCACGGATATCGAAGCACCCGTGTTCCGCCTTTGGCGTGAAGTTAATTCGAATGGTCTCCTGCTCAAGTCCAATTTTGCTCTTAATTTCCGGGTGTTGGTAAACAAATTTACTAAGCTATAGCGCATCTAATTTATTCCATCGCCCTGCTACTTGAGCAGCGCTAAGATGTAAGCGCGAATTTGATTATGATTATGCGTAAGGCGTGTATCCCAAAGAATTTTGCCTGAGGATATATTCCACAATACGTCCCTCCTGGGCCATAGAAGCTCGCTGAAGAAGCTGGGTCTGGTCGTCTTGTTTCCTAATCGTTGGTTCTGTCAGCTAACTGTTGTAGCACGCCATGCTTCTCGGCGGATTTGTACGGCGATAGGCTATTTTGGTGACGTCAAAGATAGCATTAGCTATCTACTACTAGGTTTACCTAGAGCTAGGCATTTTGACGGCCAGAAGAGCATGTGCTTGTAGAGTAGATTTCACGGCTTATAGCTTGTGCTTGTGCCCATGTGGGCGGCATAAGCCCTTGAAAACATTTCGGAAAAGAAAGGTTCATTCAACTGCCAATATATATATTTTATTTCGGTATCAATAGCTTCAATAGTGGTTGAAATCCGTATAAGTGAAGTTAGGGATATCATCCATGGTTCATAGCTAATTTGGTTAGCGAAAGGGTGACACGCTATGGTAATATCATTCGGCATAAGCGATCTTGAAAACCCAACAATATTCATCCTTAGCAAGGATACCATCATCAACCGAAATCTCCAGTACCACATTCGTCTCTTCCCTCACGACATTCCACTCCAAATACTCACCACCATCTACACCCACCATGCTAACCACGTCCCCCTCCAAAATCGGCACCGGGGCCTCTACTCTCACGACCCCTTTCTCACCCACCACCGGCCTCTCCAAAAATAAAACATAAAACGCTCCCTCTGTCTGCGTAAACCTGGCGCCCATTCCCCCTCCATCTCCCTCAATCTCACTCTTTATAAACCAGAAAGTAGTATTAAAAATCGCCTCCTCATGTCTTGCGATCCAGCTCCCTGCCTCCCTCAAAGCATCCGCCTCAATAGGCAATATGGAGCCATCAGCCATGGGTCCGATGTCCAAAAGGAAGTTTCCATTCTTCGACACGATGTCGACGAGCGATGAGACGATAACGCTCGCGTTCATATACTGCTCTGGCGGGGTCGCACGGTTATATCCGTAGGAGAAGGGGTCCATGCCCCGGCTCGACTCCCATTTGTAGTATTGCTGGGCGGAGGAGAACGTTTCGTATTCCGGGGTGTCGAAGTCGGAGACTTGAGCGAGCTTTTAATGTATGAGTAAGTCATGGGTAAGGCATGGGTGGGTTTCATTTGCTCGGGACTTACACCACACCGCGAATTAATCGTCACGTCCCTCCCACGCCCCCTCGCCCAATTCCACCACTTTGCCGCAAACTCCCCCGATAAATTGGGCCCGCCAATATCGCACCACATGATCTCCGTCTCGTAGTCATAAGCTAGTGTCTCCATCTGCGGCAACTGTATATTCGCCAAATAATCCCCCACACCCTCTACTCTCCCCGTGTATGGCTCCTCCTGCCCCGTAAACGGATTCCGTGCAATGATACCCGGCCACTGCTTGAACCCATATTCCTCATAATCAGGATTGAACCACTCGGGCATAGAGAAATATGTCCCCCTCCTCAAACCCGGCTGGTACAGTTTCGCCGCGTCCATGAGTTCTTTTAGCACATCGCGCTTAGGTCCATAGTTCAACGAATTCCGCGCAGTGGTGGGTTGCGTGTCGAAGTTGGCGAATCCGTCGTGGTGTTTCGTCGTGAACACGAAGTACTTCACCCCCGCAGCGGCGAAGAGATCGACCCATTCTTTGGGGTCCCAGGCTGAGGCGGTGTATTTAGCGAAGCTGTCGTCGTAGGTCCAGTTGGGGCCGAAGGTGCGCAGGCGGTAATCCGTAAAGCCCGTATTATCTTCGTTCGGGCGGGTGGACCAGTACCTGGATGTATATCAGTTGAGGCAATTGCTACTCAGAAGACTTGTTGACGCCGAGTTATTGGAGGAGACTTACCAAAACCACTCGGCGTAATTCTCATAGGGCGTCGAGTTTCCCCATCCCGGCACGGCGTAGGGGCCCCAGTGGATGAAGATCCCATACTTGGCGTCGTCGAACCACTGCGGGCTCTCGTGCCGCACCAGGCTATTGAGGTCGGTCGTGTAGTCTGACAGACCAATCTCGACTCCATCGAAACTACTGCTCAGCGCACTGCCTATATAATCCAACGTTATTTTCACAACACCAGTGTACGTCCCACTGACCGAAACCCTGGCCTTCTTTTGATCCCCCGGACATAACCTCCTGATTTTTGCCTCCGTGACTGTAGACACCCCCGGTGCGGAGACCGACACCATCAACCCACCCCCCGAAACACAATCCGCTCCCGAGTTATTTATCAACAATTCGACGACCTGGTTTCCTTCATCATCAACCTGCTGCGTCGGTCTCACAGACTGCACTCGTATCCCGCCCGCTCCTTTCCACAATGAAATGGCAAAGACATTGATTCCGCCCGTTTTGATGTCCGTCTCAGGCAAAGTAATGGTCTTTAACTTCTTTCCCGCATCCAGCGGGACGGAGATCTCGTGGATATTGGTTGCGTTCCTATCTATATCATTGCTCGGGAACCGATACGGCAGAATGATTTCCCCCCTTTGCACAATGGGAAACGCAAAGTACGGCTTCACGCGCAGCTCAGAAACTGTAGTAGCGTTGTCCGTGTAAGTAAGAGTAATATTTCCGGTGGTCGTGGTATCAGATTTATCCGAGACGAGAAGGAGTGAGGCCGAGAAGTAGGATGCCGCTGTCACGGGGATGGTCTGGCCGAGTGAGAGAATGTTGTCTGGGTTGTCGGGGCCGGTATAGCCCGGGAAGACGTACTGGATGCCTGTAGCGACGGATTGGTACGTGCCGTTGGTCCCGATAGTGCTTGGGGCTGGGAGGGAGTGACCATCTGACTCTAGAGAGGCTTCCCCGGGGTGGGAACCGAAGGCCTTGGCGTTGAGGAAAGGGGTTAGGTCTAAGGCAATGGAATAGGGGTTTGTCAGGTTGGAGTTTGGTATTGGATCGTCGGCTAGGTTCACTTGGGGATGGCTAGAGATTTGGACGATTCCACTTGCGAGTAGCAGTAATCGCAGGAACAGCCTGCTTGAAGCCATCTTGGTCGGCTCTGGCAAACTTCGAAGATGAAGGTTCGAGTCTTACCGACAAGTGCTGTAATGCATCTTGGCGAGATCACAATGAGCAGTGTCGGCACCCGGAAGAAATACATACGAGGTCGGGACAGGTCGGGGTCCATACCGGTGCCCCGGATCGTGTCTTCCAATGTAACAATGCTGCTGGCCCCGTCGATCCATGTCGACCTTCGGCAAGAAATACACAAGATTACAACAACGTTGCAGTTGCTATCGCTTGCCGCAAATACCCCGCTGTTGAGACCCCGCAATACCGAGGTGAAGAGATAGGTGATAGTGTGCGGATATCGCTCTATGGATATGAGCACGCTTTAATTCGTCAGCGGGGAATCATTCAGGTCAATATGAGTTTGTAGGAACTTTGTTGCTGATCCGAGACTCAGAGCGGAGACATGACACCGCAGGGCGGGAGGCAATTGACGATGCCTCCACTTCACCTCGACCTTAGAAGAGTAAACCTTACTCAATAGATATCTTGTTGAATTCAATATTCATTTTCGTAGCTCGATACAGAATTCGTGGTCACTCATTCTCAATATAATGCTCGAGGAACTCAGGTACGGTGCGAATGACCCCTGGATCATTCTGCGACTAGGTACCGCGGAATATCTGTATGTATGCATCAAGGGGCATCTGGATCAGGGTTATTGCCCCATTTCCTCTCATCCGCTCCGTAAACGGTCATTTCAGCACCAGTAGGCTCAAGCTCAAGCACTACGACCTCATTCCAGGTTCCAGGAACGAGCACAGTACCAGGCAGGTAAAGCGATTGCTGGGGCCCAATGATCCAATATCGCCCAAGGTTAAATCCATTCACCCAAACATTCCCCTTCACTCCAGTCGGGACAGCCACAAAGGTATCCAACGTGGTTGGATCCGTGTCCTTGGTGCCTTCAACCCAGAACTTGGCCTGATAGAACGCCGGCGGCACCCCATCGGAAATATCCACCTTCGCCGTTGTATTCCCGGCCTCAGGAGGCTCATCAAGCGTCAGGCAGTATATATCCCAACCACCAACCGTCTCATTCCCAATGGCAACATCACCCACGATCCCTTTGTATGGATCTTCCAGCGCAACAAAAGTCCCCGACTCTCTGGACCAGTAGTCAACTCTCCCGAGATTCTCCACCAGCAGCTGCAGCTTATCCCCCGGCTTCACGAATACGCTCACATTTGCCGGGTTTCTGTACGTGCTGTCGATGACCCCCACTCGCTTCTCATTCACATAAACCATAACTCTGTCCCTTGCCCGGTCCCCCGGCTGCAGCTTGCCTTCATACGTCGCATTGATATGATGCTCGTAAAGTATCATTCCGTATGCCTGCCCAAAAGCCTCCATGGTCTCGGGTTTGTCACGCACCTGCTTCTTCCCCAGTGTGTTAAACAACAACACCACCGGCCTCAACCCAAAACTAGGAATCGCCAACCTGGGTAAATTCGCCACCGGCTCCGGCACACTCCCCTCAGGCACATACTCCAAAATCTTATCCCTCAGAGTGAAATACAACTCATTCGTCCTTCCACTCTCATCCAACGGCGACCCATAGTCATAACTCGTCGTAAACGCCGCCGTGAAATTCTTCCAGATAGCGCCGTTGCTAAACGCGAAATTGGTGCCCCCGTGGAACATGTACAAGCTAATCGAGTTATTCGCCCCCAGCACAAAGTCCAGATCCTTGAGGAACTGCGTGATTTGCTCTGGGCGGCCGACAGTGGTGTTGTGCACGTTTTCGCTACCCCAGAAGTCCGGGGCGAACGTGTAGTACTCGCCATCCATGAGCGGTCCCAGTTCACTCGGGTCGGTGATGTACATGTCTCTAGCCCTGAAACCTGAGGACGGATCTCCGTCGATGGCGGCGAGGGCGCCGGGCACCTCGCCCCCGGCTAGGGTCCAGTCCACCCCGCCGTCGTTAGTATACAGCGGGATCTCGTAGTTATCCAGCAATATGTCCCTTAGCGCGGCCGTATAATTGTGATTTTCCCCGTACGAACCATACTCATTCTCAACTTGCACCATAAGTAACGGCCCGCCCCTTGAGACCTGTAACTCCTTCAGATCATCTGCAAGGCGCTCAAGGTAGCTCTTCGCTGCTGCGAGAAAGGGCTCGTTATACGTCCGCACCACCATCCCCGGTACCTGGCTCAGCCACGCGGGGAAACCGCCCCATTCCCGTTCGCCGCAGATGTAAGGTCCTGGGCGAAGAACGACGTGCAGACCTTCCTCCTGCGCGATCCGGAAATAGGTCACGACGTCATTGGACGGGTCGGAACTGGTCCATTGTCCCTGCACCGGCTCGAGCAGGTTCCAATACACGTAGCTAAAGATGGTGTTGAGGCCCATGGCGCGGGCTTTGGAGAGTCGGTCCCGCCAGTAGATGGGTGGAATGCGTTGGGGGTCCATTTGGCCGCCTATGATGACAAAGGGTGAGCCATGTAGGAGGAAAGAGGAATTGTCGTAAGTAAAGGCGGGCGTGGGGAATGTTTGGTTTGGTGCTGGGGCCTGGGCCAATATTACTGTTGCCCAGAAGGACGCGAGGATCCACGGAAGGGTTGTTGTAATCCAATGCATGTTCCTAGAGGTATAGTGTGAAACCCTTGAGTGAGGACGGTGAACCTGGATCCAGCTTCAGGCTTATCCTTCAGCTAGTTGAGGCAGATGGAAGACTGGAATATCTTCGAACATACAAAATGCATCCCAAAAGAGATCTCAAGTTGTAGCGAGAATATGAACAATTTATACCACCACCATCATGAGGGGCAACTATTCGTCTTAGGTAGCAGTCAACAATCAACTCAGAGACCAAACCCTGCGATGTTTGCTCGCTTATATGAAGAGTTACCGCCCCGCCACTGGAGACTGGAGATATCGCTTCTCCAACGTGGGGAAATCAACCCGAACCTTATCAAATTAAATCAAACAACGTTACATGTCCAAACCAGTTCATGATTGTCGTGGCAAAGGAGGAGTAATCGGCAACTAATGCACCCCACATTCAATGACACTTAGCACTTCAGGACTATAGAGCAATTACCCAAGCTGATCCATGAAATGCTGTCTTCCACTGGGGGCTATTGTATGATAATTTAACACGATGTTGTGAAAGAAGAAAGCGTTGTAGGTTAACGGGCATGGCTTTGCATATTTTTGGGTTTAAGTTGTTATGAACCAATATTTGTTAATGTTGTACTAATGACCGATTAGATGGCCTTGCACCCGTCCAGAAAAACGTCTAAATATGGTACCACATGACTGCAAGTAGTTCCCTATAGTAAAGAGCTCTAGAGTCCATACAGTTCATAAATATAGCTTGTCCCTTGTCTATCTTTGACAGTATTATCAGGATATTGAAATAATTCAACTTTGTTGCTGAATCGTTCTCCTAAAATATAGTTGTCCAACACCCGAGTACGCCGATTTCCTTATCATCTATGTTCATGCCTCTTCATGCCTCTTCATGCGCTGATTTAGTCCGCATAATCACGCGGCGACCGCGTAACTGCCTAACATAGCAAATACCTCCCAGGGGCTAGTTGCCGCTCCTCCCTCAAGCATCTGAGCAACTATCTCGGCGTTCCGTGAATGAAAATGACTGCCTATGTGATGCAGCTGCTCAATAACCCAACCCCTGGCCTCTGGGAATGTGTTTCTTGTTCCTGCAACATAGAGCGCAAAGATAAGCGTATAGCAAGCCGACTGGTGGCTAAGCGTATGAGCATGGGTATGCTCGGATAGAAATGATGAATCCGATGATGGTAGCTTGTCTTGTGCTGCTCCATCGCAGTCTACGTATTGCGGTACGGATGCGCATATTTCCCGGACCAGCTTCGAAATGGTATCATGTGCCGATGCTAACGTAGCCAAGTGCCCGACGTCAGGAGACAGTGCCGAGAAATGATCGACGACATATTCGTTGAGCAGGATCCTGAAAAATCGCAGCATGTTCATCGCCTGGCAGATTTTTGAGTTGGAATAAGAATCCCAGTGATGCTCGAACGACCGTGCCGACTTTCGAACCAGTGGAGTGGTCGAGTGCTGCAACGCGTCCGACAGATCCAATTCCAACTCTCGCACTCTCGCGTCGAGCTCCATGGCTTTCTCGACGCACACCTCCCTCGCCAGTGTTCCACTCTGAATCTCGCTCCGCAAATCCGCATAGGACATCATCAAATCTGTCAACCTCAACATCGGATTCTCCAAACTCCGCCGCGTACCGATATACGCCAGAATCATTCTCAACACGTCCGGCACCTTCTCCCCACTAGCCACACAACTCATAGTATAATTCGTTGTGAGCCGTACCAGCATGCAGACCTCCTCCGGATCTCGAAACCGCTCCACTCCTCTCAGCTGGACGAGGCCCAATGCCCCGCTGACATGGCACGCCCACGAACCGCTGGTGCGCGGTTTACTGGCTGTAATTTTCTCGAATAAATCCAACAGGAGAGAGGCAAGTAGTGTAGTCACATCCTTGACTGCCTTCTGGGAAGACACGAGAGCTTTATTCGTCGTGCGTAGAGCAGAGACGTACCGCTCTCTCGCGGTGTTTAGGGCAATCTTCGAGTTAACTTTATGCCAGAGGTAGGCCAGCGCAACGGCTTCGATAGCCAACGTGAGATGCGCGGGAGAGTCGGTGGGATGGTAATAGGATCTGAGGAAGAACCAGCATTGTGTGTCGATGTAGTAAGAGAAGAAGGTGAAGCGGGCTTGGAGGTCAATGGATAAGGGGAGAGCGTTCAAGGCTGGCTGGTCCGGCGCTTGGAAGTGGGAAGTTGGAAAAGGGGGAGAAGAGGCAGGTTTGCTATTGTTGGTCCCCTGGGCTTTCAGAGCGACAGATTGACTTTCGTCCCAAATGCGCAGTTTTTGGGTGTCGCGGTATCCTGAGCAGGACACGTGGGCTCGGATGCACTGGCCGCAGGTTTCGCTTCGGAGATCACACTGTCCTTGCAAGGTTAATTGTGGGCGGCAGGGCTGGGCGACAATGACCTACCTTCAGTCTCCGGGTTCTGCACCTTTCGCAGGCCTTGGAGGGTCTCCCGCGGAATACCATGATGAGTTCCTGGTCTTTTCTTTTGTCTCGGGTCGTCAAAGCCCCCAAAAGTTGAAGGTGGACATGTCAGGGGGTCAGATTTTCGGCTTACTGATTGACACTTAGATTGCTTTGCAGACCTGGTCGGACTTGTTGGGAGCCAAATGGCGATAAGAGAAGAAGGAGGAATGTATCTTTACCAAGTACAGCATACTCCTCGAGATCCTCGAGATTGCATTTAACGTCTATGTTCACCCACGGAGTGATGATTAGAGGTGGTTCGCTGTTTACCACAGTAAGTCCCTTAAGTCCACCGGCAGGACACACGACACTATACCTCATAGGGTATGGAATTCGACGCTAAACTCAGGAAGGGTTTGCACTTTGACACTGAGCGCGGCAGGGGCTTGCTTATGTGCCGTAGCCGGCAGCGCAGGGAAGCGCTCTGCTGTCTTTGGCATGCGTCTCGACGCTGAGTCAGCCTGGCGATGGGCTCGTAGCTCTGACCTGTGAATCCTTTCTCGCTAATTGAGTTTCTTATGATTTTCTAGTATTCAGCTCATAGTCAAGACGCGTGTTGTCCCGAATCAACTAGGGGCCTGATGTAGCCCTATGCCATGTTGGGCATGCTTCTCGATGGCTGGCTGGACTTTATCTCAATTCTCCGAAGAGCGATGGAGAAGAATAGTGAGGCAAATACAACTTATTAAAGCTCTTGACTCTGTCGACATTCATCGGCTTTCCTCCTGCTTCACTGACTTGGCTGCATCTGTACACACTTTAAGTCGTTAATTAACCCATCTCAGTAAATCGAAATCTACCACCCAACATGTCTTTCTTCGGCGCCTTCATCTACCGTCTTTTCATCCATTACCCTCCCGCCCCAACCACCTCCTTCAAGGGCAAAACGGCCGTCGTCACCGGCGCCAACGTAGGCCTAGGTAAAGAAGCCGTCCGCTGGATGGTCCACCTCGGCGCCTCCCAAGTAATCATAGCCTGCCGTAACCTCGAAAAAGGCAAAGCCGCCGCGGAGGATATCCGCGCCACCACCTCGTGTTCCCCTAACACTCTCCAGGTTTGGCAACTTGACATGAGCTCGTACGACTCGGTCACATCCTTCGCCGAACGAGTCAAAGCCGAACTCCCCCTTCTTGACGTCCTAGTCCTCAATGCAGGGATATTCGCGGGCAGATTCCGCACGTCGGAGGATAATGAGGAGACCATCACGACCAACTTCGTTTCGACAGCCTTGCTGGCGTGTTTGTTGCACCCCAAGCTTCGCGAGACGGCAAAGCTACGTAAGACGCACACGCACATTACTGTCACTGCTTCGGAGCTTTACGAACTCGCCAATTTCAAAGAGCGTGCCGCGCCTGAAGGACAGCTCTTTGCTTGGCTCGCCAACAAGGGCAATTTCTCAATGGGCGATCGGTACAGCACCTCGAAGCTGCTCATCATGCTCGTCATCCGGCAGATTGCCGCCATGGCCCCTGTTGAGTCGAGTGGGGTTATAGTGAACTGTGTCGCTCCTGGGTGTGTAAAGACCAACACACATCGACCCAAGAAAGCATCTACGTGCTAACAGCTGTCTCTCGTAGATACTGCCAGACTGATCTCGGTGCCCAAGACACGGGAAATATACCTCTAATCCGCGCCTTTAAGAAGATACTCGGTCGCCCGGCCTATGTCGGGGCCCGCACACTCGCCTACGGTGCCAGTGCTGCAGAAGACACACATGGGCAATACCTGCCTGATTGCGTAATCACGCCTATGAGAGGACTTGTGAAGGGTGAGGCGGGGGCGACGTTGCAAGGTCGGGTTTGGGGCGAATTGAGGCTCAAGTTGGAGGCTATTCGGCGGGGGTTACTTCTTTGTCTTTGATGTGAGATTTTCAAATACAAAGGGAGTGGGTTAAGATGGGAACTTCAAAGGTTTCCACAGGAGTCCTGTAGCTCATACGGCGACAACATGTCTATGTGTTCTTAAGGAACGCGCCCGGGTTCGAATTGCGTGAAAACTGTACTTCATGAGTTATCAGCCATGCTCACGTTTGATCATAAATCGCAGACGTCAGTGGCATAGGTCAGGCTCGACGGTTCATAACTTATCAAAGGGAATAAAAAGGCGTGAAGATATGGGTCTGAATAGACGATCAACCTATAGCCTAAATAGGTGCATGTGGATGAGGCACATAGTAAGGCCTAACGGTTCCAAAGGGGACGACATCAGCTTTAAAGATAGTGAGATGCATACCGCAGATATAAAGCTAACATAATTACTAGGGCTTTAGTGCTTTACCCAGTTGAAATTTTCCCATGACCCTATACTTACCGCAACAAAATAAATACAACCTCAGCATCGCAACCATAGCATCGGCCTTGCCGCTTTTAGAGATCAGTTCCCGCAGCCAAAAGCACTGAAAATTGCCTACTCACAAAACTAGAGAATGGGATGCGTGGCAGGATCAATTTCAGGAATTAAGCGGCTTACATCTTGCACGAGACTGGGTTCCTGCGTCTCGAGTCTGATGCTCGCCAATAGAACGACGGCCTGAGAAGCAAATGAGACTGCACCAACGACATATTTTCCATCTTCCATATGGATGCTCGCCCTTTGACGCTGTTATATATCAGATGCACTGGTTCGCAGTTGGCGTACTCACATATTCCATCTGACGACAGTTCGCTTCGATGAGAGTCGAAGTAGATGCATCGAGGATATCCACCAGAACCAGATAATTAAATACGACCTTCATGACACCGAACTACAGCCGGTAATCTGATGAACCAGCGATGTTTGTTGTTAGTTCTCGCGAGGATTGTTTGCGCAACATCTTCATGATCCGTAAAGGCAATTCCCGTTGGCTTGGAACTGGCAGAGACGCAACCGACAACATATCCCTATTAGCCGCATCGTGCCAAACAGACTGACAGAATGAACCAATCAACCGACGATGCATCCCATAGATTTTGCCCAGAGCAAGTGACAATGAAGGGGCGGGAATATTTGTTGGAACCCCCGTTGCCCCATCTACAGGTACAACCTCCCAAGAGACAATGACGTGGCTTTGCGGTTGGGATTGCGTGGTGGAATATGGACACGACAAATGCAGACGACGAGTTCCAAGCAAATCAACATCCAATTAAACACGTCTAACTCCGAATCTACTCAAGTTATCAGTCTGCCAGAAAATCTGACTTCAGGCTCTACACAGACGTCTGTTTAACCATTGCCGTTTATGATAGGTGGAACTTGACCTTGATCTCCTCTTCGGTAAAGCGGCGAGTGTGCCTCTTCAGCATCGCTACCCGCTCACTCAAGTTCATGGCGATTTGTTCCTCCCCGATGGGCACCAAGCACTTTGCCAGATGTTCGTAGTCCTTACATAAGAGCCTGATGGTGACCATGAAGTAGTCGATGTTGTGGAATACCTGCGACACACATTATCAGCAAGCTGTCTGGGGAAGTATAGTGCAGGGGTGCAAGAGCTGTGACTGCCGAATGGTCGGTGAGTGCTTACAAGTGCATTGTGCGATGCATACACCTTCTTGCTCTTCATAAAGTGGTTGGGGTGTTCGCGCCAGTGACGCATCGGGTTGAGGTGATGCGACGTGTGATATCCATCATTGAACGAATGGCGGTTGCTCTGCAGACAGGTCAGTGAAATGATTCGCGGCACTCCGTAGTTCAAAGCCTGTCGAGATAGACGTACCACAACATCGATGAGAGTAATACTAGATCGATAATCAGAGGTCGGCTCAGTATCGTCCACAAACGCATGCTGGCCCCAATTTCCAATCATCAGCGCAACCCGCAATATCAGCAGCGGGAGCAGCAGAACGCAGGTGGTCGGTAGCGGGTTGATCTTGAACAGCACGTAGACCGTCGTGTAGTATCCAACATCCCAGAACATCGACTTGGCCGCGAAGACATACCGCTTCTCTCGTATGAAGTACATGGGCAACTCGGCCCAGACGAAGAAGTAGAACCTTCCAACGTAGTGAAGGAAGTGCCAGATATCGTCGCGCTGGTAGCGGACGGTGGATGAGAGATCATTCGGGCCGTTACCCTCGACGTGGTGATGCTTGACGTGGTGGTAATAGTACGAGTTCCAGCTGTGCCCCATCAAGGGGTCGGTGATGTAGGGGAACAGCAGGTCGAAGGCCGCGAACTTCTTCTTCAAGACGCCGCGCTGGTGGATGTGCTGGTGCATCATGAGCGTGTACGTGCCGATGTACGAGCCCTGCATCACCATGTGCAGGATGCCGTGGATCCAGGTGAATTTGCCAAAGTACAGGAATAGTGCGCTGGGGACCGACGTGGTGAAGTAAAGAAGCAGATGAGTTAGCATCACCACGTCGGTGTCGAAGCGGACTATTGACTTGGCGATGGGGATGTAGGGACGCAGGATAAAGCGGTTGAACCATTTTTTCCATTGGATCTGGTCATAATCGACATTGTTAAAGAGACTTGGCTCAAAGTGGCTGTCCTTGGGATTATTCAAGGCGTCGAGAGTAGCCAGGATCTCATTGTTGCGATCGTCGTCTGGGTGATGCGTCAGCCAACACCTTCGCACATAGACATGCACTGCGCATAATGGATACTTCACATACCGCAGGCCGCCGAACCTTGTTTGGACCCCTTGCTTCCCCCATTGGATACCCCGTTCTCCCCAGACTGGAGTTTGATGTCTTCGGCCAGATTCTCCAGCAAGAGGCGGTCATGCTTGGTGAGCTGCGGGTCGAAGTAAATGTATTTGTCCATAATGCCGAATGCGAGAACCTATTCGCTGATGATAAGAATGCGTTTACTAATAAGGCCAATAATCAAGATGGACTCCCCATCGTTGCTGAACTTGGGTTACTACGGAAGCTCTCCAAGTGGTTGAGGTAAAAGTGTCAATCAATCAGGCATTGCCCCTATCCGTTAACAGTGGCTCCATATTTTCACGAATTTTTCCGGTCGAAGCTCTGGAACGCCAGATAAGGCGGGACTCTGACACGACGCCCCAAGCTCACATTTGGACCCCTACTAGCGCGTATAATGGGCGACAGACGAGCGGGGCCTCACCCGCGGTAGCAAACTAGAGAAGGACAGGTTGTTCTAGACCTTGCATGTTTCCCTGCGCTTAGCGACTCACAGTTTACTGTATCAAACGAGAACATCTGGAAACGGCCGGTTGATTGTTCGATGCCTGTGGAGATACGATACCTTTGGCCAAAACATCCTAGGCATCCTTCAACGGGTTTCCATGATAACGCTCTTACAGCAAGCGCATGGAGGGAGGGAGCCTCTGTTTGTTCACTTACTCTTGGCCAGAGGCTTCGCACATATGACGCTTTTCTTGTCTGACTCGTGGGCTGAAGTACGTCACTGAGATTTGCCCATGTCGAGCCGCTAGCCGCTAGCCACAGCGCAATATGAGCATAGCTTTGAGTGACGTGGTGCACGGATAAAAGGCACACAGTAACATAAATGAGATGAGTTACTGAAACATCAAGAGGCCATTTCATTCTCGTTTCAGATACATATGTGGACTGCCTATCGCCGAGGTGTTCTGGGCACCTGTGTCTATGTCCGTTAAGTAGTATGGCAGGATTTCGCAGTTAAACATTTGTCCATATTATCCGTTCAAGTTGTGATGAAACTCACGCCCGTCGCCTGATGCCTCTCATGCGACAGCTATTTTGTGCGTACCATTTTTAACACTAAAACTTATATGCCATTCGATGCCCGAGATTCTTATACTGCGTGCAAATGCTCAAGATCTCCTGGATAACGGGTTTTCCCATGCTCGGCTGTCACATTGCACTGCACGCGAAGTCGGCGGTGATTTGATAAGCGGCGCAATCGAATCCCACGTTTGCGATACTTCTGCTGCGGAACTTCAAGTTGAATTTCGCGTCCAACCGTCTTTTATTCTAATCGGACTCATTGCGAGCATAGCAGTGGCTGATGCACCAGAGGATTTGGGGCACAGGACCCAACATCCTGCCAACTGGCTGTTGTAGCCGGAAGCCGAAAAACAGCCATTGGGGGCCACAGCCTAGTGCGGTCCGACATGTTTGTCGATGACAACAACGACGTCACTCTCGGCTTTCATCCCTGAGCCATTGACGTACTCTGAAATTCAGTCAGGCGTCTCGAGACGGCCCAGAAAGATGGCTTTAGCAGCAGGCTGGAGATATTCAGATATGACTCTGATTTGTGTCGAGACAATTCGTAGCCATAATAGTTCGGGGACGAGGAGCGAAGCACCAAGTTCATAGCAACGACTCCCGGTGCACGAACGCCTCTGTTGCAGTCGTAATATGAAGGTCGCTGCCTCGTTGGTCTGTGGGAAATGGTTCAGTTTGCTAGGACGTGGACGCGTGTCGAGCTTAGCATAAAGACCAGCCGAGAGATCGTCTTGTAGCAAGAAACAAGCCACGCGTTTCTCCATGAAGATATATATATATATCGAGTCTGGTTACCCGGGTATGCGCATCCGCGATTTCCTTTCGACACAGAAAATTCAGCAATTGCATAAAGAAGCCCAAGAATCCAGAGTCGCCGTGGAAAAAATGTGGATCAGTAAGGGAAGGGCAGTGTTGACCTGTGTTACGCTCCCATACCACCAAATCCACCCTCATAAATGACCAGCGCTGTGTTATTACCGTCAGTGGTGAGAATTCAGCACCGAAAAAGCTATAGTAATGATTAGGGCGACTACCAGCATCGATGAGTTGATGATGGCAGCTTTTTGCCATCCTGTGGCCTTCCTCAAGTACTCCTAGTACCAAGACAAGGCCGGGATTTTGCAACCGAGTTAATGAGATGAAATTGCGAATCGCAAGGGCAAATGACCCGAATAAAACACAGCTTCCAGACATCGGAGCTGATGCAGGACGTCGCCGAACGTGAATTCCACTTGTCACCATTCTAAGGAATCCGAAGAAGCTGGGAATTTCTTGAAGATGCGCAGCGCGGCCAGCGACGCTGAGTATATGAGATTTAAACAATGTTTTTGATAAGGATTTCGATCAGGATTTTGTCCGGTTCGCCCTTTTCCTGTAATGCCAACATGGATAAATGTGTATTTAAAGAGATGCTCCGAGGTACGGGTCCCCTCGCTACCTACGGTGATTAGATTAGGAGAATCCAGATAATAGTAAGAACGCCCAGAGGACGCATTTTAAGAACTAGTGCGGCTTTCCCGCAGGTTGTATAAACATGCCCCCGAGGGCCCGCCTCAACCCCTCAGCTGATGAAGCGAAACAAACCCCAAGACTCTGGCTTTGATGAGCAGAAGTCGTCGTACCAAAGCAAATCATCGGCTCATTCCAAGAACCCCCAACATTTAAATGCACTTCTTTGCATAGTCATGCCGTCGATGTAGCTTTCAGCTATGTCAAGCGACGAGTAACTCTGCAGTGGTTGGCGAACCGAGCCAGCCAACCGACCAGATTCCCGATTAAGGGAACTACATTGTCTGTAGCACTTGCTGGCTGCCATAGGAAACTCATCACATTCAAACTTGATGCCTTTGACAAGTACCAACTTGAGAATCTCGAATTAGTAAGTCGAAATCACTTAAGGGAGACACCGTTATCGCGTGATACTGGGGTAGTATCGCGAAATGCAAGTAGGTAAGCACTGTTTACGACGTTTTGATAAGGATTAGCTTTTAACGCTGAAACCATGCGAATGTCACGTCGAATCCGGTAAAGCCTCCAGTAGGCTGGGGAAGAATACTGGATGAACATCATGTCTTATTGGCTGCTAGCTGCCAATCCTAGTGTTGATGTTATCGCTATGCTCATTGCGTGAGCTTGACCCCGCTCCGTGGGAGCACTGTGCATACATTTGGGGATAGCGATAAGACGTCAATACAATTGCAAGTTGACGTTCTTGCATGGGCTTTTTCCTCACAAATATACTTCTGCTTGTCACAATCTGCTTGTGCTGCCCTTAGTCTTTGATCAGAACTGTGTGGCAGAGTAGTCACCATGGCGGCTATCGAAGAGGAAAAGCCAAAAAGATCGGTAAGCCTTCCTAACTCGAATGGTATGAGCAATAATACAGAATAACCGTTGTGATCATCTAGTTCCGTTCTTTCATATGGGACGCGGATACCCATCTCAAGTCACCCGAGGAGCGAAAGCTGCTTCGGAAACTTGACATATCAATCCTAACAATTGGTTGCGTTGGATTCTTCGTAAGGGACCCGCCCATTGCTATTCGAGCTGCAGCATCGACGTTGATGATATACCTAGCTCAAATACCTCGATCAAGGAAATCTGGCCAATGCCTATGTTAGGTGTGCATCTGCATACGTCCCTCTGAATTACACACGACTCCACACTGACAGAAGATGCAGCGGCATGAAGGAAGACCTTTCTATGAACGGGAACGAGTATACTTACGCCGTAAATACTCCTCCGGTCTTATGTCCTCACGGAAGAAGTATATATGGCTGACAGATGAACCTTTCAGGGCACTGCGTACACCTGTGCATATGCTGTTATGCAAATCCCCAGTACCCTTGTTATCCAACGCATCCGACCAAGCTACTGGCTGGGTTTGATGGAAGTACTCTGGGGTGTTTTTACATTTGCGCAGGCGGGGTTAAGAAACTCGAACCAGCTTTACGTCTTCAGATTCTTCGTGGGCTTCTTCGAGAGCTCGTTCTTCCCCTGCATGCTCTTTCTCCTGGGAAGCTGGTATACCAAAACGGAACTGGGTGGGTACATATAAAATACCTGTGAGCATTAGTCGTACTGACACCAACTTAGCCAAGAGAGTCGCGCTCTTCCATATGACTGCGCCCTTGGGCACGGCGTTCAGTGGATACCTCGTAAGTCCATCGCAGTCTCCCTGACAAGGAACACACTGATACGACACCAGCAAGCGGCCGTGTACGGGAACCTGGATGGGGTGCACGGACTAGCTGGTTGGAGATGGCTTTACATCGTTTGCGGCTGCATGACTCTCCCTGTTGGCCTCTGTACCGTCTTGATCCTGCCCGACACACCACACAAGACCCGAGCATGGTTCTTGACGAAAGAAGATAAGCTTCTTGCGCTTGAAAGAGTCCAGAAGGCGGGAAAGGCGGCGCCCGTACCATTAACCTTCTCGAAGATCAAGAGAATCTTGGGTAGATGGAGTATGTTGGGTTGTCTAATCAGATGAAGAGCTCATTATATAACTGACCTGTCCGTAGGATGGTACTTATTCACACTGGGATATGTGGTTTGTTTGCTCGCAATACCATGCAATTCATTGATACGCTAAACATCTTGAGTAGCTATATGGCACAAGTTGCCAAGCGAGTGGCTACTTTGCTATCTGGCTTAAGTCTGAGAACTTTTCTGTGGAGCTTCGTAATATCATTCCAACTGGGACGAGTTTAATATCAGGATTTTGCGTCGTTATGGTGCGCTTGCCTCCTGTTCAAATTCCCCGCAGCGTCCATGGCTGACCGTTCTTGCAGTGGGGTTTCGGCTCAGACTACACAGGATCTCGCCTGTGGTTTATCCTCGGGCCCCTGGTAAGCCTGCAAATCACCCCAAACCCTGCTTGAAACTAGACGAATTCACTAAATAACGAAGACATACGGGCTCATACCGAATGGGATCTTAGCCGTCTGGCCACCAAGCGTGCCCCTGAAGGAGTTTGCTTTCTTGACAACTGGGGTTCAGCTCATGACGGCAGTGTTGTACGTGCCTCAACTTAAGTTTTCTACTCAACTCATGCAATGTGGCCCTCAGCTAATCATGATCTCTAGCTATACTTGGGCCAACGAAATATGCGCAAATGACAACGAAGAGCGGGCCCTGGTTATAAGCAGCATGAACGGGTTTCAATATGCAGTGGCAGCCTGGCTTCCCATTCTCATATTTCCGCAGGTGGAAGCCCCTGATTTCCGAAGGGGGTTTCCATCCACATTCGGCTTCGTCCTTGCTGCTCTGATTTGTATTTGCGTCACCCAGTGGTGCGCTGTTCGAGAGCGGAAAGCCCAGTTGCGGGCGCAGCCAATTGTTTCTGAGCAGACTAAAGGCGAGGAAAGTAAAAGTGTGGAAAGTGGCGAGACGGTTGTGCGTCATGCAAAGTGATCCGCCGGGGCTCAGTTCGCTATCGACTGCAGGCTTTTATGAAGGCTTCAATAAGGCTATAGCTTGGTAACAAGTTATTTAATTGATATTGATGAACTGAACTTGATTGAGCTACATTGATGTCAACATCTTGGGTTTGTCGTATCTAAATAAACCGACTGGGATAACCCATCTAATAGCACAGCCATTGGATCCGTCAGGCAATCGCTTCCCTGCACTTGGACCGTGAGTTTTGAGCATTGTTCGTGTCTGCTTTGGGGCGTCGATTGGGGTCATCTGAATCTGAGAACTTGAGTGTCCAGCCGAAACGCCAGTTCTAATTTCAACCCCAAAGCTCCTCGATATGATCCCACTTCGTATTACGAGTCATGCAGTCTTCATTGTTCCGGCCAAGACCCTGGTAGATCGCGATTGTATTCCAGCTTTAAAACCCGTCAGGGTCGGGATTCTTGGTTAAGGCCGCAGAAGACCAGGCCACGGAAGACCAAGTTCAGACTGTCCGGTTTCGCAAAGGTGCCATCATATGCGCACCAGGAATTTCGGCCGTTTGTCTTTTAATCCATACTTTTCTACCTTACTATGGACAGCGAGTTCAGGAGTCGAAATGCAACCCAACTCTACATTCTGAAAGGAAGCCCTATGTTTTCTCTCCCTCGATAGCTTAACGGTTTATGATATGCAAATGGGACCCTTACCGCTACCCCACAAAGGTAGGGCTAAGAACCACTTGTCCCAGCCGCCCGGCCTGAAGATCCTCAATATCATTGTTGCTGTCTTCTCGAGCAGCATCTACCTGACTCTGTTCTGTACCATCCCCTGATACCCTGACTCATCCCAACAAGCATGGTACTAACTAAATTGACAGGTTTCCGGTGTATCCAAGTCAAGTTCTGGTCCAAATTGCCCTATATACAATGGCGTATGTTGAAAGCCACACATTCCACGGGGAATCTCCATTAACGTGGTTTAACACCGAGTCGCGCACTTTTTACCACACTATAATTTCAAGTTCAATTAAAAAGCCACAACAGACTAAAGTTTATTGAAATTTATTCAGAGCTATATACATCTGACAATTATAGTTCGACCTGACAAGTCTTTACATTATGTTCGGTCTTCTTACACTTACTACATCGTCGTACAGTCGACGGACCAGCCTTTTCTTTACCCCCCCTAGAGCGCTTGTCCTCCTTTACCTGGGCCTCCGCGTCCTTCCGGGCCAAAATGTCCAGGGCATCCTCGACAGTAAGTGCACCTCCTTGCCGGACATGCGACTTTTTTGCCCTCCGACGCTTGCTTAGTGCCTCATTTGCCTTGCGAAGGGTGGAGCACTCAGCCTTCAAGAGGGTATTCTCATGGGCTAATCGAGTTATACCCTTCGCAAGGTGGCCAAGAGCATCAAAAATTGGGGTCGGAGAGCTTCCCTGATGTCTGGCGATTCGGCGATTGACAAAATCGGACTGCGAGAGAGCCTCTGTCGGGTTATTTGGCGTTTGCGAAACCCAAGGGTCAGCATCTAGAAGAGAGGGGCTAACGGGTGTAGGCGACCGAATCCTAACATCCAGCTTCGAGATAACGGCTTCAGGGTCGTGGGGGACTAGGCCGGCCCCTCGAGACCCTGCCTTGATGTTTTTGTCGGTTATTGTCTTTAGATAAGCCTCCTTAAAGGCGATAAAGAACTCGACCTTGGTAATGTGGTTAATATGGGACTTGATAAATATATCAATCTCTCGACCGTATATACGTTTCAAGACCCCAAAGCACCCGACATCAAGTGGCTGGGTTAGATGAGACGAGTGCGGGGGCAGACTGATAGTAATAATGCCGTTAGACTTGCAATAAGACTCGAAACCGGCCGATGTATGACTCTCATGCCCGTCCAATACTAACAGCCGATACACGCCTCTTTTGGTCGAGATAGTGTGCTTGTTGAAATGTTTGATCCAGTCTAGACCAGTCTCGTTGTTCGTCCACCCGTTTTCGGTCGGTTTGACTACCCAATCAGCTGGTAGGTCCCCCTCAGTATACCAATTAGCAAGGTGATAGTTCCCTTGAATTACCAGAAATGGCGGGATGTCGCGACCCTCCGAATTGACACAGGTAATCGCCGTGGCCCATTCCGTTCAGACGAGGTAACGACCATCGAGCGTTGAATAACGCCCATCATAAAGCCCGTCTCGTCGAAGTTCCACATATCGCAGTCCTGGATCCCGTATTTGGCCCTCATATTCGATACAAGCCGGAACCAGTCCTCAATAATCTTTGGATCCTCGCAGAGGACCCTCTGGAAGTAATACGAGCGAGAAAAACGCGTCTGTAACTCTGGGGTTCGCTTTACAAAGCGATGCGCCCAGAGCTTGCCGACGCGTCGGGTACCCCGCGTCGCAAGAATGGAATTGGCCATATCTTCCACACCCTCTAGCCGGGGAGGAAACCCTCTCAAATCTAGGTCAAGTACATGCTGAACAATAGCTCTTTCCTCTATCTTGGCGAGTAGTGCGCTATTTGGCCAGATTTCGGTACGTGGGGTGCGACCGTGGATTCTGTCACGGAGTGAGGACTCGGGTACACCGTATAGCTTTGCTGCTCGACGTTGGCTCATATTTTTGGTCGATCGGATAGCTTCGATGGCAAGGTTGATTTTGGCTTCTTGGGTTTGAACTGACATGGTGTTGTTGTTGAGGAAATAAGTGTTGAAGTCAAAAGGTTGGAAAAGTTGAAAAAGTGCGCGACTCGGTGATATGCGCGACTCAGTGTTAAACCACGTTATACTTACGATTAACGTCCCACACCTATATCCGGGACACCCCCACATGTGGGACGCCCTAAAAATGACACTGTATATTATAACCATTAACTTCAACCTTTTTTTACACTTATTCTAATGCGACTACCATACAGCTTTCACCGTCACTAGGGTTTTCAGACTCGCTAGACTCATCTGTAATATCCTCAATTTCACCAGCCTCGATTTGAGCCTTCCGAATAGCCTTGATATTAGTAAACTTCGAATTTGGGCTCATCTTGACCTTCCTCCGTTTCCTAACCCTACTAGCCTCAAGCTCTGCCTCTATTGCCTCAGTCTTTCGCTGTGCGACAGCTAATTGGTAGTCCTTCTCATCAAAGCCCTTTTGAACTTTCCGAAAGAGTAGCCGCTGGGTATTTGGATCACTATCAAGCTTGCTGAATAAGCTGAGTTGATCTTGGAGCTCATCTCTCCTCTTAGGCGTTGACCAGGCTACTGCTGATGTCTCTAACGCCCAGTCCTGACTACCCTTACTATCAGAGTACCCTTTGCAAGTCTGACTAGCCTGTCTGATTGGTGCTGACGTATTCTAAAGGAGCAGGGGGCTCATAAGGGGTCTAGCTATGCTCGAAGGCCAGAGACCAGTATATTTCCATCCACTCATAATGTTCTTAGCGGTCAATGCTGCTAGACGTGCCTTTCTATAGCAGAGGATAAAGTTTCTCTTCCCTACGACAGTAGTAGTATCCCATCGGTCAAGGTAACCAAGCTCCTTCTTATAGGCTGCCTTGAGGGGTCCAAAGACTGACTGATCGAGAGGCTGGAGAACGTGGGATGTGTGTGGCGGCAAGAAAAGCAAGTGTATCTTGTTTACGAAGCAGAGGTACATAAACTCTGTCGTTTCGTGGCTACTATGCCAATCTAGGATAAGTAACCTAGTCTCTTCAGGGTCCTCTGGTTGAGTCAAAGGAATAAAGATCTTTTGTAGCCACTAAATAGCCATAGAGTCTGACTTCCACCCATTCTCTGTTGCTGTAAACCTCCAAGCTTCGTATGGAGTCAAGTCCAGAGGAAACCACTGCTGCTGGACAGACTTCCCCTTGTATATCACAAGTGGGGGTAGTGCAGTACCAGTCGCAGAGATACACTCTATAAGAGATGTCCAAGCTCGAGATCCAGGCTGTTTCTTCCGTATAGAACGAGTCTCAGATGATCCTAGAACAAGATCATTTGATCCTCTACCTTCTAGGATACCTGTCTCATCAATATTGTATCGATTCGAGGCCTTGATAGCTTTGATCTCAGGGATAGCGAGGTATTTGAACCATTGCCTGATCACATTGGCTGAGGCTCCATTAATACGCTGGGAATCGATAGCTCTGCTTCTCTGGACCTTGACTGAAGGGTTCCTCTTGATAAAAGCCTGGACCTAGTTCTTTCTAAGTAGTTCGGTGTCTCCGTGGATCTATAGGATACGCTCGGCGAAGTCTTTGAGCTGTTGATAGGTTAGTAGGAGGCCTAGGGCAGCCTGGATTCGAACCTATTCAGCCAGATAGGATTCCTGGGCTAGAGAGAGCCTCTAGTAGTCAGCGAGGGCTATATCTCTTAACCAGGCTCCCTGAATCCGTCGTGAAAGAGTAGACCTCAGGACACTATGCTCATATGCTACTTTTCGGAGGCTTTGACCGGTAGCTATTGCTTGAAGAGCTCGATAAATATCATCTTCGGTATATTGACCCATATTAGTGTAAAGAAGACGTACGTAAAATTTCGTAACGATTGAATCGATATTAGTAAAGAAAAAAAAAGGTTGAAGTTAGAGGCTAGCGGTGTTGATGAGGCATTTTTGGGTGTCCCGGATGTGGGTGTGGGACGTTATGCAGTTGTCACCTCCGTCTATGGCGGCTCGTTCCTCTTCATCTTGGGCTCAGCAATACTGCAGTTCGGCATGGACATCAATGATAATCTTGCTGCCTGCCGCGGGGCAACAACCTTGTGCGTTGTGACATATCTGTCTACAAAGGTCAGCATCCTGTATCTATGCACATTCCGGGCACCTACTCTGACCTATATAGTAGCTGGTAATATCAATATTCACGACTGACAAGTTGATTCGAGCTAATTCTGATTAAAGGCTATATGGTTATTCTTAGCAGACAGCGCGGTAAGTTATCAATGCAAGCCAACCAAATTCGGCAAGACCTACCAACCTCATGATTTGATAGCATATCGTCCGGGATGGTGTGGGCTCTCGTCTCAAGTCAAAACTCTACATATTAAACCATGTGCTCATTTTAGGCAAGTTGCTCATCTATTCATAGTTCTCGGATAAATAATTCTGATCTTCTCCCTTTTACAGGAATGTACTCTGTGCTGTTCGGCTTACGGCTTGTATAGTGAGTATATCGAGAACCCATTTACAACCAACAACTTGGCTTATGTTTGCGTCAGTCGTATCAATTACATCAAGAATTCGTTGTGCATCATCGGGTTGCACAGACAGGCACTGATTCCCGAAATTTGCTGGGACTTCATTATCAGCGTACGTTCCTGTCCGATCTCCCAAAACGATTTCCCTTGAACGACCATCTAAAGTAATAGAAAAGAACCATTTTACTATTTATCCCATTTCCAAGTATCAGCCGCAGTCTATTTACAACGCTAACTTGGGTTAAAAGCTTTACCTTACTGTGCAGTTCCTCTTTCCCCTGTGGAGTAAGTAACCCCTTCACTACGAGAATGTCACGGGTATTCAAGTACAGAGTGAAGGACGAGCGTGCTGGAGAAGGTCGGTTGCTGAGCACCAGGTAGGCACCGGCTGTGTCATGTAGGGGTCTCAATTACAACAAGTTAATCGCTGCCCCCCCTCAACAGAGGGGGCCAGCACTACCTATTTATGCATTGCTTGTTGGCCCTGGCCTATGCCAGGACCCGCAACCCGCCAGAACCCTATGGCTAAGTAAAGCCTATAAGCCACTGTGGCTTATTTGCACCTGACAGAGAACGACCTCTAAACGGAAACCTCCCTTAAATAAAATGTCAGGATTTTCCAGATGGAATAACGTTCACCGTACCGGCACGCCTCAGGCAGAGAGCAACCAATCCCCGCGATGGCCTTTGAACCAGCGCCTACGAAGACTTACCATACGGACATTGATCGGGGCCAATTTAACAATGGCCAGCACAATGGCGTATGTATTCTCAAAGCTGATGCCGCGCCCCGCACTAAAAAGATCACCCGTCAGAAATTTCCTAGGCTTGATCATCCTGGACGGTGAACCGGCATGGATATGTCTCTTATCATGCAAAATAGACAGTAAGTCCACATGATCTTCTTGATGAGCATGTTAGTCGAGAGATAAGTGAAGAAAAACCAAGACTTCTAACACGCAGTCCAAGTTGTCTTCTCCGCCTTCGTCATTCACTGGATGACGCAAAAGTCTTCAGTCCACTCAACGCTTCGTACGTCCAGATACTCTCAATACATTTCAACTGTCGGCCGCTCCATCAAGCTTGGCAGCGTGTCGCGAAGAAATGAAATTAGTGCTACAGTGCTTGCGCCCCCGGCACGCATGAGGCCTAGGAGCGAGGTCTATATTCCTTATTCCTCCCGAAATGGCATGTTCAGACATCCCAGAGTGCTCTTTCTTCTCCCGATATTTCCAGAAAGGTCTGACCAATAATTTACACACTTCACAGTAACTATCGAATTGAATGCGGAACCGGAATACTTCATCGTCAATCCCTTCCATCGATCAAGTACTGAACATGAAACGGGAAATGTAAACAATGTTGTAATTAGTAATAGCGATCCCGCGAGGACGGACGGCGAAGATGAACATTTTACCGGATGAGGCGTACCAGCCTGCGTGGACTCGACATATAACTAGCTTCCCACTTCCCTGGTATTGTAACACGTTGAAAGACTACCGGTCGGCTTGGCGCGAGCATTGCTGAAAAGGCACAACGCTCCTCTACTTGAGTTAGAAAGCGAATCGCAGTTTGAGAATTTGGTGCGCCCTTTTTATTTAGAAGCTTATTTACTTCGATAATTGGAGCAAAGTGTTCGTATATGTGCAAGATTCAATCCATCCGGAATACTCTGATTTCTCAACAATATGATTGCTGCTTGGTTTCGCAAGGTTGATCGTACTTGCGAGACCCCCAAGTAGGCTAAAATCTATCTTCACAATATATTAACGCTTTTCAGGCGTGCAGGCCTCTCTCTATATCTCATCTAATCCTCAGTATTGTGCAGGCGTGTTATCCGACACTATGAATATTGTTCAAAATACATACTAGTTAATCACATACCAACCAACCAAGTCCACTCAGTGTTGCGTCCTTATGTATGCCACATGCTGCACTGCACACGGGTCGTCTAGCACACACCAGTGGGAATAACAGTGCTGCCAGTTCTCCTAGAGGAGCTGTACGCAGCGCCCTGACCCAACCCACGCTTGGCGAAACCCTTCCAGATCTCGCACTGGTTCTTTCCACCAGTAAGTGCCTTGTCGGCATCCAGAATTGCATCACGTGCCTGGACGAAGTTGGGGTTGCAGGGTTGTCTGGGATAATTGGATTAGAAAACTTGGAGGGGCATCAGGGGTGAAAAGGGGGGGTGAGGGGGGGGCCGACAGGGGACAACTCACAAAGCCATAGCATCACCAACTTCATAGCCAAGTACTTCCCATCAGTCGGGACACCATTCACCAACGTCGGCTTCGCCGCATCATTCTTGCCATACTTGTCAATCAAGTTCCACATAACCTCATACAACATGGTTGCCCACGTCTCGCCGATATCATGCACCTCGTTGAGCGTGTTGAGCGTAGTATACGTGTTGGGGTTCACCGTCAGACTCGTCGAGTACAGTACCGACCGGATACCAGCCGGGTTGTTGAACACCCACGCGCCTATGGGATAGTTAGTCGCGCGTGTGTCGCTCGGCTTGAGCCGGATGAGAGTCGCCATGAAGTCGCCCCACCCCTCGCCCATGCCGCCCGATTCCAGCGCGCCGAGGCATTTGGAGTTGGCGGGCCCGCCGGTGAGCCGGTTGGAGACCCCGTGCGTGTACTCGTGGATGATGACGCCGGATTCGAAGCTGCAGTCTCGGTAGGGGTTCGATTGGGTCCAGATGTACATGCGCATGCGGGCTATCTGGCCATCCGGGGGGGTGGCGAAGTTGGCGTTGTTGGTTCCCGAGCCGTCTTGCGCGGAGAGGATTACGAAGTCGTTGCCCTTGCCGCCGGCACCATTGTTATTGATCTCGAAGTTGCCTGCGGCTTCATTGAAGCCTAAAGTGTACAGCAAGTCGTGGTACGTGTTGGCGGTGTAGAAGAGTTGGGTGATGGAGGCGTCGGCGTAGGATGAAGGGGGGGTCAGGCTCGTGGTGTAGGGGTACTGGAAGTTCAGCGACGAGCTGCTGGGACGGTAGTTGTTGAGGTAGTCGGAGCCGCCGTCTGGGTTGGTCTGCGCGATGCCGTTGTTTCCACGGGTCGTGGTGTAGTTGGTGCCATCGGAGTGCCACGTGAACTCAGACGCCTTGATGTCCCAGGGGTTGGTGAGTATTTGGCGCGAACCCTCGGTGGGGTCGTTCAAACCCCAGGGGTAGACCTGGTAGGTGGCTTCTGCCACATAGTCAACGACGCCGTGGATCTCCTCGTTGTTGTTGGCGTCGACGTAGGACAGCAGCCAGTTTTCGGAGATATCAGTCTCCAGTCTCCAGGTTAAGGCCAGGTCACCATCGGGCTTGACGAGATACGTAAGGCGAGCTTCAGGGTCCTTGAGGGCGCCAGAGGTGCCCTTCAGCACGTATGCCTCGGTGGCCGAGTCGATAGCCTCTGCTGTGGCCTCTCCGGTCACGGGCAACTGCAGAATGTCGGCTGCACCCGATAGAGCTGCAGTGGCATCGGAGAAGTCGCGCTTCTTCAGTGGGCTCTCAGGAATAGAGCCGGTGTAGAAAGAGTTTCCGTAGGAGAACACACTTCCATCGGGACCAATGTTGACGTTGAAGTCAGCGTTGTCAATGTCTGAAAAAAAAGTCAGCAGCTTTTTCCTTGCTTCAGGTTGCATGAACACGGTAAAGGGGCACATGACTGAAAGCTACATACCAAGACCATGGGCCGTCTGCTTGAAGTTCACATGAGCGATTCCATTAGTGCCCACGTAGTGGTCCTCCACGAGCCGGAAAGTAGCGTCGCCGACAACGCTTTTGACAAGGTCAGTGGCGGTATCCACATAACTGTCCCGCTTGAGCAGCTTCAACTTGCTCAAGTTGGTTGTCGTATCATCCGTGTTGGTGTACTCAGCCGTAGCCTTGAGACGGAAAGCGTTCAAGTCGACAGTTCGACGACGGAGACCGTTCTTGTAGGCATTGTGGTCTGTGGGATGAGAGGCGCCCAGATGAAGAGACGAGCCAAGAAGGCCGAGAAGTAGAGCAGAGCGCATCTTGATCGGTGGCTACGGAGCTGGAGAGGCCGTGGGGGGACTGACTTGGCCGGGCGGTGTTGTTCATCTTCTCAGGAGAGAGCGTCTTTGCTGACTCTTTATACTCATCTCGTGGAAGCCATCTATTGCACCATAGTAGCCCGCAGCGATCTGAGCTTCCTCTTTGGAAAATAAGCTCATGATGCCTATCTGGGGTTACATACGAATGGCGGACACCGCAGGCTCGGCCGACCTTCTGGGAATAAACATCACTAGTCAGTACGATGGTTCACATCCGTATAGAGATGTTGCACCGCTTCTAGTACACGATCTATTGGCAATGGCATGGTAAAGTGGAAGGTGGTGATCGAAGGCCAGCTTGGATGCTACCCTGTAAAGACTATAAACCATCTGGCCAAGGCTAGCGCATGGGTATGTACAGAACAGGCAGGACCCCTAGCATGGGAATTTCTGCACACCAAGTTCGGATTCCTAGGGAAAAGCACAAGGGGCGGCCCCAGATAGGGGAAATGATGGCGGCCTCGGATGCTCCAAGCTGAGATGACATCTACGTACAGATCTCGTGCGCTTGTCTCGGCATTAATACTGCGGTTAGCTCTGAATGGGAAAGTAAGATGCTTAGTTAAGGCTTGATAAATATAAGTTTTGGTGTAACGGCGCGTAACGATTGATGGGATGCGTGGCCATTTCTTGTCCTTTGCGCCTCGAACCTTGTTCGGAAACTCTCAGACTGACATCAAGCACAAGTTCCGACATTTGAGCCACGGAAACTCCTAACTGATAAGTGTGAGTGTACAAGGAAACCCGATACGTCCTCCTGTGTTGCGCCATAAGTTCGCTTGAGTTCTTACCTCATGATAATGTCAAACGAACATCGCGTGCTCATGCCTATGCTACCGACCCGTACTCAGCCCATGCCGAGTAGACGTCGATCCCACATTCTGGTCGCGGTTTAGCTCATGAGCACGCGGCTCTTGGCACTATAGATCCCGGCGCACGCGGCTCTGAGCAGCCAATCAACGGATGCTGACAGCCTATAGCTCCGATTCCAGGGGTGGGCACCAGCACTACAGCTCGGCTAATAGGATGTCGAGATAAGGAAGCTCACAACATGAAGTACCCATGAGCCGCAATTTACGCTTAATAGCTTATTCTTATTTTGCTCAGTAGGAGCCGTGGTGGTTTTCCCCCTCGGGGATGGTATCTAAACCAATGCCAAGCCTTGACCTGCCTAATCCGGTCTACCCCCCCGGTGCGAATGAGACCATATTATCGGGCCATGGTCATCAATTGGGCATGCGGTTTTGGACACGGGATGTCGAGTTTCCCAGTTCCGTCAGCCTCCTGGTGAATTAGAATTTAGGTAAGCTGCTCACCACCTGCTGGTTTGCAAATCGCAACCATATTTCAGCTGAGTTGGACGTGCAGCCTTAATCGCGGGTCGCATGTTATTGATCTACTGTAGACGTATTTATTCTATTCGGCCCGATGTGGCGTAGGGGAAGATCTCATCTCAAATGCGCGGCGCCTTCCACGTTTAAGCGCCATTGGAGGAACTCGAAAGCCGGGTTGTGGAGGGAGGCGGCACTACCTGCTATAAACAGGTATGGTCTCATATTTGTTTCAGCGCCTCACAGATATTAAAGCCCGTGACACGGCCACTTCGAGAAGGCGCGAGTTGAATGTCGAGAAGCTTCATGAATTGTGACATATCGGATGTCGGATGGCTGTGAGACCTGACCAACCGATTCTGTGACCAAGATACAGCCTTGAGTCCACGAGGAATTCTTATGGGTTGCCTTCGGGCATGTTCTACACATCAATCCAGGTTCATTGCCCATTAATCCCCTTACCAAATACCTCGCAGCAACTTGTTTTGTGGCTGAGTTCTGAATTAAATAGGCACAGCAAAGTATGGTTCAAGACAATTGGGTCAATTCCAATATCGTCATGACGAAAGGATCATATACATCCAGAACTGAAAACGCTGCTCGCACTTAGAAGACTTGGAATTTCCCATCGGTCTTCCCAAGCCTCCCTCTTGACCTCCTTAAGAACAATCCGATCCCCCATAAACAAACGTCCCATCTGAGTTCTCACACCCACACGTTCCATCATCGGGGCTCTTAATACAAGTCGTTCCCACCCCGGAATCCTCACCATCATCCGACCAGTAGAACGTCCAGTAGTCTTCACCCGCCGTCAACTCCGAGTCCGTAGGGGCGGTGCACGTGTATGCCTGGCACGTGCCGTAGGGCGCACCGTGCGAGCTATCGTACTGGTGGTCCGTCTCGAAGACGGCGAAGGTCTGCGTGCCCGAGACGCGCGTATTGTAGGCGCACTCCGCGGCTTGGATGGCTTTAGATGTCTTGGAGGCTAGAAAGGGGGTTGGGTATGTTAGTGAAGGCCAGGTCTGGTTGTCGTGGTTGAATGAGATGTGAAAACAGTGAACTCACGGCTGCAGCTGGGGTTGGCCGGGTATTTGCCCTTGGTGTTGGACGTGCACGGATCCAGCGTCGCGGTGGCTACCGCTGCGAGGGTGCAGATGCGCAGGAGGGTCGAGAGTGAGAACATGTTGGAGTCTAGATCTTCTGGTTGGAGATGTTTGTAAGAAGCCAGGGTATGGTTGAGGTATTGCGAAAATGTGACTTCTGCGAAAGTGTTCTTATATAATTCTACGTGGTTGTCGTCCCCAGAAGTCAACCCCTGAGTCGCTCATGACGGTGAGACGGTGACGAACCATTAACATGCGGCGGATTTCCCGAACAATAGGGTTCACAAGGCTGAGCTGGATTTCATTTGCAATTAATTGTTTCTACCCGGCTTGGTTGGAAATGAGCCCCCACTTCCAGGGGATTGAAACAACTTAAATGCGGAAACCCGCTTGTAATATAGTGCTTTGCGTCCACTTCAAATCTTCAACCTGGTCAAGTTCAGGATTCTAGAATCATCAACTGCCACCGAGTTGTCTACGTCAAACAGGTCCAGTCGTAACAAAGTGGCTATTCACTGGCCTGGTACGAGCCATGGGAAAGTTCTACAAACACCCCTTTATTCGTCGTGACTCGATCATGCGGAACAGCATCTTCCGCACCTACAACTTCACCCAAGGCCATATATCTGTGGACAAGTCTCGACGTCCTCTCACTTCCAATTTTCACCCCGAAAAGCGGATGACAAGATGAACGGCATAACCAAAAGTGGAATATTTGGGTTTTCCCGAGACCTGAAGCCAGTGTAGTAGAATGTCATCACGCCGCCCTTCCGCCTGGTTCTGACGTTTCTCCTATCATCCACATGCCCAGGTCCAATGATATTGGGCCTTCATCAGATGTGAGCACTTCAGTCTGGCACCAACCCAGGAAGCATGTGTGACTTCGCCCATTCCTCTCAAGAAGTGCGCCCTTATGAGGAAGAAGATTGAGTACACCAATACACTACAGGAAACCGACCTGATCCAGCAGCCTGTGGTCTTGTTCAGTGTCTACCGCATTCGGCTTCTCAGGCTAAACAACTCCGCTGTCACCGCTGATGCATTGGTACTCTGGTGGTTGTAGCTAAAAGCAGTCGTCCCCCAGATGATGACACCAGCATCTTTTGGAAACACGACACTCTAGGCTTCTTCGGCTTTGTGGTTCATACCGCCACGATTCCATTAGACTGTGTCAAGGACTGGAGTTCTGACTCGTTCTGGTAGATTGTGTGGTGCCGAAACAGCTTCTTATGATGCAGCACCTAGTTCTGTACAAATTTGTGATGTTTTTGATGTCCAACCTAGATGCCTTAGATACAGAGAAGCTGAGAATATATGCAAGATCTTGCTCTTATAGCTATTGATATGCGTACTTGACAACGTGAAGACTTCAGAGATGTTGGCACTGGACCAGTCAAGTATCGGTGGACTGTGGAGCACGACGGGCTTGCAGCTCCCCTTTCGAGGGCGCCAAGCCAACTAATCCGTGTAGAAGCTAGCGTAGTCCTTCTAATGACTTTGATCCATGACGCATCCGAGTCCTCATTAAAGACTAGACTGTGGACGAGGCCGCGACGATGCTGTTCTGTTCAAGGGCTAATATTTCATCATTTTTGAGAAGCGATGTCCTGGAAGGCCCATGGATCGGACCGGCTTATTTCATTGCATCCTTCCTGAAATCGTTGGCCATGTTAATCAGTTAAACCGCAGCCAGATTCAAGACTCCCAGATCGAAGACCTGGTCATTCGTGTCGGGGTTCGAGAATCGGAACAAATTCATTCAGGCATTTGATGATTCCTATTGAAACCACGCCTATTCCTTACAATTGCAAGCAATTACCTGCTTTTGGTCTGTGTGCAAATACTGGTACCCATGATATTAGGTACTTCTCAGCAACCAAGTTTCCTTCAACAGGCATATGTGGGTTGTGGCAAAATTTGTTCAAGCCTGAGCAAGACTGTTAAAGCTGATCCCAGCCACCATAAAGTGGACGTGGACTTATAAAACTGACGCCATAGCCGCCATCCGGTACTGCGCTGTCATTGAGCCCGTAAGCAGCCTGGCGAGCTTGCTGAAGATGATTTCGAGGGGCTCAACACTCGGGAATCGAACGAAGGCAAGAATTTAAAGGCTAAATGCTCCGGATCTCAGTACGGGTATACGATCTCTAAGCTTTATTGCCTCTCTAGAGATCTTACTCTGGAGGATTGAAAGAGAAGGGGGGGGGGCGAAGGGAATCCCGCAGAAGCACAACTCTGCCCCGGAGGAGATGGTGTCGGAGCTTAGAGCGGGTTTGATCAAGGAATTTTAGCACGATGGGCTCGTTTGTACGGAATGAGAAAGGGCGAAATTAAAGGCATCATTGGGGATACTGGACTTTACACTTTACACCGAAGACCAATGATACCAGGGATACAATCCTTTTTGATCATAGTGTCCTTGAGAGCAAAGTCTCCATGAGTGAACACCGAAACCAGAGCGGAGAAGCATTGGAGGCAATGCGTGCTCGTACAACCGTCCATTGAAGTGTTAGTAACGCTCGTATATCCGGGCTCGTAATTAGTCATCGTTCAGGATATGATTTAGGGGCGAATGTAGATCTTGAATAAGCACTTCGTTACTGGATACTCGTTAGCGTCGCATTAATACGCGTGCGAAAGCTCTGGGTCTTTGGGATCTGTCGCAGCTTGTCCACGATAGCCCATAGTTCTCCATAGCTTGTTACTTTCGTCCAATCGATCCCAGATAACTTTCAGTCTCATTTTCGCAGCCATTTCCATGAGAAACGAGCCATTCTCCTCGCCGTCTTTCATGTCGAAATGCGACTGCCAGAGTTCAGAGGCGGGAACATCGGTATGCTCTTGCACAAGCTCCGAAGCTGCTGCTTTGTTTCTTTCGACTGTGATTGCTCTCTTGCAAATTATGCCTGGGCTAATTCCCGCCACCAACGATCTACGCTGTTGAGAAAAGACGCCAGGGCCACTGCCGTCAAACCATCACAGAGATTATACCACACATCAAAATGACTAATCAGAGAGGAAAGTATAAAAGTTCACCTCACGATGAACGTCAAAGTATCCCAGAAACAATTATTTGGAGTTAGTAAGGAAGACGGACCTCCTATTATGGCGAGGACTGTTAGGAAGATTCTTTAATAGCATTATTCAAAGGAATGCCGCGCCCATAAGCTGATCGCCTTAACCGAAGAAAATGAGAATTAGTGGCTGGCTGTTGCGAATGAATACTTATCTCCTACCATGCTGAAGAAGCTGATGTTCAGCCCTCATCTCGGACGAATATACCGTCCAGAAATATCCGTTAAACCCAGGCCAGTACGTTATCGGGGGGCTTCTAAACGCTTCAAGGAGGACATCGTCGACCACCACTCTCATGCAAAGCCTTCGATTATCATTACAGTCTGAAATAGTCTGGTTACGGGGTGGTGAAGCCGGAGCATCAAAAGTCGTATTCTATAAGCAAGATCTGGATACACCGCGCGGAGGAGTACCTGCACTGCCCTACCAACCGGTCCTAGAGTAAGGCCTGCTTCCAGTCTACGAGGCTAAGGACCATTTCATTCAGGACAACGCCGCGAAGGCTTAGCTGGAAGACCATGGGATCTGGACCATCGAATGGTGGCCCCATTCTCCAGATCTCAACCCTGTGAAGCACGTTTGGAGGGCTCCTAGGGGAAGGATTCATCAAATCAAGCCTGTGTCTACCAAATTAAAGAAGAACGCCGCAGACGACGAAGCGTACGCGCGCGAATTGGTCGAATTGGCGTTGTCAGGTCGATTCGGGCCTTGTACAGAAGTTGATTGAAACAATCCCTAACCAGCCGAAGGCAATGTGTGGAAAGCACGAGGCGGATTCACGCACTAATGGATAACAAAACGACCGCACGTGGTCCCGTGTAATTTGGGTGCGACATGGCCGAGAATTGGCGTTGAAAGTGATTGTAGTTGGAGAAGTCGAACTGGCTCAGCGCGGACGTAACGTGACATACATTGTACCAGAATCGCTCATCTCGGTTGTACATTGTAAGCCGAAGAGGACAATGCACTTGATTGGCGTTGATGCGTGCTAGGGGGGAGGATGCTATAATGCAGTAGTGCGCAATGTTATAGTATCTAATTGAATGGGATTCACCTAACCAGTGGGTCCCCCTACCTTTTCGTATCAGGCGTGTACGGAGAACAGATGAGCCGGGTGTCTCATTGCATTTACCATATGATTCAGCCACTCCGCAAGTCAGTTGACTATTATCGGCCAAGTCTCGCTCACGTACCTCCAGCCGTCCATCGCCATGTGCATTCAGAGCTCCGCTGTGGGTCTGGATTCATCCTGAATTTTTGTGGAGCTCTTGGCCGAATGAATTGCCTCCAGTACCGGTCCATAGACCGTAACAGGTGGGGCTGTCCGACTACTCCGAATGTGCGACTTCGGCAGGAAAACAGTCTTAAGTGATTGCGATCCTTTACTACCCGTATTGTGGAGACAATAAGGCAGATTAAGACTGGACTTGTGATGGGATACGTGGAAGAATGCGGGGATTGCGGGTAAAGAGGGAAAGTGCAATGAACAGACTAGGTGCCTCCGAGTTAATATTAATATCAATATAGCTGAAGGATCAAAAATAGAAAGTACGTGTCGGCTCTCATCCGCTTCAGGATACGCCGACCCTTTGGGCCCCATGCACGCTGTAAGGAAAGAGCCGTTGTGGCGGGCCGGTCTCAGCTGACAAGCTGAGTCGGGAGGGATTCGCCCCCGATCCGGTAGAACCCCGGAACCGCCCAGCTTAAGAGGAGAACTCGAGACGCTCGCACCTAGTTTAGATTCCTCAAGAATCAGTCTTGCAATATACGCACCCATACACTGGCCTACTTCTAGCTACCCTTTGCACTACCTGACTATTATATTGTGAGACGTGTGGTATGCTCGTTACACACGCACACTCACTTGTACATAGCTACATGATCGGACAGGTACTATAGATCATTAAGATGATGTTACATACGTCTAAATAAGCATCAATAAGACTAGCTTAGGTAGAAAATGTCACGACCTGGGTTGCATCGCATTGGTAGAGACCTCGATTAGGTGCTATCGACGAAGATTCTACTCTAAGGAGCGAAGGAAAGAAGATCACAAACTTAGGTTTGAGGGAGCGCGACTAAGTCGTCCACGCTTGGCGGGGCTCCTGCAGGGGTTATGATTGGCTTCCCATCTGGCACTGCCATGGCAGGTGTTCCAGCTGTAAGTCACCTGGTTGTAGTGAGTCTGCGAGGGTTGACCTTCACAGAAAATAGCGAAGGAAAAATACTATATTATAACGTTAATAGTTGCTTTTCGAAGAGTTTAGGATATCTATCTACAATATTTCCTAACCTCATGTTTCTAAAAAGTGTGGGAGCTTATACTAAATTAATAACCGCGTATGCTTAGATAGTTGGAAATAGTGGTACGCGACGAATTATAACAGCAAAATAAGTAGGAAGATGTCTAACCGGGTTGGGACGAACTCCGTATTATGTATCCCCTCCGGCCGTTCAAAATATACGGTCCCACTTCTACATCAATTCTGCATCTCGCAGGGACCAGGCACCAAGGACGGCGAGATGTTGGTGTTCGTATTTGACGCCCACATCCCGTGGTCCGCTAATCCTGTCGATCGTGGTTAACCGCGTGAGTCAGGAACGACTCGCTTGACCACTAAGATGAGTATACTTCCTTAGAATATGGCTGAACCAATTGCACTGTACGGGTGTTGGTCTCTATATGCATGTTTTGATTGATTTGATTGAATCGTATCCTATTTACAATTTCTTTTCATAAATCCCATATTTCCTGTTCCTGTTCCGTTTCAATCGTAAGATGCAAAATCGCTGTCTGGGACTGCCAATCTCAGCAGTCTTCATATCAAATGGGTATATCCCCTCTATTTCTTTTGGAAGCCGGCCTTCGCCTTCGCTCCAAAGAGCGTCTCGACCATCTCGCCGGATCGAGTGGCCAACACAGACAAAAGGGTATCACTGAGCTATTTCCCCCACAGTTAGCATCAAAGGCTTTCCGAGTTCGAACTCTCCAGGTGTTTCTTCGGGAGTCTGACTTACTCCGTGAGTCTTCTCGTTGCATCCCTGCAAGTAGATTCCCGATCCGGGCGCCACCTTTCCAGGGGCAAAGCGCACGCTGTAGTCACGTGCGACCTCCATGGTGCGTTGCTCCAGCCCCGCCGACCCGTTTTTGAAGTCAACGGCGACCGCGCCGTTGGGCGCGGATACCTTCTCCAGGGGCGACTGAACCTTCTCGGGCAAAAGAGGACCAACATCCTCCATCATCTGCAGGTGTTGGGTGCGTTGGTAACCCGTCGCGGCGATGATGAGATCGACCTCTAGGGTCTCATCGCCAGCCTCGGAGTGGCCGTCGACCGAGCAGCCCGAGTCGGAGCCGTCGAAGAAGTCGAGTTCGCGCAGGGAGCGGATGCGGAGCTTGAGCTTCTCCTGGTCGAAGTCGTCCGATTCAAGGCCAAGGACCTCAGTGAGCCCCATGATTCGGTGGGGCCATTTTCGCTCATCGGGGCCAAGCACCCGTTTCTGGTGATACATAACCCCGAAGAGCTTCTCAATGAGCTCAAGGCGCACCACGGCGTAGTTTGTAGCGCGGGCGTCCTTGAGAACAGCCATACGCTGAGACGTTGACCGCGGATACAGGCTGTCAATGTATTCGGGGTTGAAAATGCAGTTAACACTAGTTTCAGTTAGCTACGGGGGCCAATACGTCGAGATGGGGATCAAAACAGTCCTGCACTCACAAAGGAGAATCGTCGCTCGGTTTCAAGAACTCGGCTCGCATGACCATGGACGTGGAAGAGTTCGGGTACAGTTCCTGGAGGTTGCTGAATATCTCAGCAGCACTCTGTCCAGCGCCAATCACAGCGACGCGATAAGCCGCGTTTCTATCGGTAAGGATCTTGGGTATCAAGTTGATGTATTGAGAAGAGTGGATGATCTTCGGGTGGTTTGCAGGGAGAGATTTAGGTATGTTGGGCGTTCCTCCAACGGCGACCAGAACGTTTTTGGCGCTGTAGGTAGTCACTTCGCCCGACTTCAGGGTTCGAGAGGTCACGGAGAACTGCGATATAGGGTTCTTGTTGGGGGCAGCCGATGACGTTTGGGGTGACACAGAAACCACCTCCTGGCCATATAGGACTACGTCCTCAAAGTGCTCAGCACACCATCGCATGTACTCCTCGTACTCGACTCTGGCGGGCAAAAAGGTGCCTAGGTTGATGAAGTCCACCAAACGGCCGTTCTTGTGAAGGAAGTTCATGAAGGTGAAGTGAGATCGCGGGTCGCGCAAGGTGGCCAAGTCCTTGATGTAGGAAATCTGCATCTTGGCGCCCGGCAGGAGCATACCGGAATGCCATTTGAAGTGTGTCTGCTTCTCCAGGAAGAGCACCTTCGGGGCATTGCTCAGCGAGCCATTTTCGAGTGCGTCGTTCAGAGCAACGGCGATGGCCAAGCTGGCAGGGCCAAATCCCACGCAAATAAGGTCAAACTCGTCGCTGGCCGACGTGGGCTTGAGGAGGGATGACTTGGCTGGGACCTGCCCGTTGGTTGCGGGTGCGGCGTGGAAGCCGTTAGCACCCGCAAAGGTGGTGTCCTCGAACGGAGGGCCATCGATGTGGCTTCCAACCAAACTGTGTGGTGACATGTTGGATATGTGGTGGAGGGGAGAGCGCTTGGTGCGGTGGGAACGACAAAATCTGCGTTACTGTAGTATCACTAGTTATGGTGTTGTTGTAAGTTGACGTTGCCTAGGTGTGTGGTGCAAGACGTCAAACCCCACAAGTTATAGAGGACCAAAGTCAGGTACGAAGTTGAAGAATAAATATAATTCAATGATGTTTCGCACTTGATGGTGATGCTCAAGTATCAGAGGCAGGAATAACAGCGGACGAAGAGGATACTTATGTGATGATGGCGAAGACGATCAGAAATAAGCTGTCCCACTCAACATCCCACACTTTGACACACACTGGAGTGACTTAAGCAATGTAATTTCAAAAGACCCAGAGGGCGCCTCATGTCGTCAATTTTCCCTGCAGCGGCATGCAAAGCCTCGAATCGGCATATTGCCCGACCAGTGATCCAAGGCATTCGAGCCAGAGGCTTTTTGCAGCGGTAAAGGTGGACGATGAGAATGGGTTGATGCCGGTCAAAGTATCTCGTAAGTACCTACCTCGAACTGTGGAGGGCGATTTGACGGTTGGCGGCCAACTCGACGCTGAAGTGGTTGCAGCAGCCGCTGCAGCAGCTGGGTCGCGAATGCGCTTAACAGTCCGGGCAACCTAAGGACCAAAAAACCGGCTTACCATTCATTTAATACTGGACAACTCCAGCAAAACTAACCAAGAAATAATTCTATAGATAGTTTTACAATTTAAACTCGAAGCTAAAGATCAAGAATAGTCTTACTCTAAGTAACTCATTTTGTGGGCAAGACGTTACAAATGTGAGGAAATTTAGTAGGGGGGTAGGGCGTGGGCGGATTTTTTCCTCCACAACTTGCCGGGCGACAGCGACTTGCAGTGCAGAATCCCTCTGTAAGCACGACATTCAAAAATGGTGACGGCGATACTCTAGCCGTACACCACGAAGCTTTCGAGCTACTTTTGGCCCAATGGTAGCATCGCAGTGACACCACATGTACTTGCGCCGGTACACCTCGGCTGATGGTCGCAAAAGAGCGCCAGGGCTTGCCAGGATACCCGAGACAGATTTTTCTCCTCCACTGCAACACTACACACATGCGTCGCGGGCAGGCGGAGCAGACTCTGCCAAGTTTGGGCCGGGTTTGGCAGCTGCGAGTGGTTGGTGGGCTTATGTGGCAATCGCGAGACAAATGATGATGCAGATGATTCCTTGCAGAAAGTTGAAAACACGGCTTTGCCCCACTTAGCTTGGCGACATCGGCCGTTATCGATTCCATCTTATCAGATGGAAATTTTTTGGTGCACTGCTGTGGCTGGCGCCGATGACGGGTGGGCTGGTTTAGCTCATTTTCAGAGGGTCATTGGCATCAAATTGTTCCAACTCTATCAGACGTACGGGTCCTGGACGAAATTCACAAGGTCTGAGTGGTTTCTCAGTCTTGGTTGTTGCGGCGGCATTGGAGAGTGAACTGATGATTACTTCGTAAAATAAGTGAAGGATCCACTAAACTCCACGGCTGGAACGCTCGACTCCAGTGTGGCAAGTTTTCCGACAACAATGAAGGTGGTATTCGGGTGATTATCTGTCTGAGGTGGAAGAAAATCACTCGTGAGGTGAGAGCTGAGACATTATTGGGATAGCACTGTTTATCCAAATTAACGTTCGGTGTATATCACAACGTAGTATAATTACTGGTGGTGTATATTATTCGCAACCTGGTGCACACATCTATAGAGATCTGGTTAGATCTGACTGAGAAATGATTTCAGGGCCAGGCGGACAAAGATTTAATCCCACGTGAACGGCCTGCCGAGCGACCGAAAGTTAAGGTCCCGGTGTTGTCGTGAATGAATCCCTATGGATGCTCACGTAGATCTGGTACCACAATAGTGGGCTCTGATCAACTCCACCAAGTTAGCACAGTCCAGTCGGATACCGTGACTCTCTCTGTAGGCTTTGGCTGAGTAACAATCGTCCGACCATGATATTCACCTTTGTACTCGGATAAATTCTACGCCAGCCTCTCTTCAGGTTGGTAGTTCACGATGATATATTGACAGCTTGTTTGTCACTTTCGACGAGACTCACAACTTTTAGCGCCGTTTGAACCAGTAGGGTGCCTACTTCAACCGATTATTTTCATTTTTGCTCGGCGGTGGACGTTGTGTCCTTGGGGTGGAACTACGGCATGTTCAATATTGTATACATACGTGCCTTCAGGTATCTAGTCATACCGACTCTAGACTGGCACCTGGCGTTGAGCTGAACTACCCGATCTCGCCGCACAGTCGCATGGGATGGAATTCCACAGCAGTAGTATATGCACAGCCACATATGGCCAATCTCGTACCGCCCTCAAGGGCATCTGCACCGCTGGGCAATCAATGGGGCATCCTTTCCCGTCTTGAACCGTCGCCGAAATAAGCGCATGAAACGCACACAGCCACTTGCCCAATTGAGTCATCCGATGACACCACAAAAGAATTTTGTCGTGGATCCCATATGCAAGAAAATTTTCTGATAAATTAAAGGCATGTAGCTATTCCACATGGAAGACCGCCATTGGATGTGCCAACAATTATCAGATGATCAGATAAGATCAATTCGGATGGCGTCAAGCCCCGAGTAGCGCGTCGGCCGGCTTGGCTGACCAGGATGGCGGGACGGAAATCGGAGCCCCGGGACTTGCGTGAAGATTGGCTTTTCTAGGGAGACGGTGTCCCATAATTACTAGGCGACCAGTGAGTAGTAAGTCATTAAACCAAACTAGGAAGGAGGACTCGCTGTAGTTATCACAGAGCTTGGCGATGACGTAGCCACAGAGTGATGTATGTAGATCTTTATAAAATTTCGAGTACTTCTTTCCTGTACTATATCTATGGTGTTCGTATAAGGCCCTCTAGTAGTTATACAAGGGATTAAAACGCGTTTTAAGCTCTACTTACCGTTATATAAAATTTCAAGTTTAGTAATTACCGATATATCGCGCGCTGCGCTCCGTAAGTACGAGATTCGCTGTATTTTCTATATCCTATTTTAAGTCTACATCTACAATATACTTAAGAATAGCCTCCTCTTCTAATTCGGTTTTTTATGGAATTAGCGTGGCTATCGTGTCGTGTGACACCGGTCACTATGCCTAGCCCTTGGACGAGGAACAGTGACACCTAAGTACGCGTGTCCCACCCGTAGGCGTCCGTCCTCCTCCTTATAACAGAGGAACGGGCAGCTGTCCTTAGAACCCTTTCTCTTTCTTCTACAGTTTAGTATTCGTCAACAGAGATAGACTGATGTCGCAACTTTGATTCGAACTCGCAGTGCCTCTGTCTCGTCACGTGTCGTATAGGTGTTACGAACCACGTTCCTAACCAACAAAGAAGGCCCGTTGGCAGGCCAGAGTGGACACCATCACTAGGATCACGGGACCCCGCATCGGAAGAATGACGGAACGAAGGTCACGTGACTAGGTACCTATGTACCTGGATATATTGGATCGAGATAGATCCAGTTCGAGCCTGGCTCGAGAGGATCATGGATCGATCCAAATGATCCAACGAGATCAGTGAAGGAGAGATGGATATATAAGGGACAGGACTCCCAGGCATTTCATAGATAGACAGTCTCTACTTCAGTGATCAATCTAAGCATCAATCTAACCCATTGGTGAGGCAAACTGCCTTGACGACTCTATTCCCGATTACCCTACTTGAATACTTCAGTTACCCAAAGCACTCTACTCCATACGTCAGACCCCGATATTATTGCTTGAGGACTCCGCAGCAGGACTTACTTACTAGCACAAACCCTTACAGACTCTTTAGTGGTTTACGCAGCTAGACTATTAGAGGTTTCGTTACAATAGGTCGACCGCTTATTCTATCGCGTAATATTAATTTAGGTACGTCGTAGATAATTAACGGTGTTCTAGGGTATTGGGCTGGGTCACACCTCGCCAGTCGGACCTCTGTACTACGTAGGTCGGTCGGCCGCTTTTCGGGTCCAACCCCTGTATAGCGCTCAAAGGGGGCCCACGAGACTCCTGATGCACTCCTGATGGACTCCTGATGGAGATAGTGATGGAGAGGGGAAGACCAAGTTTCCCTCTTGTACGAAAGCTACTAAATGGAGAAGGGAAGACCAAGTTTCCCTCTTGTACGAAAGCTACTAAATGGAGAAGATGATTGTGCCTAAGCACGTTCATGTATCATGTTATTCTTTCACATTAGCGCGGGAATTTGACCCACTTATACTTCCCAATCAGGACCAGTGGTCGGGATAATCACCCGACCATTAGTCGTATCAGGTCCCTCAGCTTCGGGACAATCTAGAATCTTTGGGTGCGGTATGAAGGAGTTTGTAGGAAACCTGAAGAAGCTCCCTGGCGTGTTTGTTCAGTTTGATGTTGAGAAACCTCGATGGTGATTGTTTTCAACCATGTGGCAATGGATTATCACGATGTTGTAGTGCTGTTGTGGGTTCTTGTCGGGAAACTTGGAATGGAAAGACCCGCAGGTGTTCCAAGCTCTTCTGCTGATCTCCAAACCCAGAGAGCATGAGGCTCAGTTGGGTCCTTCCCTAGTGGCTGCTACACTCTTTGACCACTAGCCCGTCGACTAGGGAAAAGACGGGTGTGAGAATACAGTTAGAGATTGCGATGCGCTTCATGACTTGTAACGTTTTAAAGCGAAATATCTATCTGTTGGCAGCACCTAGCGCCCAACAGAACGCTAGGTTTATATTTGCATATTGGCACGGGTTTATTCGCATGACCAACGCTATCTAGCAACTTACTGGTTACTTGAAGGCCAGCCCGCGACTGCCGCCCCTTGTGGTTCCCCCTGTAAGCTTTGCATGAACCCGAAAGAGAAAAAAGCCAGAAGTGGTTGAATATCTAGTGCCTGCGGTAACACGTAAATATTGGCTTCAACCTATTCATAGGCCATAGCTGGCTTCGCTAAATATCATGCAAGCGTTTTTATCACCTTTGAGCTGGTCTCCCGCGATAAGCGAATCAATGATGTAACCAGTGTTAAATCCATGCAAAACTTGCAGCTATCGGAACACAACCTCTCCGTTGCTCTAAACTGCACTCACATTCGTGGGCTGCAGTTACCTCACACGGATCATGCACCGATAATGAAATACAACTGAGATCTCATCATGCGCGTCCGTTCACTTTAAACTGATTGAGTGTGCTGAGTTGTCCATTGAATCCAATAATTTTGGGTCTCTTATGAGCGAGTAATGTTGAGGAGTCATTTGAACATCCTGACAGTCGCATTGCCACCCCTGCGCCGGAAACACTTGCCTCAAAAAGCAAGCAGCTGTTGCTGACGAAGGGGATCGTTGCTCAAGGGCCTTCCAAAAGTTGCTTACGGTAAGTATCCCGCGGTTTGCATACAGAACGGCCAACTAGCATTCGCAGTCGACTCAAGCAACACCCTCAGGCTTTCATTGATGAACCGTTCGTACACAACGCTAACTCACCACGAGCATCCGACCAGCCGTGATGCCCACCATACCTTGAAAGTCTGCCCGAGATTACAATGCAAGATCCATTTAGCTGAAGGGTGTCGGGCATATATTCTGCAATCGACCAGCAAGCAAGTAAGTCGCACATGCCAAGGCTGTTCAATGACCTAGAGGGGTACTCTGGGTCCAATCGTCCTCCGCGCAAATAAACCGTTGACAATCGCAGCAACTGTGATTGGCGCAGACTCAACACGGTGTATTCCACTTCCTCACAGGAACTCCTGCATCATTTGACCCGTTGTGAATCCAGCGACCCGACTACCGACCCCCAGTCATCCAATCACCTTCACCAGGTGACAAATCCCAGCTGGTCTACTCGGAGGCTACTTGGATTGTTACCTGATGAATATCAACAACCATATCACCCAGACACCAGGACAAGGTTTTGCACTTGGAAAACAAGTGCAGTAGGACCGCCAGAGCCCTTGTCTGAAGCTCGAATGTCGCATCTCACAATGTCGGAACAGGAGCTTGAGGGTTTATCAGTTCTCAATTCCACGCCTACCCTCCTCGATGGTCCAAACCTGCTGCACGAGCTTGTTCAAAGAACGACAACCAATAATGGACCCGCCATTGACTTCCTACCCCGAGATGGGAAGCCGGTCTCTCTCTCATACGCAGAGTTACACGAGGCCTCAGATGCACTCGCAGCCCGCATCTCCCAAGAATTGGCCACACTACCCAAAAGACGACCCGGAGACCAGCTTATTATCCCCCTTATGATATCCCAAAGCCCAGAGCTCTACATCGCAACGCTGGCTGTCCTGAAGGCCGGTGGTGCCTTTTGCCCCCTGAACCTCGATGCCCCAGCTGACCGGATCAAGTTCATTCTTGGCGACATCAACGCAAGTCTGGTTTTGGCCGGTTCTTCGCTGGTGGATAGGATACCGAAGGAGGGTAGCACTCTCAATATCTTACTCGTTGGAGACGAACATGAAGTATCCGTTGACGACCTCAGCGAGGGGGTGAAATTGCCGACGAGAATCCCCGCCAAAGATGACCTGGCCTACGTGATGTACACCTCAGGGTCGACTGGCATACCAAAGGGGGTCGGCGTCTCTCATCTCGCGGCAACCCAAAGCTTGTTAGCACATGACAGACACATTCCAGCCTTCAATCGCTTCCTCCAGTTCGCTGCACCTACCTTTGATGTCTCGGTGTTTGAGATATTCTTTCCCCTGAAAAGGGGTGCCACCTTGGTGTGTTCCAACAGGACAGACATGCTCACAGATCTTCCAGGAGTCTTGCGGAAGATGAACGTGGATGCATGTGAGCTGACGCCGTCTGTGGCTGGCAGTCTCCTAAAGAGCAGGAGTAACGCCCCAAATCTGAAGCTGATTCTGACCATTGGCGAAATGTTGACCCAACCGGTTGTTAGCGAATTTGGAGGTGATCCGAAGCGAGCTAGCATGCTTTGGGGCATGTACGGGCCTACTGAAGCAGCGATTCACTGGTAAAACTCACAAGTTGCCCAGTTCGCAGAACTACAGCTGATTATACTACACTACAGCACACTACAGTCTGCATTTAGCGCCGAAGCTTCACCAAGCTGTATCGGCTTTCCACTGGATACAGTTTCGGCATTTGTAATCGGTCTGCCAGTGGACCCTGCAGATCCGAAACCATTCAGTATACTGCCCATTGGCCAAATTGGGGAACTTGCAGTGGGCGGCCACCAATTGGCAACCGGTTATATCAACAACCCGGAGCAAACTGCCAGTGCATTTATCAACACGCCTTTCGGACGAGTCTACAAGACGGGCGATAAAGCGAGGATGATGCCTAATGGGACAATTGAGTGTCTCGGACGGGTCGCTGAAGGACAGATCAAATTAAACGGCCAGCGCATCGAGCTCGGAGAGATACAAAACGTGATGCTACGGGCTCAAGGATGCCACGCCGCGTTCGTATGCGTCATGTTCAACGTTCTGATAGCATTTGCAGCCGTTGATGATCCTGCTGGCATGCAAGATGTCATCCTAGCCACCTGCAAAAAGTGGCTGTCTGCCTTCATGGTACCCACAGAAATTATTGTCATGGAAGACTTCCCAAGGTTACCATCAGGGAAGATCGACAGGCTTAGGCTTAAGGAAAGCTATAAATCAGTCAACCTAACAAGCAAAAGCGACACTCAGTATCGAGACGACCTGGAACGATCGTTGTGCGAAACTGCGAGCCAAATCCTGCAAGCAAACGTACAAACTTCAACCAGGTTGGCCTCAGTAGGACTTGATTCACTTTATTCCATCGAATTCGCTTGTCAACTACGCGAGAGAGGACTAGGCATCACCACGGTGGATGTGCTAGAAGCGGGCACGATATCTGACCTCCACAGGCTGATCCAGAAAAAGAAAACGAATAACGACCCACTCCTGCACCTCACCAACGGCCATCACGCACCTGGCTCAAACGAACTACTTGAACTGCTACGAGGAGATCCCGGATGCAGCAAACTTGAAACTGAAATAGACGCCGTCATTCAATGCACCGCATTGCAGACCTCTATGATCGTGGAGACGCTGAAAGACTCCAGATTATACATAAATCAGTTGGAGGTTCGGTTCCCATCCAATCCCACTCCGTCTAATGTCAGATCGTGGATTATCGAGGCTACACAACGGAACGAAATACTCAGAACGGGTTTCATTCAGCTCGATGGTTCCTTTGTTCAAATTGTTTGGAATTGCCTTGCGGATGAACAAATATCAATTGTGGACCATTTCAGCCCAGTCAACACTCAGGACGCCGAAGTGTTTCTCCGCCGCCCTTTCTATGTCGAGATACTTAAAGGCGACGAAACTGGCCCAAGTATTTCTAGAATAACGATACACCATGCTCTTTATGATGGTTGGACTTTTGACTTGCTTCTGGACGATCTTACCATCCTAGCTCATGGAGAGGCACCGCCGGATCGACCTCAGTTCCGGGATATTGGCAAGGATCTGGGCACAATATCTACGAGAAATGATCATGCCAGTGCTAAGGAGTTCTGGGCTGAATACCTGAGAGGCAGCCCAGGTAGCTCACTGCCCAACTTCAGGACTGTCGCAATTCCACGACCAGAGATTTTGACAACCGCTCACAAGATCACCGTTAATCCAGATGCAATTCGACAAATATCATTGCAATCCGGCTTTAGCTTGCAGGCCGTTTTCCAAGCATGCCTTGTATGGCTGTGGGGTGCCATGGTAGGCACTCAAGACGTCACATTCGGATCTGTGTTTTCAGGTCGCACGTTGCCAATATCAGACATTGAAAGGGTCATGGGGCCCTGTATTCAAACTCTACCTGTGAGAGTTGACATTAGTGACTCGCGCACCATTTCCGAGCTGATTCACTGTCTACATTCCATCAATCGCCAGATAATTCGACAAGATCCTCTACCGCTTGAAGGAATCAAAAGAGCCGCTGGAATGCCTCTCTCAAGCAAGCTATTCGATGTACTTTTTGTCTACCAAGAGTCTCTGGCGAGTCGAAAGCGTGGTGCGGGCCATGGTGTTGTTAAAGAAATCTGGCATAAAGATTCACTGGAGACAAAGCTCCTTGTTGAGATCGAACCGTGCGACGACCACTTTGCTGCCACCTGGACGTGGCATTCAGATGCATTCGATGAGTCACAGATCGAATCTTTCGCACGTCATTTTGATCAACTGGTGCATCACTTTTCTGAGCATCTCAATGAACCCATCAGTTCAGTACAAGGGTCTTTTCCGTCGCAATTGCTGTCTACGTACACATCTGGACTAGAGTCAGTGGAAACACTCTCCAGCATCGCCGAGTTGGTAGAAAAGGCAGTCACAGAATCTCCGGATGCCATAGCTCTCTGCTTTGCTGATTCCGTTGGGAAAGGGTTGATGCAAACTCGCACGTTGACCTACGCGGAACTGAACCAAACTGCCAATCAGATCGCGAGACATCTTCAAGCATGCGGAGTCGAACCGGGTGGAATTGTTTCTATAGTCATGGAAAAGTCCCTGTTGTTATACTGCGGGATACTGGGGATACTTAAGACGGGCTGCGGATATCTCCCAATCCTCCCGTCCACCCCTATCAAACGGGTACATCTAATACTGGAGCAAGCTCAGCCCCAACTTTGTATCATTGGCGATGCTTCCAAACCGTTCAAAGATGGTCTATTTCCTTGCAGAACGATCCATATTCATGACCCTGCAATTTCAACCTATAATGACACAAATCTCAGGATACCCGGATACCCCTCACAACTCGCCTACATCATATACACAAGCGGGACGACGGGGACTCCCAAGGGTGTATCTGTCACGAACAAAAACTTACTCAGCAATATCGAGGTTCTCACACGCATTTATCCACATGACAGCAATTCGAAAATGCTTCAAGCTTGCTCTCAGGCCTTCGACGTCTCGGTTTTCGAGATCTTCTTCACATGGGCCAACGGCATGTGTTTATGTGCCGCGACGAATGACACCCTGTTTGAGGACCTGGAAAGGACAATTCAATCGTTTCAAGTCACACACCTCAGCATGACTGTTACTGTGGCTTCTCTAATCAACCCGGAACACGTCCCCGGTGTAGAGTTCCTCGTCACTTCAGGGGAGGCAATGACGGATGAGGTTCTAGCGAAGTGGTCGAAGGTTCTCTACCAAGGTTATGGCCCATCCGAGACGACAAATATTTGCACAGTGCGCAAGGTTTCGCCAGGCGATTCATCACAATATCTAGGTTGGTCGTTTGAAAACACCTCATCCTTTGTTATGAACCCCAATTCGAACGAACTTGTCCCTTTGGGATGTATAGGCGAGCTCTGTTTCGGAGGCGACCAGGTTGCAGCTGGTTACCTCAATATGCCAGAACTCACCGCGATCAAGTTTTCTGAGCACGCCCAGTACGGTCGCCTTTATCGATCTGGTGATCTGGGCCGTATGCTCCCTGATGGCTCTTTAATTATTCTTGGACGACTCGACACACAGGTCAAGTTGAGGGGCCAGCGAATTGAACTTCAGGAGATCCAAGGCATAGTTCTTGGTTCGAGCTTAGTGAGGGCTTGCGCATGCGGACTTCTCAATCGCAGAGGCGAGACTTCTCAGCAGTTGGCACTATTTTACGTGCCATCTACCTACGAGGGACAACCATTCAAATTCTTGGCTCTCAATTCAGAGCTCAAATGCCTGAATGCTGAGATTTCACAGATCCTGCAAAGTTCGTTGCCGGCTTACATGGTCCCTTCCTTTTTGTTTCCTATCGCTAGCTTGCCCCTGACTTCGTCTGGTAAGATCGACACGGCACGCCTCCGTCAGACAGCAATCGAACTATCCGATGATTTGTTGAGCCAATGCAGCTTCGCTGCTGATATTAGAGCAGATACAACAGAGTGGACCAAGACAGAACTTCAGATCGTCGGCGCATTGGTGGAGACGCTCAGTGTGGATAGGAGCACCATCAATCGTTGGAGCTCTTTTGCGGCCCTTGGGTTGGACTCAATTTCAGCGATTCCGTTAGCAAGGAAGTTGCAAATGAGGTTAAAAGCGAGGATACCACTGTCCCAAATCCTACAGAATCCCAGCATCGGCCGGCTCGCTCAGTCGTTTGCCACTGCAATCGTACCTGCCAACAATTCCCTGGAAACTACCCTTTCAGTCGCGACCACCGACTATGGCTTATTACCAAGCTTGTTGACTAAGAGCATTCGCGCGCGCTTCACAACTTGGGGAATCGACAGCGTAGAGGCCATTCTGCCCTGCACACCTCTTCAGGAGGGTATGCTCGCCTCTTCAGGGGAGGGAAACTCCTATTGTAACCAAATTCTGTTTAAGATTAAGAGGGCTTCTCAAAATCGGAAAATCTTGGACTACTGGAATGAGATGATCAACAGACATGCCATCCTGCGGACTTGCTTTGCGGCCACTGAAGACCCGGAGTTCCCATTCGTGCAAGTCGTGCTGCCTGCTCAAGCAGATATGACGGAATTTAATATTCTTTCAACCGATGACACCTTGTCTCCGAAACAAGGACTTCAACAAGTTGTGGATGAACACCTGAAAATGGCACCCTCAGCAGTTGACTCATACAAGCCACCGATGTCAATCGCCATGATCAACCAAGACGCAGCGGAGTCGCATCTCAGTTTCGTCTGCCACCATGCGCTTTACGATGGCGTCGCCATGGGTATTCTGCTTGATGAGATCCAATGTTTGGCAACAGGCAAGAAGCTCCAGGCTCCCCCTTCCTTTGAGCCCTTCCTTAAAGCATTGTCACTGCCGTCGGACGTGGATGATTTCTGGAAAGTCCACTTTGACTCATTCTCCCCATTGGCTCTTCTACCAAGCGATGGTGTGAAGGATGAAGCAAGCAGCGCGTCAACGCAGGTTTCTGGTCGATGTCAGATGCCACTCCAAGCTATCGAAGCCCGACTACGTGAACTCGGCGTTTCGCTCCTGTCGACTTGTCAAGCAGCATGGGCCGCCACCTTGGCGGCCGCGCTTCACTGCGAGGATGTCTGCTTTGGTAACGTCGTCAGTGGTCGTTCCATCGCGTTGGATGACATTGACAGACTTGTTGCTCCTTGTTTCAATACTATCCCAGTCAGAATTGAACTGTCCAGGTTGACATCAAACCGCGATTTGATGAAGCGGCTCCAAAGCTTGGACGCGACTATGCTAAAGTACCAGTTTACGCCACTAAGGAAAGTTCAGAATTCATTGGGCCTCGAAGGCGAAAAGCTGTTTGACACCCTACTGCTACTCCAACCACCGGCTAAACCACTCGACGAAACGATTTGGACCTTGGAGATGGAGAGAGGCGACGTCGATGTCCCCATCGTCTGCGAGTTGCTTCCTTCCACGGCCAAAGATGTGCTGGATGTCATCGTTCATCGTGATGTGTAAGTTGACCCCTTGCGTACAAGTACTTACAAATTCTAATGCAAAATAGCAACTTATTTCCTGAGAGCACGACCCAGCTACTATGCAATCTGTTTATATACGCTTTCAACGCCTGTCTCCAGTTTCCATCTTCCGAGGTCGACCTGGTCCCTAATTTACCAGCGCATCTCAAGGAGTCATTACAGAAACTACCACAGGCACCAAAACAGATCAAACAACCCCCAGCAACAGCGACACTACTAGCAGAGGAACCATGGACAGATGAAGAGTTGACAGTCCGTGCCGTGGTGTCGAAATTGTCCCGGGTGCTCGAGTCGAAGATCGGAAGACACACGTCGATCTACCGTCTAGGCTTAGACAGTATCAGTGCATTTCAAATTGCGCATATCCTAAACCAGGAGGGATTTACGGTCTCGGCGGTCGATGTGTTAGAGAGCGCAACTTGTTCTGGAATTGTGTCACGCATACAAAACTCTGATCACAGCAAACCTCTGCCAAATTATGATGTTGATCTCTTCAGTCAAATTGTCAAAAGAGAGTTGAGCGCTGCCAGCTTACCAGCGCAACCCGTAACCATTTTACCCTGCACACCATTACAGCAGGGAATGATATCCCAATTCATTCTGTCTCAAGGGAAGAGCTATTTCAATTTTGTCAGCTGGACAGTCAATGCGGGCATCGATGCAGACCGATTACTCGAAGCCTGGACGGCAATATTAACGAGACATGAGATTCTTCGTTCTGGATTCGTGTCTGTCAGCCACCCCGACACATCATTCGCCATTCTCACGTATAGCGAGACCGAAATAGCCACGCCAATCAAAGTTCTCGACTCACAAGTGTTCAACATGGATGAATGGCGGTTGGGTTGTGCCCGTCATGCACTCGAGAACCTGTCGTTGCCACCTTGGCAACTCGCGCTAGTCAGTGACGCTGAATCTGTCAAGATGCACATGGCCATACATCATGCACTTTACGATGCGTATTCTTTGGAGATACTTATGCATGAACTTGCACTGCTATTGCAAGGCAATGAGCTACCCCCAACCAAGCCCATTCAAGTCGCTGTGTCGACTATTTTCGGGCATATGGCTGCAGAGAGAACCGAAGCTGAAACATTCTGGAAGAACAAGGCTGCTAACCTTGTGGTCAATTCATTCCCTGTCATGACGCCTTTGCGCGTCGAGACGCGGCAGCAGATGCATGTCTCCCACGACTTCCGGGTGTCCCCATATGCCTTAAGGGAAAAGGCCGCTACAATTGATGCAACTCTTCAGGCAGTACTGCAGGCGGCTTGGGTCAGAGTTCTCTCATCGTATCATGGCGATGCCGCTGTCACATTTGGTGTCGTACTCTCTGGCCGTTCGGGTGAGCATCTGAACGAAGCTTTGTTTCCTCGCATCACAACCCTGCCCGTCATGGCTCGGAACATCGACTCGAACAAAAAGCTATTGCAGTCCATGATGCGGTACAATGCCAGTCTGCGCCGATATGAACACACGCCGCTTTCGCATGTTCAAAGGTGGATTGGGAGTCCGAACGCCCTGCTATTCGACACGATCCTTGTGTTTCAGCAAGCCGCATCGGAGGACAAGGAGATGCAGCCGTGGATAATTGATACTGAGAAGGCAGTGGTTGAGTATCCCGTTTCGCTTGAAGTGGAGGAGCACTCTTCCGAGACGATGCGAATGAACCTCGTCTTCTACGACGATATTCTTCCCACTGAGCAGGCTGAGTTGGTCCTGCAGCAATTCGATGCGATGTTGATGCATCTTCTGAACAACCCCGATGGCGTTGCAGATGGTCTTGGCGCGTTGAAGCCGGAGCTGTTTTCCTTGCTCCCGGCTGAGCATGATAAGCTGCCTACGGAGGTGAGACTAATGCATCAATTCGTCGAGAAAAGCGCGTTGAATCACCCTGACAAGCTAGCTCTGGAATTTGCGAGCGATCTGGACGAGGATGTCCCGAGAAGGCGGTGGACCTACGGCGACCTGAACGAGTGTGGTAACAGAGTTGCCAATTATCTCGTTGTCAATGGAATCAAGCCTGGTGGCACTGTAGCCGTTTTGTTTGACAAGTGCCCAGAAGCATACATGGCGATATTGGGAATTTTGAAAGCGGGATGCGCCTTCGTGGCGTTGGACCCGAGTGCGCCAGCTTCGAGAAAAGAGTTCATATTGCGCGATTCAGGCGCGACCGCGCTCCTTGTACAGGGCGACGGTGAAGAGGACTTGGGATTCAATTATCCGATACAGGTTCTCAGAGTAGCTCTTGGGCACCTTTCCTCATACCTTTCAACCACTCCTATACTGCAGAGGGAAATCACTGGCGAGGACACCTGCTACTGCCTATACACGAGTGGCACGACAGGCACGCCCAAAGGGTGTCTCATCACCCACGACAACTGCGTACAAGCTATGCTCGCCTTTCAACACCTCTTCGCGGGGTATTGGGATGCCGAATCTCGATGGTTACAGTTCGCATCGTTCCACTTCGACGTATCGGTTCTAGAGCAATACTGGTCGTGGTCTGTGGGTATTGCCGTGGTCGCAGCACCAAGGGATCTAATTCTTAGTGATTTGATCTCGACAATCTCTACCCTGGACATAACGCATATCGACTTGACGCCTAGTCTGGCAAGATTGGTGCATCCCGACGATGTCCCCAGTCTATGCAAGGGCGTCTTCATCACAGGCGGCGAGCAACTGAGACAGGATATCCTGGATGTGTGGGGGGAAAAGGGGGTTATCTACAATGCGTACGGTCCAACCGAGGCCACGATCGGTGTCACAATGTATTGTCGTGTCCCGCGAACTGGGAGATCCAGCAACATCGGCAAGCAGTTCCCGAACGTGGGGGCATATGTCCTTCGTCCGGGGACCGATGTGCCTGTTCTGAGAGGTGGGGTGGGTGAATTGTGCATCTCGGGGAAGCTGGTCGGCAAGGGGTATCTTAACAGAGATGAACTCACACACGAACGCTTCCCGACACTGCGTGGGTATGGGGAGAAAGTGTATCGCACAGGTGACCTAGTGCGGGTGCTGCATGATGGATCTTTTGACTTCTTGGGCAGAGCGGATGATCAGGTCAAACTCAGGGGCCAGAGGCTGGAGATTGGAGAGATCAACCACACAATTCGGAGTGGTGTGGCACAGATAGTGGATGTGGCCACCCTCGTGACTAAGCATGGTAATCAAGATCGAGATGTGCTGGTCTCGTTCGTCGTCACAGAGGTACACCAGGATAGAAGTCGGGATTTGGTCGCTCTTACCGACCAGAAGAGTGTCCGAGTCTGCGAAGAGGCACGAGAGGCTTGTGGTGCCAAACTTCCAGGATACATGGTGCCGACGTATGTCTTGGCCGTGCCATTCATCCCGCTATCTGCAAACAACAAAGCGCAAGCCAGCGTCTTAAAACAACTTTTCAACGATATTCTACCGGGAACACTAAGCTCGCATCTTTCTTCCACGAACGAGCCACTTGAACGAACCGAACCGCACCTAGCTCGTGTACTGGCTGAGGTCACGGGAACGGAAGCTAGCGAAATAAAGAAGGGCAATACCATCTTTGACCTCGGGATTGACTCGATTTCGGTCATTAAACTGGCAAGATGTCTACAGGCTGCTGGGTTCAGCCGTTCTAACCCATCCGCGATCTTGAGAAACCCGCGACTGAGTGCGTTGGCCGGCATTCTTCGCGAGAGCTCCGACATTAGCAGTTCGTTGATGCTCAGCGATGGAGTCGTAAATCAATTTCTCCGGATCAAGCAGTCGATCCTAGCGTGTTATCATCGCCACCTTGGAGCAGTGTGTCGCGCATTTGCAGTGGATAGAGGTGAGATGGAGTACATCGCGCCTTGTACACCACTGCAAGAGGGTATGCTGTCCAGATCAACCACCGCCGATGGAAAGGCGGCATATTTCAATGTATTTCAATTCGACATCGCCTCAAATGTCGACATGGAGCGATTGAAAGACGTCTGGTTTGCTGTAGTCAAAGACCACTCGATTCTCAGGACGAAGTTTCTCCAAACGGCTGACGGATACGTTCAAGTCGCCCTGAAGAACCCATCTTTTGCCTGGAATGCGTTTCAAGTCGAGACGAATAACCTATCGCATTTCTTGGAAAATAGATACGACCAATGGGTTCAATTTAACAGCGGTGACTTTCAGAGACCGCTGGAAGTTGACTGCATCGCACATCGAGACAAACAGATGCTGGTGATACGCATCTTCCATGGCCTTTATGATGCGCGCAGTTTCGATTTGGTACTTAAAAATGTCAAAGCGGTCTACAGACAAGAAACTACGGATTCGGGCCCAGCTTTCATTGATGTACTGCCGCATGGCCCCTTGTGCGATTATAGCGGTACGAGGCCGTTCTGGACGCAGTTGTTTGAGGGCTTCACATTTCAACCAATGTCAAATCTTCTCAGTCAAACTGAGATACCGACCGATACGATCAGGCCAGACGTAGTATTATCCAGAGAGCTCAACATAGAAGGCCTTGAGCGAAAGAGGAGAGAACTAAGCGTCACGCAGCAGGCCATACTTCAGGCTGCCTGGATCGCGGTGCTCCGACAACGTTTCACGGCTTGGCCAACGATTGGCATTGTGCTTTCAGGCAGATCGATGATGATTGAAGGGGTTGAGAACACCATCGGACCACTTTTCAACACGCTTCCATTCCGTGTGAAAAAGTCTAATCCCTCGTCGACGTGGTCGGACTTGATCCAGGAGACCCACCAGTTCAATGCCTCAGTGCTATCATTTGTCCATGCCCCTCTCCGCCAAATCCAAAAGTGGTGCACAAATGGGCAGCCGCTTTTTGACACGCTATTTGCCTTTGGCCACGAGGAGGTATCGAGTGGGGAGGAAGAGTTGTGGACTGAAGTTGCCTCGACGTCGCAATCCGACTATCCCCTTGCGATTGAAGCAACTGCGAAGAGCGCCAATCGGGTGAAGATCACCCTCGTGGCTCAGCCTCATATCGCTACTAAAGGCGCGCTTAGCTCGCTATTTGATGAGCTTGATCAGGCGCTGTCATCAATTGCTGAAGGTGGTGAGCTCTCAATATTGACTGAAGATTCAACCGACCCTAGGGGTAGTTCAGGGACAACTGCCCGTGTTCTCCTAAACCAGTCGCATGCAACATTGCAGGATGCCCAGGATTGTGCGATTATTTGGACCGATCAAGCCCAAAAACTGCGTCACGAGGTTGCTGCGCTCGCCGAGGTTCCTGTCGAAAGTGTCAAGGGGAATACCACGCTGTTTGAATTGGGTTTGGACAGCATCGATGTCGTCAAGCTTGTCGCACGACTACGGCGAATTGGACTCAGTCTAAAAACGAGTGAACTCATGAAGCGGCCTACGATTAATGGGATACTTTCTTTCGATAATAATGGCATCGCTATCAAGAAAAGCTCGACTTTGCAAATAGCGCAGCTTGAGGAGCAGAGCTCAGTTCTCAAGTCCTTCATTAAAAGAGCCGGTCATAACATGGAACAGTTTGAGGCCATTCTGCCACCCACACCACTCCAGGACTCCATGGTTGCTGAAATGCTTCTTTCAGACTTTCAAAGATACTTCAATCACGACATCCTCGAATTTTCTTCTGACACCGATACTCAAAAGTTGAAGGGTGCACTGGAATTGGTTATCGCAAACTCTCCCATCCTCCGAACAACATTCGTGGAAGTCGATGACCCAAATATCGGCTCAGCATACTGCCAAGTCGTACGAAAGCAGATTGATTCATTCCATATATTTGGATCACTCAGAAACGTGGACCAGCTAGACGACGTCATAGAACACACACGACAGAAAGCTGCTGCAGCTAAGGGGACAGCTCATCTATTACAGTTCACACTTGCCACGGTTGCCGGTCAAAAGACGTATCTCGTCTTCTCAATTGCGCACGCACTCTATGATGGTGCATCTCTGGACATGTTCCACCGGGATGTGCTGTCTGCGTATGATGGAGTCTATAATCCTCGCCTTTCATATGCACCTACCTTGGGTGCTATACTGGCCAGCCACGGCGAGCAAGCCGAGAGCTTTTGGGGCGAGTTCTTGCAGGGCACTGTTCCGACTCTCCTCGCTTCTCGGTCAAATGCCGTAGCCCTCAAACAACCAAAGAGCACGGTACACAGGTTGGAGTTCTCGTCGCAAGTGGATCTCACAATCATCAAGAAATTCTGCGCCCGCCATGGAATCACGGCCCAAGCCCTAGGACAATCCTGCTGGGCCGCAGTACTAGCCTCTGTCTCCCAATCGCTAGATGTCGTCTTCGGCGTCGTGCTTTCGGGGCGAGACACGGATGAAGCACAGGGGCTCATGTTTCCGACTATGAACACAGTCCCTGTGAGAGTTGTGCTTCATGGGAGCACGACAGAATATCTGGAGTATATCTGGGAGAACCTGAAGAATATCAATGAGTTTCAGGGCTTTCCCCTGAGGATGGCGATGAAGCTTGCTGGTGGTGGATGCGGTGAAGGTGGTAAAATTGGGGTAGGGGGGGCATTGTTCAATACGCTATTTACGATGCAGAGTCGTTCTGGTGAGAAGGAAGACCATGTAAAAGAGGGAAGGTTATGGAAATCTGTGAAGTCGGCGGCAGAGATCGAGTACCCTGTCTGCGTCGAAATGGAACTTTTCGATGCGGGTTTGGCGTGGAGAGTTGCGTGTGATGAGTCTTTCCTTACGCACGAACAGGCTGGGGAGATAATGGGAAACTTGGATCGGGTTTTGAAATTCCTTGTTCATGAGGACAGCAGGGACGTACTCAGGTTTGAAGAGCAGGGAGGGAAGGTGTCTGTCTGTGGATTGACGCCCTTCTCGCTCAATCACCCCAGCAAGAATAATGGGGCGGAGGGCCAGCAGAGCCTGCCTCGTCGCGATGAGACTTGGAGCCAGTCGAAAGAGGCGATAGTCATCGTCGAGGTCTTGGCCGAGGTTGCTGGCGTCTGCCCCAAAGATGTCAGGCCGGGTATGTCGATTTACCACCTCGGCCTAGACTCAATCAGTGCCATCAAAGTCAGTGCCATGCTGCGGAAACGGGGAATGGTCATTTCAGTCAGAGACTTGGTTAGAGGTGGATCCCTTGGAGGTATCACATCCAAGATCCAGGCTACTCAACCAACCAGAACGGCTGAGGTAATTTCACAGTCTGGCGTATTCCATCGCGCTGAAAAGATGTTGAAGGACCTCGGCATTAATGTTACAGGAGTTATCTCTGGGATTGGGTTAAGCAAAGAGACAGTCGAGATGGTTTTGCCAGCACTACCAGTACAAGTTCATATGCTCAGCATGTGGCAGAACACGGAAGGGGAACTGTTCTTCTACCAATTCGAGAACGTACTACCAAGTCATGTCTCTAAGAATGCAGCGAAAAGAGCTTGGTCTGCTCTGGTTGATGAGATGCTCATCCTCAGGACAACCTTCGCAGCCACGGGGTCTCACACAGTGCCTTTCGTCCAAATTGTCACGAGGGCTGACCAAAAGCAGCAGGGTGGAGAGGATGATGAAAATCCTGACGTCTGGGATTTCAAGGCCTCTAGCAGTCCTTTCGTCCTTCTCGAAGCTTCCAAATCTGCCAATGGTTTGGTCTCGTTCAAGCTCAAAATACACCACGCACTCTACGATGGTGTGAGTTTACCGATGCTCATCAGTAGTTTCAAGGAGCTGTGCGGCAATACAGCGTCAAACTATTCGATGCAAGCAGTTACAAACAACAGCCTCTGGGGCTACTTCGTGTTGAAGCACTGCGAGGACGGCACACGAACAAAGAGAAAGCAATTTTGGACATCATATCTCGATGGCGCTCGCATCTCTTTGGTATCGTGGTTTAATCAAGCTGCTTGTTCGTCACCAGGCCCAAAAACCCGTACAGTCAAGTTCAAGAGCGCTGCTGTGAATGATATCAACAAGCTGAAGATAACTGCTTCCACACACGGTATCACCATACAGGCTCTCTTCTTCGCCGCCTACGCCAAGGTCCTTGTGAGCAAGTCAACCGAGTCGGCACGCCCTACCCTTGAGAATAGTCATCACGACATCGTATTCGGCATCTATCTTTCCAATCGCGTCTCCTTACACGACGAATTGCAAAATGCGCCTTTGCCCACTCTCAGCATAGTGCCTCTTCGAGTTCGATTCGAGCAAGATGAGGACCTAATTTCCATAGCGAAGGAGATACAGAGGGATGTTGGCAAAATCAGCTCGTTCGATAATGCTTCTGTTGGGTTATGGGAGATTGAGAAATGGACCGGTGTGAAGATTTCGTCGTTTGTTAATTTCCTCAGTCTGCCGGGGCAGAGTGGCGATGGAGGTGAGCCCTCTGCAGCAGTTGATGGAGATGGTGTGAATCTCTCATTGAGTCGATCTCCCCCAATGACACAATGCGCCAAGCTTGCTGAGCCGCAAGACGTACTAACAAACAGTGTGAGAGATATCTATCTGGTAAGTAAAGTAATTCCGCTCATGTTACGGAAACTTTCATGTATTGACAGTTTCAACAGGATGCAGTTGATATCGAGGCTGCGATATCCAGTAGCCTGGATGTTGGAGTGTTTGGTTCCGGGTCATTGATTCCACAGGCTGAAGCTGTAGTGGTCATTGAACTTATTGTGCGGGAGTTGGAAGCGGCTGTTTAGTACTCTATCCAGTTATAACAACATGGCATTTTTCTTCAATATTACGCTGGCACTACACTGGGATGAAAGTGGAACAGTGCCTGATTCCATGGGATGACAGGCCCCTTAGTTAGAGTTATTTTACCATCGAGGTCAAGTGTCGCTATTAGTCTACTGGTTTCTATATTGGAGATGGAATCCGTGTTTCTAATAGGGTTCCACATGAGAAAGGGTAGACGGGCTAGAGATCTTGGGGATAGGCCGTTGCTAAGGGTTTGGTGCTCAGGTTCCATCCACCATCAGTGGACTAGCTGTAGTAAATGTAACGAAACCTCTAATAGTCTAGCTGCGTAAACCACTAAAGAGTCTGTAAGGGTTTGTGCTAGTAAGTAAGTCCTGCTGCGGAGTCCTCAAGCAATAATATCGGGGTTTGACGTATGGAGTATAGGGCTCTGGGTAACTGAAGTATTCAAGTAGGGTAACTGGGAATTGAGTCTTCAAGGCAGTTTACCTCACCAATGGGTTAGATTGATGCTTAGATTGATCACTGAAGTAGAGACTGTCTATCTATGAAATGTGTTAGGCAACTTTGGTGGGCTTTGCCAAGACCACCAAGGTTACCACGTGACTTAGCCCTTCGGGACTAAGTCCAACCTTCGTGCTCCATAGGACTAGATAGAATGTCATGCTTTTACAACCTCACAAACTTTCAAACCTCTGCGTGTAACAAAATGCCTGGGAGTCCTGTCCCTTATATACCCATATCTCCTTCACTGATCCCCACTTGGATGTGTTGGTTGTCCAACATATCCACCCCTGTAGGTCACGTGACCTATCGGTCCTTTCCTTCCTCCGATGCGGGGTTCCGTGATCCTAGCGTCTGTATCCACCTGGCCTGCCGACGGGCCTGTAATGTTGGTTCAGGGCCAACGGTTCGTAACACCAATGCAGCTTTCCCTCCCAACACATATACTATAAACCCCCCACCCCCCATTCGCACACGCATCATGGTTCCTCCGTGGCACTTGCCCTCTCAGACGACTTCTGGAAGAATAGTTGGAATTTTTTGTGGGAATCTGCGGGCATGGCTTTCTCGTCTACCATGCTTCGCTACGCGATGCTTTCCTGCGGCTTATAAGCTGAGCTTAGTGTCTTCCTGGGCTGGGGCCCATAATCCGCAACAGTGTGGGTGCGGTCCTCAACACCAATGGCGTGATTTCATGCCCGCCGAGCATTGTCCTGAGCTGCGTTGATGCTTCAAGGCCTATTCTCACTTGGACGCAGATCTCAAGTGCCTGGCCGCATCGCTGTGGCGCTGGACTCTGGAGCTGCTACAAACCCCTGCGGCTCGTTTCCATTTCCAACCGCGTAGCAACCTGCAGATAGGCCAGAGTCGCCTGAAGGCCATCATCACCAGAATTAGTTGCTGAGCTAGTCCGGGATGCGCGAGCTCCGATTTTAGCTGCTGCTACATAGAGAAGTTGGGGGAATGTAAGCTTGTCGGTGACTGGCTGGGTAAGATCAATCCTGGAGTGAAACAAGATGGCAAGAATATGCAGCCGAAAGGCGCGAATGCGACAATTATATCGTATGGAGTTCTAGTGAAAGGAGGCATTGAAGTCTGGGGACTCGTCAGGATTCTGCTTCCAAGCCGAATCATAGTCGACTGGCAACGGGTATCCTTGCATAGTATTCTCAAACTAGCAAAACACGTACATATGGATCCGCACACGCTTTTCTCTAATTCGATGGGCGAGCTACGCACAATTATTAATAGGACGACTCCCTATCGGCCCAACGTCGTACTTGCGTCACCTTAGATAACCTGGACATATTAGCCGGCGGTCCCAATCATCTCATTTTCCAAGCACGATTCAGGCAAACGAAGTGGAATCCTTCCAATTGGCCATGACACAATCCGTTGCGCTTATCACGTTAGATGTCGAGCTACCATCCCCTATGAAGGCCCTATTCTGGAAGGAATGACTTCCAACTCATTTAGGCAGCCGGAATGCTGCGATAATCGACCAATTAGTCACTGTATCTCGCAACCTGTTCCAACTGTAGTTTTTCCCATTGTGCGATACCCCCGACTTACTTGTTCCGGCCAATGGACATCGTCGGCCTCGAAATCACTATCTTGACAATATTAACGAAGCTTATCCAAGCTTTGACCTTCCGTGACGATTCCTTGGCTTTAGCCACATCCGGAATGCTGCCCGAGCGACTCGGCAGCTTGGCAATCTTGGCAGAGATAACGGGATAGGGTATGTCTTGTTTTTCAGCAGGGGAGCTGGTTGGCAGTCAGTGCCGCCAAGGGCTGGGAAATACTATCAACCATCTAACTGTTGCAACGAGGTATCGTGCAGCTACTAGCAGTTATTGCACGGAAAAGGCAGCTACCCTGCCGGTATGCAACATGGAACATGATTTATCGCCAGATAGGCTCCGAAGCACCCCACCCCGGCAGTGCCCAGACTTCGGATATTGCAAAGCTGCGTACAGTAGACGGTTCCGAGGAGCTGGGTCCTGGGATCGCAGTAAGTTTCATATAGCTGCGAAGTCTTATCGCCAAGGTGTGAACATTCGATCCCTGGCCAGTGCTGACGGCGATGTAACGTGAGAGGCGATATAAGGTTGACTACTTAATTGATGCTCGGCGTCCTTCCTGCGCGACTCGTGTCTGTTGTCGCACGTCAAACCCTCCCGGCCCGTTTCATAACGTATCTGGGAATCGTCTAAAGACCTGAGGGTTGTCTCGTAGTTCGTCAAGAGCATCACTTCAGCTTCGGAAAGAGCTAGTAGTCATCATCATGGCCGGTATGTCTCTTCCCACATGATGTTGCGTGGACCAACACCTTAAAACTGGAATGTATACTGACCATGCTGCCTTAGACACGGCTTCCGCTATCGCAACTGTGCCGGCTTCGGTCGGCAATGTGGGCGACAAACACCGGCAGTCATATGACGAAACAGCTGCCAAGGCCATCGCGGCGGCCGATTTGCAATCGTTTCAGCCGAGTGGTGAGGATGAACATGCCAACTTCCATGGGCTCGTGTTGCCCACCGAGGAAGAGCGTAACACGCTTCGTCGCGTGGCGGGCAAGATGCCTGCTTCCTGCTACTACCTCTGCGCCGTCGAGTTCGCCGAGCGAGCGTCCTACTATGGTTGCAACCAGGTTTACAAGAACTTCATCCGCGCGCCGCTGCCCCCTGACGGCAACGGGTCGGGCGCCACCAAGCCTGGCTCGGAGTACACGGCTGGTGCGCTCGGCCGTGGAGCCGTCACGGCGACGGCCATGACCGAGGCTTTCAAGTTTCTGGCGTATGCATTGCCCGTGTACTTTGGCTGGCTCGCCGATACCAAGTACGGACGGTTCAAGATGATCTGCTGGGGCGTGGCCGTCTGCGGTGTGGCTCACATCATCATGATCATCTCTGCTATCCCCTCGGTTCTCATGTCGGGCAACGCCATCGGCCCCTTTGCGCTGTCGCTGTACATGCTGTCCATTGGCGCCGCCCAGTTCAAGCCCAACATTTCGCCCACCATTATGGACCAGTCGCCCCACAAGGTCGCCCACGTTGTGACCGAGGCGAACGGCGAGAAGGTCATCGTCGACCCCGAGGAATCCATCAACTCCGTCATGTTGTGGTTCTACCTCCTCATCAATATTGGCGCCTGCACTGGCATTGCCACCTCCTACCTCGCCAAGCTGGTTGGCTACTGGGCTGCCTACCTGATCCCGACGATATTGTGTACGTAACTTCGAGACTTTATTCCTTCGCCTTTTCGGTCTATCTCCAAGCAAAAGGTGTCTGAGCTCTTTTTGCTCGTGAGATGCGACTTAGCATGGCCAAGTTATCACTTGGATATCCGTAAATGACCAATACTGACTCACGTTGTTGCAGATTTGTTACTGCCCCCTCTACTGTGGTTCCTCAACCCGCGCCTGGTGAAGCAGCCGCCCGGTGGCTCCGATCTCGGCAATGTCTTCAAGGTACTGGGCGACATCTTTGCGCACGGCGGGCTAAAGAAAATCGGACGTGAGGGGTTTTGGGAGCTTGGTCTGCCCAGTGTTCGCAAGGCCGCCGGTAGCACCAAGACCTATAATTACGATGATCAGTTCGTCGATGACGTACGCCGTACATTCCAGGCCTGTGGTATCTTCATGTTCCAGCCCATTTTCAACATTAATGACGGTGGCTTGGGCGCAGCAGCCAATGCGTTGACGGCGGGTATGAAGAACGAGGGGCTGCCCAACGATTTGCTCGACAACTTGAACTCTGTCTCTATCGTCGTCAGTAAGTCAAACCGTTCACTTTGGCTTCGAGCGTACCGAATATTGTGAGCGATGCCACTAACAACCGATGCAGTGGTCCCTTTCATGAACCACATCATGTACCCTTTCCTGCGCAAGATGGGCATCAAATGGGGCCCCATCTCTCGCATGACCTTCGGTTTCGCACTGTGTACCATCGGTTCCATTGGCTACTCGGTGCTGCAGTACAAGGTCTACCAGACGTCACCCTGCGGCTACAACGCCACGACGTGCGCCGAAATCGTGCCCGAGGGCTCGCCGTCCCTGTCTACCGTCAGCATTAGTCTCTACTCCATCCCCGTCATCCTCACCGCCATCGCCGAAATCTTCGTCAACGTCACTGCCTACGGCATTGCCTACTCACGTTCACCCAAGAACATGAAGGGTCTCGTCGCTTCCATCAACCTCTTCACCACTGCCATTTCTGCCGCCATCGGTCTCGCCTGCAGTAACGCTATCCAGGACCCCTACCTAGTGTGGGTCTTTGGTGGTTGCACCATTGCGGGCGCGGTGCTCTGCGTCATCTTCTATTTCACCTTCAGACACATCGATCAGGAAGAGTTCGTCATCAACACCGACTTCTCTGACATGAAGCGGGATTCGGATGCTGAGAGCGACCTGGGCCACAGCGACAAGAAAGTTCTGGCCGATGAGAAGAAAATTCCATCGAAGAATTCTATCGAGAAGTCATATTCGGTCATGCGTAGAGGTGGATGAGATATGATAGGGATGTTGTTATGCTTGCTTTGTTGCTGATACCCGAAAATCCGCTCTTTCGTGAGTCATAATTGTTTCGTGTAAATGTATGTACTTAATTACGTAGAAGTAGTCAATCGTCGAGCAATTTGACCCCCCAGTGCTTGAAGTTTTTCCATTCAGTGTATTTCTCGTGTCATGAGTGCGGCGTAGCTTCTGTGACTGAGGATGTCACACGGGCTAGCCAGACAGTTGAGGACGCGCCGAAGCCCAACGTACTGACGACCCGGTAGTGCGAGTTGAAGACTTGGTCGAGTAATCGGCTAGTATCGCGCTGCTTTGTAGCCAGGGTTGTTTACTCTTCGATCTTCCGAGCCGGGTCGATGCGTTGAAAGTCGGGACTGGTGAATGACCAGAGGACCGGGGCGAGATGTCGGCGTAGCCGTCCAGAGGCACACCGGAGGAGAGAAGACATCGTGGTTAATGTGTTTCATGTGTCAAGTCGAAGTTTGGGTACACCATCAAGCCAGATAGACCGGGCCAGTTCAAACAATGTCCACCGCTCCACCATAGAGGTAACACTTTAACATTTCAGCTTTGCCATACCTAAGCGGCTTTGCGTGACTAAGTTATGATTTTATGGATTTAATTTTTGTCTCCCCGAGCCGTCAGATTCTCCGTGCATTGGACGTAATTGAAGCACAAGACTACCATGATGCGTGTATGTAGGATTCTAAGACAGTGTTGATGGTGACGAGGATGACGAGGATGACGAAGATGATGAAGATCTTGGGTGGCATATAAGCAAGTCGCTAATACGGTTCCTTCATATAAACCGAATCCTGATCTGTAACGTATAAACTTGCGTCAACAAGGCATTACCTTAACTCTTTGCTTCTTGTTTTCTTAGCACGCCGATTTTCGGGCTCGGTAGGTGTAGTATTTGCCGCTCGCATCACAGCATAGTCTTTCACAGCGGCTACGTAGAATAAATGGCTGAATAAGAAAATCAAGGTCATATATCATGGATAAAGCTGACGGAATGCAAATATGCCTGCACTCAAATACATAATTCGTGCCTGGGCGACTTGTACGCCTCTATATCTGCGGCCACACTTGCCCATAGATTTATATGAAGGCCAAAAAAGATGGTTTTTTCCTTCTTTCTATAATAGTTACTTCTAGTTTGAGGCGGGGTTTTTGTAGCCCTACACTTGGCCGTACCTGCCCATCTCCCATACCTGGTTTCGAAATAGAACTTAGTTATGTTTAGCGCCTCTTTAGCGCATTGAGTTAGCGACTAAGCCTCTATCCTACATCGTCCTCTGTAACTTAGAGCCATCAAGCTAAAATACGAGAGCTCTGGTCGAATTCATTTGACAAAGCATCTGACTCCAGCTCCAGGTGCCATTCCTATACTTCCTCACAATCCCGTCGACCATCATAGTTGTGACTTGCCTAAATGACCTCAAGCCACACGCCCATGATGTAGATTTCCACGAAGGCCACTCATTTACTACCTGTCGAGGCCACGGCTTTGCGAAGAATACAATCAAGTTCGAAGGCTATTTGGCACAAACTATGAGAAGCCGATTATGTAGTGAGTTTAGTGGTGGGGTGCAATTACTAATACCCGGCCAGTATAGATAGATGCGGAGGTAGTTAGGCTGCACAAAATCAATAATCTGGGGTGGCACACAAACCGTCTGTATAAAATTTGCTTTATAAGAATAGGAGGCTCTAAATCCATATCTACGTCAAATTAACTGGCTATATAAGTCTGGTAGATGGCAGCTAGCCAGTCTAGACATGTGGGCATGCACGGCTGGGGTGAGACGGTATCACTTCTTTACAAGACATTAGACCATTGCTGATCATAATGTGGAGCCTGTGAGGAGTATTTGAAACCATGGAACCTGCAATATATCAATACCATGAAGGGAGTTTACATCTAACACGGAAGATTACTGCACATGAGGTAACCAAGGCGGGCGATGCGAGGATGAAGCAGCAGACCCAAGTACAAGGAACAGTCGCACTGGACGTACATATCTCCCATCAGAGATGTTGGACAAGGGACGTCACTCAATCATTCACGAACTAAGGAGATAAGTGATGTGTTTGTACCTCGCAGGCAAGTTTTTGAAGTCTCCCTAGGAAGAAAAAATGAATATACAGGAATAGCACCAGTTCTACACGACTGCTCGCTCGAACCAAGTGGATCAAGAATCAAATGCGAGCTGTCCCACTCCAAGGGAGAAGCTCCTCCTCCTCTATCACCCCACAACTATCGCTTATTGCTGACCACCGAAAGATCCAGTGGGCTGGGGACCAGCCTGGGTGCCAGAGGGGGCACCGGAGTGCTGGCCACCCTTGCCGCCCTGGGGAGCACCGCTGGGGAAAGAGCCACCGTTACCGCCCTGGGGGAAGCCGCTGGCGCTGGGGGAAGCACTACCAAAACCACCGCTGGGGGCGCCCGAGGGAGCGCCGTTGCTTGACCCTTCACTGCCAAAGCTATCAGCGCCGAAGTTGCCTATGATAAATTGAGTCAGTGACTGTTCCCTTTAATGAGGATCGACGGATATTACATACCAGTGGGTTTAGCACCAGAGGCAGTGCCCGATGGGAAGCCGGAGGGGGCGCCACTCGCGCCGCCATGGCCACCGTGGTGGCCGCCGAAGCCACCAGTTGGGCGAGATCCACCTTGAGTACCAGAGGGGAAGCCACCCTGAGTTCCCGAAGGATATCCAGACTCCTGGCGCTTGGCGAAGGCCTGGCCAGTCGGTTCAGGGCCACCAGCGGAGCCAGTGGGGGCGGGGAAACCCGAGCCGGAGGGGAAACCAGAGGGAACACCGGAGGGGAAACCGGAAGGCACACCACTGGGGCGGTGGCCACCGTGTTGACCTCCAGTAGGGTGAGGGAACTCAGAACCTTGGGGGAATCCAGAAGGTCCTCCGTGTCCGTGTCCACCAAACCCACCGAATCCACCAGTGGGGAATCCGGAGCCGGAGGAAGGAGGCCCGGAGAAGACACCGGACGGCTTGCCCTTGCCATCAGCTCCGGAAGGACGGACCATGGTGGCGAGGGTGGTCGGGATATCCTGGGCAATGACCAAAGGAGAGGCTCCGAGGAGGAGGGAGAGGGTGAAAAAGTTGGCCTTCATTTTGATGGTAGGATGTTTGAATGGAGAGCTGTATAGGTGCTTGAGACAGATAAAAGGGATCTAATCGCCTGCGTGATGATGTGAATGAAAGTATTCAGCAAGCTGAAAAGTCTCTGACTTGTAATGTGTACAAGAAATGTAAAGAATGTGAAGAGAGTGAAGGTGAGAGGCTCAATTGCTTGATGGAGAGAAAAAGACTATTGAGGCCAGTCGGGAGAGCAACTGGCACTTATATAGAGATGTCGTCCATGGACCAGGCCGACTTGATGATCCCACCTTAGAACCATCTGGCAATACCGGTTCGACCTCCATAGCACCATGACATTTTCCCGTAGCGTACCCAGCAGGTCCAGCAAACGGAGTTTGACATGAAGCTAGTTCCTGGCATGGCTTTGGCCAACGGGTATTTCTGGAGTTGCCGGCTAGAGATAGATGAATGGTATCCTCTGCTGACGAGTCCTCCTGGAATAAAGACCCATGTCTTGACGGGTTGTTTTGTTTGCCAGTGCTCCCAGCCCATCTGACCCGGTAAGCCAAGTGATTGGTGAAGCGCACAGTTCACTCGCGTTTTCGGTAGATCCTGGGTATAGAGCTTGCCGCTAATGACTGCAGACGTGGGTGTTGACGGCTGGAACCCCACCGGGCCAGATGTCGTCGTAAGCTGCAGCGCCTCGAATTTGAGGCTGCGAGTGATGTGGGTAGTGCATCGGCGCTTAGTGCCCGGTTTGGGGCGTCGCTCGACCCACTTATTGTTTGTTCTCTGCTCATAAGTCTATTATTGATAGTTGTTTCAAACTTGCGTTGTTTCAACTTAAGTACGCAACACCATGGATGGCTCAGCGAATTTGACTTTTGGACGCCACCAACTCCCCAGCCCCGGAAGCTCCCTCCACAATCAGACCAGTGCAGGCATCTGTGTCGACGGAATCACGTTGCGCTGCGTCGAGCACAATGTGATTGTGGATCGCAGCCGGTATTGGTGACAACTTCGATGAACATGTCGTGCTATTCGTCATTGTTGATGTCGGCTTTGCTAAAGACGGATCGACAGCCCCTCCTCAGCTAAAGAGGCCAGCAGACAGAAACTCCAGATATACACAACGGGAACAAGATGCCATCCTGCAAGGCCCCGTCTTCCGTGACGCGACGCCGCGGTCACGCTACGTATCCTATTCAATTGGTTCTTGAGTTCAACATGGGCTGAAGTACAAGTGCATTGCAGATCCCCGTGGCTCTACTGGTAGCCCAAGGACGTCGAAAATTGTGAGCTGTCTACTGTCGAAACTTCGGTCGAGCGGCGCATATAGCTTATAGCTTGCAGCTTCGTTGAACGACCTGATCAGCCGGCAACTGCAAGACGGATCCCCAGCGGCAATAAGCGCATACACAATTGAAGACGATCCCCGAAAATGGCAGCCGCAACAGGTATGACCCCGGACCTCTGAATTTGCCATGAGTTTAGAGGTGTGGAATCCCCGAGACTTCCTCGAGGTCGTTTCCTGGTAGATGCTTGCCGGGGGCCCAAGCTCTTTGAGCCAAGCAAATTGCTTGCGAAGCCGCCCGCGCTCGTTCCTCCAACTCCCCTACCTCACAACTCAAGCAACTCGACTGGCCGCTGATTGTCAACGAAATTGACAAACTGAGCAGAACGTTTTCCACCCAGCCAAACCCACTCGGCGCGTTTCATGGTGCGGCTGAGTAATTGTGCTGCGACTCGCCGATTCTAAGCTGGCTGCTGAAAGCTTGATCCGCCTCCTGGAATCTCGCCTCCGACGCCTGCAACACAGCTCGCCAAATGCGTCATGGGCTCCCTCTCGAGCTCTGGCACGCCAGATACGGCATGTTTCTCACAGAAATAGCCATGAAATCGCCATGATCTACAACACTGTTGTCGCCGTATAACGGCAAACCGCGAGGACGATCGACATGTTCGGCTATATGCCAAATCATGCTCACGAGGACTGCATCTCCAGTCTCTCTACTTCGCGCCCCGCCAGAATCTACAGCGCTCTACGGCACGAGGAATCAAACTAGATCCCTGCAAGTCCCGTTTGGTGGAAGTCATGGCCTACCTACAGTGACGCACTGCCCAAAGACGCGTCACGGCTTGCTCGCTCTTTGCAATTGCTCTGGAAGTCTAGGCGACCGCGACCGACACGGTTCCAATGAGCAGCCTCTTTGGTGGTGCGGATGCGTCAGAGCCCTCTGGTCCATCGACTTTGGCATGGGCATCAATCAAAACCGTCGGAAATGGCGATGGGTTCTATTACCTAGCCTGCTTCACCAACCCACTGACGCCACAGCCTCGGAAGCTCATCAACGCGACTGGTCAATTTGTGCCCTCGATGGGTAAAGGAAAATGATGATCGCACCGGCTCAGAACGACAGCCTGGTGGCGGTTGCTCGATCTCAAAGCATTTGTTTTCATTTACGGACCTGCAGACCCCCAGAGAGTGTACAAACCAACCCACGAAGCCTTGAAAACAGCTTGTAATCCACCCCTCAAGGTAGCCTCAAAATACACTCGGAAGATCCAGACTACGCGACTCATCATGGGCAGCGGTCATGGGTGCACAGCAGGCCACTGCTTGCTCGTGGAGATTTCCATGCACCTTGATTATGTCCAACACTCTGGAAACCAAGATTTGGGCGGAGCAAACTGTTCGACACCCTGGAGACGTCTTCACAAAACGTATCATGGAGGAGCATGGCTGAGAAAGCAGCCAGGATTCACCAGTGAAGTCAAGCCAGCGCTCGTGTAGCCACGGCGACGATGATATGCCGGAACAACTTCACCCTGTCCCTAGCTCCCTCTAAAAAGCTGGCTTCGAGTCACGCTCATATAATACCTGTAAGCTATAAAGTGGTGAAGCGACTGGCCCAAGTCTGCCGCTGCAAAGAAACAAAAACATTGAATGGTCTAATGTCACTTTGACTGAAGACTTGTGACACCAGCCGGGGGACAGGAACTTGTCGTTTCGCGCGGTCGACGCATCGTACTGAGATGAATGAGACGGTCTTGATTCGTACCTATTGAAATTGTATCTAGAAGATCGGACCGTGGCTGCGCCTGGCGCCTGCAACGTGCATACCGACTGATGACAACAGGGAAAAGCTATGGCCCGAGACCGGTAGGCCCCGGAATCACTTCGAGATGATCTAGAATTCTTGAGTCTGTTGACAAGTCTGTCCTGCCACGACAATCGAAAGGCATCGAATCTCCCATCCCCAGTTCCGACGCTGCACAAGCTCAAGCGTGCGAAGCGGCGTCACCGGAGCAAAGTCACTGGCACAAGGCCGTTGTGGGACAGAGTGGCCAGATGCACATGTGACTAGAAGATCAATCTGCAGGTCCTGTTTAACGTAGCTTCGACGGTGACAATACTTCCCGGCCCTCGAGAGTTACGCCGGGGACTCCCGCATTCTTCAGTGAAGTTAGCCTAGCGGTGCCGTTCGTTGACGGGAAAGCTACTCAATCATCCGACGCCATCGCCATATGAAGCAAGCGACGGATCCTCCAAAAGATCCCCACAGACTGCACTGAGCGGCACATCGAGGTTGTCGAGTTCAATGCGTGCGCCCGTTGGGAAATCACTGCTCTGCGCTGCTTGCACGAGACTGCGGCTTCCACCACCTTGGATTCGCGATAGTCACGATGATGCGCAGGTTCGCTCGTATCCAGTTGCGCGTCAAGTTCGCGTCCAACCATCATTCGGCATTGGGGCGATGCTATTTTGCCCAAATAGGATGGGCCCGAGGCCTTCGGTCATTGGGCCGGACACCACGCTCTGTGATACCTCGGGAAGACTAGTGCATCCCCAAAATAACGCCTTTACAGTTTCACCTGCGGGAGCGCGACAAGCGACGATTGGACGTTCGGATGGCAGGTTGACAGCAAAGCCAGACGCCGCGCCCAGATGCTACTCTGTCGATGGCTTGTGGCAACACAACCTTCAAGCGCGTGGAGTCATCCAGCTTCTCTTGAGCTCGAGCTGGCTAACTGGCTGGCAACACAGGACGAGACAAAACATGTGAAGAGAGAGACGAGTGCCCCTGCAACAGAGGCGATAGCTGAAAATAACGATAGCACAAGTTGAGCAGATGACAAGTGCCGTTGCCTCACACAGAAATTGATCGGCAGCGGTGCTTGTCTGCTTGTAATTCTATATTTCTCTCCCATATCCATCGCGGCTCCTTATCCTGTCTTCCGATTCCAAGATCGATTTGCTTTCCCCTCGTTCTTGTTCGACGGGCTTTTCATCGCCAAGTGGACCCGGGCGTCGCCAAGCATCAATAATTGTCCAAATCGACATCGGCCGAAGCGCAAATCCACCAATTCCAGCCAGTGGCAGCATACTTCTACATAGTAGACGCGCACTGATCGGCAAGGGCCAGGGTTAGTTGCAGTCTTGGGACGGTGGCCACGAGGGATCGCCTTTCTATAACAAAACGAATATCGACCAAGCATTCGCGAAACTCACAGCGGAAGCCTCATATCCCATCTCTTTCTCTACGTCACCCTCATCACTTTCTTCGGTGCCTTGAGCACTACTACCGTTATTACCACCGCGCAAAGCCGTTAGGAGGCCGTCACGATCATTTTACGTCCGTAGCGCAATTTCCAGACAACGACCCCTTCCAGTTCCATATTGAAATCACTAACAACGTGGGGTTCCGATTTTGGTGAGCGGGGTCACGACAACTGTATCTCGGCTCTGGATTAGGACAAGCGAAACGAGCGAACGACAGACCGCCTTTCACTCAACAAAATATCCAGTCACAACGATTGCTGGTTCCACCTGGTCACTGTGAGATGTATAGTCAGTAAAGTACACCGACACATTGCAGACCTCGAACGATTTGAGAGACACTGTATTGGGATCCTCAAATTTACACTGCAATTCAGGTCGCAATTCAGGTCGCAATTCAGGTCGAGGGCTATATGTTCATCTGAACTGGGGATATTATTGGAACCTCACGGTCAACGACGCTACTCCTGCAGGACGATACCGTCCGCATACATGAGCCTGCATTTGCGACAAAATCTTCAGCTGGTCCACCAAGTACTATTCTCATAGTCACAAGTTGCGAACCCGGCGGCATTGACCGCCTGCCGATAGTCAATACTTCTTCTGTATCCACCTTGGACTGTTCTCGCGGGTTTCTGGAAATTGGCATTTGGCTTTACACACATCATTTCTTCATCTAGGAACCTGGAACTCAGACCGCAACTTGGCTGGCGCTGCACTGTCATTGGAGGCCGTCCATCCCTTCACCGCAGCAACGGTCTTTGTTCACGAGACTCTTATGGTCATCCAGCGAAACTACATTTAGACCACTTCGACCCCAGAGTCTCGTCCGAATTTCGATTCTTTGCCAAGGGCCTGGAAGCTCTCGAAACCTTCTTTTCTCTCGAGGAGTCCTTTCCGCCGGGCCGTTTCAGGTAGCGAGGCCAGATACTAGTTTCCCAACATGTCTTTCCTCTCACCTCGCACAAATCTCCATCGATCGGGCTCGACCGCGAGTGTAGCCGCTTCGGACACAACGTATCACAGCTTCCACGACATTGAGCTGTACGAGCCTGCTCCACGGCCCGTCCGCGTCAAGTCCCCGTTGCGCCACGACACTCCATTTGCGCCGGTGCCAATGCGCCGGCAGGACTCGGGCTATGAGTCTACCCCCTCGGATTCCAAATCGGCCAGCTCCGGGACCTCTCGCGAGTCCCACCGTAGGGTATCCCTCACATCGAGTCCCTCTCCACATACCCGGCCTCAAACACGACCGTCCATACATCGAGCCACCAGATCAACACCAACCACCCATACTACTGGCAACGACAGCCGACAGTCCGTGCTACGAGCCGCATCGTATCAATATCAGCAAACAAGCGGGTTCTTCCATTTTCCCAGCCCAGAGACATTGAGCGAGGATGAAGGCATCGAGGACGTGGAGCTTGCCTACCCCCCACCACCTCAGACAACACACTACTGGACAAGCGACCACACAAGGAAGTTGGAATACGCCGCCATCGACGCCGCGAGCCGCGGCGTCAAGGGGTGGATACTTCGACACATAGTGCCGGACTGCATCGTCCCTAAGTCCACCCGGCGCGTTGCCTTTGATGATGACACGGGCAGTGTGCGGCGATACCGACTGGAACTCGAGTGCGAGGACTCAGGAAAGGACTGCGGTCGGGGCGGCAAGAAGATGGGCTGGCTCTTTGGGCGATGATTGACGGCCGACAGATCGGAAGCATTGATTGATGATGAGCGTTGAACTTGCGTTGCATGCCGCATGGATCCAGGCGTTCTATACCCCCCCTTTTTCGAATTTCTTTTTATTGGAGTATATGATGTATTGTGCTTGGGGTTCAGCCAAGCTCTGCGCATATACAAAGGACGCACATGTGGTAGCACATGGAGAAGAGACAAAGAAATAATTGTTAATATTGGTTTGCTTTCTCTTTTGTTGGATTGGGATGGATCTGGATGGGAAAATTGGCAATACCACAACAGCGGTGGATGTTATTGGTATAGTCAAGCAAGCGGAGCTATTGGGGGAGTTCAGACATACTTAGACAGCGATATCTGAGATGGCAACATGTAATTTTAAATGTTGGTGGCTTTATGAATAGATTGAGAAAGCAGTATAGATTTGAATCATTCGAATGCTTTGTCTTGACATTTCTGCTAAGTTTGGGCAAATTGCACTCAATAGTCCACGATGTCGGGGCACACTCTACATGGTCTCCTCGCACCCTTAACCCGTCGCTCCGGGCTGTATCCGAATATATGCCGTCGACAACTGCCCGCCTTGCCGACACCAAGTGTAAAAATTGATTACCAAGTGGTTTCGATGATGTAAAGCACGATTGCCTTGACCCTTGAATGATGAATGGCTCAGCCGATGCTTTCTCTACGGTGCACTACATCAAACCAAAGCCAGGGACTCAATACTGCACAAGTTTGTTGGAGCTAACTTCGGCAACGGCTTCGAGGGCTGGAGTTGCTTAGCAGTCTCACTGTAGGATAAGAATAGGATTCATATCAGTTTCTACCATTTTTGAAAAATGAATCATTGGTGTTAAGATATTCGCATGAGTCATACCCAACACACCAATTGATCACTTACAAGGCGGTCGCTGGTTAGTGCATGTCCCCCACAGGATCATGTTTGTAACCTATCTAAGTAGTTGTGACGAAAAAGTAGATTTTGAGCCTGTGGGTAGGGTCCAGATAACAAATAAGTCATATTGAATAGTATAATGATCTGGGGAATAAATGGACGCAGAATCGGAGGAAGGCTTGCATGTGATATTGGATCGTTATCATCCTACTATATTAACACTCCACCGGCTCTCGTGTAGCTAGTCGACCGCTAAAACCGGAGGGTAACCCGCCTCCCTTTTGCTTTGAAACACCATATACTTCAGTATAATAGTTCTACATCATAGGAATCTCTGTCAATATTCAATTTGAACAATTAGATGGATAGTGTGGGATCACACTGGTACTGGCATTCCGGCTACATACGAAGGTGAAGAAGGGAGTACAGGTGTGTGTGGGGGGGATGGAGGGGCGTGAGGGGGAGATGGGGAGAATCCGCACAAGGGCACTAAAATATCCCACGTATCTCAAGTGTACCTCACCATGACCCAGACCACCGATTCCACAGATAGGTTTGAATGCTACCAAGTCTTAGCCGCTATTGTAATAACAAAAGCCCCTAAAACTACCTGTCCTGATCCAGGAATCCCCGAGGTCATCGTCTCAATTTCCCATCTTAGAGAGACTACGGAGAAGGCTTAGAGAGGAAACTAACTTAGAATGTCACATGGATTGTTCTTGCAATTACGATATGGCTTTCGTCGTTATATCTGTTGTTTCCGTACAAGTGGAATCAGTCTTGTAATAAAAACAGTGACAGGGCACAACTGTTTGCAAGTCTGAGAGAAGGCAACGCCTAGGGCAACTGCGTAATACAAGTACTGTCTGCACTTCTTATCCTACAATCAGTCACCCATGAGTCAACAGGCATCATCTGAACTTAACTAGGTTACATTCTTCGACCGCAAAGCTCGCGTATCATGGGTAAATCATCGTAAGAATTTCCAGCGCCTTCACTCTCCTAATACTACGCATAGATCATGGAGACCTTGACTGATACCGTGAGATAATGCTCAAAGCGATTTGTCTGTCGTTCCATGAAACTGAGTCAGGACTTTAATAACTGAAGAAGATGAACTTGGCATATGATTGATCGATTTCTACTGGCAATGTCGATAGCAGCTCACAACGTACACTTATCGGGAAGCCATAGCCACCGCTCTATCCCGCCCTTCTAAGATGTGTACGTCATTGCGCGTGGTTACCAAACCCCAATATAAAAGTGTCATCACGAACGTTTCAACCGGATTTATATCACATATCCCCTTTGAATAAGTCTGCCCACCTACAGAACAGAGAGAGCTAAACTCCCTTCCCAGGCGGTGAGCTAAGCATACAGTAAGTGACAGGACGTCCCAATTGGCAACATGTTCCACATATCAGGCGGCTTGCTACTGGTCAAAACATACAGCAGTCTGGCTGAAGTTTTCATAAGTCCTTGATGATTGGCAATGGTTAATCCAACAGCGCCCGCGAAGTGCGCACACGGAAGCCTCAGACGGGGAGCAACGTGGGAGCTCGGCCACTCAACCAACCCAGAACACAGTTAATGCACGGAGTGATATCGATGGATTTTTCAGTCAAAGACCTTATGATTCTGGTATTACTTTGAGTGCTTTAACTCGGTGAAAACGACGTGTGCTCTCTAGGTCGTGACGACTTGTAGCTGCAAATATGGTATTCACTGGGGGTGATATTGCTGCGCGATGTGATTTCAGGGGAAACGGATGCGCTTACCCCCGGCCGAATGGGTGGAGACTGCTTATTTTGTGTAGACACTTGACTGGCTGGTAATACCAATATTAAGAAGAAATTTTTCAACAATCAATACATATCAAGTACACCATGTCATAAGCAACTTTGGTCTAATGGTTAGGATCCAAGCCTTCCAAGCTTGGGGTCGGGGTTCGATTCCCCGGAGTTGCAATTATCATCTTTTCTTTTGCCTGCTCAATATTCGACTCATGAATGTACGACTCTCCGTACCCACCCTTCCAACTACGCTGGTGGTTATGATTGAAATGTTTTACCAGGTGCAGCGTCCCGCTAACGATCCTGATCCACAAAGTACCGTTCGCGTACGGTGGCATGATCACGAATGTCTTCAAAAATCAAGGCAGATGCATAAAGTGCTGCCGGTTGGTTTACCCAAACGGTGGTTGACTGCAGAAGGGTGGCTACTTTGATGGCAACCATGAACCTCCTGATAGAAGTTATGAGCCTCAAACGCGCTTCAAGTCGATGAATTTGCCCTAAGGTTGAATTGGACTTTTCGCGTAAATGCATTGAGTGCCCAACGTTGGAAGGCAATCTAATGACGTCATGGGAAGAATCTTCTCAGAGATCGTCGTTGCCACGACCGGACTTTTTGCAAGTTCGATTAACTGAGAGTGACCACTACCATCGCCCATTCGCAAAAGCCGAGTAAAGCCGACCGACAATGCGTCTTGTGCACCTCCTGCAGAGTGTAACTCTTCGCGGCAGAGATTACCGGCCACTCACGTGACATTTTGTGTGTGTCTCATGTCTAGAGTCCGAGAGCTTGCGGTTGCATATCAGCGGATCACTGCTCCCGTATTACCTTACTTTACACAGTGCCCGGCTAGCCCGGTAGCCGCAATACTTCTCGTCCTTCTTTTTTTGTTCTTCTTTGTTCATTGCCACCCAAGATGCTGCCGTCGCCGTCGGGCAGCCTGCCGACCCCGTCCATGGGAGGACCAAGTGCAGCAGGAGCAGGAGCTGGACTGGGAGGCTCAGCAGTAACAACAGGAGGAGGAGCCGGGACAAAGCGTCCGGCTGCATCCGAGCTGCAGCGAAGTGCCGGCTCGGGCGCCACGCCGTCCAAGAGACATGCCACCAAGTCGTCAGCCGGTTCTGCTGTTGGTGCTATGTCTATGTCGGCTGCCGGCACATCATCGCAAGGGGGCCCGGTGCAGATGCCTCAATCGATATCACAACCGATACTCATGCCGCCCAACATGGTGTCCGAGGACCAGCTCATCGGCCGGACGCCTGACCAGTTGATCGAGACCATCTTGCGCATCCAGGCCCAACACCAGCAGTATGTCGCAAACATATCCGCACAGTACGACACCATCAACCAGCAATTGAACGAGCTCCGTGGAAGTCTAGCCGCCTTCTACCATGGGCAGGCAGCATCGCATCAGGCCGCCGCTTCAGTATGATGGTTCTTTTTTATGTCTTTTGCCCCATCTAGAGGGGGAGAACAAAGGGTGCTGACCGTTGTGCCACAGCAACTACAGCGTTCGCCCGCAGGGTATCCCGAGCCTCCTCGAATGTCGCGACCAACCGCAGTCCCCGTACCCGCCGTACTCCCGCAACAGCAACAACAGCCCCCGCTAGGTCCTCCGCGATTGACACCATCGCATCACAATCAGCGTCCCTCCAGACCACCGCCGCCCCAGTCTCCGCAAGCGCCACATACCGACACGCGTCTTGTGCCAAAGACGGGGACTGCGCAGTCCCCACAGACACCAGGGCCTCCTGCCTACGACTACAGGACAGTGGGCACAGTCGAGGAGGTATGGAAAGAATACAAAGAAGGCATGGATGGCCAGCCCGCTATCGAAGAGCTGGACGCCACTTGGGGGTCGAGATGGAGACCAGAGCCACGCGGGCGGACGTGGTATTCGAGGCGCAAGGTGATATGGGATAAGATTAAAGAGTACATCGCGGACGGCATGGACGATGAATCAGCGGTTCGGGAAGTGGAGAAGCTTCGCGACGGAGGCACCATCAACAAGCTGATTCGCATGTTACAAGAAGAGCGCAAGGAGAAGGGAATTCCGGACGACAACGTGGGCGCATAAGAGAGCACGGGAAAGAATGGCGCTATTCTTGGGACCAGGCGTTGGTCTGGGCGGGATTGAATGATACCCATGGAAAAAATATGCAAGGGAGTATTACATGAAGTGGATTGCGGTACCACGTCCTGCAATTTAGGCAGGCCTTTCAGGAAATTCTGGTCGTTACTATACACTATCTTCGAGTTCACAGGCTGGACAAAGAGTTGGCAATGTAAACCACTTCTTTCGTTACCATCTCAGACGCCGTGAGCCAAGGGCACGAAGATGATGTTGAAGCCTTTATTGGGATTTTCACAAGTGCAACGGGGTAAGCTATGTGTATAACCTTCGCTATGAGAAACAGCGGGGTCGCTGATCTGGTCCAACTGCCACTTCGGTAACGCCGACTAAGATCGTCAAGTTGAATCTCATACTTGGGCACTTCGATATAATGCACGCAAGTCCTACCTCTGACCATCTGCATCGGTCGTCAAGAAGTGCGTGTACGTCCATATGCATTACACACCTCCTAAGCATGTCAGCCGTACGTCCCATCAGTATGCTGAATCCAATAACAGCCTACAGGGCGAGATATCCGTATATTCTCCCTACACCCAGCTCATGCCGACCTCAACAAGAGTACCAATGCCCATTCCACGGAAACTGGTGCACGGTCACATCACAAGCGTTCTCATGCTACTCTTTAATGAATTCATTCCATGGCGAAGCTCCCAACCATGTCGACTGCCACGCCTGCTTCGAACCCGGCGCCGAAATTCCCAACCATACTACCCAGCGGGCACACACCCTGAAGATGAGTCGTATGGTTCATCGCCCAGGCCGAAAGATCACACAAAAGCCCGACCGAGGACCTGAACCAGCAACTCCAAACAGCCCAAGATCGCCGCGCTTCCGTCGCCTGGAGACGGGGTCAACTGGCTAGACTGTGCGATCTGCCCCACGCCACCGGTGCATGTCCAGCACGGCCAGGTCTCCATGCCCAACCGTTGGACGACCGCGCTGATGTGGACCAGGAACAGGTAACGTTTGTGCAGCGCTGGACCAAAGGTCGGCGGTGTGGCCAAGTTATGTTGAGATTCCGAGCCGGGGAGCGTGCCATCGTTGGCGAGGATTATTGATCCGGCCAAGGCGAAGTTGAAGACATTACTGTTGGACCAAATTGACCGTCAAAAGATGAGGGACCCACTCGTTCTAGAATGAGGTATTTTTGGTAGTTATAAGGTCTGACAATTACTCGCCCGATGACTTGCCGGCTGCTCGCAGTGAGATGGAACCTGTCCACCTGTGTCCAGGACAGCAGAGTCATCGCCTCCTTTTCCGCACCCGACTGGCTAGAAGTCAAGTATAGCAGAACCGCCGGTCGCTTTTCTACGTAAGCCTGACTACAAACTTAATGTTTCTATTGCAGGGCAAGTAGAAGATGACATCCTGGTGATAGTCGCGTTTGGAGGGCAGTGGACTGGCGGATGGGTATTGTTTTTGTTGGCCGGGAGGTTATTGGCCGTCCTGGATATCAGGGAGGGATATTGCGCTGAAGTTAATCCTGTCGTATTGGCAAGGAATGGTGATTGATAATGGAATGGCGAAGCTGGATCGTACGCTGTGCAAGGCTCACGGGTGCTGGGGTGAGGAGGGTCCGTGAGATCTGATTAAGACGAAGTTGAATATCATCTCCCGACTCATTCAGGGGGGTTGGAGTAATAGGCAAGCGAGAATAAGGAGTTCAACATTGACTGGATTTTAATGACAGAGGTCCTGTGTCATCAAGTTTGATTTGGACTTGGTCTAAGACAGAGATACTGTGTTGTTTCTTCTACTTGCTGCCACCACGTTGCTGTTAAGAAGTACTCCCTAATACCATTTATTGCCCAGCCATTTCTAATAGGGGTGCTATTCGAGCCACTTCTAGGATAGCCCGATCAACTCAATAGTAACGTCGTAATGCTGGGGAATCAGTATTGATCATCACGAAATTGTAAATAGGGGTCCTGCCTTATGCAAGTACTCAGAATACACTAGACGCACTTCTCGTCGTACAGTTTGATGGAGAAAAAGCTACGACATGGCATAATGAACTCGGAGAGAGGTTGGGAAAGCTATATGTGATATGCCTTCGTGATCCAAGTAGTAGCTCGTCTGCGCGGTCATATGCACTCGTTCCCAGCCACCTGATAACAAAGCTTTCATCCCCGAGGCATCATTCGTTGAGTTAACAAGCCATTTTTTCCATGCAAAGATTCGTGAAACCTGCTCCTGCCTGATTGCAGCTGGCATCTGAAGTTCCTTTCGTTTGGAAAGACAAATTTGTTTGCACCACCATGAAGCAGCGGCATGCTCGCAACGTGCACCTTTGTGACGTGTGCACCTCGGGTTACTACTACTCCCACAGATTGCAGAGAGCTCTTGCAGAAATGTCGAGGGACATGGCCCTTTGATGAAATAAGGGCTTCACCCGTGGGTGTACTAGGTGCTGAATGTGGAGTTGAGTATCTGAAAGGGCAGTATCTTGGGAGATGAAGGATACAGTACCTCGCTAATGAGGGATTCAACGACGATACAAACTGACCAAACCACACCTATCCAGCAATATCACTGATAGGGGGAGGGTGGGTAGTAGGAGGCTACCTATGCAAGGAGATTGGCTACTCCTGACTTCAGTATTTCTATACTTTGACATTGCTAAAATACAAGGTGCACCTTAATTTCACAACCCATACTTCTTATCAACAGCCAACAAACCCTCCGTTAGTCCCAGTGTCCCCGCCCTCCTATTCACCACTAACTCAATCTCACACGAGTCCCTCTCTCTGACATTCATTTTCGTAAGCCAGATTTTATTATTCTTGATCCCCGCGGCCGCATTACGGAACTCGATCGGCTCCCGCGACACCAGTGCCAACGCAACAATATCCCCAATGTCCTTCCACGAGTGGCTCGTGAACCCCGTACTCGTGACCCAGAAGAAGAATGCCTGCAGGGAGTAGCCCACACACAGCCCCACGTGGAGGAGTAACACTACGACGGCGAAGAGCATTGTTTGGGACCGTAGGCCGTACCCATAACCCCATCGCTGCACATCATAATTAATCGAGACCATGGTACTAGCGTCCGAGGCAGTTTGGTTGTATACAGGCATCTTTTCCCCACCAGCCTGGTATTGCAAATTGATCGCCTCGAACATCTCGACTCCATTTTCGTCCTCGTGCTGCGGTTTCAGCGCCGTGATAGTCCCCGGTGCCTGTTCACGCGCCAGCCCATCGGCAACAACCATGCTGACCACGCCAGCAACTGTACTCGAGATGTTGGCATAGTACTCCATCTCGGTGTAATCTAGACGGGGCGTGAAAGAGTAACTGGTTGACATCTCCAGGGGGTTGCGGTCGCTGTCACTAATAAACTGAACGAGCAGGTTGGCGACAGCGGAGAAGTTGCTGTAGGGGAGTGAATTGAGAGTCCAATTTGCATAGCCCCAGCCGTTGAGTAGGGCGGCCCACTCCGGGTCCATGGCCAAAGTATCAGACAGGCCGTATTGGACGCGGTGCTCAGGAGTATAAGGATCCGCGTCTAGGAACGACGCGATAGTAGTCAAGTTATGCTCGACCACCATACCATTTTTGGGATCGTACGAGAGCTGAGTGGCAGCCCAGCGAGCATCGATCATGCATGGGACCAGTGCGATGCGAGACTCGTACAAAGGTGTTCCCTCGGCGTCAGACTTGCCGATGGGCCGCACGATGGGGAGCGTGGCAAGGGCGCCAATGGTGGAATGCACGGGGCCACCGGAGCGGGTGGGGAGGTTGGAAACGTCAATCCATTGGAAGTCCATAGTGTTTACCTTGTATTGGAAATTCCAGAGGGCGTCGTCGACTTTCCAGCCGTTGTCCTCGCCATAGGGGTTGCGCAAGGAACCTGTGGCGTTGTGGAGTAGATTGGTCTGGAATTTGAGGGACTGGCTTTTGTTCTGCAGGTCCCAGGCGTCGTAGGTAGTGCATTGAACTTGTACTATGGGGTTATAGATTGAGGAGGAGTCCGAGTTGAGGAGTTTGGGCCGTTTGACGTTGTATACTTCGCCGACGTCGTTTTGACTGATGTATTCCCAGAAAAGATCGGTCAGCATCACGACGGAGGAGTGCAATGTTGTCGCGACGGCAACCCCTGTCCCTGACGCGGAGAGGGTGCGTGCGAAGGAGAGTTTTCGAAGGGTTCGGCCGAGGAAGCTTTCCATGGGGAGGTCGTACGTGATACCTTCGTTGGACCAGGCGTAGACCCAGTCTAGGAGATTGTCGACACCGCCGCCTGGGCAGGTTGCAAAGGGGAATATCGTGGTTGAGCAGCTCGATGACACTTCTTTCGCCATATCAGATGTCAATGCTCTTGGATACAACTCATTGGGTGTGACCCAGATGTAGGAAGTCAGAGGCCGGCTGGAGAAAGGATCCTTTAGAGGCCACCAATCCAGGCTAGGTACGAGGGCGATGGCAGATGCGGGACCGACCATGTTAGCATAGACTATAGAGAAACCCAGGCCAAGGGTGAAAAGAAATGCTCGTCTGTCGAATAATCGCAGACTGTGCAGGAAAGGGTGTCCGAATTTGCCACTGAAGAGGTACTCGACCGAGCCAACCTGATACGCTCCCATGAGCAGACCGAACAAAATCCCATCCTTTCCGACGAGCTTCCGTCTCGCGACGTGAATAACTACACTCGAAAGCGAAGCCACGATGAGAATCTCATGGATCTTGGAAACGAACTGCAGCGAGTTCATAGCATCCGTTTGCCCCAGGCCAAGGAATAGCCATTTCCGCTCCGTGGTCCACGTGTTCTCGTCAGACCAGTATACACTGCGGAAGATGAGCTGCAGTACACCCGCCGTAGCTCCTAAAGCAACCAGATGGATGAGGTGCTTCAAGGGGTTGAAGTGTCGCCTCAGGGCAACCTTGGGTTTTTCGAGCGTGTCGGAGACTGGGGGTATTTGCTCGGCGGAGGTCTCGGGTAACACTGCACAATACTGGAAATTCGCTTTGCCCTTGTTGTACAACAAACTGGAGGAGTTTTCTTTGCTCATGATGGGCGAGCAGAAACTGCAATGGGTTTGACACAATTATTCGAAGAAGGCTAATCAATGGGGTGTGCCGGTGCTCTTATGTGCTGGTGCTCAACAATGCCAAGATATTTCGCTTCACCAGCACCTACCGACATGTAGAGGCTACGACAGGTTCATATCCGAGTCCTGCGACATTCTTTGGTATCGGAGGGGCCATGGCACACAACAATTCCCGTGGCAGATACCGCTAACTATATTCGATGTAGGTGTAACCGACCGAGCGAGATGGCTCTGGGCTAACACCACCACAAACAGAGGTAATAAGGTCAGAGCCTCACCCGGAAGAAAGAGGCAGATACTTGGGCGTCTCAAATTCAGCCTAATGGCCCTTAGAATCGTTAAGCTAGTCCTATAGGGTGATAGTGAGAACCCTGCAATAGAAATTGGGCTTGTACCAAGACTGACGGATAGCGCTACGGGAAAGTCAAGCCTAAGGGCTGGGTCGCTCGATGTGAAAATCGTGCTAAAACCCCATGGAACGTTTATATTCTTAAATTGCGGGTCAAGAATTAGAGGCTGTGGTCTGAGGCAGCCCAAAACCCGCTGCTCTGCCAGCTCGATCAAATAAGGACAAGGGTCGGACTGACCTCACCAACCTCATCACCACCCCTTGGTTAGTGAGTAATCAAATTAGTAAGAAAAACGCTGGTTATGCAAGGCTAGGTTCTAACTTTTTAGTTGAATTTGTTGCTAAGACATGAAGCCATCGCTAGCCTCGCCGTCTCCTAGGAATATACTGGCGGAGTTAGCTGTAACCTCCTCTATATCCTCGTCCGGTTCACCTAGCTAGTAGTTTTCTATAGCCGCTTCAGCCATTAGAGAACTAAGCAGAGTATCTAACTGTCACGACCTGGGTTGCATCGCATTGGTAGAGACCTCGATTAGGTGCTATCGACGAAGATTCTACTCTAAGGAGCGAAGGAAAGAAAATCACAACTTAGGTTTGAGGGAGCGCGACTAAGTCGTCCACGCTTGGCGGGGCTCCTACAGGGGTTATGATTGACTTCCCATCTGGCACTGCCACGGCAGGTGTTCCAGCTGTAAGTCACCTGGTTGTAGTGAGTCTGCGAGGGTTGACCTTCACACTAACTAGCCTATTAAGCCGACTCTGTACTAATTTCGTACTGTCTAACACGTACCTATGATACTAGTAATCTAAGGACCACCTTCTTCGGCTAATTCATCTTATCTCTCAAGGAAGCAGAAATTCCGTACTGTAACGGGGTAAGGCCGGACATCAGGGAAATAGGTTACGGGGCTAGGAGAAAGTTTATTTTCTCTTCTTTAAGAGGCACAGAGGCAGAGTAGAACACGAGTCCTCCATCTTCACGCATCATCATCCTCATCTTCATATCATCATCTCCTTCTTATCTATATCTTCATCTTCGCTTTTCAGTCAGTTATTTAGTTATTTTAGTTATTCAGCTTATCTTTACGTTCGAGATCCTCTTATCACGATACGAGTATCAGAGGCACATCCGACCAACTCGCGCACCAGACGTATAAGAGCTTCGCTCTTATAACTAGTACCACGATCTTCGTCTGATCAGACCAACAGATAGATCTATTAGTACTGGAGCCGTCTGTTCAGTGTGTTAGGTGGTAGGTATATCCTACTGACCGCCTGACCCCGTTTCAATACTAGCTTACTCTTTTAGAGGGTAAGAACGCCGCGCTTCGAAAGGCAAACAAGATATTTAGCCGGCGGCGTCGTATGAAACAAAACAGTTTATAGGATAAAATATTACTTCGTATATTAGCCAGAGACGATTTATGGTCTTAGAAGCAGGTTAACGGATAGTGATAAGATAATTGCACTAGAATTGTAGACGTACTGTGACGGTCAACCCTCGCAGACTCACTACAACCAGGTGACTTACAGCTGGAACACCTGCCGTGGCAGTGTCAGATGGGAAGCCAATCATAACCCTTGTAGGAGCCCCGCCAAGCGTGGATGACTTAGTCGCGCTCCCTCAAACCTAAGTTGTCATCTTCTTTCCTTCGCTCCTTAGAGTAGAATCTTCGTCGATAGCACCTTGTCAGAGAACAGAATGCCATAGGCACCAGTGGGTGTCAGGACACTGAACGCAGGACACCGGCGGGCCGCCGGAGGGGTGTTTCGGACAAAAGACTCCCGAATCATGATTACAATCTATGTGAAGCTTTGGGATGACGAGAGCCAAGATCCTTGGCATCGCCGACCCTGCTGTTATGCCGGGTCCAAGCGGCGGCCTAGCTATCTATATAAGGACCATCTCGAAGTAGGATAGGGAAGGAGTTGTCAGAGCCACAAGTGTCATCCGAGGCGGGCCGGCTTCCACCAGGTAGGAAGCCGTTTGTGGCGGCTAGAGAGCCGCTTGTGGCGAATGAGAGCCGTTGAAGCCGTTTGCAGCGGATAGGGAATCGCTTGGTTGCAGATAAGGAGCCGCTGTCCAAGATATTGGCCGAAGTCGGAGGAACACAGACATACGGAAGCAAACATCCAGAATCCAAGAGAGAACCTCGGCTGGCTATAAGTAAGGAGTCGAGACGGAGGAAGATAGAGAGGGCAGAGATCAATGCATCACCGTGGGCACCCCTACCTGAGACCGCCAGTGACCACCCGGTGCTACGTAGGAGGGACGCCCGTTACTCCCCATCACTCTGTACTATTGCCTTCGGCCTAGCCGTACCCTGACACACCTAATCGAGGTCTATACCAATGCGATGCAACCCAGGTCGTGACACGTACGAGGAGGCCTAAGATGCGCTAGTGATGCTATAGGACGTACAGAGAGCCCGGTTATAATATGCGGTTATCAGTATAATAAAGAAATGTCTCAAGAGGATAGTTTCGAGTAGTTCTGACTAATTTTTTCACGTTATGGGTGGATTAACTTACATCTTATTGTACGAGGTCTTAAGAAGTATTCAATTAGACCGTAGGGTACGTTGAATGATCGGAAGAAAAACGCTTACTCTAGTAGTTGCTTTTACTTCAGAAATACGAAGAGGTATATAAGGTAGTTATCGCTTGACACTGATTGTTGGTATCCATATTGAGTTTTATAGCATCTTTATTGATCGCATCTTGTCTGAAGTTTGCTGTGATGTTACCTCTAACTATCCTGGAGTTCGGTACGAAATGAATATAAACCGTGTGGCGCTTCGTACTTAATCTGGCTGCCACTAGTTTCTGGCGGAATGTGCACCCAGCTGTAGTGTACGTCTACAATGATTTCATTGATCAACAGTCTCAATCGATCGGCATGTGAGTCGCATATTTCAGAAAGCTATGAGACTGAGTTGTGCGGTTCGATTGTTCATAATAATTCTCACTTTAGCAGATGGTAAAACGACATTGGGCTAGCTCACAATTTACCATCTGCCGCCCGTGTTTAGGCGGGGACTTTCCTCGTCGGTTACCGATGAAACCCAGTGAGGTGGAGATCGTTCTACCTGACGGAACTAGATGGCATTGTAAAAGTGCGGGTCTGCGACAAGGTGAGGCTCTGATGCCACTGTCGGCATTTTGTCTAGGAAGAGGTAAAACCTGGTGACAGCAACAGGTAATATCCTTTGAAGTTCCAAATGCATCCCCTCTATGAACACAGCTGCTTAATGAGCTGCATTCGCAGAATACGGCACCATGCATGCTCGTAGTGCAGTGCCATGATGAAGTATCCCAACGCCGGACGAACGCGAGGACTGGGCCGCGTAAGTACAAGTGCAGCTTCCCTCGTCAATTTATCAATTCACGGCGCGAATGCAAGGGTCGCATACAATTCCTTCCATTTCTGTAGATGAAGGAGGCGGCCAGGTCCGGGGCGGATACCAGCTGAGTGGTGCGAATTCTGTGAGCTTGCTCCTCCACCAGGGATATTCTCCACCGAACAGCTGTTTGCCAACACGAAGGGCGCTAAAACCCGGGAGCTGAAACACATTCTGGATCTCGAATTTATTACAGCGCGCATGAGAAATAGGTTGTGCAAAATGAGGAGGGAGAAGAGCCAACTCAAGCGGAGCAGATCTGGGCTCAACACGATGGCCAGAGGAAGGTATAACTATATATAAGGTGGTGGTTGTCCATTTACTTGGCGCCAAGCAAGCCAAGCATTTTTGCCAAGTCATTCATTCATCTATTACATTGTCCTTCATTGGTTTACCATGCTTCGTGCTTTGACTGCTGCCCTAGTCGGCGCATCTGCCGTCCTGGCAGTGCCAGCCCCCGGCCCCATGCCCACTCTTGCCCCGGAGCTGACCAAGGACGCCCCCGACCTGGCCAAGCGTGCCGCTTGCACTTTCAGCGGTGCGGATGGTTATGCGTCAGCCAGCAAGTCCAAGGCTGACTGTGCCACCATCGTGCTGTCTGCCCTGACTGTCCCGTCCGGCGTCACCCTGGATTTGACTGACCTCTCTGATGGCACTCTTGTTACCTTTGAGGGCGAGACCACCTGGGAGTACGAGGAGTGGGAGGGCCCACTTTTCGCTGTCAGTGGTACCAAGATCACTGTTGACGGTGCCTCGGGCCACTCTCTGAACGGCAACGGTGCCAAGTGGTGGGACGGCGAGGGAGATTCTGGCGTGACCAAACCCAAGGTATGTTTTTGGATCAAAATATCACGTATCACACTGATATTATCACTCATGCTAACAAGACCAATAGATGTTCCAAGCCCACGATCTCATCGACAGCACCATCCAAAACATCAACATCGTCAACTCCCCTGTTCAGGTCTTTTCCATTAACGGATGCGACACCCTGGCCGTCAATTCCGTCACCATCGACAACTCCGACGGTGACGATGATAGCCTCGGCCACAATACTGATTGCTTCGACATTGGCTCCTCCACCGGCGTGACTATCACTGATGCCACTTGCTATAACCAGGACGACTGCGTTGCAATCAACTCCGGCACTGTAAGTCTTAATCCCATCTTTAAGAAATTCACATCAGGTAGCTAACCACCCTGCCAGGATATCACCTTCACTGGCGGCTACTGTTCCGGGGGCCACGGCCTCTCCATCGGTTCCATCGGCGGCCGGGACGACAACACGGTCAAAACGGTCACCTTCTCCGATAGCAAGATCATCAACTCGCAGAACGGCGTCCGCATCAAGACCAAATCGGGCGACACAGGTACCGTCGAGGACATCACCTACAGGGACATCACCCTCAGCGGCATTACCGACTACGGTATCACCGTCGACCAGGCCTACGATGGCGACGATGCCACCGACGGTATCACTATCAGCGGCTTCACTCTGGACGGTGTTACCGGCACCACCGATAGTGATGCCGACTATGCTATTTATGTCAACTGTAAGTTCTTAACTGCTTTTACGTCTACTTGTCTCTGATGCCTATACTAATATTCTTTCCTTGCAGGCGGTAGCGACAGCTGCACCGACTGGACCTGGACCGACGTCAGTGTCACCGGTGCCGACAACTCGTGCTCCAACCAGCCCAGCGGAATCACTTGCTAGACAGTTGTTTCATGGTATCCAAAAGAGGCTATGCCTGACAAGACTAGGACGACAAGCTCAGACGGCCTCCTGCTGGTGACAACGCCCAGGTGTCGGACTTTGGGACGCAAACGGGCTGCCAATTCTGGTGTATATATTTTCTGATGGGCCAAGTCCCGTACACATACAATTATGTGTTTCTCTGCTACATTTAGGATGATCATCACTTGGATGAAGGTTTGTATGATGATTTGGACTAAGGTAGTCTCTAAAATAACCATGAGTGACTCACAGCAAGTCTCATCGGCTTATGAACTTCCACATCCTCTGCTTGTTATGATAAAACCACGTACAGCGGATCTGGCTATGACTCTGGTAGACGCCTTCCCTACTTCTCCACAATTTCCTAAGAGTGCTCGTTTGTAAGTTTTATCGGTCGCCGTTTTCGACCTTCTCCCCGGGACTCGACCAACCTCCCAGCAATACTGAGGTACTGGGCACTGGTGAGTGAGTAGCCGAAGTATCGCTCGACTTGTTCCGGACCATTCCTGATGAAAGAGGGCGAAATATTACACGAACCACAGGTTTGTTTGAGTTTTGGAACAGGATAAACGCAGTTTATTCAGTTGGTCGTGCCACAAAAAGAAAGTCATGATATTTACTCTGAAGGAAGGTTTCAAAATCCTGTTCGCTTATTTAGCCGTTCTGCCCGATCTATATGAGCAGTACGTGCTAGTCAAACTGTACCAGTGACTACCATGTTTCACAGACGTTAAATACCCTGCTGATGTAAAGTAGGTTTTCAACCAACAGCGAAATATTTGGATTCAAAACATACTATGAAGTTGCCAGACAAGTTGGTTGTTTGAGAGAGGGCATACATAACTTTGACTATCGCCAGCACTGATTTGAATTCCCGCCCTGTGCTCCATGGCCTTCCGCTACAAAAGAACACTATAAAACATCACGGAAATGATCCCAGAGGCTCATCGAATTGCTTCAAACAAAATGTATGAACCCCGCTCGCCACTTCCCTCATGGGCTGGGTTCTAGCACCTAGCGCTTAAGGTTTAGCCAGCTGTACATCACGGCATACTCGGGTTTTACAGGCAAATACGGTGTGAGCGTGGCTATAGGAGGGATTTGGAACAACGCCGCCAACGGATTTATACATCGGAGGCTGCGTGAACATGGCGAACTCGTGCTGTGTGGTGGAGGATATAAAGAAGATATGAGTAGAGGTGCTACGTGTAAGGTATTGAATCACCACCAAAGAGTTGTCAACTCATAAGTCGGGACCTAAAACAACCATCCCAGAAGGACTTTTGTTTTAGTTAAAAACAGCCGCTCATTGCTACTTTGCGACTATTTCCCTGCAAACAAGGGCGTGAGCACACTGCTCTCAAACCAATTCCTATCCTTCTCCCATCCCTTGAGCACAAAGTCCCTCCCCAGCGTCAAAGCAGCGAGGACCTGGTTTAGGGGAGGACGCAACGGAGCAGTTCGGTCACGCCTATAGTACCAGCAGATCAGATGCACGCCAACATGAATGGCCGTACGAAAGGCCATCTCCTCACTTAGTCGGCCGTAGCCTTGGACGAGTCCGTGCATGGCGGGGATGACGGCATCGACATCATTGAAATGTTTCCGTTCGTACAGGTCGGCCAACATTCCGCCGATGTCAATGGCGCGGTGGCCGAACTGAGCATTCTCCCAGTCGATGATGAAGAGCTTGTTGGATTCTTGGCCTGGCTGTTGTGGTTCTTGCCAGGAGGTGTTCGGGAGCAGAACGCTGGTTTACGGAGAGTTATTAGAACTAGTTCAATATATTTCTGCTGTAAATAATTCATAAGAAACGTGGACTTACTTGCCCGTCCAGAAATCGCCGTGGATGAGTCCCCAATCATCATCTCCATCTATCGGGGGCTTGTCGAACTCCTTTTTCATTGCGTCCTCGACATCTTCCAACGTTTTCCTGTGGTCTTCGACAAGCTCTGGATAAAGTTCGAGTATCTCGAGAAAGCTACCGTACGTGATGAGAAATTTATGCTTCCGCATCCCCTCATTAGACCCAACTTCTGCACGGAGAGCGGCCTGAGCAGGCGCTGAGATCCACCTGTGGAATGAGCGAAGCCAATACCCCAGCGCATGGCCGACGGAAGCCGGGCTGGATTGAGGCAGGAAATTGTTGACGCTAGGCGAGAGCAAGATCGACCTTAGGTCAGTAGTATTGAGGAGATGTTTTAGGACTTGCGTGTTTGTCCTTCGATCGAACAGATAGAGACGAGGGGCCTTGACCACTGTGTTTGGGGTGGTAGACAGGAAGTCGACGAGGGCGCGAAGCATGGTCTCTTCAAAGACCTGATGGGGATATGAGACATTCATTTGATGATGGGTAAGAGGGATGGGAATCCTCATACTTACACAGCGCGTTACATCGAGTGGGAAATCGCGATTAGCAGCCGCAAAATTCGTGGAAGATTTGACGACGACGGTCTTGGTTGTTGCCTTCGTGGCTCCATCTTGCGAGTAGAGGGATTGAAGCAGGGTGCCACGATATAGAAAGTTGGCCGTCCCGCCGCTCAGCTTCGTCAGAGAAGAGCAGGCATATGGCGTTTGTGACAGCTGCTCTAAGATCTGCTGGATGAGCGCGTCTTCCTCAGCCTTGTCGAGCGGAGCCATTCTGTAAAGCGTGTAGGAATTAAAATTTTGATGCAAAGACCACAGAACATGGCGGGGCGGGGTATTGTGTCACTACTGGGGGGGCAGAGTAGTGATCGGTCAAAAAGCGGCCGAACATTATGTGAGTCATATTGGTATGCAGCGAGTTATTAGTTCTTCGAAACAGAGTCCACAGCAGCTTAACATTACCGGTGCCTCTGTAAAGTAATAGTGGCACTGTATAGACTTCATTCATGCCTGCTTACCATTGTAGGACTCCATAGGGACTATGCCTATGGGACTCTATTTGATATCGTTTCATTTCTCCTCGAAGTAGTCAATCCCGAGAAAAAAAGAGAATGGCGAATTTGGGGCGTACAGGTCCATATGTTTCTCCTCAGGCAATAACCAAAACGCCTTGAGATATTCATTGTATTTTCTTCGAATGGCCTTTCTATGTAGAAACTCAGGGAGCTCTGATTGTAGACTAATGTACTCTGATTTAGATCGGTTTGTGCCCTTTGTCTCTAGATCAGTCAGGTACAGACCGAAGCTCCTATCTGCTGTGAGGTAGATGTTCTTAACAATGCCATGTCCGTCATCACGCAAGTTATACAGTGGATCAAGCATATATAGTCGTTCCTCAAGCCTTTGTCGCAATGCAGCAATTCAAGGCACAGTTTCAAATACAAAATTTGGATCAACTCGTCCAAAATGTGACGAGCCGTATTGGGTTAGGGGGGAGGCGGAATAGCTGATCATTGTCGCACTCCGCTGCTGACCTTCTCCCTTATTCATGTGCACATCAACTGCTGAGGAAGCTTTGACACTACTTGAGGATCACCTCTAGATCCGTATTCGGGAGTATGAATACGTCCTTCTCAATGAATTAGACGTATTTGGATCCGTTGCCACAGCCATATCCCTGTGGTGCTGGTCAAATAAATACTAGCTGCTGCCTTTTCCCTCAGCCGATATCAGCAATAATAGCTTAGAAGGTGTACATATAAACATTCTTCGATTTTCGGCAGATCTTTTTGCGTGGTTACCTATGTTCAGAATGTGCTTATTATTGTGAATACATAATTTCTGGTGCCAGCCTCGGGTAAAATCTGAGGGAGTGAGCAGCGATGCTACAAATAGAGAACACAATCGAAAATAACAATCGATGATGAGAAGACAACGCCAATACAAGGAGAAGTAGCGGTACAATCTCCAACTATTGAGAGTATGTCAAGAGATGAGAAAAAAGAGATAAGTGCCCGGTAGGCAACAAACAATCCTATTTTCTGGTGTCAAGTTTCCAGCAACGGACAACTCGTTTGCTATACAAATAGCTTGGTTATCAGTTCAAAATGCCTTCTCTGAAAAGCAACTTCAGGTGATCAGATAATGGACATTTCAAATGATAGTGTTGCATTACTACTTTATATGTTCTGGCTATGAGATGTGCCGAGTTTGATGCCGAGGCTTGCTAAGGGCAGCCTTTATTGACCGCTTAACATTTCTATAGCGGATCGTGGTTTCCATGTTCTGAATTTGTGAAACGTTCCGCCCTCAAATCCAACTTAGCATCCAGTCGGCAACTTGCACCTTCCCAGATTATTTGCAATCCGAACGAAGCAAACACCGACGTCATTGTGTCATCAGTAAGTTCTGTGTGAGATAAAACCTCGACATTTCCCTTCATCTTGAGTTGCTTTCATATTGAATACATACATCACACATGACTTGTCCCTGAACCGATTGATCAACACGATCGCCACGCTCTTTTGGTTAGTGATTTGGCCTCAAAAACTACTGCTCTTCATTCCGATCTACTTGCTTTACTCGCTCCAAAACAGAACCATCCACACAACGAAGCCGATCATGGCGCATCTTCTGTCCTTATTGATGGTAATCAACGTTGCATCTGCAGCAGTTCCTCCTGTCCCATACGTCCATCGCACATCCGCTTGGACCGCCAATGCCATCCACTTGTCCACCGCCACAGGCGAGTGCAACATGACTGATCCCTCCGAGGTCGACTACAACTTCTGGCAGCACATCTACCCCAACTTCTGTATTCAGTTCGACTTTTCCGATGAGAAGTACTTCGAGGCCAGCTACACTTCTGCCGACTACATTGAGGACCCGGACAACGGTGATGAGGCTTCAATCGCGACGCCGCCGCCCAACAGCGGCATGTACCAGCCGGTAAACGGGAATCCTTGGAGGTTTAACTTCCGGTTCGACCCTTTGGAACAGGCCGGCAATAGCACGGGCAACACGACATGCACGAATACGTGCTCGGAGGCCCTCGAGTCGCTTTCGCAAGGTCCATGTAAGTATTGAACAGCGTGAGGGTAGCAAGGTAGTACTAGACTAACGCACACTAGGCGGCAGAACGGGCGGTCAGATGAATCACATGGTAAAGGTGACGTTCTTGTGTCACGATCGAACGCTTACATCTACTCACAGACATCCGAGGGGTCCTTCGATGTTGGGTGTGGCACTTATCACTTTTTTATTGCATCACCGGACCCAGACGAGACCAATTGCCACATCGACGACTCGCACTGGAATTTGACGGGAGCATCAAAAAAGGAGTTCACGCTGGTCGACGCCGTCTCAGCCATCGAGTCTTTCTGTGTCGGTAACGAAAGTCACTCGATGCTGGTCGACACCGCTTCGTCACACAGGCCTGGTCTACTGCAGAACCAGTCTGCCGAGTACCCGGAGCGGCTCTACAGGTTTGAGGGACGACGGACGGGCATCGACATCTTTGCTACATTCGCTGATGTACTGGAGGTTGAGAGTGCTGCCGGCTGCAACAACCACTCGTCGCAAAACTTCTACGTCTCTGAATATGCGGATCGGTGCCGTGAGATACTGTATAAGACGCTCCACCGATGTAAGATGGACCCACTCCGCGATATAGAGATACAGACTGACTTTGGTGCAAGGCAACAATGATGTTTCGCATATGTTGACGTCGGGAGGCTACACGTTGGAGCATCAAGCGGAACATGGATGTGTTGTTTGGCAGCTTTACCCCTATGACCTTGACTCCTGAGGTTGCGTCTTGTCTGCCTTCACTCCTTGCAATATTAAAATAATTGACTCCCGTTCGGAGGTTTTAGCATTTGTACAGAGACTGCTATTGATATGTTTGTGTCTTGGAATGGGCGAAAACTTACACTAAAAGCAAGGGACATCTTAGCTTCACATTGGCATTGATACTTATCTCACCGAGATAGTGGCAGAGCAGGTGAATGAATGGTCAATTATTATCTGATTCAGTGTCTTTTGGAGCAATATTCCGCGATGCACGCCTTGTAGGCTTATCTTGTCAGTGACTTGCAGTACATATTCGTGCTATGTGAGTCTAGACGGCTAAGGATATATCAACATATATCAACCAGTTGACAAAATTGGTATTTAGTGGGCCAAATCCGCACTAAAGTTTCTCCACCAGAGCAAATTTTTGCTGCCATCTTCACCGTCATCAACCTTGATTGATTTAGCGCCAAGTAGTCATCCATTCCGTCAAGACTTATACGCACTGGCTTCCATCCCTATCCTTGACCATGGCCTCAGACCACAGCGATACCCCTATGACATCGCCCCCCCCACAATCGCCTACCAATCTCAATGTCTCTCCAACGACCGATACCAGGTCCCCTCTCCCCAACTCCGATTCCCTCCCAGACCATCGCGACCCAGATTTTATCCCCCTCCCCTCCCGCGCCAATGACGACGACGAAACTGAGTACCACGCCCGGGTGCTCGCGCACTTTCCCGGATGGAGCTTTACTTCGCGTCTCCGGACCGTCTCCTCCTGGGCCTGGCGGTACGGGTACGACATTGAAAAAGGCGGTGAACGGAGATGGGTGTGCAAGCTTTGTGTGGCAAGGCGCAACCCTCGGCTCAAACCGGCTACGTATAGCGCGGTGGGCATCCAGAATGGACCTCAGCATTTGTATCGTGAGCATAGGGTTTCGGCGCCTAAGGGGGCGGGCATGAAGAGTCGGTTGGAGAGGTTGGACGATAGTCGGAGGGAGAGGGAACGGGGGTTGGTGAGACAGGGGATGAGGGGGGAGAGGGGGATGGGGGAGGAGATTGTGGTTGGCGGGGTTGATGCGGGAGAGGGAGGGGATGGTGGAGATGGAGATGATGCAGATGACAATGCAGATGGCAATGAGAACGCATCTTCTTTCGCTGCCATCGCCGCACCCCAGACATCTCTCTGCGATTTCGGCATCAGCAGATCAAGAGCCAGGGCTCTGCACAACCGCAGGGAATTCAGACACTCGATGCCCAGCGGCCAATCCGACGACGTAGTGGACCAAATCCGCCGCTCTGCCCGTTCCGAGTCCAACGAGATCATCCGCCTGCAGCAACGCATCGACAAGCAAGCCACACAACTTCTCGAATTCCGACGCGGGGAATCGGAAGAGTTGGCCCAATTGCGTAGCGATTTGCAATTGCAAGCCACACAGCTTGAAGAAGCCAAGCGCCGGACGACGGAGTTGGAGGAGGAGAACGCGCAGCTCAAGGGACGGGTTAGGAGGTTGACCGGTGAGGTGAGGGAGTTGAATGACGTGCTTGACGAGGTTAGGGAGAAGGGTGAGGACCAGGGGAGGGAGGTCGAGGAGGTTAGGGCGGAGTATATGTCCAAGATGGAGGCTATGAGGGATAGGCATGAGAGGACGGTGGAGGGGTTGGTTCAGCTTGCTCAGTTGCGGACGGGTGGACGGCAGAGTTGAGAGACACATGGATGAAGAGCCAATGTTGGTGCTGCAAAAAGATTCGCCAGCTGTGTTGAGGCTTGGTGCCAGACGTTATCATAAGTTAAGTTGTGGACTTTTATTGCGAAGAAAACTTTACAGAATTAGCCAATTTGCAGCTCATACTACATAACAGCCTTATTACATTGATCCATTTTGAAAAGGAGACAGGGTCATGGTTTACCATAAACATCATCCAGGCGCAATCGAATACAAAACTCATAAATCATAGTCGTATCGTTGTTCCCGCCAAAGAATAAAGGCCGTCACTAACAAACCGATCCTGCCTCACATCCAAAAGCTCACTCATTTCCACCGCATTCTCCAGCACACACGGTACATGCACTTTTCCCTTCGCCGCATTCAGTTGATCACGCGGTAGGGAGTGCAGAATAACACGCACCAAATCCATATTGGCCCTATATATCGACAACTGCAACGCCGATACCGCGACGATGGGCTGGTCACGACGAAGTGCATGAGCCGCCCGGTTCAAGAGGCGGCAGCCCGCGAGTTCCAGGTTGACGCTATCGTCGTCTTCCCTCAATTTTCCAAGCCGGGCTCGCCTCGCTCGGGCAAACGCTATGAGGCGCTCCGATCTTTCTCGTAGCTGAGAGGAGCCTGAGCATGAGGATGCAGGGGGAGGTTGGAGTGGGCTGGCGCCTTGGCCTAGGAGGAATAAGATGAGCGGACGGTGTTCGTGTAAAACGGCCTTTTGGAGAAGCGCCACGAGGTTTGGGGATTGCTCGTCGGTCGGGAGCTGTAGTAGGCGTCGTAGAAGGGAGACTCGGCCCCATGCTATGGTTAGGTCGAGGAGATAGGGGATGAGGTCGTTCATTTCTGGTACACATGCATTCAAAAATCGACTGATGTCTAGGATGAGATAGTCCAGCAACGCATGCGCAGCGCCTAATACCTTCCTTTTCAAGGCTCGAGCCAGGAGGGTCAGATGGTGTTTGGGGTTCAAGTCATACCGGAGCAGAAATTCGAGCTGGCGCTGGTGTGACATCGACTGGTCGCCTAGACCGAGGTGCACGAGGGACTCGGTTAGTTCAGTGGGTTGAGGTTCATGATCGACATGCTCTCTCGCCTTTTGCATCAAGTTGATCGTCTGAACGGCCGTGAAGTACAGCGCAGATTGGGCCGGTTGGGTGAGGGGACGGGCGCCGTGGTGGACGAGCGCCATGCAAGCCAGACCCCAATGATTCCGAAAGGATAGGTCCAGGACCTGGTTTAGATGCTCCTGGGTCACATTTTTCAGCGAGGTGTGCCTTAGGAGAATGACGAGCTTGGTGGCGTTCCGGGCTGTCGTGCTGTCCTCGGCTGCTTGCTCGAGGATGGTTCCCTCGTCGATACCACAGGGTAGGTCGATGCGAGCCCCATGTGCGAGAAGCTCGGCGACGTTGTCTTCCCATTTCTGCCGGTTGTTGTAATCCTGCCTTCGCAGCAAATTCAGCGAGAGCTCGCCGTTGTACAGCCTTTTCTTGTTGGGCTTATTGGGGTCGGCACCGGCCTCGAGGAGCAGCGCGATGATCCACGTCTCGCTGCAATCCGTCGCTGTTACAATGGGCAGCGCTTCGTTCTTGGTTCCATTGATGTCGACGCCAAGTTCGAGTAGCCTTTTTATGAAGGCCTCCTTGTTGGTGCTCCAGGTGTTGGGTGGGTAATGCCTGCGCATGGGGTGGTGGGCTGGGAATAGCGGCGGTGGCGGTGGCGGAGTAGTTCCAGCCACGATTTGTAGAAGGGGTAGTCGAGGTAGCCCGTTGGTGGGGATGTCTGAACTTATAGATACGGTTGAACTACTGTGCGAACTTGAGCTTGAAGTCGAATCTGAACTTGTTTTGGAGGCATCTGAATCGTCTGAGTCGGACGCTACTTCTTCTTCCAAGTCAGAAATGCCGGGATTTTGTTCTTCCGTGTCATCCCCCGACGGCGACGAAGAAGACGAAGACCAAGACCTGGTCGAAAAGGACCGCGGAGGCGAAGGAACGGGAAATAATCGCGGACTAGATCTGTGTCCACTCTGCGCTGGATGCAGGAGAGATAGGTTCAGAGGTTCAGGGTACCAAGACACTGAGGCATCGGAAGTTATGCTTGCACCGGCCTCGAGTAGTGCCAGGGCCACCTTGAAGCTGCCATGCCGTATCGCGTCGTAGAGTGGCGAATACTCCCAGATCCTCGACGGACCGTCAATGTGTGCGCCTAATTCCAGGAGCTTCTTGACTGTAGATAGGTTATTGTCACTGCGTACGGCCTGGGAAAGGGCGTTGTCCTCTCTGACGATGGTCGGGTACATCTTCATACCCTCGTCTCGGACCAAACGCTCGACGATAGAATCCAAACCTCGCTCTGCGGCCTGGAGAAGAGCGTTCCTTCCGCAATTCCACGGATGGTTCTTGAATTCCAGCGGTGCACCTCGGTCAAGCAGCAAAGAAACCACAGAAGACTGCCTGGCGCACATGGCGATATGGAGAAGGGGTAAAAACACGCCATTCTGGTGGCCGTGCTCGCACAGAGGCCGAAATGTCTGTTCCACGTCCACGCCGTGGTCCAAGAACCAAGCCACCGTCGCGGCGTGGCCGCTTTTGACGGCAAGTTGGACAGGATGGACCATGGGACAAGTGGGAGGACCACGGCGGGGATGGCCATACGGAGGTGGCCCAGCCGGCATTGCGACGGGACTATCCAACTTAGGTACCAACGAGATGTTCAGGTTGTATACAACAGCCTTCTCGAGCGTCGAGTTCTCGCCAGCTCTGGCCGCCCACGCGACGCAACTCGACGATTGGAAATCCCGGTTGAAGGCGTATAAAAGCGGCAGAATGCAGCGGTATAGGTGCCGACTCGCGCGAGCCCATGACGACAGGTCTGAGGGCCGTAGGACCAACTCAGGCTGCACTCTGTCGTGTCTCTGCTGCCATGACAATGGGGCACCAGGGCGATTTGGACGCGGAGACCACGCCGGCAACGCGAATTTCGACGTAGCAATGAGATGGAGCAGCTCTGCCGGCAGATCCTCGAAGCTTGCCATGCTGCGAAAGTGGGAAACAGATCCTGGAAACGATCACGGCTGTGACGACCTGAGTGAAGGTGGGCAAGGTTTGGTCGTCTTCTGTGGCTGACGGTCACCCGTTTTGCTGACGAAAGGGCGCCCGCATGTTCGCAACGCCTGCATGAGAAACAGCCAATCAACCACCCGATAGTGGGGCTGCTGCCTATAGGAGAGATTTGGTAGGGCCTGCATTTCGGCCCCCAATGCAAAGAAGCCCGACGAGGTCTTTTAAAGAATTTGGGCAACTATGACGGAGATAAAGGGTGGTGGCTGGCGGCCCAGCACGCTTTGGTAGGTGCACATACTCTGTTCAATGGGAGTGGAGTGATGAGCTCCGAGTTGTGAACGTGTTGATGAACTTCGTCCTGGATCGTTAGCAAGCTAAGAAATCTACTGCAGTATCATGCCACTTGCTGCAACCACGGAATGGCGCCATTTCGCTGCATAAATTTGCACGGCACCACGCACTTCGGTGAGTGCCGTGATCGGTTTAGTCCCTGGAAACAAATTCATGTCTCCCTCGTTCAATAGCGCCGGGTGGTTCAATACAATCCTTACAAAATGGAAATACCCTCATTGAAGTAAAGTTAGCGATGGACAGGATCTCTGGCGTTTGTTTCTTGACCCTACGTACCTTGTGATTAATGAGAAGCATCGGATATGCCCCAAGCCAAAGTTCCAATGCAGCCCACACACACTTATCACCCTCACAGTTCCAGATGCCATCGACTTCAAGCCCATGCTTCGTTGGATGCCTCTCATATCATGGTGTAAGATATGAAAACCTGCGTACCATCGAGTTCCACCCTCAGAAAGACAGTATAGACTTCGTTTCACCGCTTGCGTTCAAAAGTTTCAAGACAGGGTTCACATACCAATAGTCGTCCGTTGTTAAACTATCCTATTATTTATCGTCTACTTAGACGAAGATACACTCCTTTACAATATACTGCCACAACTCTCTTATTAGTGGGAAATACTTGTGTTTTCTTTACATCGGTTAAAAGTTGAAGAAGCTCTGCCCAGTCACGTATGCAGGACAGCGCATACCACGCACTGAAGCCATTGTATTCAGTAGTACCTTGATAATGTCAAAACGAACTCGCATCCCCGCGGCACCCGACATATACCCTGTGTTATCACCATGCTTTCGTGCACCCAGCTGTGGTAGATCCCCAATGGATGTTATCAACAAGTATACTTTACGACCCGATATCTTGAAAGTTTCATCAGACATACCCCTTTAGAGATACTCACCAGGATACAATTCCTGGTACATGACAAACCTAGCCTTTCGCGAAGTAGGTTCAGGGGAGGTACGTAACCATGCTACAGAGCCGTCAATAATAAGCGCTAATCCACTTTAGACCTCCGCTGACCCAGCCTCACGGGTCCTGACGGCCCCGGTGCGTAGCTAATCGAAGGCAAGAACTCTATTATCTACGTCTCGATCAAGTGGTTTTTCGTATCTTCTCAGATTATTCTTCTCCAGAGATGAGGGAAAATTGCATGATAATAACGAGCAGCAAAGGTCACAACCCAGCTTGTAAAATGTCATCCATGTCCTGCTTTCACGCCAAAAAAGGGGGCGAGGGGCAACAGGCCAAGGTGATTCGAAGATTTGGCAATATGTAAGTATCCATGCTTTGAAAGCTGGCCCAGATTCTCATCAGTTCTGACATATACAAGTGAATGCTACTGTGGCTCAATCCACCACCTGCATATCTACTACTGCTGCGTTGTGGTCTGTCGGTACACCATACCCACATGCCTCTCCGGAGATCAAATTATACCAGTGGTGAAAGAAAGGCTCGAGCGGGCCGTCGCCCTCACGGTCCTCGAACACCCCCTCTTGCAGGCAGGCATAGACGACGAGGATAGCAAGAGACCCGCCTGGGTGCGTCTCGAGAGTATTGATCTGCGCAACCATATCGAGTGGCGGGAAGCAGAAGACGAAACCAAAGACTTCGATGTCTTCGTCCATAATGTGACAGAAATGCAGCACAACACCCCGTTCCCGAACCAAGACAGCCAGCCTGGGTGGAAGGTCACTGTTCTGCAGCCAGCTGTGCAAAGGGAGTTCGTCGAGGTGCTGTTCGCGTGGAACCACGCGCATGGAGACGGGACGAGCGGGCGGGTGTTCCACGAGACGCTGCTGCGGAAGCTCAACACGCACTCCCGAGAAGAAGTTGGATTAGCGTTGAAAGAGCACATCCTCCAGCTCCGCCAAGACACACCGTTCACCCCCTCTCAGGAGATGCTCCTCAAGTTCCCCATGTCTCCCGCGTATGCCCTATCAACCGGCTGGAAAGAACTCAGGCCTGCTGTCTTCGCAAAGGACTCCGCCACACACGCTAATTGGGCACCGATCAAAAAACTCCCGTACTCGAGTCGGTTCAAGGGGATCACCGTCGATAGCGAGACGCTCCAGAAGGTGCTGGTGCTATGCCGTCAGCATCAGACGACGCTCACAGGGCTGCTGCACGCACTCTGCTTGATATCAGTGGCCAATCGGCTGCCAAAAGAGCAAGCACCGGGTTTCAAAAGCGTCACGCCATTTTGTCTGCGTCGCTTCCTTGACCCGAAGCAGTCCGAGTGCCATAGTATCGACCCAGATAACATATTCGCCAACTTGGTCTCATCGAGGCACCACGCTTTCAACATCGATCTTTTAGAGAAACTCAGGACGCAGCTTGAGGGCGCGACGACTGGAGCGCAGACAGCTGTCGACGAGCTGCAGGAGACCATGTGGGCTGCCGCGGTATCTGTGAGACAGGACTTAGTGAAGCGGATAAACGCCAATCTTAAGAATGAAGCGGTGGGCTTACTGAAGTTCGTGGGTGATTGGAACACAGAGTGGAAATCTCAGATGAAGAAGGCGCGGGAACTAACTTGGGAGGTCAGTAATATTGGGGTGATCGACGGAAAGCTAGTCCGCAGCGATGAAAATCTGGATCCAGAGGGCAGCTGGACGATTGAAAGAGCAATCTTTTCGCAGAGTGCGTTCGTGCCTGGGCCGGCGTTGGGAGTTAATCCTATATCTGTCAAGGGGGGGAGCTTGTGCATCACCTGCACTTGGCAAGGGGGTATAATCGATGCAAAGCTGGGCGAAGGCTTGATTTTCGACTTGGGGAATTGGTTGCACGATCTGGGGAAGGAAGGGCGTATCAGTTTCAGATAGTCCTCCTGATATGTTACATTTATCAATTAGTGGATGCGAAAGGTGCTAAAACACAACTATAGTATCACGTCTACTCCATATTTTCCTTGAGCGAGAATCTCTTGACTACCTCGTTGGCGTGGATAACCGCATCTCTGGCGCCCGACCAAGTCTTCCGCTTGCCAGTCTCGGAACATCGAAATGCGTGTGCAGTTTCGACACCATGTTTCGTTAAGAACGACATCTTCGGGTCTTTAAGCCACAATTTCCAAACGTTCCATCCCGTCCCAGGTTCTCCATTGCCGTGCCGGCGGCCTCGTGCAGGAACCCCTGAAATTCCCATTGCGTAACCATCGAAATGCAATCTTTTCATCCATTCTCCACCAAGAGTCTACCCACTCGTGATGCGTGACGATTTGCCTCTCCATTTGGTTCTTCGGAGGAACTCGGTGCACGCCACGCCACACCACACGTTTCTGACTGCCATGGATTTCACGTCGCTGAATGAGAACCCGTTGCTCTTTCCGTACCCCCTGAGGCCTCCCGTCAATCTCAAGTTCCAGACACCATCTCGTGTCTTCTTCGTTCCGTGTGACTTGTTTCACTGAAGCGTTGGAGAATATGTCCTTTATCACGTCGCAGTGCTTCGCGTAAGATTCTATGTGCAAACCATGGTTTAGGTTCACTTACTGTCAGGCGTGGGAAAGTCAGACATGCCACAGGTGTACTTGCTGATATTGGCCGCTGTTGCTGCGCTTTGGTGAGCTAAGAGATTCAGCGTGCAGCTCATGAAAAATCCCCCTCACATGGAAAAGCCGAGGTCATCCATTTATACTTGTGTATGCCCACAGTACACCGACTTGTTTCCGTCTCTCATAACAAGTGACCTTGAATCCATCATGGCGCAGCGTCTTCAACATAGACAGCCCAGAGGCTCCTAGCCCCGACTCGATGCCCCATTTCATTGCGCGAAACAACTGCTCTTTCAAGCATGGGAGGTGTCAGGTGCGAATAAGCTACAGTGGCTTATAGGCCTTGTATAGCCTGTGGGCTCCAGTGGCGTGCCGGGTCTTGGCCTGTGCAAGGGTTGGCCAAGTATGAATAGGCTGGTGTGACGGGCAGCGATTAACTTGTCGTAATCGAGTCGCCTACATTACACCGCTAGTGACCACCCGGTGACCAGCAACCGACTTCTCTCTAGCACTCTCGTCCTTCACTCTGTCCTTGAGTACCCGTGACAGGAGGGGGCCATTTCTATTCCAGGATTAGATAACTCACCGACGCCAATAACAGCGACCGTCGCTTGGTCCAGTACTGTCGTCCCAAGCCCACATGCGGATAAAACATTCGATGTTGTACTGTACAGTCGGTTGATGGAAGTATGACAGAAGACTTGGTGAATGTTGCGTCGAAACGGCGGTCTTTTTCGTGTGCTTCGCCAAGATTCAGAATGCTTCTGGGTACTTATGGTAACCTTGACAGAGATGCGTGCGATGAATCCCTTTCAGCAAGCGCGTAAACACAGGAGCATATTTTTGGTAGCAAGACACTTCAAATTAACTTTACAGTCAATGGCAGACAATTGACTTAAAATGAAAATCATGTTGATTCTATCCTGTATCCTGTAGTCTAGTTGCTGCTACTGCTCATTATTATGCCCCTGCCGGTGCCTGGCCTCCGCCTCTGTACCAAGCATACTGGGTTGAGCACGTTCTACAAGATTGCGTCATATACTACGCCCTTCAAGCTGAAAACCCGAAGCTGGAAGAGATATGAGTTGCAACGGCACATCCGTCTTCTTCATCACAACCCACATTCCCAGTAACACTCAGAAAGCCTTCCGTACCGTCTACCCGGATCAAACCTCGACGCTCGGCCAAAAGAGCCCTTTTGCCATTACAAGAGCCATCAAATGAAAACGACCCTAAAGACACCCTCGACCGTCTCCGCATGAGACTCCAACTGCATCTTCCCTAGAGAAAATTCAGAAGGAACAAGTTCGCAGGTTCGGGGGATTGGAGTTTGCAGTTGATATTTGTAGGAAGGAAAAGAAGATTGTGGTGTTGGGGGAGTGGAGGGAAACAGGGAAAAGGGGTAGGAAAGACGGATTTTGTTAGAGAGAAGGTGAAAAGGGAGGTTGCTATGGAAGATAGAAAGATGGATGATGCAGAGTATGTCCCCATTCTATCGGTTGCCATAGTCCACATCACATCTACTCTCTTTTTCCATGTCAAGATTCAACACCTTATCCAGTACATCCCTCGAGAACTCATCAACAAAATCCAACACGACCGTTGCAATCCCCGGTCGTTACTCAGCACGAGAAGCTTGACAACTTCGCCACGGCGATATTGCGTCGCCTTAGCGGTGGTCAAAATCTGGATAGTCACCAGGACATTTTTCATGTTCGACACGTTCGGCCCGGCGACACACTCGGTGAACACGAACAGATGCTTCGCAGGATTTGGCTTCATTTTCATCTGATTGAAGATCGAGAGCCAGTAAGCATCTGCGTCCTTGTCGCTAAGAGGAACGAGGAATGCAGTGCAGAAATTGGCGGGGTCAGAGTTGACGCATGATTGGAGGACACTACGCATTTGGATGACCGAGATCGGCTATCAGAGCTGCCGATGTGACCCGAGTAATATAGAATTTCTCAAGCTTTCGACCAACAGAGACTCTGCGACTAGATTCATTGATGCCCATAGTTATATTAATGCTTGGTGCACTTCAGTGCAGGCTTGGTTGTGTCTGCTGGATTCAAAGAATCAACCAATTTGCAGCCAATATCGTCGCGCCGGGGAGGTTGTAACTTTAAGGTAGCCAATAACAATCGGCTCACATGCTTCACGGCAGATCTCTTCTGATAGGTTGTGTTATCTCTGAATATATGAAGTCGTGTCAGCAGCTCGAAACTAGACGTAAGAAAATCATGTTTCTGAAGCTCAATGTACTGGCTAGATCATTGCATATATCAACTTCACGTACCGTATCCGAATTCTAGACGAAGGGATTTTCATTTTGCCTTGCGTTTTCATTTTCTATTTCTATCCCAGGAAACAAGATCTCACTCAAATAGTATTGATGCGTACTTTTCCACCGAACATATGGCCACGTACCGTACGTTATAGGCCAACATGACCACCACCCATCGAACCACACAAGTACTGAAGATACGTTTCGAGGATTCTTACTCCACTAATTTTTGGTTTCTTACTTTGCTGTTCTTCAACTACCAGGTTGTCCGCTATTGCGTTCTTCCAACCTCCCATCATGATCAAAGATAAGACGCTTCGCGACTGAAAACCTCGTTTAGGCTCGCGATATAATCATCACTAGCGTTATCAATTTCAACTATCGTATCTGGTGCGAGTTTGAGGGCTCGGTGTCCGCGCTCTCGGAGCCACAAACGGACGCGGACGAAGATCATTAGCCGGAGGATTTGTTCGTCCAGTATACGAACATACTCTCACCACATATGTGGCCCCCATCAGAGTTGATAGCAAGGGGTCGCTTAGGAGTGTCTCCTAGTCTTTCATATATGGCCCGTGAAACACCTCGCACCCAATTTTCCGGCTAAACGTATTGTCACATATTCCTGCTGTGAACATAATGGAGTTGAGTGAGGTAGATCAACTAGCTCACAAGTGGATATTGTAACTATTTCAAATGATCTAGAAATTAACTTTGCTTTCAAATCCAGGTCGTTCCATTTCTCTGTAAAGCGACTTTGATCGATCCCGAAATTAATTATCTCGTGCTGCTTTAATTTGGCTTTGCCTTCTTCACGAAGAAAAATTCGTGAATGTGCGTCATTAGAAGAACCAGACCGCGTGACATAGACCATGTATGAAATAGCCACACGACTTCGAAATCGATCCACTAATTCTTGGATCTCCAAGATGTGGACATAAGCGGGCATATTATGTGGCAGGCGGAGAGTTAGTGGACCAAGCCAATGCATCTCCAAACACCCAGACGAATTCGGTGCTCCTGCAACACACCAAAGAGTCCCGGATCGCCGTCTGTCTGAAGTAATTGCGAATGTCGGCTACGAAAACCGTCTGCCAATGCTATAAACCGTATTGGCCCCAGATTACATGGACAAAGGCAGAAGAACTATTCTGAGGAGGACAAACACCATATCACCAAAGGTTCCCCAGGGTCGAAACTCCAGTCCACAGACGACCCAAAATACTACTGTTGGCACCTGACCTGCAGCCAAGAAATAAATCTGACCTAAGAGGACGCCTCAGAATCTGTAAGTAGTCAATAGGACACGGTAGATAAGATTGTGAGGCTACCTAGCTACGGTATCGTGTTTATTTCTAGGATAAGCGAAATAAGCGAATACGGCCTGTACCACTAGAAGATAAGTTAGAACCAACTTTCTCCCAAGATGGGCTCCTCCTCCAGAGAGGACTCTCGAGAGGACTCGAAATATCATATCGATGCCTTCGGGCTCTTAAATTAGGTGTATAATTGAGAATGAAGCGTTACTGTCAGTTTTGTCGAGCCCTGTAAAACGGTGGTTAATGCGGTTAGGAGAAGTGAACCAATAGCAGCCACATATGCCTAAAATGGTAGGTGTGACGGGAAAGGTCAAGCGTCTTACGCCAAGTGCCGATCCATAGGCATCGAGATCTGCTTACATGCCGCGTCCAGAGCGGCGTGTTGATCATGCAATTTTCATTGGTAGCCCGCTTCCAGATCATCTCCTGCTGTATTTTCATGAATTCCCCAGTTTTCTAGAATCCACACCGTGGTATCAGTGTCATGGTCGAAACGGATAACTACAGGATGTTGGCGCCAAACTAGTAATCTGCAGACGAGGCGCTCCAAAGGGATTCTCATCGGGATTCTCATCCTGTCTATCAATGTGACATCTCGAATGAGAAGGGGCGTATTGCAATACATAATTGAGACAATGCACCATGGCTCACAAAAGTCATCGCCAATGATAAGCTGGCGACGACATTAACCCAGACCAGGACTGGTTGCACAATGGAGGGGCCAAATTT